AAAGGGCGGGAGGCTTTAGAATTATTAGTAATCTAAATTCCCTTAGCAAGATTTATAGGCTAGTAGGTAAATATATTTACGTAAGTAGCTAGTAGCTTAATAATATTAAGCTAGGTAATTACTAGTAGTAAGATATATTCTATAGTAGTTAAGAAATAGTATTTAGTAGTATATACAAAGACTAAAGCCTACCGTCTATTAGATAGTGGGTATTTATAGATATATAAAGAATACTAAGAAGGCGGAGTTATAATATCTAGCTTAGTAATAAGCTAGGCGCGGTATAGCTTAATACTATACTAAGGCTCTCTTCTAGCTAGATTATAATATAGAGGCTCTAGCTAATACTATACTCCGATTCCTTTACATTTTGAATACTTAGTATAGTAGTCTAAGAAATAGAATTACTAACTTTAGGTAGTTAAACCTCTAAACTCTTAGAAATAGCACCAGAATAAATATTGGAGATTGTAGAGAGAGTAGTTAGAGATATAGAGAAACAGCTAGAGCAGGTAATAGAAGGTACAGATAAACTCCAGGAAGGCGTGCTTAGAGGTTTAGTAGAAGAGATTAGACACTCAAAAGCGGAGGCTGAACGTGTTCTTGAAGAGGAGGTATCAGATGCAGAGTTGGAGGTGAAAGAGCTGCTTGTAGACGTGGAAGATTGGTGATGAGAACGCGTGCTCGGCCGGTAAAACGCCAGGGAGCTTTCCTAGAGAACTGGAGGATCAACAGCGATTGTACAACTACTCGGGCTATGAAGTATCAGCGGCTATGTAGCACCCAGCATAGTTCATCCTCACCAAGCAGCTATCACGGAGGTAGTAGTAATATTACACGAAGCGGTTGCGACGCAGTTGGAGGAGCTGGGAGAGCTTTAGTGCATATCCCTTCGACAAGCTGCATCGTAACATACCAGCTTATTTGTGGAGCGGGGTATTGCGTTCCGTTCGTGAGGTTTCCGCATCTTACGGTAGCATTTCTTGCCCTGAAGTCGTCCTGGTCTAGGGATATTGCGAGTCCGAGTGCTACTACTACAACAAAAAACAATAATTGGCATGAAATACAAACATTGCTAGAGCGACGTGGAGAGATACTGATGCATAGCGCGCCTGTACACCAGATTACTACGCTTACTCCAAATATAAGCATTCCCACAGCAAATGGTCCGTCGTATCCAAAGTAGAGAAACACAAACAGCATGCATATTAAGGCAGCAGTTATCCTACAAGCCACGATAACGAACTGTATTTTAATAAAATACCTGATGTGTTTCGGGACATTCTTAGCATCATTGGTGCCAAGCAGAATTAAAGAGATCGGAACAGATGCGAGGATCCCCCTAGAAAGAGTACCGAAGCGTATGCTAACAGCTTCCGAACCAGTATATCGGCACATGTGAGCGTCAGCGCGAGACCGAAAGTAACGGAACCGCCGAAGGTTCCTATACCAGCAACTACAGGCGTGATATTTGAATAATTCTTTGGTGCATATCTTGGTTGCTCGGGGAGATTAGCTGCCTGAGCCTGTACAACCTGTAGTGGCAGCAGAGGAGGCGGACCACCATCCGGCAGGGCTGCAGGTTGGTTGGCGGTGAGAATGGCTGTTTCTACCTGCGATCCATAAAGCGCCCGCATTGTTTTGACTCGTAGCGCCTGAGCTTTCCGCTCCGGGTTATCGTCGCGGGCAGTATGATGGTTGCATTCCGCTTGATACAAAGCGTTACACACTGCTACTAGAGCTGGTTCCCGAGCTGCCAAACTTAGGAAGGTGGACACCGCTTCGAGCGCCTCCTCGCTTTTTTCCTGGACGACGCTTTGTCTGATCGTATCCCGTAGTTCGCGTATCCTCCCTAGCAGATTGCGCAGAATGTCCATAGATAAGATTTATTCACAATGAGAGGAAGTAGGATTCAAACGATGTGTAACGGTCGAGAGCAGTGAAGTTCAGGTAGGTTAGAAGAATTCGAGGATTACATCTATCGACCCTCTTCCCCGCAGCTGAACTCAACAGAGCCCTAATTAAGGTATTGTGAATCGTATCATATCGGAGCCGGCTAAAGGCCGGGCCGGTAGAGTGCACGGGCCTCGAACACGACAAGCTCCTCAATCGTCACCAGCAAGCTCAAACCTATTCTTAGGATAATTAAGTATTCTACTACTGCCACTGTACTAAAGAACTATTCTGGAGGTTGAATTTTAGGCACTAATGGGCTATCAATCGCACGGCAGTCTGCGATACTCTCAAGACGCCAATCTAAAGCCAAATATAAGCAGATTGTAAAGCAGACTAGCGTTAATAAGGCTTCCGCGAGAAAGATTGTGTCTACTACTAAGAAGTGCACAAATAGCTCTAAGGAGCTACCGATTCTACTTGAGGGTATTAAAAGATACAAGAGGCAGAGACGCAATAGCCGGCAGCCATTAATTCCACCCGGTTCTAAGGTATCCTGCTCCCAGGTCTCAACGCCTCCAATATTCACTAAGTTTATAGGTAACCCACAAGATCCGGCAGTACCTTCTTGTAGGCCAACCTTCTGCTCTGCAGCCACGGTCCCTCTCGTCTTGCTCCGCAGAGACCCTTCCGTATGGCCCGGCCCTTCCCGCATCCCACGGCCTTAGTACCCACTCGGCGGTGTCGACCGCGCCGTACTCCTCGTCGGACTCCTCTGTCTACAAGCGACGTTTCTCCCCTGTCTGGCAGCCGTGATGTTGCTCTGCACCGCGTCCTCGATGCGTCTGGCCCCTTTCTCATAGACTGCCCATTTTTCGCACTTCCCGCATGTGATCGCGCCCCGTCTGTCCTTCACGTCTTCCGTCTAAAATCTTGCTCTGTGCTGCGAATTCTTCGGGAAACATTTCCTTAACAATGTGCATGCTTTTGATCACCTCCGGCAAACATGGACCGCATTTCGCTGCACTATTGGCTCCACTCTTGAGAAAAATAAGTAAAAACCGTTCAACACAATCCGCAGTACGTTTGCATCTGCAGGCAGCGTTCTCGTGGGCTAGCAAATCTCGAGATGATGCGGTAGCTCCTCTGCAGTTTCCTTCTCCCGCATGTATACACAAATCCCTCATGAACAGCAGCATGACCAGCTCAGCAATCGAGCAGGCTGGAGATGCTCGGCCTAACGTAGGTGACACAGCATCGGCCGTCCAGCCATCACCAATTACTTCAAGGCAACTCCGTTGAGGCAAATCCTCCATGGATTCTTGCAGACAAAAAGAAAAGCCGAGAAGCTCGGCCGCTTCGACACTTCATGTGAATCATGTCGTGGCCGCAAAGTTGCAGGAGACTACTAGGAGTGAAGATGCTCGCCGAAGCAATACATGCACATACTGACAGTGCGGTCGCCCGATCACAAGGACGTTCCGAGATAAGGGATGAAGCGAGGCATTAACGGTTGACGCATGCGCGCGGCCCGTATAGAAAGCTATCCAGCTATGTGCAACCATTTGAGCGGGGCAATCCTTGGTCATCCCGTCACTTTACCTCCTTGCCTTTTTGTTGAGCTGTAAGAATGAGGTTAGCAATCTTGCCGACCACCCTGTTGACACAAATACGCGGACTCCATAAACAGCAAACCCAGAAGCTGCTGCAAAATGAAATCGATAACTTGGCTAAATCAATCCTGTGTAGTGTGCGCATGTTCTTAGTTATAAGATACTAAGACGAGAAGCTTTGATAGCCCCTAGTTAATATATCGAAAGCTACATAACTAATTATTTACTTTGTGGTTTACTGCTTCCTGGTTATGGAGTCCGCGTATCTGTGTCAACAGGGTGCCAACTCAGATTACTCGGGTTACCGTGGTGTTAGTTCAAGAGTCTATATAAGCAGCTTGCGAACACTCAAACCTCGGACATCAACAAGCTCTCAATTGTTACATACCAGAAGGTCGTAACATTCTACTGTAACCGCATCTCTTCACTCTTTGCCATCATGGAGAATCTGGGAAATGACTCGGCCTGGCCGCAATCACGCTACATCGGCGGCAAGGTTGCTGACGGCGACAAATTCTACCTCATGTGCTAGAAGAACTACGAACCGGGCTATGTGAGCCTATACCCACAATACACCGAGGGTAAAACGGAGGCGAACTCGATAGATGGCTTAAAGGTAAAGGATTCAAAGACCACTAATTGGGGGATCTGGGTCCCAGCAAAAGAGAAGGCAGAAAGAGCGACAGTATTCAGAATGCACCGAAGGCAATCGGATTTGGACACATGTATGTTGGAGGCTATGAAGCAGGGTGACACGGATCTACGCGTGAGTAAATTCTCTCGTGGAAGCACGCAACGCTAAGCAACCCACTAGGTAATTGAGATGCGGTTTGAGGGGAAGTGGGTAAAGTCCTGGTCAACAGGTTACGAGGAAGACTCGGCGAAGTGCAAGTTTTACGCCGATGGTTCTTTCAGGTTCAAGAGCGGCCCGGGATGGAATCCCCTTCACATCGTGCGGGACAGCCCAGACAACCAGTTATACCTAATTTGGATAAGAGTGGCGACAGGGCTTTCTTTATGGCTGAAAAGGTGCCCAAATCTCTATTCGACAGCATCTTCCAAGGTGCCCTTTACTAGCCGCCGGAATCATTTGGTGGGGATGGAGCAGAGTGTTGAGGTTGCTACTGAACTCGCGTGCCACACGCTTTTCCTTCATAGTCTCTGTCAACAGTGTGGCTGTTCCGTTATGCATTATCTGTCCCGCTAAATATACAATACCCGCATGGTGCCTGAACAAACGGACCGCTCGGCTTTATCGCAATGATGTTAATGTGCTGCATGCCTAGCCTCACGCTGCATTTCCTCTTCCTGCCGATCCGAAGCCTCCTTGATGATCCGCTTCTTGGCCGCAGGTGCGGCCGGCTTGCTGGGCGTAAGGACGCCGCGTGTTTTAGCGGACTCTATGATCTGGGCATACTGGTAGAGGGTGACCGCCGAGGTAGGATTGTTTTCGCGAGACTCCTCCCACGACTCCCGATAACGAGCGACCCATTCCTACTGCTCTGGCGGCGTGGGAGGGTACATTACACGGAGCCGCGCGAAAAACCCCGCCCAGAGACCTTCGATTATGATGTCGTAGTCCAATCCATCCGGCGCTGCCACGCCAGTCCAGTAGATCTTCTCAAACGCACGCAGCGACTCGGGATCGTATTGGTCCACCCACGCGTCGAAGAGGGTCTCGGAGAGTTCGGAGGCTTTGACGACAATGCGTGAAGGCGCGTCTGTCATCTGGACGAGCTTGTGTGAGCATGACATATCCATTCTCGCGAAGCGCGCTCGCTTACAGTGATGTCTGGGTCCGCTGCTGTCCCAGGGCCTTGGTCTGCCATGTAGATTGCGTGTCTGACCGACAGGTTAGTGTCTTCCCTCCACTGCCGCGTCTGGACTGACCTACGGTGATAGCTTTTAGACTGAGGGGTTTGCAAGGAGCACGGCTCCTGTTTGAGCGAGATCGAAGGCGGCGAGAGGTTGAAATATAAAGAAGCGCGGCTCCTCGACGGCGACGTGGTGGTTGAAGATGAAGGTTTTTTGGAAGCTGCGGGACAGACCCATCTCTTTCTACGACCGCAGATCACGTGAGAAGTGAACAGGTGAAGCATTATGCGCGCACGATTCACTACGGCAGCACACGCCGTACCTGAAAGGTGTCGAAAGAAGGTAAATTGATGTGTATTCGTAAGAATCGCTCACTCCACAATCTCACTCGTTAAATCATCCGGCCACCTAGGCTGATCCTTGCCGTTCCCTCTCGTGCCAACATTATATCGCAGATCAATCTCGCCACCATCGAAACTGATGATCGGCTTGACAGTATGAATCTTAACGCCTAGCGCCTTCGATTCACGACTCTCAAAGAACTTAGGATTGAATACGACATCGCCGCTATTCTTCTGTATCATGTCTAGGACGCGCGGAATCGTGTATGTCATGCCGTGATACGATCTGCGATGGCCCTCCGTCAGCTTCATACGAACACATCTCCCAACCAAAGACCCTAGAGGACTTGCAGCACGTACCTGAAAACCTGCCTCCCATTCCTTTCCCATAAAGTCTTCCAGGTCTCACCTGTGTACTCACCCACGCTGTTTGCCAACCACTGGTTGTAGTAGTTCAGCGCGACATCAACCTTGTAGCTGCCACCCTTCTCGCCACGCCTCATCAGCGCCGCCAGAATCCCACACACGCCCGCAATCCCGGTCATGTAGTCCGAGTTAGGAAACACAGGCGTGACAGCCTCACCGTCCTTCAAGCCCATGGCTCTCCCGAACGCCCAAGAGATGCCTACGCACGCATCACTGATCTGCTGCCAGCCGCTGCGGTACGCCCACGGGCCGTTCCAGCCATAGCAGTTCTCACGGACGGATATGATGCCGCGCTCGCGGTCCTTGCACAGCTCGATGATCCCCTCGTGGCTGAAGCCGTACTTGTCCAGCACACCGGGCCGGTAGCCCTGGACGACGACATCGGCATCGCGGATGAGGGCGCGAAGCGCGGCGCGCCCTTCTTCTGTCTTCAGGTTTAGATGGCTGTTCCACTTACCCCAGTTCAAATCGATATGCAGAGCTGAAAAGTCGACGAGGTTCTGGGACGTGACGCGCATGACGGAGGCTCCAAGCTCCGCGAGGCCGCGCGTGACTGCGGGTGCGGCGATGACGCGCGTGAGGTCGACAACTTTCAGGCCGGCGAGGGGGCGAGAGGCGGAGGTTTGCGGAGTGGATGGCCACCAGCCGGCCGGCTGGGAGGCATTGGGTGCTTCGTGGATCTCGAACAGCCCGACATGTGCGTTGGCTCTGCCATGCTCTGAGGCGCGGAAGGAGTCTAGGGTTTCTGTAACCACACCGGCTTGCTTGTAGACGTCAGAGGCAAGGCGCTGCATTTCGGCGCTGTCGATCTGGGAGAGTTTCTCGATGAATGATTTCCAGGAGTCTTCGATGGTTGCGTTGTCCATGTCATGCGGCAGCCCTATGCTATCGAGCGTGGGGTCGGGGTTCATGCTGCCGTGGAGATGGAAGAAGCGGCCGTCTTTGGTGCGGTGAATGTTGGTGGCGGCGACGCGGTGGTACGAGGACGCTTGCCGGTGAATATCGAAATTCGGAATCAACTGGTCGAATGATTTGCCGCCGGCGTCTTTGTAGGAAATCACCTCGCCGGTGTCTGTGGTCATCGTCCACAGCAACGTTGACATCAGGAACAGCGAGGCGTGGTCGGTGTTGATTGTTGCGCTAGAAACGGTCTTCCCGTATTTCCGCTTCACCAGTTGCGCGATAACGGCAGCTTCCAGCCCTTTCAGTGACGCTGCGGACTCGGCGAAGCGCCAGTTGATGGGGATACTCGGCGCGTCTGAGCCGACGAAGTTGATGGATTTGGCAAAATCTGCGGTTCCTTCTGGCAGGTCTTTGGCGATCAGAGGATTGGATAGAATCCCTTCCTCAAGTATCCTGCGCGATTCTTTGGGGACGGAATATTTGACAGCGCCATCGACACCGCTTGTTATGCCAATGCTCCCCATCTTGACTATGACGAAATCTTAACAGTATGCATGGAGAAGAGAGATGCGGTGAGGATCACGACGAAAATACCTTGCTTTGGCCTTGAAAGACACGGGAAATCAAACCTTCGTATCGCGAAGACTTCAACTTACCTTCACACAGTTGCACGGGCCAAGATATGGAGCTCCCAGAAACCCGTAATGCGGGATCCATGTGCCGGGAGCATGCATAAACTGCTCGTACGTCAGGCATGGACGGCAAACGGTTACCGTAGATGTAGGTAGACGAGGAGATGCTCATGAAAACGAGGACCAAGCCGAGGATCTGCCCATCCATGCGGGGTAGCGTCGATTGCGGTTGGCCAAATCGTTGACAGCCTCGCTCTTCTGGGTTACATACCACGATGACCGAGCCGAGCCACGGAATCGAGTCCGCTTTGTGTTTGTGATGTCTACGAGCGTGTGCAAAGCTGATGGCAGCACCGGATGCACGGCATCAGGCCTATGCTGACCATTATAATATTAACGTCGCGCGACAACTTCTTGACAATGCTGCATCGAGGATTATTGTACCTCAGAGAAACGAATTCAATACTCAAGTGACCCAGTATGGGTGATGTCAGAACAAGATGGGCGGCGGCCGGGACTCGGCCTGTACGGATTGCGAACTGCTCAGGGGCGAGAGGTGACCCAGGCTCCCAGTATATATTCCCACACTCTGTCAATTGTTAGAGAAAGAGTAGGCTTATACCTGTTATCTAGAATGAGACGGCAAGCAATAGAGGGTGATGTCGACTTCATCACGGGCGACTACCTCGCGGAGATGAACCTGGCCGAAAATGCCGAAAAGATGGCCGCTGGAAAACACGATGGCTGGGAGCCAACTGCTTGGGATGGTCTTGAGCAGACTCTCGACGTTCTCGACGAGAAGAGGATCAAAGTGGTCTTCAACGGCGGTGCGCTGAACCCAAGTGGTTTAGCGAAGAAATGCCAGAAGCTGGTGACCGAGAGGGGCTACAATCTCAAGGTGGCGTACGTGTACGGAGACGACTTGATTGATGAGGTCAAGGCCGATCTCGAAAAGACTAGAACTCTACCGAAACATCTCGACTCGGAAAACGACAAGGTCTCTTTGGCGCAGAATGCCACATCATTGCTTGACACCAAGGGCAAACGCATCGTGTCCGCGAATGCATACCTCGGTGCCCGAGCGATTGTGAAAGGTCTTGAGCTTGGTGCAGATATCATCGTCTGTGGACGTGTCGCGGATGCTTCTCCAGTCATTGGCGCTGCATGGTACTGGCATAAGTGGAACGAGTCTGACTACGACAACTTAGCAGGAGCACTGATTGCAGGTCACCTTATTGAATGCTCTGCATACGTGACTGGAAGCAACTTTGCGGGCTTCACCGAATATCCGCTGGAGACCTTCGTCGACTTGCCTTTTGGCATCGCTGAGATTGCCGCCGACGGCACATCCGTTATAACCAAGCACGAGAACACAAAAGGGTTGGTGAACGAGGACAACGTGAAGTGCCAGTTCTTGTATGAACTGCAAGGCAGCATATATCTGAACTCGGATGTGACCGCGAACGCGAAAGACATCGAGATTCAGCAAGTTGGCAAAGATAGAGTACGGTTGTCGAACATCAAAGGGTTTCCTCCTCCACCTACCACAAAACTTGCCATTTTCTACCACGGCGGCTATGAGGCGCAGCTCTTGTTTAATGCTACGGGATATGCAACCGCTCAGAAGTGGCACTTGATGGAGACCCAATTTCGCTTCGCTCTCAAACAGTCTGGACGGCTGGAAAAATTTCAGCTGCTTGATTTCCAAATCATTGGTACGCCGGAATACAATCCTCGTAGTCAGTTTGCCAGTACAACCTACTGCCGTGTTTTTGCCCAGGCCGATACCGAGACCGTTCTCTATGGCTTGTTGAAGACGTTCTCCGAAATTGCAATGCAACACTTCTCCGGGTTCCATTTATCACTAGATACTCGAACGGCATTGCCAAGGTCTTACTTGGCTTTTTACCCAGCAATCTACCCGCAGAACTCTCTGGATGAGGGTGTCGCAGTCTTGTCTGCGGACGGAAGTGTTGCAGAGAAGGCGTCAGCAGGCCACCCGTCCGAATACAGGAAGCTCGACGCGCGGGAGAACTATGAGACAGCCAGTCCGGTTGACCTTTCCATGTTTGGACCCACTCGCAAAGCACGACTGGGTGATGTCGTCCTCGCTCGATCTGGTGACAAAGGGGCCAACATCAACCTAGGCTTGTTCGTTCGTCGTTCCGAGCACTATCCATGGCTGCAATCGTTCGCAACCAGGGCCAGAATGACCGAGCTGATGGGAGATGACTGGCGGGAGGATTTTTTCGTTGAGCGAATGGAGTTCCAAAACATCCTTGCGGTACATTTTGTCATATATGGACCCCTTGGACGAGGCGTGAGCAGCTGTCGTTTGCTGGATTGCCTAGGGAAAGGGTTTGCCGACTACATCCGCGATAAGGTCATTGATGTGCCGGAATCAATCTTAGCTGATATGCCTGCGATTAGGGAGGAGAGGAAAGCAATGCTCTGAAGCGGATTTTGTCTCTAGGACTCGGGACTGCGCCTGTACCCGTCATCAGGGATGAGTCAAGCTTCCGATATTGCAAAGCGATTTCTTGCCATAATCATGGCAGTCAGAGCAGATTTCCGTAGTGATCGCCCTTGATTCATGAGCGGAGAGCTGCTAGTGTGTGGTGTGAGGTCACGGCTTTGCCCCTCAATCTTCTACGCGGTGTGAAGTCTACGAAGCGAAATAGGAGTAAGAGCAAGCAACGGACTTGGAGTACCATGAAGTCATATACACGAATTCACAGTGGCGACCAAGCTGTTGATTGCGTTTGGTGTTAACGTGTGCTCGGGATCCTATGCCTTTTCGTATCTCTTCGAGGCTCGCTAGCATACTCCGGTTGCAAATGCTAAACTAGTATTTAGTGTTTGCATGTTCAACCGGCAGGTATCCTAGAGGGTTCTAGGGGGGCGTGCACTAGGTCTAGCCCTGTTGTCAGGGAAAGCCGTGATGGTAGTATTCCAAGTCAGGGTAACACGCTGAAGCGCTGATAGCCTATCCGAAGCTAGTAAAGATAGGGTTTGCATGTATGTCTAGGAATATGTAGTTGAAGCAGCTCAAGTACATTGTACCGCTCTTTTGAACAATAACAATGATCAGCTGGCTGACTAGCATCTACCCTTTATTCACGGCGCATATCTAAAGCCCTCAACACCCTCTAAAGCTGGCTTCTTGCCTTCATCGGCCAGCTTGTTCTGCTTCTTGAAGTACATCGACATAGAGAACGTGAGAAGAGAGTAAAGCAACTGCATACAAATGGTTGACCACATGCCAGGGAGGTAGGTTGGCGCATCTTGCGAGCGGAAGATGGTGCTACCAGTGATGCCACCTGCAGCCCCGATACTAATCATCGCAGCAGAGACGATGCCTCGCTTCTCTACTCTCGCGGTCTGGTTCTGGCCGTAAGCCAAAGTGCCCGGAACATTGGCTTGTGTCCCGTAGACGGCAAGGAAGAGACCGAAGTAACGGACGCCTGGTGCGTGAACATAGAGGATGATCAGGAGACCAACGACAGCGGTCAAAGATTGGAAGACGAGGACGGGCCAGCGCAGGCGGATTTTGTCAGAGACCCAGGCGAGCAAGATACTGGCAAAGATTGCAAAGACGTAGGGAGGGCTGGAGAGCAACTGGGCTTTGGCGTAGCTGAAGCCCATCCCTTGTCGGAGGATGATGGGTTGGAAGTAGGCTAGAGAATAAACGCTAGATGCGGCGACGAAGTACTGAATACAGCTGGAGGACGATACATTAGCTAATCACTGATAGTTGTGGAACGCCGAGACTCTCGAAGGAACATACTAGACGCCTATCTTCCAATCCATAAGCATCTTGAATGTTTGTCCGACTGTGGGATGCTGGAACTCGTGGCTACGCCTACCGAGCGCAACACGCGCTGTTGCAATGTGCTTCTGTCGTTCATCCAAGAAACGCGCTTTCTCTGGGACTGCTCACCATCAGCTGTCGTCCTGCGTGGTCTGTCAACTCAATCAGACTTACAATCGATCAGGAAGAAAGGCGCGACGAATCCAGCCACTACAGTCGCGATGCCTTCGATAATGAAGATCCATCTCCAGCCTTGTCGATACATGCCGTTTCCAACTTGGATAAGAGACAGGGCATAAGCGAACTGTTCATTTTGTCAGCTTTGTTCTCTTGTGAGCAGAATGCATGAGAAAACATACTATAGGACCGAAACCGGAGGCTAGCAACGAAGCCATGTAGAAGATCGAAACTCTGCGTGCCGTCTCGTACTGACGATACCAGGATCCGATGATGTAAACGGCGCCAGGGAATACTGTGATTCAATCAGTCCAGCAGATGTTGAGATGCTACAAAAAACGTACATCCAGCTTCGAAAACACCTAGCAAGGCTCTCAGGACGGTGAGAGTCTTCCAACTGTGGACAAAGCCCATGCTAATTGCAGGTCAGCTTATTGAGTGCTTGCATATTTCGTCGGCGCCTAGACTTACCCCAAGACACACGCACCCCAGGCTATGATAAGAAAGCTGAGCCAGTAGCGTGCTCCAAACCGCCGTATGACAAAGTTCGAGGGAAGTTCGAAGATCGCATAGCCTGTGACCAGTTGGTACCACAAAGCGTCTTGGGAGTCCCCACTCTTGCTTACCTATAAAGAAGACAAGCAATGCAGTCGAGTATCTCGCGCTACAAGTCCCTGTGTCAGCTGTTTTGATGCTCCTCCTAGCGCGATGAAGGAGACGGACCCAATGTCCAGTCTCAGGTCCTTCGCAAGGCCTGCGATGTATGCTGCAGAAATGTTGGTCCGGTCAAGCAGAGACAGACCGAACACTACACAGAGCATTGGAAAAACGCGCAAGTCGACTTTCCATCTGAAACAGGTCAGTGTTGTACATTGGGCCTGAGAGATGTGACCCACACGAGCGCTTTCTCCTCAGCTGCATCCCAGTCTTGGGAATTGGTGGCTGCTCCCTCGCGGATGGAGAGTTGTGGAGAGTCTGGTGAGACCTTCTCAAGATGGGTTGCTTCCAAATCTTTGCTTGCCATATTGATTGCGCGTGTTGTTGCGGGTAGTACACACGGACTAATAGCAGCCTCGATTGTAAGCAAGCCGCTCCAAACCCTCGCAAGAGCAAAAGATGATTAGTATGAAGGACGAAAGCAAGAGGACTACGAATTTCATGTAGCCGGCTATACATACTTCTCCACGTTGCTAAGGTTGTCGAATCAATGTGCAGGCTTGCCTACCCGAGGCACCAGGATAGAGGTCCCCCAAGTTACGATGCATATCGCGGTTGCATATCCGAGCCAGGTTCGAGAAACTAGTGTGAATGCGGAACTGGCTCCGCCTCGTGCGGAGATCATCTCCCGTCCCGCCCGCAACCCACGAGCTTCCCCAGATTCCCGAACATCATCGTTCTTAGCCGCCACGGACAGTATGGGGAACGGCGTCCCACGAAGCCCTCACCGCAACGCAACAAATCCACCCTTTGTGTAACTCGCCTACCTCTCCCTCCCCCGCCTCGTCAGCTACCGCCGGAGCCGGTTGAATACCAACGCCCTCTAATGCTAGAGTATCGTATCCGCCGCGCAGCCCATCCCGTCCGCTCCATCCTTTCTCTACACTATATATAATAAATTGTCCAACAGCGCCGAGTCTCCCTAGTCGCTTCCGCAACGCTATCTGCAGCGGCTTGGGTGCGTGATTGACTCTAGCCTCGAACATAACCGCCTACTCACCACGGTCGCGACATACATACATATTACAGTGAGGGGACGGTGAAGGGTCACTCGGGATGGGACACCTGCAAGCTCGGCGTTTTGAACACATGCCAATCCGCATTCTGTGGGCTGCAGACAATCGTGAAAGTCCGCGTACCGAACGAGATGGAAGGACCAGCACACAGCGTACGGCACACGAAGCTGCTTGCGCGCTTTCTCCCCTCTTCAGGTTTCGCAAGAATGGTTTCTCCAAGCGACTACAGACGAGGGTCACCACATGAACGGCGAAAGCTGCACCCGCGCGTCAAGGGTTACGCCGGCTTGAAGACCGTTGCGCTGTACCTAATCATTGTTGCTTTTTACTTCCGGTTTTCTAGCTGTGAAAAACACCCTAAACGTAACATCGCGTTAGCATAAGCCATCGGAACTCTAGTCGCAAACGGGAAAGGGCAGAAGTCTACTTACGCGGTAGTGTATGTATGAATTTTAGGATCCTTGAGCTCCCGCCGAACGTGAGCAAGCAGCGAATGGATCTCTACTGGGTCCCAGCCGCCACTCGTGAACAAAAACATAGAATAGTTCTCGAAGCCCATGTCCAACATGTGAGTTCGATGATACAGCCCAATTGTTTTGAGGTTACGATCTTTCGGCCACGGGCCCACCGGCACTATCTTCGTGACCTGTTGCACATCGACAAAGCCCGCGTCCTCCAGCCACCCCGCCATCTTCGGTGCGGTTTCAAAGTCCATCCCGAATATCGAAACGGCAAGATCATGGAACGCCACTTCCCACTGCTTGCAATAAGAGTCTTGCTTGAACGTGCCATCGTTGCATTGGAATCGAGTTGTGAAATCAGACACTTCGATCAAGCCGCCAGGTGCGAGGTGGAGATAGGCGTCTGCTAGGAACGCTGACCAGTCTTTGATCAGGCCAGCCATGCTACGGACATGAACGAAGTCGAGCGAATTTGGTCGGCGCTCCCATGGCTTCGTGACATCGTCCTAGGGCGGAGGTCAGGGTTACATGAATGGTTCGCAGATCATAGGAATGGTTCGACATACCACCTCAAACTGAACGTTTGGCGGCACAAACGAGGGCTGAATTGGTGCCTGGTCTAGTCCCTTGATCGTGGCGCCTGGATGCTCCTCGCCCATCTCGATGGCCCAGATGCCCGTGCCGGTGCCCACGTCCAGCACTGCTTGCACGTCTTGAGGGATCTTAGTGGCGGTAAGCTCCCCGTCCAGGATCATCTTGAAGATGTGGTGTTGCAGGTCCAGGCGATCTTGCTCGCTTTCATCGATTGGCAGCAGGTCTTTGCCGTCGCGGTGATAGCGGTGCCCGTATTGCTCAAGAAAGTCGTACACAGATGCCGTTAGGGAAGCAGTCTCGGTCATGATGCTTTCGACATCGCAGGCGGAGTCGCTATCGGTCTGGACAAACATCAGTCATCAGCAAAAGATTGCTTGAGCCAGCGCGAGGCTGAAGCTAAAGTTGAGGTTTTACATCTGCCTGAAGAGCCTCCCCGTCCGTGGGTATTGTCGTGGGGGCGCTCATGATTCAATTGTCTCTTGCTTGTGCCTGCGCTTGGAGGGTCGTGAGAGCTATGTGCGCGGTCTTTTTCCGCGAGTCCTGTTCCTCAGGCATATCATTGTTTTTAGAGGCAGGTTGAGGGGGTGGCTTTGCCAAAGGTAAAGCAGGGTCATCCGCATGCCGCGCAGCCGCTACTGCGGCACAGTAACACCGGGCCAACGATACGCTCGGAGGGCCCTGTTTAAGTGGTCCTCACCGTGACAACCGCGATATCAGTAAAGAATAGTGCGAGGCGCATGAAACAACCGTGTCCGGGATTCGGAACGCTTGTCATCCGATAAGCATCCACGTGGCACTCATCTTTAGCGGATCCGTGGATGTGACTCTTGACGGCCCGCTACCCGCGCTGCGGAGAGGACTTCGTCGGCGAGATTACAGTCTAAGACGCACAAGGAACCAAGCCATGGAAAATATCTCCCTGCAGCCAATGGAGATGCTTGAAATCGAGAGCATTTACGGATTTAACCGAGGATGGTTTTGCTTCTTTTGCCCGCAATGCGTCATACAAAGTACTTTTCCCACCCCGTTCCTCTCTACCTGCCACCCGGTAATCACCTGCAGGAACACGGTCTCGCAGTCATGGCTCTGGATGCATTGCTACAAGGGTTGAGCCTGTCAGGCGTTTTGACAGCAGTGGCCATCTCCTCGCTCTTCTTGGTATTTGTGAGGCGACGATACGGCTCGTCAATCTCTGATGTCCCCGGTCCCTTCATTGGGAGTTTCTCGGTTCTCTGGCTGCTATGGAGCATATTACGTGGTCAGCTGGGACAAGCCACTATTGAAGCCCACAGAAAATACGGTTGCTACACCTCCACGATGCTGAAACGAAGGATTGTGAGCTAAGGGAGCTCTTTGCAGGCAAGTTGGTCCGCATTGCATACAATGAGGTCAGCATCAGCGATCCAGACGGTATCGAGCAAGTTCTCAAAAGTAAAATGGACAAGGTAAGGTTATACTCAACCCCCGAGCATTCTAAGCAGTCATCAGCGCTGATGACAATTCGCGTTTGCAATTACCAGGGTGATTGGTACAAAATCACCAGTCTTCCGGATTCAAGGTTCATAAATCAGATGAGCGAGACCAATGCCAGACGGCATATCGAGAAGCAAAAGAACATCGCGTCCGGTTACACGCTATCAAACATTATCAAATCCGAGCCATACATCGACAACCTGCTCTCCCTTTTCCGAAGCCGACTCGACGAGCTTGCCGCCGCGAAGCAGCCCGTTAAGTTTGAGCAATGGTTTAATTACCTCGCCTTTGACATCGTTGGTGAAGTTACCTTTTCCCGGCAGTTTGGCTTCCTCGTGCAAGGCCGCGACATCGGTAATGCAATCGCTAACCAAGGATTTCTTACGCTTTACCTCTCTGTCGTAGGGTATTTCCAATGGGTTCACAATCTACTTCTCGCAAACCCTCTCATAGAGTATTTTAACCTCCAACCGGCAATGCACGTCTTCGATACGTGTGTCGCTGCTATCGATGCCCGCTCAAAAAACGACAAAGTCCGTAAAGACATGATTGAGCAGTGGATGGGCACCCGGAAAAAACATCCAGAGTCCATGGACCAAAAAGAGATCTTCGCCGCGGCAGTCGCGACCATCGGTGCTGGCGCGGATACCATCAGCGCGGTCTTACAAGCGCTGTTCTACTACCTCCTCCGAAGCCCAAAGACGTTTGATCTCTTGCGAGAAGAGATTGATAACGCTCAGCTCTCCTCGATCCCCAGTTACGAAGAGACTCAGAAATTGGAGCTCCTTCAAGCCTGCATCAAGGAGACTTACCGCTTCCATACCCCTGTTTCCCTGAACCTTTCACGCATCTCTCCACCGGGTGGCGTTATAGTATGCGGCCGACATTTTGAACCCGGCGTCCTGCTTTCCATCAATCCCTGGGCAATCCACCGTCTCACGTCAATCTTTGGCGCCGACGCCGACTCCTTCAACCCTCTTCGGTGGCTGGGCAGCTCCGATTCGATCAGGCAGATGGATCGAAACATGGTTGCCTTCGGCGCGGGCTACAACCAATGTCCCGGACGGAATCTGGCGCATCTGGAGGTGAGCAAGGCAGCAGCGTTGATGGTGCGGGACTACGATATCAAGCAGGTCAATCCGGGGCAGGAGTGGAAGTTCATGTCGCATTTCGCTGCCATTCCACACGACTGGCCTTGTTGGGTGACCCCGAGAAAGCGGAGCTAGTCAATTCGGTTGCTTTCCTATTGCGATTGTACAGATTGTACGTTCATGTGGCAAAAACTGCTTTCCAACGCATACTCCAATGCGAAGAGAGAAAGCGGCGATCGTCGAAGACGTAGAAGGCTGAACCATCTCGCCGAAGCAAGTCGGCCGGCAGAACATCAAGAGTGATTATCCAAGCAACTGAGTTTCCGCCGCCTTTTCAATCTCGACTAGGAGAGCTTGGTGAATTGTTCATCCGATTGCTCCACATCACTGCCGGACCGTCTCTCGATTTGCTCTTCAAGTGCTCTCATGCCGCCACCAACACAATTGAGGTCAGGCTCAGCAGCTCAGATTCTCCTGTAGCCTTGTCTTCTACCGGCATGAAATCCGCTCCGTACGACTTGCCGCTGGACCACTTCGAGCTCATGGCCCAAGACTCATCAAGCCGGGCACTGCTGCGGACCAAGTTCTGCTATCACGCGTTAAGCGGTTCGCGGCTATTCCCTGCAGGGAGATCAAGAGGTTGCAAGGCCTACCGGATCAACAAAAGCGGTCGTCCGTAAACAGGTCGGAAAGAGGAAACTTCTTCAGTCGATCCTCCAGGGACACTGTCGGAGCAGCCACCAGTGTTGTGAAGCCTTTTCGGCGCGTGTAGTGGGAGAGCGCGCAGAGAATCTGGAGGAATCTCAACGCCCAACGGGGAGAGGCTGCAGTGTCGTACGGATCCGGTGGGATCGATCTTGGTCTTGCCACTCTGTTCCGTTTGTGTGCCTTTCTTGTATTGCTTATTAAGCAGCTTGTTTGCTGGATTTGATTCTCCTCTTAGTCCGATAGACGAGAGTGAGGAAACAACCCTTCAGTGCTGAAAGGGACACAACGCTTGATTTAGCAGGTATAGCCCCAACCTTACCGAACCTCTCAGCCCGAGAGAACTTCCTCGGAAGTGATGTATTCGGAACAGTGGTCTCCTTACGCACGTCCAATCTTACTGCATGCCATCAATGTTCCAAAGCAACTACAAAGACGCACCGACGGCATGTGCATTGCGGCGATCGATGCGAAAAGGCGGTTTAGTCCGACGCAATAGTGCGTAATTGTCCAACACCAAAGGCCCCGTGCAGCAATCAACTGAATCGTTCTTCTCAACTTCCTAACTCTCCAAGAACTTCTGCCCAATTCCTCCAGCTCTCTTCCCCGCTCCGGACAACATGTCTCATCCGCCCCATCCCCACTGCCCCACCTCCGTTCTTCTCCACTCTATGTATCCTCCCATTCCCTCCACCCGAGCAATCCACCACGACCGTGACCACCTCCCTACACAACCCTTCCTCAAACGCATCCAAATCCACCAGCATCCAGCTCTCCTCCTCCTTCTCCCCACCCACCACCCCCCTCCTCCCCGGCGCAAAAACCCCCACCGTCGCCGCAACCGGGCAGCCCCTCAGCCCCAATCCCCTCGCCTGCGCGCCATCCTCCTCACAAAGCACACACTCCCTGTCCGCATCCCACCACGCGTGCGGCAGCCTCGTATCCCCCAGCGCAGCCACCACGGCGCCCCACGCAGCATCGAACACCGCGCCATCGAGGCTGATGAAGAGGATATCGATGTAGAGCGTCCAATATGCTACGACCTCCCACCCCTTGACCTTCCCATCCCCGTCTCCATCTACAGCTGCGTCGGGGTCCAACATCTCGTCCCCCTCGTCATCGAGATCAGAGCTTCGCGCCCGCGGCCGCAGGATGCGGAGTTGCTGAAGCGGGACCAGACGCGTGGAGTGGAGGAGCGAGAGGATGCGCTGGGCGAGGCTCTGGGCGAGGCTGCTGGGCGGGGACCCGGGGAGGTGGGAGGGGTGGCAGCCGGTTGAGAGCTCGAGGTTTGGGACGAGGAGTTGGAGGTGCGCTAGGGAGTCTGCCTCGGCGTCTGCATCTGCATCTCCACCGCCTTTGGAGCTGGGGTCTGCGCCGCTCCCCCGAGACTCCTGTCTAGTGGAATTGGTATCAAAGTCCCGTTTCTCGCGCTCAGGCGGGTTGGGGATGTCGTCCGCAAGCAGAATCTCGCCGCGCACACCCGCAACGACGGCCGTGTCGCCTATCCGTACCACAGCACTGCCGTGGCTGTGGGTCAGGCTTCCGGTGTTGATGTTCGGTTTGCGGAACTCGGATGGTCGGCGGCCGTTTGCGCGGAGGGAGGGCTGCGAGGGCGAGTCCGGCGCGAGGTGTGCGCGGAGGAAGGAGGAGGGCTGGAGGGCGGCGAAGATGGGGGCGGGGAAGGAGAGAGGGGTGGGGGTTGGAGAGGTGGTCACTGTTGCTGCTGGCATGGCTGCTGGAGGGGAGCTTGCGGTGGTGCTTGCGGTGGTGCTTTGGGAGCTGCTGTGAAATAATCTGGGATACCTTGTTATCGATAGGGCTGCCAAGATATCTGGATAAACCATTGGGTACGAGTACGAGCACATGTCCTCCGTTAGGGGTGTCTCGTGAGTAATCATCTCCAAGGTGTTCTTGTACGGATCTGTCAGATGTTGGCAGACACCATCGCTTCGTGGCCACATCCTCGAACCAGGTGTATAAAAGTACATGACCCCTGAGCCTGTCGCGGCAGCAGGGTTTAGGGAACGGACTTCAATCCTCCGCCCCATTTAGTAAACCACCTCATCCTTCCAAACCGGCATCTCCCTCACCTTCTCCCTATCCCAAATAATCCCATTCCCCTCATCAAACCAAGCGCCCTCATCCGTAATCTTGACCACCTTCCCCGTCTCCCTGACCTCCTCCTCCGAAATCCCCATCTCATCATGCACGATCCACAGCACCGGCGGCTCGCTTGTCATCACGGGGTTAAGGTACGCCTTCCTCGCCACATCGGCCGGGTAAGGCGGGACTAGCCGTCTGAAGCGCGGGTGGAGCGAGGCGGCTATGTCGGCTGCGGATTGGCCGGCTGGGGAGAAGTGGCGGTGGAAGAAGGATGGTTTGGGGCGGTCTTTGTGGAGGGTGCTGATGTCGTTGATGGCGGCTGGTGCTACGGTATCCTGGGTATGAGGGGCTTGGCTGTCGCCGGTATCCGCTTGCCCTTGCTCCGGCTCTGACGAGTCGGCGGACTGGCTGTGCTTTCGTGGGGTGCCGGCTTCGGCGTCGGCGAGGCTGGTATCGTAGGGCACTTCGCTTTCGGCGAGGAGATTGTGTGGCAGGGAGGTGATCAAAGGTCCGAGGGCTTTGTTCATCGAGTAATGGTAGAGAACCGTGACTACAAGAAGGAGGAGTGTGAGAAGGAGCGGGCCGCTTGACCAAAGGCTACTACCGAGACGGATCACGAAAAGTCCAATCAGACAGAGTTCGGCTAGGTAGACGCCTACAGTCAATTGCTGTAGAGCCATGGCATAACTAGCACCTCTGGTGTCGATGTCGGTGTTGTAGACGAAGAACATGTTGTACCGGTAAGCGCCATATATCAGGCTCATGCCAACGGTGGCGAAGCCGAGAACAAGCGGCGCGATGCAGGAGTAAGTGATAGCGATGACACCGAGGTTGGTCCACTTCGGATACTCTGAACCCCAGCGCGGGGAGGTCAGCTTCACGTAGTCCGTGAACATGGCTCGTGGCGTGTTCGCGGTGAATCTCCCTACCACGAATGTAAAGAGACCCCCGAAGTTGATCAGGTATGAGGCGCTAATACCAACGCCATAAAGTACGAAGTAAGTGATGTAGAAGTTGGAGGCCTTGGGCAAGTTTCGTGCCAGTAGCTCTGTGACGGAGGTGGGGTTGGAAGCAATCTGGCTAGCCACGGATGCCGCGCCAGAACTGAGGGTCGTCACAAGGAAGACCTGTATGACTTGGAAGCCGAAGTACCAATACTGCGTCTGCAGCTCGATTTCCTCGCGAGTGACGGCACCGGTTTGCTCGGCCAGAACTACGATTATCAGTACTTTATGCATGAGCTGACCAAAAGGGGATTGCTCACAACGAAAGATCATAGGAACTAGTGATAGAAGAGCGGCAAGCAAGATAGTTGGTAGGAGACCGGTGATGACACCGAGCACAGAGCTCGGAAGGTTGTCAATGAACCGCAGAAAGGGAGCCTTCTCCGACAAGTAGTTAATGTTCGACAGGATACCAACTAAGGAGACGGGTATGCTCCCTGTGTTCAGTTCGTTAGGACGGTGCAGGAGGACGAGGTGCGGTTGTGGACATACAAAACAACACCATGGCACATATCAACACAGTGGCGAATATCCACCGAATATTGGCCTCGTAAGCAGTCATCCGCAAATTCTTCCACACGATTTGTTTGGGAGGCACGGCAATCTGGCGAGGGACCATGCTTTCCGGTTTGCTGTGCACGACCATTGTAAAAGCGGCCTGAGCGGCAGCTTGGGTATCGAATTCGATGAATACGGCGTTCACTAGGTTGCGGTTACCCCCTAAATGGGTTTGCCGAGAAGCATCGATCTTTGGAAGGAGTTTGGAAAGCTGCCGGCGGCAATAATCGATCGTATCCACCTTCTTGCCGATGATTGGCGTAAGCCTATGAGTTGGCCGCTTTTTTCTGTCCAGCCATCGGCGGTTGTCAGACTCGGGTGCTCCGTTACGAGCCGTGTCCTTGTTCTTCATTGCTTTCAGCCGTCTCTTATTGGCGTCTTTCGAGAGCTGTATCTCAGCTTCCTCGAGTTTCAAGGCGGTGCTGTTACGATCTTCCACCATACCTTCCAGATCCTTGTAGTTCGGCTCAAGCCATACCTGATTGACAGCGGAGAAGAGGCGCCGAAGCCTCTCTTCATCGCGGTATTCTCTGGGCACGGACGTGAGCAAGACTGTGCGCGTTGATAACCGGCTCGCATTCCATGGGGAGAGTAGATATGCTTGTCGTAGGTTGATGAGATATATCGTCTCCCTCGTGATCGCGAGCATCACAAAGCCTGTGTAAACAAGATTAGCATGTGTCTCGTCAGTAACTGGACTCCTGTACGCACCCAAAAATACCCACGCGATCAATGCGTGAGCGTAGTACCTGGCAGGATCACGAACGTTGCCGAAAGCGACGCGATTGAACTGCTTCTCTCCGCCGCCACCAGTGGCGTTGATGGGAAGCAGGATAGGCCATGTTAGACAGCATCCGACAAAGCAGATGCCAATAACAACCTTGAAGAACCTGATCAAGAGGTAGCCGTCAAGGGAGTGGTGGTTCAGGATATATTCGTCATCTACATCGCGGAACTTGCGGATCCAACCGATGAAGGTATTGTCTGGTATTGGTGTCTTCTCACTATCCCGCGGTCAGTTTCAATACACTCAGAAGATGCGCAGTCTTACTCGTCGGGTATGGAGTCGATGTACGTCCTCGGAGCATACACGCGTCGTTCTTTACGCCTCAGCACCAAGAAGGCAGTGACGAGAACGACAAACTGGAGCAAGGATGGAACCAGGGTTGCAAAGAATGCAGCAGCCGAAGAGGGCGAGTTCCGATGGCTGCCCTCATTGGGACTCTTTTGAAGACTGATGATGTACTGAGAGCTCTCCTGTAACGCAGTTAGTCATAGAAACGGCCCCAAGAAGAGACACTGCACAGGTGTGCCAACCGGACAAAAGACACCAAAAGAGACGATCTACGCGAGATATCACGAGATATTCAGAGGGCGGTTTGACCGTTGCAAGACGAAAAGAGGCCGGTAGATAATGGGTGGTTTCCTTGAGCTAACAATAGCACTGACATACATACCATTGCTTTCCTTCAGGCTAGTTTTCCGCCACTTACCGCCTCGACTTCTGATCGGGCTCACCACGCATAAGACTTGGGTAGGTCTCTGCAGCAATGTCTCACAGTAAGACTGCCCGTCTTGGCTGCTGTAGAGTGCCGATAGAACGCTCAGATCTACACACAGAAGACCTTCGGATAAGGATAGATGGAGCTAATGAGCGAAAAGGAGGTCGATTCCGAGGTAGAACGACTGCTACAGCAACAGCAACACCAACGGGAGTTGCGGATGGACGATGGCGAGCAAGAGGAAGGATCATGAGCAGGCTTCCACGCCAAGGTAAGGGTATGGCTGAAGTGGCTGAGGAGATAAGATCATTGGATAATACTCTACACATCCCTGAAGGTTCACACTGGGGCTGCTCTGGGGGAGTGGGAGCAAATTGCCGCCGTATTAGCCGGACCATATCCTGTCACTTAAAGGTAGAAGACTCCCAATTTCCATTAGGCCTTGCCTGCCAGCCTAGTAAGTCATCTCGCCTGCCCGCCTAGAGGTCTGGGACAGTGACAGTAGAGATCCCTGTGCCTAGGAACGAACGGCAGAATGTAGTTGCCGGCCCCGCAAATGCTTTTAGCACGGGGAGGACATCAGGATCTAAGCCGTGCACAAGGGCTTTTTGTCTACGGCAATGCAAGAATGGTGGATGAGACAGGCCCTGCAGGGGGGTTGTTGTTCCCCGCCTAAATTCCGAACTGACCGTCAACACAAACCTGCAAGCCCCCACCTCTACCCACCACCCGGCTTTCCACACAGAACCTGCCGCACAAACCAAGGAAAACTCTCCCCAATTGCCCTCTGGAACTCCCAAGTCAAGAGTACGTTCTCCAGGCCAGCTTGCCACTCAGCTCGCCGCTGGTGGGCTTTCTATCGCTATGGCAGCCGCCATCAGCCCCGACAAACACGACTTCAAGCTCCCAATGCTCCCGCCAGCCCTCCACACGCGCTCGACAAACGATGCATACGACCGACCTTCTACCCCATCCCAGCAAGCCTTCACCTCCCCGCAGCGAACACCGCAGGGAAGTCCGAGCAAGAACCAGCTTCCTCCAGGAGCCTACGACCTGCCCAACGTCTTCGACAATGCCATGAAGCTTGTGCCAACCGTTGGTTCTCCCTCCAAGGCCGGACGACAGCAGCAGCCACCGACTTCGCCGGGCAAAGGGGTCTTTGCAATTGCCGAAAACCGGAATGACAGCGCCAACGACGTGAGTGCGCCTGTACCGGGCAGTCCGACACGGAAGTCGAACAAGGAGAACACCCCACCGGGCAGCCGGCCACAATTGACCAAGGAGTCGAGCTACCTCAACCATGCAGCCGCATCACGCCAGGAACCGTACAGGGCGCGCGCTGAGCCGGTAGAGCCAGCACGTACAAGTTACACCGTCCAACGGGGTCTTTCTCCAGAAGAACTAGAGAAATTGCAGAAGCCGTCAGTGAAGCGGTTGGCGAACGTCTCACAGCTATGTAAGTATAGGGAGGCGCAGACTGATGCAGCCAGACCGAGCTAATTGCACCAGACTTCCTCGATTACTACTACGACCTTCTCAGCTACGTCCACACGCGCCAGAACCGGCTGTCTCAGTTCAAAGCGCAGTATCCGCCTCCGCCAGATACCGAAGAAGCAGAGTATCAAGCCGCGCTCAGCAAGTATCTCGGACGAGAACGGGCAAATCTACGGAAGCGAAGGACGAGACTGAGGCATGGCGACTTCCAAATTCTCACGCAAGTTGGGCAAGGAGGCTATGGGCAGGTCTACCTCGCGCAGAAGAAAGACACCCGCGAGGTATGCGCGCTCAAGGTGATGAGCAAGAAGCTGCTCTTCAAGCTGGACGAGATCCGCCATGTGCTCACCGAGCGCGACATCCTCACAAACGCAAAGAGCGAGTGGCTGGTCCGGCTGCTGTACGCATTCCAGGACGACAAGAGCATCTACCTTGCCATGGTAAGTTGCTTCCCCTCTCTGTCCACACTATCCCATAACCCAAAGTTTCCAGCGGTTCTGACATGTCACCTCAGGAATACGTCCCCGGCGGCGACTTCCGCACCCTCCTCAACAACACCGGCGTCCTCCACAACCGGCACGCACGCTTCTACATCACCGAGATGTTCCTCTGCGTCGACGCGCTGCACAGTCTCGGCTACATCCACCGGGACCTGAAGCCCGAAAACTTCCTCATCGACGGCACGGGCCACGTAAAACTGACCGACTTCGGGCTCGCAGCGGGGTTCCTCGCGCCCGCCAAGATCGAGAGCATGCGCATCAAGCTGGAAGAAGTCGGCGACGTGGTCGGGGCCTTTGGGAACAACCGACCGATGGAAGAGCGGACCGCGCGGGAGCGAAGAGAGGGCTACCGCTCCCTGCGCGCCAACGACGCGACGTACGCGAAATCCATCGTCGGGAGCCCGGACTACATGGCCCCCGAGGTGCTCAAGGGTGACGCCTACGACTTCACCGTCGACTACTGGTCGCTCGGCTGCATGTTGTTCGAAGCGCTGTCCGGGTATCCGCCCTTCGCGGGCGCGACGGTCGAGGAGACGTGGCAGAACCTCCGTCGCTGGAAGAAAGTGCTCCGGAAGCCCGTCTACGAGGACCCGACATACTTCCTCTCACGGCGGACGTGGGATCTCATCACTAGGTTGATCTGCATGCCCCCAGCGCGGTTCGCGGGGATCGAGGAGATCAAGCGGCATGACTATTTCGCGGAGGTGGAGTGGAGCAGGCTAAGGGAGCAGAGGGCGCCGTTTGTGCCGGAGCTGGAAGGGGAGACGGATGCCGGGTATTTTGATGATTTTGGGAACGAGGCTGATATGGCCAAGTATAAGGAGGTGCATGACAAACAGGCGGCGTTGGAGAGGATGGAGGATAGGGATGATCAGATGGGGAAGGGGCTGTTTGTTGGATTTACATTCAGGTATGTTGCTGCTGAGACTTCCTGTTGCTTGCTTGGAGCTGGTGTCCGGAAAAGGGATGCGACAAGGAAGGGGTTGAGAAAGAAGCTGACAGCGGGATAGGCATCGTAAACCCGCAACGGACGAGAACGGCAAGCCGGCAAGCCCGAGGAAGGCGTTACCGACGATGAACGAGGAGGCTTTTGGCACCATCTTCTGAGCGGCTGGCGACACTCACCTCCACAACCATTAAGCAGCCGCTCTTCTTGGAACTGCTTTCTTCCGGGGATCGCTTGACGAACGCATTCGCTCGCAGCAAGAATCTCCTCCTACGTTACTTTCGTTTCCGTATTGTCATTGTTCACGTCCAAGGTTCGTTCAAGGTTAACAGAGGTGATGGGAAGAAGGTGATGCATGGTGGACACACTCAGGGGCCCCGGGTTTTAGAGGGCATGCGGAAGGCATAATGACTGGCAGTACGGGGCGCGAAACTTCAGGGAGGCATTTGTTGGGGTCTGGTACTGGCGCCTTGCTCTGTATGATTAAAGTGGGACATGAGCAATGCGAGTTCTAGAAATGACTTCTCCTGGATGTGCTTAGTAATGAACTCATATTCCGTTTCACAGTATTGGTCGTCACTGCCCATCGGGGGCTCTCGATCATGCGATCCTCTGTGATTTAATTATCCCTCAGCGGGAAGAGTGCAGCCTCGAACAGAATACCAAAACGCTAAACTACCAGAGATCCACGTTATCTACACATTCCCGTTTTTGATACTTAGACATCTACTTCTTCTCCTTCGGCGAGATCATGAGCTCCGGCCTCACATACTTGTCAAAATCCTCCTCACTCAGCGCTTTCAACTCCATCGCGCTCTCCTTGAGAGTCAAGCCCTTCTTGTGAGCATTCTTGGCAACCTTTGAGGCCATGTCGTAGCCGATGACTGGGTTGAGACACGTGACGAGCATGAGACTGAAGGCAGCGTTAGCGGGGTGCCTTTTCCATCGAACGGGGTGGCGCTTACCTCTCGTGCAGCAGTGAACTAATCCTCTTCTCATCCGCATCCAGCCCCTCCACCAAGTTCTTCTCAAAACTCCTCATGCCGTCAGTCAGCAGCCTCGCGCTGTGGAGCAGGTTCCTAATCATGACAGGCTTGAAGACATTGAGCTCGAAGTTACCCTGCGAACCCGCAAACGTCGTCGCGGCATGATTCCCAAACACCTGCGTGCAGATCATAGTTAAAGACTCGCACTGCGTCGGGTTGACCTTGCCAGGCATGATCGACGACCCCGGCTCATTCTCCGGGAGTTTCAGCTCGCCGAGCCCGCACCGGGGCCCCGAACCCAGCAAGCGGATATCCTGCGCGATCTTGAACAAGCTGACCGCAAGCGTATTCAGCTGTCCCGACGCCTCAACCACAGCGTCGTGCGCAGCGAGCGCCTCGAACTTGTTGGGCGCAGTCACGAAGTCGTGGCCGGTCATCTTGCTGACCTCGGTCGCGATGGCCTCGGCAAAGCCCACGAAGGTGTTGATGCCGGTGCCGACGGCCGTGCCGCCCTGCGCGAGCATCTTCAGGCGCGGCAGCGCGGACTTGACGCGCTCGATGCCGAAGTCGAGCTGGGTGACGTAGCCCGAGAATTCTTGGCCGAGGGTCAGGGGCGTGGCGTCCTGCAGATGCGTGCGGCCGATCTTGATGAGGTGCTCAAACTGCTGGCTCTTCTTGTGCAAGGCGTCTCGCAGGCTCTGGATGGTGGGGAGCAGCTCCTCCTCCAGCTCGAGCACGGCGGCAATGTGCATGACGGTCGGGAAGGTGTCGTTGGAGGAGGCGGACATGTTGACGTGGTCGTTCGGGTGCACCGGCTTCTTCGAGCCCATCGTCCCGCCCAGAATCTCAATCGCGCGGTTCGAGATGACCTCGTTGGCGTTCATGTTCGACTGCGTGCCGGAGCCGGTCTGCCAGACGACGAGCGGGAAGTGGTCGACGAGCTTGAGGGACGCGACCTCTTCGGCTGCTTGCTGGATCGCCTTGCCTAGCTTGGGGTCTGGACGACATCAGTGTCGGTTACGCGATTGCTGGCCAGATGTGTGTGTACCCACCGAGTCCGAACTGCATGTTCACGGTAGCGGCGGCGCCCTTGAGGATGCCGAAGGCGCGGACAATGGGTGGAGGCATCCGGTCTTGCGGCTGGTTGATCTTGAAGTTTTCGAGTGACCGTTCTGTTTGAGCGCCCCAGTACTTGTCTGACGGCACTTGGATCTCTCCAAAGGCGTCACTCTCTATCCTCATTGATTCTGCCATTCTCGCGGTGGTGGTGAACGATCGGCCGGCCAATGCGTGTGGTGTTGAGGATTGTATCCGTAGCGAAGCTCGAGGCAGTCGACGCGAGGTGGAGAGCGGTCTCTGGGATGTGCAGGTGGTGAGAGCAGCGGAGGAAGTCAGAAAGGTCGAGGCGGGGGAGTGACATGGTGGGACATGTGCAAGCGGGCGTAAGACGGCCTCGGTCGACCGCGCCTTAGGGAATACTGAGCGCAGCATGGCGTGGAAAAGCAATTGAATGGTTTGGGTAGGATGATGGAACAACTGCGTTGATGGAGCCTACCGCCCTTCTACAGCTTGAGGTTTCTGCAGATTGCTTTCTTTTGCTTCCCGTAACTAAGGTAGGTATGCTTGGAAGCTCGAACAGAGCTCCGCCGAAAACGCTGGAGGCGGCTCGGGTGCTTCCGGCATTCGGCTGTGACGGCGACCTTTACATACCTACATACCAGCGTCCGCTCTTGGGCCAAAGCACCAAACTCCACCTCCATCTCCTTCCGCAGGCACTGGGATCGCTACCTGCCTACGTCGACCTAGAGCCAAGGGACTCTTACAATGGCAGCATCGATCAGAGCGAAGCCATCCTGGCTGTGGCCGTTTCGTGAACGTCGAAGCATTAGGACGAGAAGTCCGATGAGGTTACCGCAGCATCTTGTAGGAACAAGTGGCTAACCTGCGAAGAAGCACAAGTACTCTGTTGGATATCCCACCACTCGACATAGCCCGCCACGTTCAACTGACTCAGTTGTGGACTGGCGAATTCTGGTCACCGAGTGTCGTTCCACGTGGAGCAGTATGCCACAACGAAATTACAGAAGTGTACTCTTGACTTGTCTCTTCTACCTTGTGTTTTCAATGCGTTCTTGAAGTCTCGGTGGAGTTCATGAATTAGGCACTCAATTTATGTCGTTGAAATGACCATATCGTTCCTGCTCGCAAAAGTTTCGTCCAGATTCACAATTTGCCAAGCCTAGCAGATCTATTTTGGCGAACCGCGGGAGGGTGAGCACCTAGATCGTACCTTCCCACAACCGGAGAATCAATTCTGTATCGAGGGTTATATCAATATCAAGCTTCGACCCGTAAACTTCTACTGGCACCATGTTCGCTACCAACATGCTATTTCTGAGCGGTCCTTAGAAAGTATATATCTTTCTTCCATCATCATCGTTCTGAATCCCCATTAATTATCCAGCCGCTCCAAGTTCCCAAAGCGCAAGGTTCCAGACCGCTTGCCACTCTCCTACCTTTAATCCTCTTCCGAAGCTCTCCAATTTGTCCAAAATCACCAACCCCTGGGTATCACTTGGGCAACCCTCTGATGGAACCCGCTCAAATCCCACGATCACTCACCAACTCCGTCATAGAATCTTACCTGATACCGATTCCATACCCCACTGCTCCCGAGGACGGAACCTGCATCATCTGCCATCAAGAGTACGAACACTTCGATCTCATGCCCAACGTGGACATCGACAGCCCAGTACGGCTCTCTCCATGCAACCACGTCTTCGGCATGCTATGCGTGCGCAGGTGGCTCAGGCAAAATCCCACTTGCCCGCTCTGCAGGGCCAGGATCCCAGTCCCGCACTCATGGACTTATGCCGAACACTTGGCGCATCACCTCGACCCGCCAGCTCCCTCCCAACCGCCTGCATTGGCCTCGCCGAACATACATGCCAGGGCCCTAGCCGTCTTTTTCGAGGTAGCCGAGGCCGCAGGTCTGGTACGTCGCGCCGACACGGTTGGCGTCACAGCTTGGACACCTGAGCAGATGGCCGCGCAAATCCGCGCATACGACGAACGTCGTCCCAACATCTTCGACTGGCTGCGGCAGCTTCCTTCTTCCGTCCTCGCTCGCGCGGATCCTCAGAGCGTAGATGTTGCTCTCGACATCATCAACAGCATTGATCGGGGACGCGATCGAGGTACTTTTAGCGTGACTCATGCCGAGTCCCTGGAGCGTCCGACGGCGCAAGCGCTGGCATATGAGGACGATCGGCTCGGCGTTTACGATCAGCTGCGCGAGGATCCGGGCGCCGATGTGGCGCGGCGGAACCCGAGGAGCGTGAGCTTTTGGGAGAGTATCCCTGCCAGCGATTGGGATACACTCGGCGTGCCCAGCCAAGCGCCCGCTCCCGCTTCTGCTTCTGCTACCGTTGTTGCTGCCGCTGACCCGGACCCGGACCCAGATCTGGACTTGGAGACTGAGGATGACGAAAACACTGTTATCGATGTGAATCCGGACCATGAAGAGTTTCGCGATCGGATTACCTAGGTACCGAGCCTTTGTTAATACGGACGGATCTGGCGATGGGAACAACTAGAGCTGCGGGATGGCGCTGTAAAAGTACCACACGACGGCAATGGCGAAGGAGTATGGAATGGAAGAGTCAAGCTTGAGACGGAGTTTCGTACGGACCTGGATGTCCAATGTATTGGAAACGGTTTTAGCACGGTTGGAAACTCTACCAGTCCATACGGTGACGGCTTCACTGCACGATGCGTTTCTACTTGTGAAGACATATACAAACTGTAATGACATCACGCCTTTAAAGTTATCAATAAACCAGAGCCTGAAGAAAGCAGTCTTGAGAAGACTGTAAAAGCGTATTAGATTATTACTCGTAGCTATGCACTTACGGCCACGACGATCGACATCCTAGCATTCCTTTCGAAGGTTGAGGAGAACTTAGGTACGTTGATAGACTTCTCCCCGAAATCTATAAAGTTAAGAGCAGCGAGTTGAAAGACGTCTTGAGTTCTCGAGCGGAACGTCACCGCTCGGTTCGGCGCTGGGATTTCTTTTGTCCGAACCACGGTTGCTGGGAGAACCTGGGGTTTACTAACGCCAAGAACGTCTTCTCTTCAATTTCAATTCCTCCCCGGCACGTATTCGATGATACCTCCAGCCAGCATACCAACAACCAACTGCTCTGCTACTCTTGCCATCCGGCTCTCGTTGACAAAATGACGGAAGAGGAGAAGTATGAAGTGCTAGAGAAGATAGGTTTGTCGTGCAAGTTCTGCGCCGTCGACGCATAACTGACAAAGTCACAGGACATGGCTCCTTTGGCGTAATACGTAAGGTGCGGAGAAAGTCAGACGGCTACGTAGGTCTACTCGGCTCCTAGTGTATAAGAAGAGTGGAGGCTAATCAATGTTACTAGGTCCTCTGCCGCAAAGAAATCAGCTATGTCCGCATGTCGCAAAAAGAAAAGGAACAGCTCCAAGCCGAGCTCTCCATCCTCAAAGAACTGCGCCATCCGAACATCGTCGCATACTACGAGCGTGACCATCTCAAAGGCACACAGGACTTGCACTTGTACATGGAGTACTGCGGCAACGGCGACCTTGGCCGCGTAATCAAGAATCTTACCCTCAAGAACCAGTTCGCGGAAGAAGAGTTCGTATGGAGCATCTTCTCTCAGCTCGTCACGGCGCTATATCGATGCCACTATGGCGAAGATCCGCCTGAAGTTGGCAGACATATCATGGGGTTAGGGAACAACGCGAAGCCCTTGAAGAGCAAGCAAGGGCATTACATGATCCTGCATCGGGACCTGAAACCGGAGAATGGTAAGCAGATCACCACAATGTGAACACAGCAGTGGAATGGCTGACCATCCCCAGTCTTTCTCGACGCAGACAACTCTGTCAAACTCGGCGACTTTGGGCTGTCCAAAATTCTTCAGTCCCACGATTTCGCGTCTACATACGTCGGCACCCCGTTCTACATGTCGCCTGAGATCTGCGCCGCGGAGAAGTACACCCTCTACTCCGATATATGGTCGCTTGGGTGCATCATATACGAGCTGTGCGCGAAGGCGCCACCCTTCAACGCGCGGACACACTTCGAGCTTATTCAGAAGATCAAGGCTGGTAAAGTCGCGCCACTACCGACCGTCTACTCGCAGGAGTTGCAAAAGGTCATCAGCAGCTGTCTCAAAGTCAACCCAAACTCAAGACCGGATACAACACAGCTACTCAATCTACCGATCGTCAAGCTTATGCGGAAGGAGCAGGAGGTGGTGCAGCTAGGGCAGCAGATGAAGTTGGAGAAAGAGCTCGCATCAAAGACGCTGAAAGAAGCGAATGACAGAATGGCAACACTGGAGAAGGAGAAAGAAGCCCTCCGCTTCGAGCTCGACGCCACTGTACGGCGAGAATGGGAAGTAAAAGCACGACTCGAGATCGACCGTCAAGTAAAGATCGAGTATGACCGGCTTTGCAAAACATTCGAAGCGGAAGTCAGCAAGCGTGTGGCAGAAGAACTCGCAAAACACCCTAGCCCCGCCGTTCCCACACCCCCTACATCATCCCGCCACTCGTCATCCGGCTCCCAGACCCTCATCGCTTCATCAGAAGCCGGCGACGACTTACCCCGTTCCTCAACGCCAACACTCCCAGACCAGCAACCGCACCACCATCGCCACCCCTCCGAAGTCGACCCCTCGGACAACCCCTCCAGCACTGATCTCTCCGCTCTCTCAAACCTCTCAATGGATTCCCCCTTCCTCTCCAAAAAGCCCCTCAAAAAGAGCACCCGCACGCCCTTCACCCGCGCAAAGACAATGTGGGGACCCACAGCCGTCGCGCCCTCCCCTATGGACATCCACATGGCCGAGCCCAGCCCAATCTCCATCGCCTGTCTCTCGCTCTCTCCCCGGCGCCAGGCCAGCGGCACCGGCCCAGCTGAATCCGCTACGGGCGTTGGAAAGCTCTACCCCCAGCCCCGCACCAACCGCAACATCTTCGCCGCCGCCGCCGCCGCAGGCACCGCGTTGGCGCCCCTGCAAACCGCACTCCCGCTCTCCCCAACCCCACCATCGTTCCCATCCCCACATTCGTCGGACGCGGAGCTCGAGCCTGACTTCACGGCCTCGGACGCAGACGATTCAGACGAGGATGTCGTGCCGGACCTCCCCCCGTCGCCGACACGCAAGGACAGCGGCAATACCAACAATGACCCCTTCAAGGTCCTGGCTACCGCGCCGCCAGCTCGGCCGGGGTTGAGTCGGCAGAGGACGCTTCCACAGCGCCTTGGGGCTGCGCCGAGTTTGTTCCCTGCGCAGCCCGTGGGGAGGGCGGTTGCGAGGCCGGCGAGCGCCGTGCCCGTCGTGGCGACCAGTCCGAGTCGGGTGCGGAAGGGGCGGGCGGCAGGCTTGGAGCCGGCATCGCCGACGCGGAAGGTTGGGGCTGTCAAGGACGTTAACGTCGGAGCTGGCGCTGGGGGGACTGCTGGTGGTGCTGCGACGGGTGGGCTCAAGAGCAAGAAGGGCAACGACGAGATGCTGAGGACCGCGATGCGGAATCAGGGGCAGGCGCTCCTGCTGCAGGGACGGACGCTGGTGGAACTGCAGCAGGCTACCTCGAACCCATCGAGCGGTACTGGGAGACCGGTATCGTCTGGCTCTACAGACCCGGCCGCGCCGAGGCCGGGCAGTAGAGAAGGGGTTGCGGTGGTCAAGCCGGGGACGAGCGCTGTGGACTTCGCGGTCAAGGCTGTCGAGCGGGACAGGTCGAGGGAGAGGCGCGAGGACGTGCCGATGTGGGATCCGGAGCGGGATGAGATGCCGAGTCCGTTTTTGGTGAAGACGACGGGGAGGATTAGGGCGGGAGGGCGGTAAGCGGGTGACGCATGCAGACGACGTTCCGTTCGAAACGCTTGGCTGTTGAAGTGGCATTTCGTGGTGTTGGGGTACTTCTTGGGTGGTACTTTCGGATCACGTTGAGGCGGCGTCTTGGGGCATACACGAGGAGAGTAAGGTTGGATATTCTACCTTCGGTCTGAATTGGAAAGACTTGATTCGAATTGTGTCTTTGAGACTGCTCGGTTAGTGATCTGAAGCCTAGGGGATCTCGTAGGGACATCAGGAATGTCTTTCTAAGACTAGTTGGGGTGTACGCCAAACCCGAGTTCGTTGGGTAGCAGCCCACCGCCCTACATATCAGCCTTACGCTCAGTTTCCTCCACAGCTGGGCAGTTGACTGGAAGGCAGAGTATGCTTCCTCTTCTAGCAGTCTCAGTAACGACCTCTGAAGTTAATGAGCGGGGTGTTCTACACAGACGGAAGGAAAGTTTGGTGCCATATCAAGACCGCTTCAACGACTGAAGAAGTAGGTTGAGAGAGGAGACAGAGAAACGAACGTAATGAAGAGATCTTTCTCTTTCCAAATCATTGCTACTGGTGACCATGGATGGCTCTAAACGGTGTAGGTATTGGATAGGCAGCACTTGCAGCTAAAAGCGACGATGAAACTCAAGCATCACTGAGCAAGCCGAGAAGTTCGAGAGACTTCTCGTACATACCTATGCGAAGCAGATCAGGGAGGCTGAGGGACTTGTGCCACCGTCTTTTTCGGAGGAAGCGATCCTTGCGTGTCTTCGGGTGAGGCGTGAGGCCAGCCCTGCGAAAGCGTACGAGTAGTCCTAATTAAGCATCAAGCATCAAGCATCAAGCATCAAGCATTGCCCAATTCGGAAAGGCTCGGTCTGCAGGACTGGCCACCCCTGCGGACACCACTCCCGGATGAACATGGATGAACATCGCATGTAAACCACTCCTTTCCTCTCTCCTCTCTCCTCTAACCCTCCAGTTGTACTCCGCAGGCATGTACTCCTGTGAAACAGACACCTGATGATTACGACCTCAAGGCCTCTGCAGAGAGAAACGGCTGAGCGCCCTGACATGCATGATTTGACTCGAAGCTTTTCAGCTCGGCTTGCCAAGCTGCAGAAGCTTCTGCATGGCTCTGGGATGCCCGTTGCACGTTTCTCTTACTGTATCGCGTAGAGTAGAGTAGCAACGGTTCAGCCCAGAAATAGTAACCCCCGCTCACACAGGCGGTCATCGCCGTGGCCCAGCTGTGGCCCAGCTGTGCTTCGCTTCGAGTCTTGCCAGATGCACTTCGCCCGCGCCCATTTTGGAGGCTTGCGCTAGGCTGTATCGCGACCCAGCAATACATACCTACTTCTGCGGCTTAGTCAAGATGCACGTTGTGCCTCGACCTCAGGTTCGCCGGGCGCCAGGGCTGAACGGCGTCCCGCATGTTTATATTCTCCACTACGGTAGGTCTGCGCTGGACTGTCCAGCAGCGCTTTCCTCTGTTCCTTTTCTCCACGCCTCCCTTCTCGTTTCATCGTCTGTGCTTCTTGTTCAATTGCGTAGCAGCGCATTTCTCACCTTGTCGTCAGAGAAGATGGGCTTCTCCGTCTTGGGCAGAAAGGGCCATGGCAGCAACGAAGTAAACCCAGACAGACTAAAGCGGAGAAAGCACCACCTTGTCCCGTGGATCGAGAACCCTTGCAAAGGCGCCGACGTGGAAGAGCTTGTGTTTCATCAGCGCCACGAAGCAAACACCGTAGAGCTCTTCTTCGACCTCTTCTTCGTAGCCAATCTTGCAACATTTACGGCCTACCACTCGATAACGGACGACTACACCCTCTACGCCTATATAGGGTATGCCGGCTTTGGCGAGAAGCTGCAGTGCTGCGCTGACTGGGAAATAGCTTCTTTGCCGTAATCTGGAGCACATGGTTCCAAATCACATTGCACGATGTCCGCTTCGCACGGGACTGCGTCTACGAACGTTTCTGTAAGACTATGCAGATGGTATGCAGCGCACCTCCAGCGCGCCCATCATCTCTGACACATGGCAGATCGCGTTTGTCGGCTTTGCCTTGGTCGGCTCCAAGTTCAATCCTAGCAGCAAGAGGGGCAACAACACCAACTTCAGAGTTCTCTGCTATACGCTTGTTCTTTCGCGAGCTCTCTTCACAGTTCAATACTCCGTCGTACTGGTCGGCTCCCTCATGAAGAACTACAACGAGCTGATACTTCCCCTCTGTCTCAACATCGCTTTGAACGCCGCGGCGGCAGCTACGTTTGGTGCCATGACCCCGGCATTCGCAGACGAAGCGTCTACCCACGAGCTGATTTACGGCGTCTGGTGGATTGTCATGTTCGTGGAGGCGGCAGGGACAATCGCAATCGCGTCTTGCTGGCGGACACTTAGCTTCAAGAAAACCCATTTGGTTGAGCGTATGGCGTTGCTGACACTCATCGTGATTGGTGAGGGAGCCATAGGGGTGACCAAGACTATTGCTCGCATGATGGGCAAGTACGGCCTCGATCCTGAGGGAACTATGTTGGTTGTGACGATCATCTTAATACTGGTAAGTGGACAGTCTGGTCTACAAGCAACAGCGGGCTGTATTGACGCACCCACAGGTATTTCTGTGGATGCTCTACTTCGACAACCACCCGCACTACCATTACGGCACCATTAGACAGCAGTTCTGGAGCGCGCTCCACTTCCCCTTCCACCTCGCCATCGTCGGCGTAGTGGAAGGATCGCAGCAGATTGCGCTTGCGCGTTACGTGTTCAAATCTACCGCCAAGCTCATGGGGGACATCGAACTCTACTGCACTCACCGGCAGCTAGAAGGTGACCGCCCTCCCCAGTTTCTTTGAAACGCAACTAACATACAAATTCCCCAGGCGTGGACCTCATCAACGCCCTCAACAAAAGCGTCGACTACTTCCAGCTGGACACGAAAATTGAATCCCTCCTCGAATGGCACATGATCCAGGAGGACCTGCGCGTCCTAGCCGAACGCGAGGTCGGCCTCTGTAGCCGAGAAAAAACCTCGCAATTCTCGAAAGCGAACGAAGCCTGGCCCTTCAACTACCCGCCCGAGTTCGAGAGCCTGACGCAGCACACCTACGGCGGCATCTACGCCTCACTCGGCATCAAGCTCGACTGGCAGAAGAACATCGCCTCCGTCGCCATCTCCGCGTTCCGCACAACGTACATCTACTACTGGTCCGCGATGCTGGTAATGCTCGCGTGCATGATGGTGTTCCTATACCTGATCCGCAGGAACCGGATGGACGTCTTCGACTGGGTGTCGCAGATCATGCGGGCGCTGCTGTTCGGGCTCGCGGCTATCATGCTCATCCTGGCTCGCAGCGACGCGACGCTGACCAGGCTCCTCGAGTCCCCCGCGCTGGTCCCGCTTGTTGCGATTATGCTGTTTCTGCTTGTGCTGTCGGATCGCATGAGCAAGAGCTTCAGCAACTGGCGGCTTAAACGGTCGGGATGGGAGTTTGTGGACGACGAGGAGGAGGAGGATGAGCACCACGGTCATCAGCAGCTTCATGACCACGACAGTGGCAAGGAGCACGGAAACGAGCATGGCGAGCAGGCCGAAGAGGAAAAGCACGAACCGCACGTTATGAGTCACGAAATGACGACATTCTACACGAATACGCGATATAATCCCGTCCCGGAGATAGGCGTCTTCCCGCAGACCCCCCCGACGCCGATGGCGCATTATGATAGTCCGATGCCGCAGCTTAGGCAGCCGCATCGGGATGGGCATGTGCCTGTGGATGGTGGGCGGTATGAGTCTTGATGTTACGATGAGAGGGCTTGATTTGGCGTTGGGAGCGAGGTGTTCGTACTTTTTGCACGGCGATAGATGGGCGTTGCTTGGATTAGCATGTCATGCTATGATGGCGAGATGAATTTCGCTGAACCATAATTGCAACGTCATTAATAGGTTCCGTATAATGAACAACGAAGTAAGTGGATGTACTCCACCCCAGGAACCCCTTTTCAACTACGTTGCAACACATACGTGTTGCCCGCTGTAGCCCTGCATATTTCCCTCAACTTCAACATCGTACGCCTTCCTACGATTAGAAAAAGAGGGATCGGATCTTGAGCGAAGAAACTTCTTGCAAAGGCGAAGCGGAAGATTACAGCAACGTTTACATGTAGGTCACGGCGCATGCGTTAGGATAGAAGGCTTTGCTACCACGCCGTGCAGGTACCCAATCAAGAAAATGCCTCATCACCATCGAGGCTGGTTTTGCGTAGCTGTGTTGTCCCGGGTATTCTTATCGGCAAGCCTCCGACTGCAATCTGGTTTCAAAAGAGTGGAAGTTGTCGAGTAGCAACCGAATGTGGCCTTCGTCCCACGTCAAGGTGCTTTTCCAGCTCCTCTTAGAACCCCCAGCTCAAGTCGCTACACGGAACCCGTGGCTGCCTTAGCGAGCACGAGTAACTTACTCTCAAGCTTATGATGAACGGTACAACTAGAAGCGCATCCGCCTCGGCCTGAATTTTTACGTATTCACGCTGGTCGAGCAGTGTCACTCGGGATTGGCCATGTCAACGCCCAAGAAGAGTCGGTAGAGATTGTTCTTCGGGCGATTGAAGAACAAGGAGGAACGCAATGTCTTCAGCCGCGAAGGACGCGAATATGTCTCGATCGTGCTATGTCTGCGGCGCAAGGGCAGCAGTCCTCCATTCAGCAACCCACCATGCAGAATCCGTCTGTACAGCAAGCTTCAATCCAACAAGCTTCGACCCAGCCAGCTTTCGCTTGGCAAACTTTCATTCAGCAATACTCCGTTCAGCAGACTTCTGGACTAGAAGAGCGTCCGTTACATACGGGACACAACCTACAACCTTCTGGGCAGCCGCGTCTGAACTCTCTACAGCGACTATAGTGTTTACCGTCCGGATTAGTCAGTTCGCGGGCTTGCTGCTTGAGCTGGCTCCTCCAATCAATGCTTCGCAATTCGTTGCCACATCCCTTCGTAGGGTTGAAGACACAATTCGAGCTCAGGATCCCAATCTTCCGTCCCAAATCCAGATAAGCTGCTTCAGAGGAATCGGTAGGTACGAGATGCCGATGCCAGTGGAAGCAGCGTTCCGGATGGTGCCATCGGATCGGGCGTTGGGAGGGACATCCACAATGCATCCAGATAACCTTCGATGGATGAGGGAGAATACCGAGTGGTGGTATAGTGCTGGCGTAGAGTGCAGGACATCTTGATCTGCTAAGGTATCAATGAATAAGCTTTCCCGAAGATTCAGGCACGCGGAGAGCTTGTACGGGGGAAGTTTGTGGAGAAGCCGCACGTCGAACTATTCCGAGGACGTAGATGCGAGGATGCGAGAGAATGGGTTCTCTGGCGCGAAGGAACTGGTCTGCACGAAGTCAATACATGGGTCAGCGATAATTTTGGCGCTGCTGTCGGGATTGATTTTCTTTGAATTGAGTAGTGTAGAATCTTGCTTGCCTAAGACCGTATAAGACGATGACTCGAGATTAAACTTACGTGCACCACGCACGAGTATGCGCTTCGTGATTTTCAGATCTTCAGCACGATTGAACCGTGACATTTCCAAATTCGTCCAAACCATCCCTCGCAACTTCACCCTCACCTCCTCATCAAGTAAACCGCATACCCCGCCGCCACGACCGGCGAAAGCGCCAGCATCCACGTGAGCACTCCCCTCAAAAACACAATCCTAACGATCCACTTCATCGTCTTCTCATCATTACTCCTCGGAAACGGCGCATCCGGGACCTCAACCCCCAAGAACTCACACAGCGGCTCCCAGCCCATGCCCGCCTCCCACTCCAGCAGCGGGACGCCCTTCTCCCTCACCAATTCCCTCACCCACTCGTTATGCAGATCGTAGCTCTCGGCCGCGAAGAAGCCCTTCTCCATCTTCTCCCCATACCTTCGCCGCATCAGCGCCCCGACCCCATCGCCCATGAGCCGCTGCGCCCAGTACATCGAGGGCACGAGATAGTTGGCCCAGTACATGCTCCTGCTCGCCAGCGGGCCGAGCGTGCGGCTCATGCTGCGGAACCAGTCTTCCCGGCTGCGCCGCACGTTCAGCACGATCTTGGCGTCGGGGTAGAGATCGATCAGATCGTCGACGACGACGCAGGAGGGCGCGTCGGTGCTGCTGGTGTAGCCTGCCATGAGGGACCGCAGCAGGGCCTGCCGTTTAGGAGCCGAGGGCTCGAGGTAGACGGCCCGCCAGGCCTTGCAGAGGTGCGTGTGCGGCATTACGCGCGCCATGTGGTGGGTGGGTCCCAACCCGAGATGGTTCTCGAAGGCGAGTTGGAGGCTGGAGGTCGCGCAGCGGGGGAGGCCGGCGGCGATTACAAGGAGGTGGGCGGTGGAGGTGGGGGAGACGGGGGCGTTGTCGTCGGAGATGAAGCGCATGTTTGCTGGTGGATGGGAGAGGTGTAGGATAGGTAGAGGCTGCCGAGACAGGGGAGCTACTGTGTGCGGTGATAGTTATGGACGTTGTTTAAGGAAGATGAGAGCGGGCCTTCTGGAATCTTTATGGGGTATGAGCGTTGTGCACAGCTACCTTATGAAAATATCGAGGAAAAGAAACTGTATGTGAGATGTGGACGCGTCTCTGTACTTATCTGCTCAGGAACCCGATGGCTTGTCCAAGATGCTGAGCTCGTGATAGGGCTGCGTGTCGGCCGTAAGGTTTCTTTCGATGCCAGCCGGTGGCTCCTTCCACATCTTGCATCTTTCCCGCGTCGCGAACTTGGACACCGGGACGTACCGGGTCGTAAAGCGCATTCAAAGGCTCATCGGCCAAACCCGTCTTACGAGACATCTCGTACATGGACGGACGCCTACACATCTCCTGTACCTAGCGGAGGAGGATCTCGTGCGGTCACGGCGCGAGGGAAGACGAAGGATTTCGGCCCCCACGGGGAATGCGGCGGTTCTAGGGTTGCAGGAAACAAAGGTTCGGGGATTGCACGTGATCTTGACATGTGCATACTCGAGGAGAGTTCATGGAAGTGTGAATCCTGCATCACATCGCCAATTCTGTAGCTACTGCTGCAGTCTAGTATTAGAGAATTCCGCTATCCAACGTCCTGCGCGTGGACTCAGTTGACAAACGATGATTCATGGCAAGTTGCCAAATCAGTGGGCTACGGCGGGAAACACATGACAATCTCCTTGAGTCAGTAGCAGGGCCTGAGCACAAGGCTCAGACTGTTGCTTAAGCAGTGTTGATGTGTCAGGCTCAGACAGATGTCCTGCGCGAGCGGCGAGCTGATCACTGGCAGCTTGGATGCAACCGCAGGTGCTGTGTGTGAGAGGAACTTTCGAGCTGCTTGAACGCGGACTTTTTCATCGCAACTATCCAAAGCAAGTGATCGCACATCAAGTCGGGATACAGAAACATCCAGAAGCCAAACGTGCCCAAGATGCCCAAGAAAACCTCCAAGCCTCAAGCGCTTGTCCTCACCACCGCAGACATGTGAGCGGAGGCTTAAACGGATGCCCACATGCTGCCGACGTATCCAGGTGAGAGAAGCGCAAGAACCCACATACATTGCCACCGTGATATGTAGACAAAAGAGAAGAGAAACAGCATACAGTCCACGTTCCAACTGAAATTAACCAAGAAGCTGGACAAGGTGCTCGTATTCCACTTCGACGTGACGCAAGGTGTTTTCCAACAGACGGCCAATGTTCGTTTACAAGACGCGTAGTGAGTTTGACATGGACAGAGTTGCGGGGTGGGAGGTGTTGCGACAGTGCGGGGGTTGAGACATTTGGTATCCAACAGGAGTTGGGAGGCGAAGGCAAGAGAGGTGTGGTGCTCAGCCGAAGCGAGCGGCGAACTGCTGCTTCGCCGGCGTAGAGAAGCCGTTGAACGAATAGACCGCGGAAATGATCTCGTTCATAAGGCCACGGTGGAGAACATGAACCCACTGAAGGTTGGTACCCATCTGCTCGCGGAGGGCTGTGGCCATGTCGTTCGCGAAATCATACAGCAAGTTGCACTCGTGGAACGGCACAATCTCCCAGGCGTGGCAGGGGTACTGTTTGCTAGCATCAGTGCTGTGACTATGATGATGGATTGGATGCACAAACCTTGCGAAGAATTGCGAGAAGAGCCTCGTAGGGGCGTTGGGGATATTCCTTAGCTACTTGGGTGCGAGCGTACTTCGCAGCTCCCGCAGCCATGCTAACGAACGTCGTCAAGTCCTCCACGTGGACGAAGCCTTTGAATCCGTCCAATGAAGAATCAGCAGGCGGATGGAGGAGTGGACGTCCCGAACTGTCCCAGTTCACACACGCGGCTTTGTCGAAAACCACTTTCATAAGCTGTCCCTGGTCAGAGATGGACAAGTTCACCTCACGGTTGCCAATACGGCGGCGGCGGCCCTGCTCTTTGTTACCCATAAAAACGCGCACCTGGCGAGCTGCCTCGGCCATATCTTGAACTTCAACGTAGATGACGCCAGTCGCACGTTGGTTCTGCATGTCAAGAGGGAAGTAGACACCATAATGGGCCGACGGCTGAGGATATTGAGCCAGCATGACGTCTTTCGTGAGAACGGAGACGATTTCATTCCTAGTGCATCCGTACGGTGCCTGAGAAATATTGATCAGCTTCAGCTCAAGCATAATCGCTCTTCGTCTTCAGTCCGAGACGCTGCATGGCTTACATTGTCGATCCGAATCACACCGAAGACAGAACCCATAGGGAACGGACTGATGCCTTTGGGCTGCAGAATATCCTTGAGAGTAACGACACCATCCCATGCGAGCTTACTGTCGTGATACGTTAGATGCTGCTGTTGAGAGAAACCGCCGTAACCAGTTGAACCAAGCTTTTCAACGTGCTTGAAGGTGAGTGCTGTCGAAGTCGGCGATGAATCCGTTGGGCTGCGCAACTGCATAACAGAGACGCGGTCAGTACCAAAGTCTCCCATGATTGCGGTAGCATGCAGTCTTCTTGAAGCACCCCAGATCTCGGACAAGAACAGTCAGTGAAGTTAAGCGGCGGACATGAAGGGCATCTGGATTTATTGGCCACCGAATGGAAGCGAAGCGCGAGAAGATCTTGACAAAGCGAGACAGGCAGAGAGGCCATCCAGAGAAGTCGCGATCAAAGCTGATGACCTGTTCGTCGGAAGAGTTGAAAGTTGCAGAAACTGTTCGGCCTCCCGATGGATTGACCTGTCGCATGCGGCGCTGTTGTCCAAGGCCGCTCGATAGTTGAACTGGTTGAGAAGCTACTGGAGGACCTTCGCCTTTCCGTGGTTGGTTGCGCTGATGTTCGGGTGGCACGTCGACATCCTCAGGCTTTTGGCTGCTTGTCTGAGGTGCTTCAGAGAGAAAGAGAAAGCGCGAGATAACTTCAAAAGAGCACTCACCGTAACCTCACTGCCCCTGCGGGACTGCTGCGGCTGCGGTAGGGGCCGCGAGTACTGGGCCATTGTTTCCTGCGTCGTCGGGTGGTGCTGATGGTGGTGGTGAAGGCGATGGGTTGACTTCAGACGAAAGATCTTTAAGAACCAGAGTCACTCGGCTAAAATTTGCATCGTGATGATAACGTCACTTCACACGATAACGCCGCTGTGAAGGTCAGGCGACATCGGAGTTAATGCCGCTCCTAATGAGGGCATTTGAAAGGAAATGAGCGACGTGAGTGAAGGCATCGTGGGAAAAAGACTGTGACAGCCACTGGGGCACCAGCCAGGAAAGAAACGCGGGAACAACCAACTGTTGGTGTGGAACATCTTTAGCTGCATCAGTCCTCATCTTCGAGCGGTTGATGTCTTGGTCGAAGTTTGCAATGGCTTTCTGAAGCCTCGTTGGGTGTTGTGCAGGCTCAAACACGGCGAACGACTACCTACCTCCACATGCCCTGGGCTTAGCGTCCAGCGCGGTCACTGGCATAAACCTCACGAATCGACTGTTCCAGCCCCTAAGGGCATCCCCTCAGCGACTTACTCAGAACATCCGAAAACAATGCGGCCGCTTGTCCCCGCACTACGTCCTTCGCCTCCTACCGAATCGACACAGTCATCTTCATCATAGACCACTTTTGTACTTGATGTTAGCCGAGACGAAGGCTCATCTCGGGGATGTGTGTGGACGATCTGATATGAGTTCTGAGCTTATTCGAGCGCTTACTGGGACTGATGATCCTCTTGAAGGTCCGTGTCGTGCTGTCTACAGTGCCTCCCGCCACCACGGTTCGCAATACTCCTGTCACGGTCTTAGACCGGCAAGCCCTCTAGACCAGCGAGTTATTTACAGGCTGGCAACCATGCACCTGTTACCTTAACCCCCGGAAACGCCATGCAGTCATCCCTAAGCTGCTATGCATCGCGGTCATAGGTTGGAACACAAACAACATAATGCGATACTAATTGGCTCAGTCCAACTGACTCAGTCAAACTGTAGAGCAAGTCAGTCGAAGCTACACGCCAAGAGGAAGGAGTTCAGCACACACCGGTGTCAGGAAGGACTCGGCAACAAATCGCGCTCTTGAGTTGAGCTACACGAATGTCAGTCACATCTCTCGCACGACACAAAAGGCAAGGCTGCTCTGAAGAGTGCGCTTCAGCTGGTGAGTTCTGCGACATACGAATAGCTTCATCTCCGAGATCTCCTTGTCCACCTCCTCCATAAACTGTATGATGAAGTCCACCAGCTTGTGCTTCAGCATCTCCTCGGTGTGGAAGTTTGTGATCAAGAACGAGATGTCATAGCCCTGATGAGCGTCAGCCACGTGCACGAAGTATGATACTCCGTCAACTGTTTACCTTTACTGGCTTTCTCCTTAGGATGAAAAACGCTTCCGCCCTCTGCGTCAAGAACCGCGTAAACTTGTGGACCAGAATATGTTCTATCTCGTCCGCCTGCTTGATCTTGATGCTGATTCGCACGCTGTTGATGCTCGGCTCGATGAACACCTTCTCGTTCTCGTTGCGGGATACGGTAAATGGATTTAGCAAGACTTCCGGCGAGCTGGCCGCTTCGATTTCAGGAACATTATGCCGTTCCGCCGTTTGCGACGCGAAATTCGAGAGGGACAGCGCGGCGGTCAGAGAGGAGCGGACGCATTGGAGGTACGGGCGGAGCGATTGAGACTGCAAGCGTCAGATTGTGCGGGCTTAAGGGGGCAATGTTTGTCTGAGAGTCCACCATTCTGCTTGGTTCCTCCGCCCGGCAAGTCCGAAGCAGATGGCGCAAGTTCTTCTGTTATCCGACTATCCTTTACGGTTTGCTCGCTCTCAGCAGGCCGCCGTAGTCGAGCATGTCGTGTGGGGGATGTCAAGAGATTAGATAAGATCAAGATCCATCGCCGCCCGCCAGGTCCGCGTCACTCTAGCACTTTCCACCGCGCAGTAAACATCTCACAGTTCCGCCATCGCTCTCCCTCCTCCCTTGCCCTTCGCACTGAGCTTCTGCAGCCCCCTGAGAACACACCGCCGACTATGGATCCTATACCAGGCAAGTTTAAAGCATTTCACCCCTGTCTATTGCGGATATGCTGACAGGAAGGTGCTCAGTTATCGTCAAGCACCAGGGCAAACGCCACAACGTCGAACTCGACCCCTCCTCCACCGGCGAGACGTTCAAATACCAGCTTTACTCCCTTACTGGTGTTGAGCCAGAGCGTCAAAAGATTCTCGTCAAGGGTGGCCAGCTGAAGGATGATGCGGACCTGTCGAAGCTGGGTGTTAAGCCCGGCCATACCTTCATGATGATGGGGACACCTTCCGAGGGCGCCGTAAAGCTCGAGAAGCCCAAGGAGAAGATCCGCTTCCTGGAGGACATGACGGAGGCTGAAGCCGCGCAGTCGGAGGGCGCCACACCAGCCGGCCTGCAGAATCTGGGGAACACATGCTACATGAACTCTACGCTCCAGGCACTCAGGTCGATTCCTGAGCTACACGATGAGCTTCTGCGCTACAACGCAAGGTAAGCACGCCTCCGGGTCTGCCGAGACTTCTCATGGCTGATGTGTGTTGTATCTCCAGCTCAAGCTCCAGCGGCCCCAGCAACCTAAGCCAGTTCGGCCTTGGTGGATTAGGCGCCTCTCTGGACCTGACTGCCTCCCTACGCGACCTCTTCAAGCAGATGTCCGAGACCCAAGAAGGCTTCCCTCCGCTCATGTTCCTCAATGCCCTGCGCACAGCTTTCCCTCAGTTCGCCCAGCGGGCCAAAGATGGTCACGGCTACGCACAACAGGACGCTGAAGAGGCATGGTCACAGATAGTGTCGCAGCTGCGACAGAAGTTGAAGACGAACAACGCAGACTCGAGCTCAGAGCAGGCTAAAGACATGTCGTTCATCGACAAATACATGGCGGGGAAATTCGAGTCTGTGATGGAGTGCGACGAGTCCGCCGCAAGGGAAGGTGGGGAGGAACCCATCAAGAGCCAGGAGCAGTTTTTCAAGCTCAACTGCCACATCAATGCCGAGACGAACCATCTGCGGGATGGCCTGGCTGCAGGTTTGAAGGAGCAGATCGAGAAGAACTCGCCCGTACTGGGGCGAAACGCGATCTATACGAAGACTTCCCAGATCTCCAGACTACCGAAGTACCTTCCAGTTCACTTCATGCGGTTTGACTGGCGTCGAACGACCAACAAGAAGGCCAAGATCATGCGCAAAGTCACGTTCCCACAAGAGCTCGATACCGTAGAGTTCTGCACAGAGGACTTGAAGAAGAAGCTCGTTCCTATCAGGGATAAGATTCGAGAGATCCGGAAGGAAGAGGAAGATGTCGAGCGCGCCCGCAAGCGGCAGAAGCGGATACAGCGCGGAGAGGAGGACGCCAACATGGACCCTGAAATCAGACCCAAGGGACCTGCTAACGAAAAGAAGCTTGCCAAGGATAAGGCTGAAGCCGCGAAGACTTCCTCGGGAGACACCGAGATGCAGGACGTCGTGTACAAGACGGATGCGGAGATCGAGGCCGAGCGCGCTGCATCGATTCTTGCGGCGAAGAAGGAACTACTTTCGCTCGTCACTCCTGAACTAGCGGCTGACGATGGTGCGAACCAGACGGGGCTTTATGAGCTTCGTGGCGTCATCACGCATCAGGGTGCCAGTGCTGACAGCGGTCACTACACGTCCTTTGTCAAGAAGGAGGGCCGCAAGGATCCGGTGACTGGCAAGCGGAGAGAGGAGGACGGCAAGTGGTGGTGGTTCAACGATGACAAGGTCTCCGAGGTGGAACCGGAGAGAATAGAGACCTTGTCTGGTGGCGGTAAGTTTCTGCTTGCTAGCCACTTCAGTTTTCTGTGCGCCTTGCTAACAATCCCCAAGGCCAGAGTCACTCAGCCCTCATTCTTCTCTACCGCGCCGTTCCCCTTCCTACCCTAGATGAGCAGGCCGAGGAGAACAAAGCTTGAGCGTTGTCAATGGACTGCTCCTGTGTACTACGGTACCACGGTCCATTGAGATACGGACTCATCTACTCGGGCGTTGCGTGGCAGGTAGCATCTTCCGGAGCGTGTCTTTGAATATGGCATGGGCTCCTACGAGGTATATAGATGGCTGAACGGCAAGCATAGATTTTCAGATCAACCCACATTTACACTGCCAGCGCATGTCTGCCTACCTCTTCATCTGTGTGTTAAGCATTGTCTCTTGCCACGGACGTTGAAACAGGAATCAGATGAGATCTCTGCTGCGCTGAGATGTCAATGACGCTTATATCTAGGTAGGGAATACCACCAACACGTCGAGATTTACGATTCTAGAACAAGACATTTGCCGAGTTTGACCGGTACTTTCATCGCTATAAGATTTGACGTCATCTTTTCTACATCTGCATCGGTAAGGCTGATATATTGATCTCTTGCAGCGCGTTAAACGCGCGTCTCACACTTTCGCATTCCCTTCCGACCTCTATTGCCCTCCCGTGAACTCGTAAAGCTTCCTCAGATCACGCGGTCGCTCAGTGCTCGCCTCTTTCGTTGAAGGAGTTTCACGCTTCACAATGTTCTACAGCCATGAAGGTTCAGCTCCGTTCCCACTTGCTGCGCGTTACTCATCGCTCATTGCCTCTGCCAGTCCTCACATCGCGCAAGTACGGCGTCGCCACAGTCTGGTAAGTAAAGTCCTTGACTGCAGGCACGACATTGCTAATCGTCCTCGCAGGCTTGTCGCCACTCTCGGTTCGAAGTCGTCACTGAAGAAGGTCAACCGGAAAGCGATCCTAGAAGTCAATGTCCCCAAGGCATGCGAGACCATCCTAATGCCAGAGGCACCAATGGCGCTGCGGCTGCAGAGCAACCTTCTGTGAGCTCCCATGCCTTCTGTCGACCTTACGCGTGTTCCAGCCGCGGCGGCCTGAGCTACCAACTAACTCTCTTACGCGCAGCTACGGCATCTCACGCGTCTACTCTCAGCAATGCGGCTACGTCCTCGCAGACGCGGAAAACGCGCAGCACAGCATCCGCGCACTTCTTAAAGTCGTCAGAACCACCGATCTCGATCCGGAAGCTGGTAGAGGAAGGCACGCGTACGCGTCGCGAGCTGTTGTCTCATGGATACTGACAGAACCCTCAGGCCCGAGCAGCTCCTCCTGGGGGATGACCCATCTTTCTTGCCAGACCTGGCGCTGGCTCCTTTCGACTTCGACCTCTCCACCCTTGAAGCCTCCCTGACGGCCGAATCACCTTTGACCTCCCTTTCACCGCACACGCCTACCACCAGCCCCGGCGCTGCCTTCGGGGGACCAGTCGGTGGCCTCGTTATCCCTACCTCAGACACAGGAGCAGTGGGTGACATTGGTGGCTTCATCGTTCCGGGCGACGACTGCCTTGGGGCAGCCGCAGCACCTGGCGATGATGAAGGATTCTTGCCTGAGGCTGACTTCTCGTTCGATGCGGAAGGAAATCTGCTGGACTTCTCAGTCGCTGGGACAGCACCACGACCGAGTGTGCCAAGAACGGGCGCAGCAGCTGGGGTTGGCGATGTCACTGCTGCCAGTGCGCGGGTTCGCGCAGAGCATGCTGCAGGTGTAGCAGCCGGAGTTCCCGTGAGTTTGCACGAATCTGCCTGTTGTGGCGAGGCCTCTAACAGTACGTAGCTCGGAGACCAGATGGACATTGACCTGCCCATGATAGGAGACGACAACAGCCTGCCAGAAGGTGAAGCCTTCCCAATCGCCCAACGCCCCCCACCCGCCATCCTCCGCGGCTCGTCCCTAGCTCGTGAGACGGAAGCAGAGCCATCCTCTGAAGCACTTGAAGCGCAGCAAGCCCGCCGTCCTCGCGCCCCCCGCGTCATCGCACTCGACCAGAGCATTGAGCTACGCCACGGCGATCTCGCCCGCTGGAACACAGATTACCTGGCCAACATGCAACAAGCCGGGCAAACCAAGCTCGCCCACCGCCTTCCCCTCCAAGCGCGGAAGAATGCCGAGTTCTGGGTCCTGGGCGCCGGACTCGGTGGCATCGGCGCACGACCTACAGATGGGATCACGAACCCTCTCGCTGCCTTCGCGGGCGCGGGCCTCTGGGAACAAATCACGGGACAGACTTTCTACGCTGGCACAAAACGCGATCGCGACAGCGGCATCGACACCGAGACCGAAGAAGCCGCCCGCCGCGTGCGTCCGCGTCCCTCCGCCGACGACGTCTTCCGCGGCGTTGGGCCGGAGCAGGACGAGGGCGTTATTACGGGCTTCGGCGACCATGACGTCGAGTTGCCGCGTGAGGCACCCTCGGCACTCGACGACATCTCCAGCGTGCTGCCCTGGAACATCACGGCCTCGATCCGCGGCTCCTCTGTCGCCCGTGCCGCGAGCACCATCCGGCGCGGCACTCTCGGGCGTCCTTCCTCTGTCGGCGTGCCTGGCTCCCTCGGGCGACGTATCGTGAGTCCGAGTCCTCTTGTCGGCCGCGGTGGGCCTCTCCCGGCGGGAATCGAGGAGCTGGACTTCGGCGCCAGCGACGCGTTTGCGGATCTCGGCGACCTAGGAGCCGCACCGCCGACGGGAGACGACGAGTTCGAGCTCTATGGGCCGGCTGCGGCGGTGGATACACAGACGGCGGGGGAGAGCCAGTGGCAGCGTGCTGCGCTGGATGAGCAGGCGCAAAACTTCCTCACGTTTATTGAGGCGGGGATCGAGGAAAAGCGCGGTAGAGCTGCTGATGGAGAAGTTGGGGCCGCGGCGCGCACGGAGGATGTGAGTGAGGTCTCGTTCGAGGAGCTGTTGCCGCCGGCTACCAATTCGAGGATGGTGGCTGCGCAGGCGCTGTTGCATGTGTTGAGTCTGGCGACGAAGGGGCTCATTTCAATAAGGCAGGAGGAAGACTTTGGGGAGATTGGGCTGGGTCTGATTGAGGTGTGAGCTGGTGGGATGTCGTGCTAGGTGGTGTAAGGTGTTGCGGAGGTGGCTTACCAGTGATTGCTATATGTGAGGAGGGATGTATGGCATGTCGAGGAGTTCTTTGCTTGTACTTGCTCTCTCGATTATCCCCCAAGGTGGAGGATGTGCAATCGCTCGTTAGTTCATTCTGTTCATTGCTTTGCTTGTATTATTGCCTGTACGCTAGAACTGCTATAGTAGGCACAACGCAGAAGTGACATAGGACGTGACGTCTCGAGTGCCAGCATTACTCAACCAGGCTGGACAGTAATCTGCAGAAAATCTTCAGAAGCTCAACGCATAGTCTCATGTCTTCATAAGAGAGGTGCTTAGCACTTGTGGTCTAAGAAATGAAGCCGTTAATGTTCGCATCTACAAATCTATATACCAAGTACTACAAAACCACATAAATCCAATGCCCAGTACGCGATATCTCATCATGAAGTGATTTCAGTCTGCCGCCTCAGTCCCTACCGCGCTTTCTTGATAGACACAGCTCATATTCGCAATCTATTGTCTCGGAGCCGCTGGCTGCACATGTGCCCTCTGCGCCATCATAGCGGCCCACGTAGCGGTAATTCTGGCAGCAGACAGCTGACGGAAACGCTGCAGCTGTATAGCTTGTTGCCTGGTATATTCATGTAACATTTTGTGCTTTATTGACAGTATGTTCATCGCGTTTTTGGAGCAATGTAGCTGTAGATATTGTCGCTTGGCGTGTTCGTGTAACATTTTGTGCTTTATGGACATTATGTTCATTGCGTTTCTGAAACGATGTAACTGTAAATATTGTCGCTTGGCGTGTCCGTGCAACATCTTGTGCCTTGTTCCGAGTGTGTTCATCATTTTCCTGGAGATGAGGTTAGTCAGATGGTACGTGACGGAGGGACGGAGCGGTGGAGTGAGACCTACACTAGCTGTTCGATTTTCTTCTGCTTTTGGCTGTGGGTGGTGGAGTCAGTATGATTGTTTGGAGTAGTAGTGGGAATGCAGACTTACGCTAAAGCTTCTGACATCTGCATGCTGATCTGCCTCTCGGAGATTCTGTGGGTAGTTTGGGTAATGAGAGGAGTTGTATTAGTAACCCTGGCGATATAGTTAGTAGATATAAGACGGACTTCTCGAACAACCGCAAGGCTTGTTTTTGACAATCCTTTTCGTCCAACTGTCATCTGTCGCACCGCCGCGTGTTGCGGAGATGGGCCATAAAAGGATTGAACTGGATTTGGAAAGCTGACTTACTTTCTAGGCCTTCCTCGCTTGCGGGCAACTGTGGCTGCCGATGAGGTGGTATTTCTATCAGTTGAAGCCATGTTCGTATTGTTTGAGTAATCTAGTTGAGTGCTCCTCAAGGTGTTTGTAGTGTAGAGTAGTTGGTAGTGAGTAGGCTCTAGTTAATGAAATAGCAGAAGTGATTTCCTTTCAAACCATTAAGAACAGTGATGTTTAGAGGTCTGGAAGAGAAGAGGAAAAAGAGAGGTAGGCATCGCTCTTTTATAGAAGAATAGGTCTATAGTAATAGCTGTGAATTAATATTATATTAATAAGACTAATAATATAATATTAATTGCAGCATTCGGATCTTCTATCATTCCGAAATAATATTAATTAAAGCATCCGGATCTTCCATTATTCCGAAATCACGTGCTTCTACATTGCATCAGCAAATCGTTCGAAATCAGTTCTAGTTCAGAATATTCAAAGGGTTCAAAATAGTCCGAGCAAAAACTCAACTACCAGAAAAGTGATCCTCGATCATCAGAAACTGATAGTTGTTACTGAAACTGACATTCGAAATCGCCCGCGAGATTTCCAGCAGCCACGAAGAAAAACCCCGCACCATCAACACATCCAAAAGGACTTCTTCAACAAAGTTTAGTGCTCAAAAATCTTCGAACACCTAGCTATCAGACCATACAGCTCTCGAATCTCGAAGATTAATATTCGTTAGCAGGGCTAATGTACTCCTTCTCCACAAACTCACCCCGGACCCCTGCCCGAGACCGACAACACGTGACTTTTTCAGGACTCATTGCCTATCAAGCAAAGCGGAACGATTGTGCAGAGATCCTTGCACGAGAAACACCTGGTTCAAATAACAGAAGGTACAGGCAGTCTCATCAGAGCCATCTTAGTCTCCGGGAAGGGAGCCCTTCGGTACGTTCCTGGTTTCAGTCCCCGCAGACCTTGCAGGTGCAGTAGAGGGATGAATACCGAGAGGTGGAGCTCAGAAGCTGCATAGCACGAACTTCACGGTAATCTCGTGTAGTGAGCCCGAGTGGGTACGGGTAACGCATTCCTGCCCGGCCAGATCGCAATGCGCGTTTTGCGCTGGGAATCGGTAGATAGTCTACAGCGGATGGAGATGGGCTGCAGAACGTCATATTGGCCCGTTGTGAGACAGTTAACAACCTCTTCGCAATCTCTTGCGGAGGTAAGATGGAGCGGTTACGCTGGCGAGGGGCCCGGATGAAGGTTGTGGGGTGGTTCCTCCAAGTGATATACTGCGAGTAGGACAGGCATGGTGATTACCAGCAACATGGCAACGCCGGTGACCTGGCAGCCGATCACAGAAGGGGTGGATACGGGGATTAGGTGATAACAAAGCGCCACAATACCAATATCCATATCATAAGTGTAAAGGCTCTCAAATCCGTCTCATGAGCCAGAATTAAATCACCAGCTAGGACTATCTCTAGTCGTCTATGTGTGTACCAGCATGAGCCGCGCTCTCATCGCACAGCTCGAAGGAAGCAAGGAGAATCGTAGGTCTATTAGAAAGAGCGAAACAGGTCTTGCTCCTCAAAAGCCAAGACTGCCCGCTGAAAGCATGACGTTTATCGAAGCCATTGAAGCGCCTGCCTCCATCAATGGCTTGACTGCTGTGCTTGGCGGAGTTGTGGATGTGCATTAGAGAGAGTGAGAAGTGGAGGAATTAAATAGAGCCGAGGTCCCCATGCGCAGTGCGGAAAGAAAGGGACAAAAGGCCACAAAGGGCAAAGGTGTCCAGGGACTGAGAGAAGATCTGGAAAGAAGGAGAGCCATCCAGCCAGAACCCGATCGGGACGCCCAAACGCCGGTCGTGTACTGCCTTGCCCGTATATGGTCTTTGGCAGGATAGAAAGCGGACTGAAGTAAATAAGCCGTGACCCACATGGGGTGGTGAGGGAGAGGAAATCGGCCGCAAGATCCGCCAAGCAACATTACTGAATAACCGTCCTCTACCCGCGTCTATACGACCATCGCCCAACTCGTACTCAAATGGTATCTCGCATCAATCGACCCAACTCATGTCCCACGCAATCGTCGCTCGTAGCGTCCAACGAACCCGCTTCCCTGAACGCCTTCTATATCCCGCGCCTAATCAGTATCTCACTCCTACTATCTCACAAGCTCATCGTCAACCACTCCCACTCCTGCGGTCCGCTGTGACCGCCCGGCGGAACACCCTGCCCCATCGCGCCCATGGGAATCGGGTTCGCAAACTGCGACGGCATGGTAGGCACCGCAGGCTGCATTTGCTTCCCGCGTGCCGGCGCTTTCCCGCTCGTGTCATCCGCGTCCGCCATCTCGATCTGATGACCTCCAGATCGGCTCTGTCTCCGCACCCGTTTTGGCGGCGCAATCGTGACGGTTCGACTAGGCGCTGTGCTTGCGACGGTTGTGACTGTTGGTTTCGGCGGACCGGGAGCAATAGGCACAACACCGGATTTCACGGTTGAGGTTGATCCAGACATGGGAGTGCTGCTTCCGGCGTTGGGCGCACCAGTCGCTGAACCGGCACTTGACTTGGGTGACTCTGAGTCAGTCGGGCCTCTAGCAGATGTCGGCGTCGTTGCCGGAGTCTGCACGATCGAGTTCTTACGCGAGTTCTTTTTTGACGAGCGCGTGGAAGAGCCGCCTCCGGTCGGTACCGTATTGCCGCTACCACGGTTTCGTTTCTTGATGACGTCTGTCTTCAGAGACAGCGGTCGGACAACACCATGAAGCTTTAGGAACAGACCGCAAGCGTTGCAGAGAGGATGGCCCTCGGGATTGCGCCGCCACAGAGGCGTTGTTTGCGTAAAACAGTTAGTGCAAGTGGTAGGGACCCCATTCTGCTCTCCAGTCTTGGTACCGCCAGGTGTTGTAGGACGTGAAGGTGCTGCCGAACCAGCTGTTTCTGGAGGAGAGTTCGGTGACGATTGCGGCCTTTGGTGGATCGCGGATGAATTCGCCAAGGCGGGTGCATTGGGAGTCGAGCTGGTTCTTGGTATCTTTTGTCGTCGCTGATCGTTACCGCGGTTGCGAATGTCGCTCACGGACGCCGCGGACCCGTGAGTGCGACCTAGACTGCCACCACCGTGCCAGTCCTGCGGCGAAGGCACCATCTCGGTTTGCCCGATCGTGACTGTCTTTCGGGGTGGTCCTGCGGGATAGCGTGCCGGTATAGGATTGAACTGATTGGAAAGGTTTATTTCCCACTGGTAGCCACCGGTCAAGTCCATCGCCGGGTCGTCCATTAGCGAGTAATCTGTCTGCATCGGCATAGTCCGATCTGGAAACGATCCTCCTTCATCTTCCTCGTTGTCTGAGTCGGCGCCGAAAGTGAACATATTCTCCTGACGAGAGATTTGCATGCCGGGATACTGAGTGGTCGAGAAGTCCGAGTGCAGCACCTGGCTCGGATCGATGTGACTTGACTGATGGGATGACGGTGCAGAGAAGGGCGCAGGAGGCCCGGATGGTGTGATGGCGCTGAACAAGGTGTCCCCATTGGGGTTGAAGATATACTGAGGTTGCATTGAGGTCGAAAGGTTTGAAGGTTGATGAGATCCATAGCCTTGCATGGGATGTGGCCGTCGTATGTCCATGCCAGTGCGATCGAAATAGATATGCTCGCCTTCCGGTATTGGCTGAGGAGTGGAAACAGTGGACGGATAGGCGGAACCGGGGGATGAATAGTAGTCGGTCGAGTTTAGAGAAGAGGCCATTGACTGCGGGTTGAACATGCTGGAGAAGGTATTCTGGTTCATCATCGGAGAGCCGACCGGCGAGAAGGCAAACTGCTGCTGGAAGGGGCCAGCAGAGCTCATGATCGGATCGTTGTCAATGTTGAAAGTGTCGAGAGCAAAGGGTACTTGCGAAGGGTGCAGAGCTTGGGGTTGATACGCTGGATGAAGGTGGGATTGGTCGAGGCTGTAGTTATTAAGAGCCGCTTCTGAATCAGGATCATTGGGTATCATAATGCTGTTGACAGCTGGAACTTGAGGCGATGTTTCTGCTCGTCTCTTGGGGGGCTGGTTGTGTATGGTAAGCTGACGGCGACACACAGATGGGGTTCGGTCCGACTTACCCTTCTTTCGTCAATGCTTGTCTTGCGCACGTGCCGTTGTACATATCCAAACTCGCTGCCTCTTTGGACCGCAGGTGGTACTGAAGGAGCGGAAGCGCGAAGAAGCAGGTCCTGGTCGTTCATCTGGCTTGATCGCCTTATCGGGATGCCAGGTGCAGTAGCACTGGTGCTAGTCGAATCCGGCTCGTGTGCGGCTGAAGGCGATAGCCCTGCCGGGGATGCTACGGACGATGGAACAATGAAGTCGTCAAGATTCATAGAATCCAAGGATTGCATCGTCGGCGAAGCCTGATGGTCGACGGAGCTTCGCAGTTGCGCGATTCCGCTGGGTGCGCTTGCATGCATCCTACTCCGTCGAGACAGCCTAGGAACAAGTCATGGTAAGCGTCAGCGTCGCAACGTCTAATAATCAGCATCACGTAGTTCGTGGGAACCCACTCTTGTCTCTCGAGCTGCTTCCGCCTCAAGTTCATGGACATCATCCGCCATGTCAGGTTCTCCATGCGCTCCGAGTTCGGTAGCTGCGCCTTCGTCCGACTGAACAGCCTCCATATCTGTGTTCCCAACGGGTCTTTCCGCTGCATTTCCTCTGGGCTTTCAATTTCGGCCAGCCCTCCAGTGTCATCTTTCCAGTCAGGGAAGAAGGACTCCCGCAGGACGCCCTTACGAGCAACGTTGTCCGTGGGCGACAGATCCAGCTTGCTGTCGATTGTGCTGGCGGAAGTGAGCGACTGTATCGCCGAAGACGAGCCTGAGGAAGTTTGGAAGTGGCCGGGAGGGAAGTGAACGTGCCGAGGAGACGAGGACGAGTGAAGGTTTTGGAGGTCTGCAGCTCCGCCAATAGCGGAGCCATTCGAATCTTTGGACAGGCCTGAAGCGTGCAGACCTCCCCCACGCTCCCCATATTGCGCCCCAGACATTGCCGACCGGTGTTGCGCAAGGATGCGGGGAGGAGCGCCCAGTGAGACAAGCAATGGGTCTCAGTAAGTATGCTGCAGTTCGCAGTTGAAGCCCTGCCTTTCTGCTGTTCTGTCCACGAAGGAACGCCCAACGGGGAAGAGCGCGGACTCGAGGGGATCTCTGCTGTGGTTGTGGGCCGTGTGCAGCAAGCGGCGTGACGGAGGTGACTTGGGTCGGGATAATTTCAGAAGTCAGCCCAGCATCTGCCGGCTCGACAGTGCGGCGAGGCTAGCTGTCCTGAGCCTGGTTATTTTGGCGTCGACCTTTTTCTGCGACGCCCTAGGATCGACTGAGGGCCTCCTTGACCAGGTGTCGACGGTGGGCGCTGACGATGCGGGATGGGAGTTCGGTGGAGAGGAGGGGGGGGGGCTTGTGTGTGGTGCGGAAGCGCCGAATCAGCTTCTCAGCTTCGAAGAGCCGACGCAGCCCGGCTAAAAGTGGCGCTTCCACTTCCAAGGGTCTTGACGGCGGACGGGTGCAGGGAATAATGTTAGGTGGGTACGGTAGGTAAGGTAGGTACTCTTAGATTTCTGGTCAATTTCTCGCGCCTGGCCCTGCGTGTTGAGGCGGCGTGTTCAGGACTTTGCAGATGCTGCGGACAGAATGCCGCGCAGCTGCTCCACAACCAACCCGAGAGTTTGCACACGCGAGCAAAGACTGGCCCGCTGCGGCGATCGCAAGTGGTGAAAGGGTGAAAGTAGGGCTTCGGGGGACGTTAGGAAGTACTCGGTAGCTCGAGGCTTTACCGGCTGGCGTCCGTGGCGTCATCTAGCAGCGAGGAAACAAGCGCGGCAGGGCGTGCCGCAGAAAAGGCATGTCGAAATGCACGAAGCCGCGAGGCCTGGTGCTGCAATAGGCCGGCTCGGTGAAGGATCGGTGCAGAGGGGAGTTGGTCTTTGTGGGTTGGAGGCGTCGACTCTCGCCTCGGGGATGTCTCGGATGCTGCTTGAAGATGGAGCAGGAGGTGCAGGATGGAAATGCAGAGTACATTGACCTCTTCTGATAGCTTATGCCAGCGCAAGCACCAACTCTTGTTGATACTGCAAGTCGAGTAACCCGATCTGCCCCATAACGCTTTCGACCGTGCGCTACAGTAGCAAAGGAAGCCAGCGCCGTACTCTAGCGTCGACCTAGCCCGCCGAGCCCGCTCACTGGCAATCTCTATGCGGAGTTGCCCCGCCCATAACGAATCCCAGTCACATGTCGGCGTGTTGGAGGCTGCGGCAGCTGCAAGAACACCACAAACTCTTTCCCGCTTTCATAAATATCTACACAGGTACACTGCGGACATGCGGACTTGCACAAGCCCACACGTCACTTTGAGGACGGCCGCACCGCCGCACCGCCGCAATGCTTCAACGTCCCCTTGGCGGTCAACAACTGGGCCAACCCGCGGCTCGCCTTTCCTTGAGAGAACGCTCCGAAGTTCTCCCTGATGCCCACCGGTTCTTCCGAATACTTCCGACGATCAACTTCCAGACTTCATAACCAGCCTCCCGTTGACCACCTAAAAAGTCAAGCTCAGATGGCTACACGCTCTAAATCATTCACAACAAGTCCAGCAAATGCTGGAGCTTGCACAAGCGCTGCACGTCAACAACAGACGCCCGCCAACAGTTGGACCAAGGCAAGGCCAAAATGAAGGTTGCCACGTCTATTTTGGCCTTCCCTCGGATCGAGAGCTTGCTGATGCCCTGGAGTAATCTTATTCCGCCAGGCTCAACGCGACGACTCCGCTAGTGCCGGCTCACTGAAACGGCGGAGCGGACCATCAAGTCGCACGGATGGCCCGCTCGTCTATCCAAACGATACATCCGCAAGGCGAGACTCCATAACCACGGAACAGACCGCTTAACGAGCCACGCGACCTCTCCCCCAACACCGAAGACGGAAACTCCTCGGGGATCGGAGGGGTGTTCGAAAACACCATGGTGGATCGTCTAGCCACTGGATGATGATAGATCGGTCTCTTCATACCGCCTTGCACTAGAGTATGAGGCACTAGCTGGCTTTGACGCGATGCGGAGCCGCGCTAGCTGTCATCACATGTAAATATCGATATTCAGCCTCAGCCAGTGAATCGATGCTGCAGGAACCTCGCTTGTCCCGCTTGACAGAGACGGACTTATTCTCAACCAGCGGTACAGTCCTTGGAGCGTCCGCTTGCGCCAACGAACGGCGGATGCAGGGTCGTCGTAGTATTTTCTTATTCTCTACAGCCGATATCGGCCGTCTGGGAATCGGGCAATGACTCGCAGCTGTTCCAAGATGCCCAGCAATTGGCTCAGGTACGAGAATGGCGAAAGGAAACTCCTCGCGGCGGCATCATTGAAGAGACTGCACTAGGAAAGCCCGCTCAAACGGACACCAAGGAGATGGAAATTGCATTGAGATGCTATCGTCTGGATCGCGTACAGTGTGCAACAAAGAAAGTCAACTCACAAAATCGTGTCCGCGTGGCGATGAAACCAAGATACTCACGACGTCAGGAAACGCGGATAATATCTATCCCGTCCTAGAAGACTCCCGTCTTCGATGTCTCCCGTCCGATACGATTGTTCCTGCTGTGTAACAAAGTGTAACACAGATATTGGCAGGGGTCGCGCCATGGCGGGGATACTTTCACGTGCAGATCGCGGGCCGACTATTCCTAGGAACAAGATGCACAACTTCACCCCCCACCACGGCGGCTGCTGAAAAATGTTGTCGTTCTTCACCGGGAGCAGGAGAGTCCTCCGGAAGGCTCGCACAAGGATCCGCCTGGTGCAGTCTTGGCTTTGTTCCTTTGCCGGATTTGCGCTAGCAGCAGCCGCGTGGGGGTTGAAACACGGGATCTCCAAGCCACCGCGCTGGGACACGGCAGACGGTGCCATGCAAGTCAGCCCGAGGCAGGCTCAACGCTTCGAGCATGTGTCGGCTGGCGCGTGCGCCGTTGCTTGTGTTCGAGACGGGAGCACCAAGCAACTGCTGTGGATTATCAAGCGACTGGTCGAGCTGATCTCTCGAGAACTCGGTCCGCCGCAACAACGGCTGGTGCACGGAGACCTTGGATGGTGCAATCGCCTGGCCGTTGTGGTGTGATTGAGCGTTGACAGTGAAGCGGTGAAACTTGACACAGCGAGGCCGGACGCTTCCAACAAGCGCTGGAGATGGGTTCCAAGGCCGTTGGTCACTCAGTCCGGCACCACGTAGCTCGAATAGTAAGGCATCCATCCAGCAGGACATATATCGAGAAGCGCGTGTGGCGGCAAGAATGATCCGCGTATCTGGTGGTGACGGTCCGTCTTGCCAATAAGTCGAGCCTGCGAACAACGCACTCACGAGGGTAAAGCAGCTTCATATATACGCTGAGATCTGCACGCTTCCGCAAGGGTGTTTGCGAGCTCAGCTCCTTATCTTGCGTGATGCATCGCTGCAAAGATAGCACAACACGGTACCAATAAGGCACCAAGCTCGGGAAAGGTGGTCGGCAAAGCCTCCGTGATAGTTACACAGTACGTTGCTGCGCTTGGCTATCGTGATCTTGTTCTATACTCCAGTTTTAGGCAGTGATTCCGTCTTATCTGCATGGCAACATCCGCAGCGAATAATGGCTTGCAGGTGCTGCAACCATCTTGGGGACGGAACGTGGCGGACCTGAATGCCGAGCTTGATAACCTCGATGAGTGCTGAAGACGAGGCCTTCACAAGCGGTAAACTCTAGACCAATGAGACTCGTGAACATCCTCCCTTGTACGCAGTACACTAAGGTGAATGAAGGAGACTACATCAGATACAATTTGGCCGTTCTAACCTCAGCAAAATCCCCAATCAAACCCTCCAACAAGCCACGTGACTCTACTCAAGGGACTCGGACATGATGAGAGGATTGTCATAACAGCTGCATTGCATCCGTTCCACGGCTGGGCGCTGGGTTCCCGTGAATGACGACAGCATCATTTCACCAGTGTCTCAAGACGGTACTTAGATCCAGGGACTCTCCCGTCTCCATACGTCGATCTCAGGGCACTGGTCTCTATGCTCGAAATCCGGCCCGCTCTCACCCTCGACCCGTTATCACCCTTCCCGGACATTCTTTCCGTTAAAATAACGTCCAGCGATAGGATAGCAGCCCTGAAATTCTCCTGCGCTGAGGTCGGTGCTAACACTGGAGTCGTAAAAAGTCCACACGCAAGCTAGAGACAACCAGTCAAGCACATTGTCTGAGAGCAGGACATGGCCGGATCCATGCCTTCGAACAGCGTATCACCGGCTCTTCCAACGTTTACTTTCAATTTTGTGACTCAGGCAACTCGTTGCTCGAAGGACGCTTTGAAAACGGCTCGTTGGTAACCTCAAGGACCATTCCGATCTCCTTGCCGGCGGGTGTCGGCCTGCGCACCGGATCCTGCGGCAGTGCTCCCACCACTTACGGTCTCTTCGCCGAGGACTTTGCTTGCGGCCATGAACCTGTCGTCTCGAATTGTCAGCCATTTCTCCAAACTGTGCTATGCCCTACTATGTAACATATGCGCAGATGCTTCCATATCGCATACAGCCAAATGCTCCCAGCGCACCGCAGAAGACAGGTGGACTCACATTCCACCAGCATAGCCCCCTAGCCCGCGCATGCTTTCCGCTTGTACCGCCGTCATACGTAGGAGGTTCTCGAGATCGGAGACATTAGCTGTGAGCTGAGCGAGCTGGGAGTGGAGGTGGGAGAGCTGGCGGGGCTTCTGTGAGGGGAGGGTGCTGAGGCGCGAGGAGGTGCTTGTTTGGGGGCGTGGTTGTTGCGACATGATGGGATTGCGGTAAGCTCGGGATTGTGTTTGGATTGTTGACTCGATCTTCGAGGCTTTGCGTAGGGTCTGGATAGACGTTGTGTCTGGACGGAGTAGAGCGTTAGTAGGGGAGCTCCAGTCGGTTTACCTTCCCGATATAGCATCCCGAAAGAGCGTCCAAGCTCCATGACAACTTCGCCATCAACGGCACGAATACTTCCTCTCCAAACACGTCGACGTCGCAGCGATCGCCTCGAGTTTTCCGTGACAGGATCCGAATAGAATGTCTCAGCAGCAACAGATTCGCCGCTTGGTGATGACCGGCGCCGTCGCAGCCGTCACCGTAACCGGAGCTTGGTATGGAGCCGGACTGAAGACACGCCAGGAGTTCAAGCAGGTAAGCTATTACTGCCTCGTTCTTCTTTCAACCTTGCCACTTCTAGGCCTCCTGGCTCTCCCCATTCTCACCTAATACAATTCTGCTAGGTTAACGGGGTTACTAATCACCCGGTGCGTGACAGGAGAGAAAAGTCGTCCTAGAAGCGTCCCCTGAAGAACGGATATCACAGCTCGAGAATGCGCGCGCGAGACTCGTCACAAGGAGGACCGAGTTGGAGAAGAAGATATCCGAGCTCCAAGCCCGCCGCAACCAGAATACTACGGATACCCGGCCTGGAACTTGAGTTCGCTGTGTTAAGGAGGCTCTTGGGAACCACAGTACTGCCACTCCTATCAAGTTATGTGTTGAAGGCCGCCCGGGAACATTCGGAGCTCTACTAGCCATCAGCGACGCCTACCCACACCACTCGGGACAAGGAAGCGTTTATCAGTACACCGAACGACGGTTGCATCATCAGCACCAGGGAATCGCCCGCAGAGTAGCTTGTTTAGCAGGCACTTTCCAAGCCCTGCGCATCCTACAACCAGAATACAAACTGCTACGTCCACCTGCATACAGATTCTCGAAAAGGAAGCTGAAAGAGAGGGATGTCCATTGTATATTGGGACTGCTCGAGCTTGTTATACGGCGGCAAGAGTCATCTGTGCCAGCCGTATCCCATAGTTTCTTCGCCCGCAAGGAATTCGAACCATAGGGCTGGCTGATGGTTAACTGCTTGCGACAATGGACAGGAGCGTCACGTGGCCGTCACGTGGCTTTATCCTGAAACTCCCGCAACGTCATTCAGGGTCTGCCCCGCCAGACCGTTTACTTTACTCCACAACGCCTGAGAGCTTGAGCTCCGCAAGCTGACCCTAAGCATAGCCAAGCTGCTGCACCTACACATACAGCACATCCAGCCACGATGCCCTCCGCACTCATCCTCATCGCCGACGGCACCGAAGAGATCGAGTTCGTAACCCCCTACGACGTTCTCACACGCGCAGGCATCACAGTCCGCTCCGCAGGCGTGAATCTCAAGAACGAGCAGTTCGCCGTCTGCTCCCGCAACGTCAAGATCCTGCCGGACGCGCCGAGTCTGGACGAGAAGCTGCGAGCCGAAGAGTTCGATGCGCTGATACTACCCGGAGGCGCGCCGGGCGCGAAGGCGTTTTGCGATTCGAAGACTGTGCTACAGTTGTTACGGGATTTCAGGGAGAAGGGGAAGCTGGTGGGGTGTATCTGCGCAGGGACGACGGCGCTGGTGAAAAGTGTAGAGACTGAGGGAGGGGAGAGGAATAAAAGGGTGAAGGTGACGAGCCATCCGAGTGTCAAGGAGGGTATTGTGGGGAAAGGATGGGACTATAGTGAGGAGAGGGTTGTGGTTGATGGGGGAGTTGTTACGAGTAGGGGGTATGTTTCCACCTCACCGCTCGGAGAGAGTGCACTTAATGCGTAGGTCACTGACACGGTTGATTATCTTCAGGCCTGGCACTGCTATGCTTTTCGCGCTGACTATCGTGGAACAACTTTGTGGGAAGGAGAAGAGGGAGGAGATAACGGGTCCGATGATCTGTGCGGAAACATTGTAGCTGGACAATGTGTCAAGAAATATGCAGCTTCAAAATGGACTATGGAGTATGATGGCCACCGCTATTCGTATAGTCATACAGAAGCTATCGACCAGGACGCATCCATCCGGTGCGGCTTACGAGTACATGCACGTCACAGCATTCAAGTTCATATGAGATAAAGTCACGATAATCAGACTATCATTTTTTAAAGTAGCTGGCACTCACCGGAAGCGCAGGAACTCTACACCCTACTGCAGTCAAAACAACTGAAGACTCTGAGAAGGAAACACACAATCGAACAACAACTGCCAGCAGCTGCCTCGCACCACCCCACCCGATCCAGCGAATGCGCTAAGCTCTCCTTCTAAGCCCCCCATCTTCTTCAAGATACGGCACCACAAGCCTCCTCTCGTACGGGCACTACGCCGCGACAGGCGCAAACATCAAAGCACTCACTACCTCAAGGGTCCAATACCACATACCCTTCTCCTTGGGCTTCCGAACATCTCCACCTACGGGGACACGATCCATCTGCATGTAGTCCTCCGCGAGGACCGCCTCGTACTCTTGAGGCAGTGGGTTTGTTGTCCTAGTACTGGCCTCGCAGCCATGTGTTCGACGCTGTGCTTGGACACTGCCGACAATGCCTTTGTCAGGTGCGTGGCTCCCGGGTTCCGGCCGATTGAACTCTGAGTTTCCTGCTCCGGGAGACGGAAATTTGGAAGGAGAGTGGCTTTACAGCGCCGTCCGGTAATGCCCATGGAGAACACGATCACTTTCACAAGTAGAGTATTTTTGAGTCCCTCTCAGTGCAAACAGTACGATATTCACCGTGGTCGGTATACGAGAACGAATACCAGGCCGCTATTTTGATTGAAGATGCTGCCGGCGTCCTGTTTCATTCTATCTTGCCCGAACACGGATTTCTGGTTGGTATGGCTTGCCTTTCAGGGGGAGTCAATCCTAGCCGGCGGAATTTTCGCTCATACATGCAACGATTGATATAAGTCTGATGTGGTGATGCGACAATCACAGCCGGCCGATCTTGCGCAATGCTCTTGTATAGAGCATACTGCTGTGGACCATTAACGGTGAATCATGCGCCTCCGGGAGCTTCGGGAGAAAGCCAATAGTAAGGGTACCTTGTTCCAACCATGAAGGAGTGAACAACAGATGTAGGAGTAACCCCCGATCTTGATTTTTATGAGCTGGCGATGAGTGTACAAGAAGCGTAGCTGAGAAAACGACCATTTCAAGTTCAACCACTCAAGAAACCATGCAATTCATTCCAAAGCCCAAGGCGGCCATCCCGAACAACATGTCAAACCCTTGGAAAGACAGTTGACCACCTAGAAATCTCCGGAGCAGCATCCCAAACAGCCTTCTCTCGCTGCACTCAAAGCCTTGCTCATGCTGGTGTTGGTGACTGAGGTGGTGTGTATGACGGAGGGCCGTTGAATTCGATGATTGTGACAACCACTTGGGTGGCATCCGTATTACGGGCATCCACAATCCTTGCAGGAGCCGGCCGAGTAGGAGGCGTGTAAGCTGGCGGCGCGATATAAGGAGGCGGCGCCGTGTCTTGCCTCGCTATCCCCGACCCCGGAAGCGGCTCAGGACCACTGCGTGCAAGGTCGACTAGCCGTGTGCCACGGTCTTCGCCGTTCTCCGAACGGGATCTGCGGCTACCGAAGTATTCGCGTAAGGCGCCTCCATAGTGAGGCAACATCGTGCGCGCAAAGCCGAAACCCCCCTCGCTAGGGTAGTGGTCACTCCCCGCAGCGACTCTATCCCACCAATAATTCCGCAGGATGCCGAGTGCGTAGCCCAGCACCAGTATTCCCACGATTGCTGCGAGGATAACAAAACCTGAGGCGTACTCAAGAGCGGACGCGTCGGTCTGGCTGACTTCTTCGATTGTAGCCCGCACGAGGAGCATGGTAGGGTTGATTGGTACCATTCTTGAGTCGCGGAGATCGGATGGAATTGCGAGTTCAGAGATCGGACGAGATTGCTGGGTAGAGCCGTTCTTTGATGATGTTGATCGAGAGCTTGCTGACAAAAGCTGGTAGTTCCGGAGCGTTGAATGAGGCAGGAGATCTTGACGGTGATTTCGAAATACCCAAAGTGCTTTTGACCGAGAAGCGCAATGTGCTGAGGGGGAAGTGTCGAGCGACATGCACGGCGTTTTATTGTTCTTTTCTGGTGTATGTTCACGACTCTCGCGTATGTTCACCTCGCAGGTGAGGCAGTGCAATGGCAGCACTGATAGGCCTATAAGCGACCATCAGCATAGTGAGAGCAGCTGTGACCGTAGAACTAGCCACCATGTTGCCATTTACTAGACGGCAGCTGTTGCAAGCTTGGAAGGATTCAGTGAATCAGCGTACACAACACATATGTCAGCAAGGTTGAATCACAACAAAAACATTATGGGACAGGAGGGTGTCAGGGCAGAACCCCCGTTTCATACTTTTTGGTCTGCTGCTTACCAGAAGCGGAGCTGTGGAGGAGTACTTCCGCAGATGGACCACCAAACTTATCCAAAGAACCGCCCGATCTATCCAGATAACCACCCCGAATATTCAAGAACAACAACGAGAAGTTAGACTTACCGCCAATTAGACCCAGCCCCTGCGCCGAGAAAGATCAAATCCACCACCCAGAGAGCAAACCTCTCGTATGACCTGCTGGCATCTCACCCGAACTGTTTCCCTGCCACTTGCGGGTGTTGGCATTGGGAGAAAGCGTTTGATGCAGTGTTGGTGCCTAGCGTAGGGACGCTCAAGAAGGGAAAGCCTCGGAGTTTAGTGAATCACCATCAGCGAACTTGATACGACCGGGCCTTGTGGGCCTCGGGTGAGCGAGATGTGCGTACGGTGAAGAATCGTGTGGTGAAGTATCGTCCGGTGGAGGCTCGTCCAATGGAAGGCTCTCAGTTACCCGTTGTTCCTCAGTAGCCCGTGGTTTCTCAGAGACTTGGTGTTCCTCAGGCCCGCTATTCTGACGCCGAGCGAGCCTTTGGGCGTGGTCAGCCCGGCTTTCCTTAGCCGCGCTGTCTCCCGTAGCGCATTTCCAGACGACTGCACCTACCCAGCCTAGCATGCCAATGGCGACGATGACTCCGAGGACGATGCCTCCTAGCGCCCATTTTGAGAGTCCACGTCCAGAAGTGGCTTGTTCCTGGGTAGCCTGTCGGACGAAAACGCTGCCGTGATGAAGCATCATCGTCGAAGTGGAGGTGGCGATATTTGGGACGATCATGTCCGCAGGACTCAAATATGAGAGAATAAGTGTTGAGTAGTAAAGTCCGGAGGAGATCGATTTTCAAGTCGATCGGGTTTCGGCTTCGCCGATATCTGGAGTGTTTTGGAAGAAGTTTGAAGATTCCTAAGAAATTTAAAAATCTCAAGTGTTTCCCGAACGCAAGGGAAGCTGGTTGATGCAATGATGCCTCAGTACAGAGGGGAGTACATGTCGTTTTATACACCCCTCCTAGCGCACTTTCGCCCCCTTCCTGCCATACTTCGACCCCTGTTCTGGTGCATTTTCACCCTTCTGGCGCAATTTTACCCTTCTAGCGCAATCTCATCATTTGCGTAGCATTCGAAAACGCAACTCATAGGGTGATAATGCTATTGTCAGTACGGACGGTGTCTATTAATAGACAACGAGACTACACTGCTACAACGCGGTGTGCTGTTCCGCAGAACGCCTTGCCCGAAACGGATGTTGGTGTTGGATAATGCAAATGTCAGAGCGCAACACTGCCTTGACGGCGATAGAGGAGTTTAGGGGTTGGGACTTCGAGCTATAGTGTGCATCAGTATACTAGATGGTAATTGGTACGACCTTTGCAATACCAGGGGGATCATTGTGCATAGCACAAAATATAAGGAATAACGAAACTTGGGTTGAGAGTAAATCCCAATTTTGATTTGTTTTGGCTGCAGCTTACCAGAAGCGCGTCTAAGGGGAGTACTTACTAGCATGAACCAACCATTCGACCTATCCAAATGACCACCCAGTCTAATCAATCAATCAACCACCCAAAATACCCAAGCGAATTACCCGGAAACTCAAACGAACCACCTAGGAAAGGCTGACTTACCGTTCAAAACACCAGTGGTATGCCCGAGGCTGCCGCTGCACCGACTAGAGCTCTAGGAGGCTGCCGCACCCTGACCCTCCCCCTGACTGACGGTGGGGGCCGGGGTGCATTGTGGTGGCACTGGCATGTCGGAGCGCGCGCTGGAGCGCTCAGCCCGATTCCTTCGAATCCCTGATGGTCAGAATCCGTACTAGGTATGTGCTGTGCAGGGCTCGCAAATCGAACACCCCTGGTTCTTGCCGGTTCTGGGCGACGCGGTAGCGAATATGGCGGGGTGGGGGTACCACCCGATCGAATCTGTTTAGAGGCCTGATGCTCCTCCGGGCCACTGTTCGTGGCTTGTGCATGACGCCGAGCATGGTCGGCTCGACTCTCCTTTGCCGCCTTGTCTCCAGTCACACATTTGTATAGGACGGCGATTAACCATCCTAGCATTCCGATGGCGACAATCAGCCCAAGGACGATCCCGCCAATGGCCCACTTGGACATACCTTCACCCTGGACTTGTTCAGGAGCGCTCTGGCGCGTGAAGATAGCCCCATGATAGGGCATGGTACAGTTGTGGACTGTGCTGTTCTGAAGAAACATGGTTGAATGAGCCGGCTCCCGAGTTGGACCAATGAAAGATTGAGTAGTGGTTGTTGGAAGTGATTGGGTTCTCAAGTTTGGACTTCTTTCCTGGTGCGCCGAAGGAAGGTTGAAGGTTCCTGAGAAACTCTTGGAGGTTTCAACTGTCCCCTGATGTAACAGAAGTTGGATGAAGATCAAATCCAGAGGGCAATCCACTGCGATTTAATACCCCTTCTGGGACACTTTCACCCCTTGCCTGCCATACTGTTCACTATTTGGTCACAACGCTACAATGGCATTGTGAGAAGAACAATGCCGTTGCAAGCGTTCGCGCGATATCCTGGACAGAACAATGGAAGTCCGGTGCTGCCGCGCAATGTGGAGTCCCATAGAACGCCTTTGTCCGAGATGGTTGTTAGCGTTGGACCAATGTAACAGTCGGATTACAATGCTGGCTCGACGGCAATAGAGAAAAATTTATTGGACATATGAAGTTTTAGCGAACGCTTGACGACACGGACGTTCGTGTGTCGGGTTTAGACGGCGCCAAGCTTGGAGTCATGGACTGTCTCAACGCATTCGGTCGACACAAGCTAATGCTACTCACGCTGAGCATAGCCTGGGGGCTCCTTGGTTAAGGGAGGATGTTGTCCTCTAGATTATAAGAATGTGGATGACGCAGTGTATAGGTTGAGATTGTTGACAGTAGCCTGGCAGCGCGCGCCTCTGTAACAGGCGAAGCGACCATATATGAACGAAAGAGGAAGAGCGAGACAACAGAGGAGATTTGAGACAAGAACCCTTGAAAGGCATCTGAGACATTGACACAAGCCTCTACGATGAAAGTGGAGACAATGGAGGGAGAAGCACCATCTCACAACGGACCTAGGCAAGATGATGTCCACAGCCGGCTGCCACACACCAAGCCCAGCAATATCCGAGAAAGTGTTGCCCGGGTTTGATGTTGCCGGAGAGCAAACGGTCTTATCTTCACGGCAGCATGATATACTTTTGCTATCTCGGCAAGGTGATAACCTTATACCAGTGCAGAATTCAAAACTAGGCTACGAAGATAAGGGGCAGTGGCTCGATTCGATGGTGAATTTGTCTGCTGATGGCATAGTGCGCTTTGGTTATGGTTCCTTTCATGATCCGAGCAGGAGCCTCGAATCTGAGTCCGAGTCCTACAGCTTGAGTCTCTAAAGATATTATCATCTTCAACTGACGGAAGGCGTTGTTAGGCTTCGACTGTGACGTCCGGTGGAAATTAGTACGTCTGGTCAGTTTGCGGAACCAACATGCTCATTGTCGGTTCTGGCGTCCTTCCGGACGAATGGCGATCGAAAGACATACATGTCTCACACAGACACATGGCAGGTCTTTCAAGCTTGATGGCATGGAGTGTCGAAGTTGAATCATTGTCAGTTTGTGGAGGTTCCTCCGTCAGGCTGTTCCTGAGATCGCTCCCGCAGCGCCGCCGATCCTCCGCCCTGCGTCTCAGCATCATCATCAGCCCGTTGCCCTTCCCACAGCTCTCTCCACCCATTCCACCTCCACAATGTCTCCAAAGCGGTCCGGAGCTTACCAGAAGCTCCCCTCCCTGCCATGCCAGCTACGTCGCGACCATGGGCCCTCGTCTCACCCGCATCGCGCGGCATCGGGCTGCAGCTAGCGCGGCGCATCCTCCAAACGACCAATGTCCCCGTTGTCGCAACAGCGAGAAAGGAGCTTGACAGAACCAAAGGAGAGATCCTAAATGGACTGAAAGTCGACGAGAGTCGCCTCGATGTGCTCAAGGTTGACATGCTTGGTATCACTTCCCCCACCTTTTACCAATCTTCCACCAGCCCTGCGAGCTCTACAGCAACCGAAGATAGTCACGAATACTGACCACACCGCTCTCTAACAGACGAGACCACCATCGAGTCCGCAGCCTCCCACTGCGCCTCCAAGTTCCCTACCAAGGGCGATGGCGCGCACCATCTCCACCTCGCCTACATAATCCCCGGCCTCCTCTTCCCCGAGAAGTCCCCCCGCCAAATCGACGCCTCCTCCGCACTCCTCACGTTCCAAACCAATGCGCTCGGCCCGCTGCTAATGCTGAAGCACTTCTCGCCCTTCCTGCCCAAGAAGAACGCCTCCTTTGCCGAGGAGGACGACGCGATGAAAGGCCTGCCGAAACAAGCAATCATGGGCCTCATGTCCGCGCGTGTAGGCAGTATAACGGACAACACCCTCGGGGGCTGGTACTCGTACCGCGCATCGAAAGCGGCGGTGAACCAGATCACGAAGACGTTTGATAATTTCCTGAGGTCTACGGCTGGAGACGCGGCGATGGCGGTTGCGCTGCATCCGGGGACGGTAAAGACGGAGTTGAGTAGAGAGTTTTGGGGGAATGTGAGGGAGGAGAAGTTATTTGAGGCGGAGTGGGTGGCGGAGAGATTGGTTGAGTTGCTGGGGGGTGCGAAGGGGGAGGCGCAGCGGGAGGAGAGGAGGTTGAGGAGGGTGCTGGGCGTAGGGGAGAGGGGCAGGTGTTGGGATTGGAAGGGGGAGGAGATACCGCCATGAGGGCTGATGTGGGTGGATAGGAGGTGTTCAGGCACAATTGACGACCGGGAGTGTAGTGCTGCGATCACCGCTATACAGGAGTTAGGTTCCCGTGGCGGTCCCGTTGTATCTGAGATCATTGGCAAGTGCCATTTTCTAGGTACTAGCAGTCTTTCGCCCATCCATATGCCATCCATCCATCCGTCCAATGCAAATTACCAACATAGGAAACGTCCCATCTTCCACTGATTCGGCTCTCTCGCACTCCTCTAGGCATCGTCTTCCTTGTTCAGCGCCTTAGCCCGATCCTTCAACGCCTCCTTACTCTCAGGCTCCCCCAAATTCTCCGCGATCACTGGACCCTGCATCACGTGCACCGTCAGCATCAGCCCTGTTTTGCCCTCGCCATTCCCGTCTCATCGACCAGCTCCTTCGCTTTGTCCTGCACCATCTCCGTCATGGCTGCCGCGGCCGAGCTCTGGAGCGTCTGAGCCTACGTTCTTAACGGAGAGGGCGGGGCGGTGCAGGAAGTATCGAGGAGACAGGATAGGCGTAGGAAGGGGAAAGGGAGGAAGGAAGAAGAAGCTGAAGAGGATCACATACGGGATTGGCCTTGTGGTCCATGGCGCTGGCCTTTCCGCCAGATGTCGCGCCCGTGTCTTCCTGGTGCAGCTCGTGCGTGCTGGCGGTCGAGTCGGAGGACTCCTTTGCGACTTGATCGGTTAGATCTGGGGCAGCGCGCGTCAGCTTATGAGCAGACTTTGGTAGTGCAGCAGAATAGCGTAGAGGATTGGATAGAGGGATGTGGCTAGAAAGGCTGAAGGGGCACTGACTGCCTTCGGCAACTTCCTCGCTGGGGTGGACAGGCATATTGTCTTTGCTGCGGATCGGGACGGTAGCTTCGTTTGAGTCTGCTTCTGTGTTTGCGTCTTTGAATGCGTTGATGATGGGGTCGTAGTGTTTGTCTTTCTGAGCGTAGTAATCTTGGATGCGTTCGTGAAAGGAAGGCTGGTTTGCGGTTGTGGTGGCCATATTGGAGGATGGGGGGTTCATGGAGGGGTCACACGCTGACGTCGTTGACGGCGTGATCTCTTGAATCAACACCTCAGGCATCAAATATTCTACTGACATCCGCAAGGCTTACTTTCAAGTACGAGTACACATACGGGGCATCGTGTTCTCACTGCTGTGCTAGGGCGACGTGCAATTTTTGTACGCGACTGAAGCCAATTAGAGCGATGGACAGGCAAGTCAGTGGGACCAACGTGGCCATGGATCATAGCGCTTCTGCTGCGAAAGGTCGACGCAAGAGGCCGAGGGTTCCCGAAGAGAGCAGAGAAAGAGTTGCAAGAGCGTGAGTTGAAAAGGCGCTGCTTCTGTTGAGACCGCTAAAGCTCTGTCCAGCTGCGAGGCGTGCCGCAAAATGAAGGAGAAATGCCACCGGCAGGGAGGTCAGCCCTGTAGTAGATGCACTCGGTTGGGTCGTTCCTGCGAATTCAATGATATATCCAAGTCGCCTGGGACTCGCCCAAAGGGCAGGTATGGAATGAACCCAGATGGTCTCACAAACCACAACATGTGTTCATTGACAACCTCAAGTGGTCTCGACGGCTTCTTTGACGTGGAGACGATAAGGATTATGGAGCAAATCATCACACATTTCACGGGGACCACGACCTTTGATAAGTTACGACTTGAGCAGGTTGCTGCTGGTCTTCATCATGGGTGCTCCACTGATCAAATACCTATCCACGATGCGCATTCGAATGACTCTGCGGAAGCGATCAGTGAAGATGAAGAGTTTATCATCAGTGCTGTCTCCCCTACTACCACATGTACGTTTGCCACTGACCAGAGGCGGACACCACGGCCGTTCTTTTTCTCATCTCTGACCGAACGAAATATATTCTGGAGTGTTATCACACTCCAATTTCTCAAGTCGCGTCCAGCAGAAAGTTGGCAGTCGTCTCCACACTACCTTTCCAGAGGTACCGAGCCCGCATTCGCTAAAATATCAATTTTCTTACAATCGTTCATCAGCATCAAGCCAGAGGCACTGCGAAGGGAGATCCTCTTAGGGCAACACATCTCCGCTCTCCACCCTTCATGATTGTCGATGCCACCGCTTCGTTCCCGCCGGCAGGAATTGCGTATTTTCTCTTCGACGTTTTCTTCGATTATGCCCAGACGAATTATTCATATGTGGACGAGTGTTCACTCCGCCAGAAGCTCCAGGATTTCTATACGCTGACTCCTGTTCTGGGGACCCATGATGCGCCCTGGATCTGCACGGTTCTGATGATGTTTGCGGTCGGTACGCAGTTCGCACATTTGAGCTCAAGGCCCCACGAACATCACTCGGTAGAGCTCAGCACCGGACAAGAAGATGCACACTCAGCTGACGACGCTGTTGTGCTTACCTTTTATCACTCGGCCTCCAGGCTCATCCCGGATGTCATTGCAGCTGCCTCCATCGACAGTGTCCAAGCTTTCCTCCTGCTTGGTGTATATGCTCTGCCTATTGACGCAGCCGGGTTATCCTGTACGTATCTTGGGATTGCCATCAGAATAGCAACTCAGAATGGCATGCACCGCAGGTATCACAAGTACCTAGAACCTCGGCAGATTGAGCTACGCAATAGGATTTGGTGGACTGCATTCACGCTGGAAAGGTCCGTGGCATGATTTGCCTTCCAACTACCACGTGCTGACGTGGTGTAGACGCATTAGTGTCTTACACGGCCGGCCGGTGTCAGTAGCACGATCAGAAGTGGACTCAGATCTGCCAACAGACTTTCCCGAGTTGCGACCAACAACTCGAATTGACACCTTACCGAATGTGTTGGCGATGATCAAGTTGACGGATGCTCTGGAGGATGCTAGAGACAAGCTGTATGCTTTCTCCAACCACTCCAGAATGAGCTTACGGGACTTGGCTGACGCCTCTATAGGTTATCGTTAAAGAAAGCTCCCAGGAAGCTCAGATCCACTGTATTCGGCTCTATTCTGCAGTCAAAACGAGAATTGCAGCAGTATTGGCAGTCACTACCAGATGCAACCTTTTGCAGAGACTTGACCCCTGACAAACCACTTTTCCGATTCAATGTCCACCTGGTCTTGACTTATCATCTAATACACATCTTTATTGGACGGTCCTTCATATTCAACAGAACAAGAGCTAGCAGTCCTGACACCCCAATCGAACAGTACCTCGCAGACTGGGTTGAAACGCGGAACGTACTTGTCGCAGAGTGCGTCCAAAGCGCGGAGGCTGTGATCGATCTGTGTCAAGTTCTGCATGATGAGGTGGGTCTCGCAAGAGCATCTTATACCGAGTTCACTTCATGCTGCGCTGCAATTCTAGCAGTCCTGGCGCAGCGTATATCTGCGGGACCTGTGGGACCTGCGAATGACCTTCGCCTCCAAAGCGTCTGCAACAAAGGGATCAAACTTATCAAGCAGTTGTCAGTCGGCATCTATTCCGCAAACTCCGAAAAGCTGGCGGTTGAGGTCTTGGAGAGGGCTTTACACCGACTCGATCCCCGTGGCCACAAGGAAGCTTCTGAGAGCACACGTAGATCTGCCTACACGCAATTCAAGGACTGGGCCGTGCTTCAACAGAGTGAACCGGGAGAAAGGGAACAGGCGAGCGCTTTGGGCCATGCTGGCAACTTGGCGCCAGCCAGTCACAATCTTGACGTTCCGGACTTCTCTCAATCGTCACTGCTCGAGGGCACCGAATGGTATGGTGACTCTGGTTGCAACCCCTTCGAGTTGGGTGAACTTGCTTCGGTACCCGGCTTGGACCAGTTGTTCGAGTACGGCTTGCTTTGATCACAACGCTGTTCTCAAACAAAAGCATGCAGAGTGACAGAAGTGGCTTATACAGTACACATCATTCCATACTTGGCTTCAACCACGAAGGAGGGTGCATTCATTGAAGAAGCGGCGGCCGCTTGACCACCCCCCAATACCATCAAGAAGAACTAACACACAGTTTGTATGATTCACATCTGAACCTTCCATTTGCTGAAGCTATATTTAATGAGTCGGTCGCCCTTAGTAAGCACCTAGATACTGTATTGAGAAGCTTTGTGGCTGCGTGCCGTCAAGCGGCCTCTTCCTCCGTAAACACCCTAACACCCTCTCCATCGTATGGTCTTCCACTGCTAAAAGAAGCCACGTATAACAACGCCTTGCAATGAACAAACGGCCCCAATGAAGCTTGATAGGTAATCTATATGATGATGTACTTCAAATTTTTACTTCGTCATGGTTCGCGATAGGATCGAAGCCGCATCTGTTGTCATGTGTGGGTAAAGACGATTATGAGAGGGGGCACGTGACCGGGTGCATTGCAACCGGGTGCAAGTACCCGGTCTCGTCTCATCCTCAAGTGGCACCCGGGGCAAGAATCAGTTTCTTTCCTCTTGATCGATGGGACTCCTCCGGTATTTCAGATAAAACTACAGTATAAGAACCTGCAGCTAGTTCAGTTCATCTTGGTGCATGCCTTCCAGACAGCAAGTGATTCTTTCCACTACAACGCACTAAGACCGCATAGTTAAAGCATCATCATTCATATCTCATACGTCCAACTTCACAATATCACATCATGTCTAAGTTGACGGACTACCGTCTCTTGTCTTTCGACGTCTATGGCACGCTTGTCGATTGGGAATCAGGCATCCTGGCTGCATTGCAGCCCACCCTCGACGCCAACAACCGCACTGATTTCTCGCGCCAGCAGCTGTTAGACGTTTACCATGAGCTTGAAGTCACGCAACAAAGCAAGACTCCAGACCTCACTTATGCCGAACTCCTCGCCACGATCCACCCTCAGATAACCGCCAAGCTTGGACTCGCTCCGCCAACAGCCGAGGATTCTGAAAAGTTTGGACAATCGATTGGCGAATGGCCCGCTTTCCCAGACACAGTGGACGCACTGGGCCGACTATCAAAGCACTACAAGCTGGTCGTCCTCTCGAACGTTGACCGAAAGTCGTTTGCTGCAACCAACGCCGGGCCACTCCAAGGCTTCAAGTTTGACTTGGTAATCTCGGCTGAGGACGTGGGCTCTTACAAGCCCGACCTTCGCAACTTCGAATTCATGCTCAAGAGGGTAAAGGAGCAGTTTGGGGTGGAAAAGTCAGAGATACTGCAAACGGCGCAGAGCCAATTCCATGACCATCATCCGGCCAAGGAGATGGGCATAAAGTCGAGCTGGATTGTGAGGCCGGGGACCTCAATGGGCAATCGGGACAACGCTGTGTACGACTGGAAATTTGATACTCTTGGCGATATGGCGGATGCATTGGAGTAAGAGATGCGAGCACGCTCGACCTGATTTACATGAACCGGAGGGGCACCGGGCCGGGTGCGCAGCCAGGCGTAACCGGACTACAAAGCTACTAGTCGTGTTGCAAATGTATATATCAAGATCTCCATAGGCTGTTGTCACACATTTCGTGTCAAGTAGCTTACAACTTTCAGCCTAGCTTCGCTGTTTTATCTTGTGAGTTCATCGCCATGGTAGGAACATTCTATGGAAGTGACCTTGAGCAACTCCGCCCCCTAGGTCAGTCGTGCCCACTAGCCTCTGATCTATCTCTAATATTCACCCAGGGCGACTTGAGCGATACTCGGCAGTACGAAGCCATCTCGGTATCTACCTTAATGTTGGCGTTACCGCCTGTTACCGGCGGCAAAGCAGCGAACCTTTAAAGCCGGCGCTCTTTCGCGCTCTAGCAGTTGTCATCTCGAAACGCCCAATACTTTCAGCTATTCCAGTCAATGTCGATACGACATCTCCTCACTTTATACGACTGCCCCATATCCCCCTACAAAGGACGGTGACCTTTATAAAGAAGCACGACTATTGTGAAGTCCAAGGAACAGGCCTTTGTCTGGACAAACTTCTTGAGGAGCAGCACAATCGACCTTTTGGCTATGAAACACCGCTGCTGCCATTTTGGAGGCTATGTGTGGTTGAAGATCCTGCTGACGCCTCGGTATTCGCGCTTGCATTCATATCCCATCATAGTATAGCCGATACCCAGAGTGCTCTCGTCTTTCACGAAGACTTAGAGGATGCCCTTTCTCACCCAACACAGGCTTGGTCAACTGACATCGTCTCCACGCCCACGATGGATCTCATACCCCCACTGGAAGATTTGCATGATCTCCCCGTTTCTGAGGAATTCCTCCGCCGTCAGCAAAGCTACTGCGCCCCTTCGCCTTCGGCCTGGACCGCAGCTCCGCAAACCGTTCCCGTCAAAACCCGGTGCACCTCCCTCTCTCTTTCCACAGCCACGACTCAGGCCCTCCAAAGAACTGCCAAGGAAGAAAAGTCCTCCATCACCGCGATGCTGCACAGCCTTCTCGCAGCGAGTCTCTTCCACATCTTACCGCCAACGTACACAACGCTGAACGCCGACTGTGCCGTCTCCTTACGACGCTGGCTCCCGTCCCCAATCATCCCATCCTCAATCGGCTGCTTCGTTGGCTCTTTCGCGCAGACATACAGCAGGGGCCCCTTCAGCTGGAGCGAAGCTCGCAGGACCAAATCGACCATCGACCACGCTGTGCAAAGCAGAGGCGCGGACATGCCTGTTAGTTTTCTGCGGCACGTGCCAGATATGCACCAATGGTTTGGCGAGAAATTGGGGCGACAGAGGTTGAGTGCTTTTGAGCTATCCAATGTGGGGAAGTTGGGCCCGTTGGAGAGACAGGGGGACTATAGGATAGAAAGTTTGCTGTTCAGCCAGGGCGCTAGCGCTTGCAGTGCAGCAATCAAGGTTAGTGCGGTGACTGGAAGGGATGAGAGATTGGCTCTGGGTTTCTCGTGGCAGGAAGGTGTTGTGGATGATGATATAATGGAAATACTTGTGGCAAGGCTTCGGGAGGAATTTGAAAAAATCGTGGCCCACTGCTGAGATTGTATCAAAAGCACTGTTGCCTGGACATGCGAATTGTTGCTCTACATTGATTGTAGAAATTGCGAAAGAGACGGGATTCAAAGAGTGGTCCGGAGAAGGAGTTACCACAACACATGGACAATGGACCTGGATACGTCTCTATTTTTTTTTTGTCGATCGAGGTGAGTCGCGGTCAAGATTCAGACAGTAAAAAGCACAGTTTTTTGGACACAGCAATCCATGCGGCACGGCAGCAAAGCTCTGTGAAGCTTAAACGGCATATGAAAGTTTTGGCTTCGTGGAGAACTGGCGTCCGGCCGCAGTGGTACGGTATCCAATTTGCTGAACAACAAGAAACAAATTTGCAGAATTAAGACGGTATTCTCCGCCCTTCAGCGTTGTCGTCCGAGTATATGCTCAACTATTTACATTGAAGATTACATGATCATCACAAGTTTCCATGCCAGATTCCCCTCCCCCACCTGTGCGGCAGATTAGATTAAGTGGGTGGCTGCTTCTTAAAAAGAACGAAAGAAGGCGGCTGTGTATCGCCGATGTGTTCCCAAGACCCAATTTCAAGAAAATAATAAATCCGCTCATGGTTCTAAGTCCCATCGGTATGTATGCCGCGGACGCCGAGAAACAATGGTGAGAGGTTGGTCCCAAAGATCTAGAGTCGCCGTATAAACAGAAAAAGAAGAGACCGTCCGGAAAGCGCCCCGAGTGAACCGCCGAAAAATGCATTTACCACGAGAAGGTCATCAACGCGGGATTGAGTGCTATTGGCAACAACAGATGGCTCACCGTGACCGTCGCCATGGGCAAGATAGCCACGAAATCCTTGATCATCCAATCATGCGGCACCCAGGGCGCGACGGCAAGGAAAATCATGCCGAAGATGCCGAACAGCGCAAATGCGATGCTGTATTTAAAGCTCTTCAGCACTTTGGGCACTTCGATGAAGAAGTTGGAGAATTCGGCTTCCTTGGAGGTGGCGCCCCAGGTCATGTCGATCTCGAACATGTGTGCCAATAGCGCTTGCGAGACGTGGAGAGAGAGACCACCCAGGAAGATGGCCAACATGAGGATCCACTTTAAGTTCTCGAGCAGCGCGCCGAAGAAGCTGCGGTCGCCGATGCGGTATCTCATGATTGCGAGCGCCACATTGCCGAGACCGTTGAAGACGATGACGATGGAGAACCACACTTTCCAGCTGTCGATGTAGTACTTGTCGAGATATCCGTTGAACCAGCCGATGGCGAAGTAGTTTGCGGTCGTTAGTATCCAGGCAGCGCCTATGGCATAGTAGGTACCGATATATGAAACGATAGTGACCTTCGAGGTGAATCGGATGTTGCTGAACAGGAAGCGGCGGAAGAGCTCGGTGAATGGTCCGCGGGTGAGCCAGAGGCGCATTGGGTGGAACAGAAGCTCGTTGCAGCCGTACGCGTACTTTTCCCAACGCGCCAGTTCGTCGTAGACAGTGAGCGAGACACCCTCCTTGAAGCCCTCGCCAGCCCAGGCGGCTAGACGGATGATGTAGCCATTGCACTGCAGACGAAGCGACATGTCGAAGTCTTCGGACACGTGAGATTCTGACCAGAACTTCTCGTAGCCGTCTTCGTCGAAGAAAGAAACCTGCTGGATGGCGGACCACCGGAGGATAGCGTTGTGGCCGACAAACGGAGCAACGTCACCGTTGGAGACCGTGTATCGAATGGCCGTGTAGATCAAGTTGGTGAAGAAAGTGATACCGTTCTCGAAATACGTGTGGACAACCTGCATGACACCAGACGAGAACTGCATGATGCCGACTTCCGGAGACTGCTCCATTTCGCTGGCAGCATCAAGCAAGCAGTCGGCCGGCACACGAGTATCGGAGTCAATAAGGATGATGTAGTCGCCGACACGGATGTTGCCATCTGCCCACGCGCGGCCGTTCTCCTCGAGAACTTCCTTGAGGCAGCGCTCATATTCGCGCGCCTCGTCGTTCTGAGACCAATCCTCGGGGCGGTGGATTTGAGCTAGCTTTTCTTCGACATTGTTGGAAATCATGAGGCCGAAGTTCATGTTAGAGGCCTGCAAGGCTGCGTTAGCGATCTGCATGCAAGGGACTTCGGATCGACACGCCGACATCGCACCGCGTGCTGGGCGTCCCGATCACGAGGCAAAGCTTAAACTGACCTTCTTGAATTTGCCTCTGCGCGTGAATCCATTCTCGCCGTGCTTTGGACGTGCGGTCCATCCAATGCTGTGGTCTGCATAAAACTCGATTCTGGCCTGGCGCTCTTCCTCACCGATGATTTGCAGACCGTCGTCATTGATGAACATGTTCGCAGAACCACCCTGCAATTCGTAGGTAGACATAGCCTGCTTGATGGACTTAACGGTTGGTGCAATGACAGATGCGAGACCCTCCTTGTAGACTGGGCACTGAATGGTAATGTGCGGTAGTGTTCTGCCTGTAATGCGACGAGGCAGAAGTGCCGAGTAATATCTCGAGTTCTGTGTCATCTGGCGAACGGGACCGATGCATTGTGCGATACAGCCAACGATTACCTGTGCGAAGAAAAGCGTGAAGAAGACCTGGATGGGCGTGAGGACGAGCAGCGCAAGACGAGCGTAGCCCTTGTCGACCATGACCTCGATGGCGATCTGTCGGAAACCAGCGCCCAACATGACAGTGATGATCAGCAAGGTGAATCCGACTAGCACACTGTTCATGATGTGCGTCGGTCGCTTTTCCGGCTTCACCTCGCCGCTTTCCTCGTCGATCTCGCATTCTACGACGGCAGGTCCTTTCTTAGAGCCCTCGTCCTCCTCCTCTACTTCACCGGTCTTCCACACCAGTTGCATCAGCTCGTTCTCAATGGCCTTTGCGCGGTTGATGATGTTCATGGCTTCGTCGTCCCACACGATAAGGAGAGCCTCTGATGCGATGAAAGCGGCGAACTGGTGCTTCCTAGCCTTCGGTAGATCGTCAATCGTGGGAAGGATTTGTACTCGTAGACCGTTCATGAGCGGTACATCGACGGCGTCGGGAGCGCATTGGAGGAATGTCTTGATGATTCGGGAGTTCACGGTCATGGCGACCTGTTCTTGGGTCAGCAACCTACGAAGCAGTCGCACCTTGTGCGAGGCTTACCTGGACATTGAGCTGGGCACAGTAGTGCGCGAAAGCAGACTCGGCGAGTTGAGGCGGGCACGCCATGTAGTTTCCCCGGCTTTTTCTTAGCAGTACACCCTCAATCTCCCCGCTGCCGTCACCGACCCATAAGGCACCGCATTGCTGCTGGAAGAGGTAGTTGACCATAACCTCATGTTTGATGTCGTCGAGGAAAGTGCTGTGTACGGAGCCGGCAACTGATGCTCGTCCGGACATTGGTGGTGTAGAGAATCCAGGCGATGGGGGTACTAATGGTGTTCCATATCCAGGTGAAGATGGTTGTTGCGGGAAGCCCTTTTCATTGAGTGTCGGTGATAATTGAGCCATCTGTTGTCGAGGCTGTTCCTTCTCTGAAGGCTTGTCCTTCTTGAAGAACCCCATCGCTCCGGTAGGGGTGGAGGAGTCTTGGAAAGCGAATGTGAATGCCTAAGCGGCGTGCTCTTCTATTCCGCTGCTCGAGCCGTTGCAAGCGAAAATGCAAACGCCTGCGATGGTTGTTACTCGTGTCTCCACACCAAGTTGTTCAACGTTACTCACGTTGGGATCGAGCAGTTGAGATTGCTTCAGTTGAGCCTGGTAAGCTAAATTCTATGGAAGAATATAAGAGCAAGTGGACCAAGGTACTGGAAAGTGGATGACAATGCGAGCAAACTGCTGGCTAAACGAGGGACACAACCAGGAAGATACAGAACACGAAGCCTGTTCTCCTCGAAGATTGGAATTGAAGAAAAGAGAAGAGCGAGGGTGGGGGAATTGTCGGTACTACAAGGAACGGCGGTGGGTGCAGACGGGTGGGATATGTAAAAGGCATCAACTGGCTAAGTGCATCAAGGGAGCCCGGCGTGAGCCTGCTCGATGAGATTAGCTATCGGCATGAGCCCGTTGGACTATTTTTGCGGTGGCTCTATCTAGCTCCTCCAAAAGAAACGCGATGCCATGGTGAGCTAGTTGGGGGGAATTCGGTAAGGCCTTGTCACTCAGATACCCCATCGAAGTTACAAGGGCCGAGCGAGATTTGATGCAGGGCCATCGCTAGTGATCAAGGATAGAGAGGCGCGTGCATCCCATGCAACCCTGGAATAGCAAAGCGGCTCTGTGCTGGCCGGGGCGAGCTCAAAGTTGATTCACACGGCGCTCTTGAGCCGGCCATTGTCATTGCTTGGAGCAGATTCGAGGCATCAGAGACACCGGAGAGGCTGCCATTGCGTATGGCGTGAGGTTCCATCAACCATGGGCGGCAAGGTTAGCTGGCCGCTGGTGGAATCCCCGTTTCACCGGTCCTCATTAGGCATGGCTTGTCTGGCTGCAGGTACAGGGCGCACCGATAAAGTGCGGCAACGCCATGAGTGCCTTCTGCCGCCTTGGACGCCCCAACTGTACCTGCTCATCTTGCATCCGCTGTGAGGTGTCGTCCACAAAGCTTATCTCCCGGTAGTGAACCAACCAGAAGCCCGCCTCTGTAATGTTTCTATTCCTGAATCCCTTCGCCGCGCATTTGATTGACATGATCGCCGCTCCATGCTTGCTTGATCAGCGAAACGTGCGACGAGATCAACGTGGAGGAACTGTCAAAATCCTTACACATGCCGCAAGGCCATTGGCACGATGCCCCTGTGCAAGTCGTGACTGCCGAGGAGTCGCCCCTTTGTGAGCGGAGGTCAATTAATTAAAGTGGGCTGGGCTGACATCAGGCTCCTCTTCGCTAGCACATGGCGAGACAGGCCAGCGGCTCTAGCTGCGCATCTCCCGTGGCGCCGACGAGAGTCAACGAAAATCGTAGAGAAGCAGCCGATGCCAAGTTCTCGCGCGATCAGTGCCCAGTGCCTGCGGCTCCCTGACTCAGAAGTGTCAGACTGTCTCGTGGAATAATACAAGCAGTCCCAGCATGCCTCCTATCTTGGAAAGATACTATCAACTCTACTGCAGAAGCGATAAGAATGTGTATCTGCTGGGGACCCGCTGCAGCTGCTATTGCAGGCCGGCCCGTGTTGTTGGAGCAGCTTCCGCCGCGCCGTCTGGAAGCCGTGCTATCAAGCTCTCGTATCGCGACGTCGCTGGCGTTGATCCCCCGTCGTCAGCGTGCATCTGCGCGTGCGCTGGCGGCCAGACTCTTTGAGGACCGGGATCAGGGGGCTCATGCGGACCCCTGTCTCTGTTCCTGAGCCGACAAGCCGTCCATCGTGGGCTTCAAAGCGGCAAGTCAACGGTTGGCCAGCCCATCCTGGCGCAGGCTCCTCCTGACCCCTGTGCGTAGATAATATCACGAATTCTAGCGGTGATGGGACGTCTTCTCGTAAAATCGCTCGCCCAGCGATGCAGCTTCCTAGTTGAAGCGCGATGCTTGTAGCAATCTGTGCAAGAAGCTCCGTGGCGGTGCTATTCTTGTGCTCACGGCGATCATGATCGACTCCCTCCCGTGCTGCACCGAAGCCGACCCAACCTCCGTGTGCCTCTGCGACTTACTCAAAGCGCGAGTCGCTGCAAGGCGCGTAGCGTATCTCCACCCAAGCTTGGAAGCGAGCGATGAAGCCGTGGCGGACCGCTTTTCATCTCACGACGGGTCAAATTTCCACCCAGCACACTTGTTGTGATATTGAGCTCAACCCGCCATGGCACGCGCTGGAGCTTCACGCCGCGCTGTCAACGGCGAAGAAAAGGATTTCTAGCTGCGCCTGGCGGCCGCTCTAATTAGTGAGGCGTTGGCTCTACTCATAGAGAGACGCTGAGGCGTCGTTGCAGCTCGCTCTGTGTATTGGGGGCGTTAAGGCTCGAAGGGTCCCTGATGCGCCAAAAGCATGACGCGGTGAAGAAGGCTCTGCGGGTATGGAGATGGCTATGTGAGACACGTGACTGTTGAATTAATGAATTAATGGAATGCCACATACGTCTACTGGCAGTTGGAGTTTCCTTCCTCAGTGGAAGGTAAACAGGTGGGATCACATATGTGGGGATGAGATCAATAGAATTAAGTGATTCGTTATCTGCTGTGCTCCATCGAAGTCTATATTCCAAAATCCCTATCAAGTTCGAACACACATGTCCGCTTCCGCATTAACACCATTCCATGTGGCCCTAGTAACATGCACAGTGACAAGTGTACAGAGAGACCCGCAAACCAATGCAGAACTCAAGAATGAAAAAAAGCGCGGCGCAACGCCTAACAGCCCTTGTAGCCTTGCTGCTGCCAAATCTTGACAGACTTGACAATCATCTGGCCGTCCTTCTCCCACGTCGGCTCCCACTGCTCGCGAGCCTCCCAAAAGTCCTTCCTTGCGGTCTTGCTGCTGTCGACCCAAGGCTTGTTGGATTCGCCGTCCTTGAACCAGCCGTTGGTGCCGCCAACCCCGACATTGAGGATGAGGTAGAACTCCTGATCGAAGGGTGTGTTATCTCTGCCGGTGAAACTCCAGGGATCTTGGAGACGAGTGCCGTTGCTGTCGGAGAGAGGGAACTGGCCTAGCTTCCAGAGAGGCTTGTCGAACTGCGTGTACATGACCTGAAGCAGACGGGTGTCGATATACGTGAAGATGTACTTTTCAGACCACTCCAGACCGAAGGTGTGAAAGCCTGCGGAGTAGGTGGTGTGCAGAGCCTTGCGCTTCACGTTGTTGCGCCACCAAGCGTCGTTCGCAGAGTTGGGGCCCCAGTGCAGGGCGCTGCTGACAATGTTGTTTCCGCCTTGTTGGTAGGTGTAATTGTTGCCGCGAGATTCCATGATATCAATCTCGCCGGAGCGCGGCCAGGGACCGTACTTGCTGTCAACTGGCAACATCCAAATGGCAGGCCACATCCAGTCTCCAGCGGGAAGTTTGGCCGTAACCTCGACACGACCATACTGGAGGGTAGCACCCGCTTTGGTGTTGATGCGTCCCGATTTAACCGGGTTTACGATGGTGCCGTTGGTGACGTTTGTTCCAGTAATGCAATTGGACCACAGAGTTGAGCTGCAGGAGCCATCGGCGAGAAGATCGATGACGTTGTTTGACTCGATCAGAGCAGGATCCTGGACGGTCGGCTTGATGTAGAGCTGGCCGTCTCGCACGAAGACGTTCTCGTCGTTAGTGGTAGTCATCTCGAATTGGCCGTTGCTACAAGGACTGGGTAAGCCGGGATTTCGATTAACGGCGCATCAGAAGTCTTACCCAAACCCGCCGACCTCAGCTTCCTTCGTCCATACTGCGCTGTTGAGGCCTCCAGAGAAGTCCTCATCAAGGACCGGGCAGTAGACGTGATTGACCACGGTGCGCAGGCCGTCCCAGATGAGCACACCGGTGATCGCCAGGCCGAAGAAAATACCAAGTAGCGGAATGATTGTGACCCATTTCTCTTTCGGGTCTTTTCTGTCCATCCATGGCCTCTCCACGGTACCCTTCTTCATCCGCCTGGAATGAAAATATCGCTGTTCTGGGAGCTGTAAACCGGTTGTCGAGCCGGTTCTCGAAGCTGGCATTGAGCCATATGGGGTCGCGAATGGGTTTATGCGCGCAACAGGCGTGATCGTGTCGCTGTCCGGCGTGCCTGCCCGTACGGGCGTCACGGCCGCCGAACTGTTGGCCGTCTCCTGACGGTGGTTGTACATCGTTGCGGATCAGGCAGGTATAAGTGGGAGGAATGGTCTATGTTAAGGATAAAAAACTCTAACGATGACTTTGAACGAGTGTGAGGAGGAAGGACGTCAAGGGGGGGAAGGAAAAGAGGAGTGAGTGTATGAGAATCCCTGGCTGGTAAGAGTGATGCTCTTGAACCTTGAAGGGCGGGCCTAGCCTGTCGAAGAGATATGGTTCAGTTCCAGCTCAGCCATGGAGCACATTCAGTGGTAAACCTTCTTGGAACTGAACCTTGCACGACGCCTTTCCTAGCTCGTGGTGGGAAATGCATCTCAACTGGCTGGCACAGAAGCCCGCACGCTCCGGGTACAGGTTCCGCATGCGCGCAGATCCCCTGCTGAGAAAGATAATGGGATGGGCGGTAGGGCCACAAGGAATGCCTAGCGCCCGAACTAGGAGAGTTTCATTATCGCCATTGCGGTGTGTTGGCGAGGACCAATATCGTCCATTTCAGTTCTCCAAGTCCAATGGCATGACATGTGCGAGATCTTGCCCGATACCCGGTCGTAAGATAGTCGTCGCTTGTGGGCTGCTTGACATGACTATGAGGTTCCCCTCGGCAAACGCGATTGCTGCCATTTGTGCGTTTAGAGAGCATGTTTCTCTGTCCTGACTAGTTTTCAAGGTCAGGGGAACTGTGGCTCGCCTTCGGTTGAGGTGAGATTAGCTTGAGATGCGGAACGCGCTAAGAAGCCACCGATCGGCCTGCAAAAGCGGCGAGGGCGCGGGATGCAGGCTGAAGGGGATGTGTATTTTTAATTTCGACTAGTTACACCCCTGATCCATGGGTGGATGCAGATCGCTTGCTTTCCATATCGCGCCTTGAACACGTTTGCGAGTTCAGCGACCACCGTGGCGATACGTTATCTGCAGCGGTTCAACAGCCAGCACCGACCTCAATGCGCCAATGCACCTCCGTGGGCCCATCGCTGCTACACTAGATACCGAAAAGCTCTGTACCTGACGCCAGGTCGAAGGTCGAAGGTCGAGCTAACAAGCGTGTCCTTGAAAGCGGTGATACTGACGACTTGCGTGCCCCTCACCAATGGCCAAGGGTTGGGTCCATATTGTCACGGACCTAATCGTGCTACTATAATTTGATTGACCACGTTCTGCGCTCCTTTCTCTGCCATCGTTTTTCCAACGTGGAGCTCTCAATTTCCTGCTGCAATGTTGAGCCTCTCTTGTGGTTGCTGCATGCATCTCTGGAGCAGTAGTCAGACCTCATTGAGGAGCCATTGACGATGGGTTATCCTCCGGACTGTGCAAGGATAGTCCCATACGCTTTCGACGCTTCTTTTGCGTTCCGTGTGGGAGAACTTTGAAACCTGTTATCCTTACCCTCGATTGCTTGTCCAAGCTCGTAAGTCAATGGATTCCGCGAGTACCTTTGATACCGCGTCCGCTGAATGGCTCAAGTCCTACTCCTGCACTACCCGGCGTGGTAGCTGATTTCGCTATGACGCCTCTAAGTTTCCCCAGGTCACCTTGAAGCTGCCTGTTGCCGCCGACGTTGATGCAGGCCATCTACCGACTGGAACCGGCGCCGGTGAGATGGTCACACAATAACCGTTCGGTTACGCCAGATGCAGTCTGCCGTTCACGCAGCAGCCTCTTTCGACGACCGAGGCGGCTGTCGGCACATTGCGTACAATGCACCTTGTCGAGTGCGGCAACTCTTCCCGAATGTGGTCGACTTTCAACGGTACTACGGCGCCGCGGTCGTAGAACCGTTGTAGCGGCTGCCCGGGCTAGGAAACGTCCGGGCAGCTTCTGTGCGAGGTGTTCAGAGAGGAACTCTGTCCTTGGAGATCACCGATCGTGCTCTGTTGTCCTGTGCACCTTCGAACCGGTTGTTTCCTAGATTCGTTAATCCACCGGTCTCAAGCATGCCGAAGCTTGGCCTAGCGTGACAGAAAGAAGCATGGAAGCTTAGGACTGCCACAGCTGGCTGCGCGACTGTCATTCTGTTCGTTACCAGCATGCTTTGCGGGCTTCAAATGTCTGTGGAAGACGCTTCCGTGAGATGTAACATCTTCACACAACTCTCAATGTGTGGTCTTTAGCTTCTTATCCTCAAAGTAGTGGTTGGCAGAAAGGATTCCTATGAAGAGCTCTTCGTAATTTCCTCATGAACTGATGAGCGTAAGAGCACGCGTTTGACAATATGACATGTTCATACAAAAAGCTGAGTATGAGCCCGAGAAGTTCAGTTTGCCTTGTATCCTTGCATCCCCGACCAAAGCTGGTCCGGTGAGGCCTTCATCATTGCTTTGACCTTGGTGCTCTTTGCCTTTCGCCTTCGACCTGTTTCCTTCCGATTACCTCAGGCAAATCTCTCAGCAGGACGGTCAAGCACGACGCCGTCATACTGGCTACCTCACTGCATGCAACCTTGCAAGTCAAGGCTTCGAACCATGTCTATTCCGCGTAAGTTCCATTCAATGCGAAAGGGCTCTATGTTCAGATTCGTCAGCCTCGAGGGAGACCTTCGTCCTCCTATCCTCCGACTACTCCAAATCCCTCCACCTCCAGTCCGACCGAGAAACCAAAGGGGCACCGGAAAGTGAATCTTTGCTGCTTCGGTCCCCCATTTGCTCGCCATGTCCTGGGTTTCTGTCCATCTGACTGTTAACACTAGACCTACAACGACGCGAGGCTCAAACTCGTCAGTATCGCGCGGGTAAACCTACGACTGGCTAGACACTTTTCAAAGCAGCTCTGCTTCGAATTTCTTTTATACAGACGCCTTCCGCCGCACCCCGTGACGGCCCAGTGTTTTTTTTGGAAGAAAAGTGGTCTTTTCTCAGCTTCATCCTGAATATTGCAGCTGAGCACTTCTACTGGTATACCTGACGGCCGCTTGTTCCAAGAGTAGCCATCACCACGAGGCCCCGCCGGGGACCTGCTCCCTTAACACCTGCAGTACTCTTCGGCAACACTATTCACCAGGCAAGCATGGATGTTTTCATATGTGCCTGGCTTGCCGCACAACAAGGAATATAAACAATCGCGCTGTTCTACCCCTCTATACACGTTTGGCTCCCCCATCAGTTCTTCACGTACAAATCCACATACTCGTCCACATCCATGCCCTCCAACTTCTTCCGATCCTGCCCCAACTCGACCAACTCCTCGACCCTGCTGCCCTCGAAATGCGGTCCCAGATGCCGTCTGTACTTCTCCAGGATCTGCGGCTTCGCCTCGTCCCGCCTCCACTTGTGCCCGAGCGGGGCCTCGACGACCTCCTCCTCGAGCGTGGTACCGTCCCGCAGACGCACGGTCAGCGCGTTCGCGATGGTGCGCTTGGACGGGTCGTGGTAGTCCTTGGTGAACTGCGGGTCTTCGACGCAGGAGATGCGCTTGCGGAGCGACTCGACGAGCTCAGAGGTTGCGGCCTCGCTGCCGTCGGTGTAGTCGGTTGCTTCGAGGCGGTCGAAGACGAACATGGTCGCGACCATGTACTGTGATGGAGAAATGTTAGCAGCTGCGGTACAGTCTGTGGTTGGTAGAGGAGGGGGCTGACCTGGACGCAGTGATCGCGGTCGGCGAAGTTGTCCATGGGCTTGAGCTGCTTGTCGATGATGCGGATGCAGGCTTCGTGGGTGCGGTTGGTGACGGTTTCGATGTCTTCGGCTGTCTTGCCCATGTCTTTGAGTTTCTTGTTAAGACGTTGCGCGGCCTCGATGGCGGTCTGGGAGTGGAATTCGGCTGCAAAGGAGAAGCGGTTAGCCATACTGGTCGGGATCTCACAAGCAATTCGGTGTACCTACCCGGGTATGAGACCTTGAACAGGACGTTCTCCATAACATAGCTGCCATAGTCCCGCTGGAACCTGAAGGGCTGGCCGTGGAAATTCACGTCGTAGAAACCCCAGGTTGGTGCCGAAAGCACCGTAGCCATACCACCCTCGCCCCTCATAACCTTCAAGCAAAGGTTGACAGCCATCTGGCAAGCATCGCCCGCAGCCCACGACTTCCTTGACATGGTATTGGGCGAATGCCTGTACGTCCGCATAGCCTGGCCATCAACCCACGCCTGGGAGATAGCATCCCTGGTCTGGCCTTCGGAGAGGCCGAGCATCTTGGCAACCACAGCCGTCGAGGCGACTTTGACCAGCACGACGTGATCGAGGCCGACCTTGTTGAACGAGTTCTCCAGCGCCAAGCAGCCCTGAATCTCGTGCGCCTTGATCATGGCCTCCAGCACATCCCGCACCTTCAGCACCTTGCCGTTGCCCAGGTTGCCGCCCGCACGGTTCGTCCGCGATATCCAGTCCGCAACGGCGAGGATCGCGCCCAGGTTGTCTGACGGATGGCCCCACTCAGCGGCGAGCCAGCAATCGTTGAAGTCGAGCCACCGGATCATGGCGCCGATGTTGAAGGCGCCGTTGATGGGGTCGAGCTGGTAGGATGTGCCGGGGACTTTGGTGCCGTTGGGGACAGTAGTGCCCTCGACGACGGGGCCGAGCAGCTTCGTGCACTGCGGGAATTCGAGGGCTTTAAGGCCGCAGCCGAGCGTGTCTAGGAAGACCCAGCGGGCGGTGTCGTACTTTAAAGCGCTCAGTTAGCCCTCAGATGGTTTAGGACGGGTGTGGTATAACTTACGGCAACGTCAGAGTCGATATTGTAGTGGTGGACATATTTTGCCATATCCACAATCTCATGATCATACTCCTTCGCCGGTGCGGGCACGGCGGTAGCATTGTCGCTCTTGGTAGGCATTGTGGTAGAGAAGCAGCGGGTAGTAGTAGCTCGTTGGGAGAGCGGTATCCGCGAGGCTGTTGCAGCAAGTGGGCGGAGAGTTTTACTCGCAGAAGACCTGCAGATGCTTGCTCTTTGCCGAACAATTGCCCTGGATGCGCTGCTGTATAGATTTCGACTGAGGGCCGACATGGTCAGTGTGAGTTGCCAATGGCTCCCCGAAACAGCAATCGAGCTTCAAGAGAGAAAGAGGGACGTCCGTACGCGGTGGAAAAAATCGTTTGGGCTGTTTGGGAGGACAGCTGCAGAGCCTGCGGCGTCACAGAGCTTTCGATGGAGGGGACATCAGCCCGACGTTGGCCGAGGTCGCCGGCCGCAGGAACTTCGGGCCTAAGGAAAAATATCTCCGGCCAGTTCGGTGCTGGGAGTTTTGAGAACCTCACGCTCCATTCGTGAGGATGTATTGTAAGCATCAGACGAGACATAAAGGCTCATCTAATGGAACTCGAGTCAATAATGTACTACTGTCCGAGACAAAAGCTAGGCATGTATAAGTCTTTCTCACTGCGAGACTACAAGAATAAAGATACGATTTCGCTCTTCTGCGCTGTTGCATACTCCTCGTTCAGACTGTCTGAGTCCTCCTTAAGCCTCCAATCTGGGTTGGGGAACCTATGTTGAGACTGACGAGTGTCTGGTGCCGGCCGCCTTGGTCCCCACCTCTCGTTGTTTGCCTCGCGGTTCAGTACCTGTAGAGTTTGTGAGGAATCCTAATTTCCTGGGTTGCACATGTAAGCTGATCGAAATGCATCTTGGATATCTCATATGCCGGGTCCAATGAGTTTACTATTACTCGGTTCTCCTAAGCTTTCAGGATCTAAGCAAGTCAGTACCATGGCTGGAACAAAGAAGCGTTCTCTAGAGCTACCAGGGCTTGTGATTACTTCTACATCCAGTGATTACGCGTGCCGACGCAATGTGTTTACCCGTTTATTCGTATAGACTCTGACGCCGGCCATGCATTCTCTGATATATTATCCGTTCCTTACAGAGAAGTTCTCTGTCCTCGGGAACGAGGGATTGTGTCAAGGACCACCAGCTGCTGAGAACAGTACCGGACGGCCGCAATCTCTGTAACCATAAACATGTCAACATACGTCAACCCCTAGGAATTCCATCAATGTGTTGATAGGGGGTGGTCAGTCACGCAGTCAATTCAGCAACGCTGAAAAGGAACAAGCTCCAACCTTTTCAGCCTCCTCCTCAATGGGACGCCAGCCGTGTACGCTTCCGTCAACTCAGGCCAGTACTGCCAGCAGCCTTGTAGATGCAGAAGGATGCTGCCGCTTCCCCTGGCAACGGAATACGCACTGTAGTAGAACTATCGCGCCGACTCACCACATCTTTCACGACAAGTTTCGCACAGCCTAATCCAAGGTGGTCGCAGACCGGTCTCACAGAGCCCTTTCCCCTGTTCCTGATGGCCAGCGCCGGCATCCGTACCCGCTGGAGGTAACCAAGAGCAGTGTGTTCCATGACTGGTTCGTGGTTCGTGTCTGCAACGGAGAGAATTAGAACATGCCTCCGCCGGCTCCGATTGTCCTTGTAGGCTATGTTCGGAGCATGCAGCAGGTATGTTGCGTTTTCTGAGACCGGCTCCGACGTTCTTTGCTTGTTGCGTACGAGATGAGGCTGGGGGACAGTTGAGGCGACCCCTTGGTCAATAGCTGCCTGAAATCTTCTGTAGCTATCCGGCACTTGTAGGGGGAGATGTTTTCTCTGTGGATTTGGAGTGGGAAAAGCCCTATGCCTGATGCTGGAGAGTCGGACGTGTCGGCCATTGAAAGCAATACATCCTCTAATATCGGAGAAACGACGAAATACCCCGACAGGAACTATCGCACTTTTTGGCATTTATAGAACATTTACAAGATACAGACCACCAAAACGTGGGTTGGTTTGAGATATGCGCCAGACAGCAGAGCAGCTTTTCCGTCAGATATGAACAGATACGATTGATCTGGTGATGCTCAGCTCAATGTTGCAGTCCGACGGGCAGAGTAGCATGCCACACCGGCAGTGATTAGGTACTGGGTTGATAGCTGCTGTCGGTACACACGTGGTCACGGAGCAAAAGTCTAGAAGAAAAGTGCATGCCGTTGACACAGCCATGTCGGCGGGCTCTGCGAAAGTCGGCTGTGAACTGGCACTTGAGGCGGAGTGATGCTGCACTTTGCTTCCCTGCCGGACGCTCCAGTCTGTACAGCGCCCATTGAATGCCTCGTGTCATCTCGGAGGAAGTGGAGGCTGAGGGGTATCAAACGGCCGCACACTTGCACGATGCTTACTCGTACTCTGCGCGAAGAGACGGTCGGCTCCGGATGGCCGCTCTCCCGGCAGCGATGCGACTTTTGTCAGCCGGGACGAGCTGCGGCTCTCCGACTTGGCTTCACGGCTCGTGCGACGCCAAACGCGACTCCCGGTGTCAAAGCTCTCACCCGAAAGAGACTCCATTTACGCCCGTTGAACTTCCAATTTCTCAGCAGCGCTGTAGCTTCATCTGCCACTGCGTGCGTAATAGGCTGCTTACACACGCTCGTTGCTTCTCTTTCAAAAGACTTCTTCTGTAAGCTTGGTGGCAGCTGTAGCTATAAACCAGAGTATTTCCTCCGTACAGCCTTGCAAGCTGCATCTCGGAATCCCCACACGGGCCACGCTTAAAGCTTGTCTATCTTTGGCCGCTCACCCAACCACCAGGGACCCTCTTCAATAATAACAATCTCCTACCGTCTGCCGTTGGCTTTTCCTTCATCTTCACTTCTTCTGATACCCCGAACTTGCTCTCTCTGCTCCTTCATCCATATTCCCTCAACACCACCACCACCACCATGGCAGACTCCACCACCAAAAACATCGTAATACTGGGCGCCTCCTTCTCCGGCCTCAGTGTCGCCCACTACTTCCTCAAGCACATCCTGCCCTCGCTTCCGGCCTCCTCAGGCCCCTACCACGTATACCTAATCAACCCCTCCGACTCCTTCTACTGGCGGATCGGCGCCCCCCGCGTGGTCGTCTCCAACGACCTGCTCCCCATCTCGCGCTCCTTCTACCCGATCACGGACGGCTTCACGCAGTACGGCTCCGAGCGCTTCACCTTCATCCAGGGCACCGCGACCTCGCTCGACACCTCCGCGCGCACCGTCACAGTGGTCCCCTGCACCGAAGACGGCGCCGAGCAGCACGACCAGGCGCGGCAGCTGGCCTACTATGCCCTTGTCATCGCGACGGGGACACGCACCCCTTCCAAAGCACTCAGCACGCACACGACGACCAGAGTCGCCAAGGACGCCATCGCGGACCTGCAGACCCGCCTCCCCCGCGCAAAGACGGTGCTCATCGCCGGCGGTGGCCCCGCGGGCGTCGAGACGGCCGGCGAGATCGGCGAGCAGCTGAACGGGCGCGCCGGGTTCGCGGCCAAGCGGCCGCCAAAAGCGCACGCCACCATCACGCTCGTGGCAGGCGGGTCGCGGCTCTTGGCTGCGCTGCGGCCCGCGCTGGCCAAGACGGCGGAAGGCTACCTGAACAAAGTGGGCGTCGACGTCGTCTACGACGTCAAGATGGAATCCGCGACGCCGACCGCCGACGGCAAGACGTCGGTGGTACTCTCCAACGGGGAGACGCGCGTCGTGGACGTCTTCATCCCCGCCACGGGCGTGGAGCCGAACACCGAGTTCCTGCCCGCGAGCCTCAAGAACGACAAGGGCTACGTGAAGACGAACCCGAGCACGCTGAGGGTCGATGAGGCCGGCCCGCGTGTCTACTGCCTCGGCGACGTCGGGACCTACACCCGCGGCGGCGTCATGGACATCTACGACGCCGTCCCCGTGCTCATGACGAACATCTCACGCGACCTGCACGCGGCGGTCGACGGCGAGAAGAACAACGGGATGCCGACCGGCAAGGACCGCGCGTACAAGCCGAACCTCAAGGAGACGCAGCTGGTGCCTGTCGGGCGGAGCGTGGGCGTTGGGGCTGTGTTCGGCTGGAAGCTGCCGAGCACCATGGTTTGGGCGATCAAGGGACGGGATTACTTGACGGGCGCCGCGCCGAGTATTCAGATGGGGACCAAGTGGAAGAAGGATGCGGTGCATAAGTGGACGCCTGTTGATGCCTAGGGTTGGGTTCGACGTGCAGGGGGACGTGGATGCGGTTTGTGAGTGTGGAGTTGAGTCTTTTATGAGGCTGAGGCAGCGGGAATGAGACGAAAGTTGTTGAGGACGACGGCATAAATCCTGGAGTCGGCATAATCGTGTGCGGATTGTTGTTTTGCATGGTTTTCTGGGAAAATAGCCAGTTTGTGATTGGTTTGTTACTCTTTGAGATTCTGGCGTGGGCTTGTATATCCTTTCAGCTAGACTGCCCGTTCACTGTATGTAGTTTATAATGTCTGATATCTTCATGCAAGGTCAAGCGCAGACAGGAAACGGGGATGTGAGAGAGGCATGCAGAACCCGACGAGCAGCAACGCCGCCGGCTCCATGTACAACCGCTGTAGAACCGCTGATAGTAGGTACAAAGTTTTGTGGCCAGGGCCTGACTATTTTTCAACACGCATCACGTGACAAACAGATGGCCCTCAACTTCAGCCGTCTCCAGCCCAGCGAAGGCTCCATAGAGAGTAGCCCTCCTACTCAACCTCGTTCTTGTTCTCGAAGCTCTCGCCCGCAACCAGGTCGGGGATGTCGTCATCGTCGTCGTCCTTGGACTCGCCCTCGCCCTTGTCCTTTTGCATGCTCTGGTAGCTCTCGGCCAGCTTGCGCAGCGAGGCTAGCGAGTCGGGGCCCAACTGGTTCAGGATGCCGGGCACGAGCTCCGTCAGCTCTTTGTCTTCGCCGTTGCCGTAGATGGCGAAGGTGTTGGCGGGCACGGCTGCGTGGACTGTGAGGGGGTGCTTGCGTTAGCGTTGGCTCCCTCGCACTCTTGTTGTGCAGCTGTGCCGCGACTCGGGCCAGTTACGCGTCGCTTGTAGTATGGATAGGGAACGTGTGTCGGGCTAACTGATGGGGGGAGGCCATGAACATACCCTTCGGTGCCGAGAAGTGGATGACGTTGCCGTCCGCCTTGAACATGTTCACCTCCTCAATCGCCTGGATCGGCTGCACGTTCAGCTTCTTCAGCGCGGTCTGCAGCTTCTTGTCGTCCGTGCCGGCGCTCTTGTGCACCTTCTTGACCTTTCTTCGCGGCGTGCCTTTGCCTCTGTGTGTTTGCAGAATCGCTGGTTAGCCGTGTGTCCGTACAGCCAATGCTCCTAGAACATCTCAATGGTATGTGCGAACGGCTCGAGGGTCTGAAGCGCGGTCGCCCGATGACGCGGAGCGGTGGACGGAAGCTTGCTTACCCTGTTCGAAAGAGTTGATGTTAGCATAGCTACTTCAGTCTCCCCGTCGGATGCGGTGCTGCCACTGCCCAAGCAAGAGGTCCCGATTCTAGCAGGAAGGGCCGAACTCACCAATGCGCACCGACTGCTGCATCTTCTTCAGCTTTTCCGTATCCATGTTTGCGGAAGAGGTGAGGTCGGACGGCTAGCGTGACCTGCTGGCAAGTCGTAGCTCGGTCAGCGGGGATTCGACATACTTCAGCAGCAGCGGAAGCATGCGCTGAAACTCAATGGAGCGATGTCTGTACCTTGGGATATGTATGGCGTGGAGGCAGGTAGGTAGGTAGCTGGGGCTAATGCTGTCCAATGTACTGAAGTTGAAGCGGTGATGGATCGGCTCGGCGGCAATCTGCCGACTGTGCGGCTCGCTTGTCGTTGCTGATCTTGTGGAGAGCTTTGATGCGCCTCAAACCGAAAACGATACTCAGCATACAGAACCCATTCTGTGAAAGGCTACGAGCAGGATGCTTCAAAATGGAAGGCTAGGCCCCAGAGAGTATTTCGAAGCTTGAGCAATGCGCCACCGTTGGACAGCAGCTTCACCAACCGCTCCCCATAGGGCTGTGCCGCTCCATCCATCAATACGGAGCAGTAGGCCTGGATGGCAGCAAATTCCCCTAACGGCGATCATCTTGCATTTCCCCTAAACCTCGATCTCCTTACATTGAGGAACCAGGCAGTCGAGCCTATGTTCCATTATCTATCTGAGCGCAACACACATCTTTCACACATCTATCAAAAACACCTGCTGGCCCACTACATCCGCGTACAAGTCCCGTGCAAGGCCTGTAGCCTCTATCATCTACTCTATCACTCGAAACGCCCCGCGCAGCACTCCCCACCCACTACACAGACGCCTGATCCCTCACCCTCCTCAACAACGGCGTCCTCTCCGCGTCCTCGTCTCCATACGGCATCTTCAAGAACTTCCCTCCCGCAACCCTGCTCACCCTCCAGCTCCCGACCTCCTTCGCCTTCTCAAAGAACTCCTGGTTCTCCTCGAAGCTCCTGCCCCCCGTCTCAGGCTGATAGAGCCACGTCCACGCGCCCGCGAACAGATTCGTGACCGCGAACGCCGCGAAGAGGAAGTACTCGAGGTTGTTGAACAGGATGGGCGTGAGCAGCGTTACCGCGAAGTTCGCCAGGCCCCAGATTATGACGCTGACGGCGGTCCCCTGCGCGCGTGCGGTGGTGGGGAAGATCTCCGTCGGTATCAGCCACACGGTCGCCAGCCAGCCGATGCCGAAGGCGCCGGTCGCGAGGTAGAGCGCGATGATGCCCGGGATGGCGGGCGCGAGGTTCGAGATGCCGAGGTTGTCTGCGTTGAAGGCGAGGCCGCCGAGGAGGGCGAGTAGGGCGAAGCAGACGGTTAGGATGAGTGAGTTCCAGACGAGGAGGGCGCGTCGCCCTACCGCGTCGATGAGGATCCAGGCGAAGGTCATGAGGAGCAGGTAGGAGACGTAGTTGCCTTGGGTTAGATATTCGGAGGTGCGGACGGGGAAACCGAGGAGCTGTGTCCAGGCCACCTTGTCAGCTTGCTGTGTTGAAGACTCCTAGGTGCGGGTGGAAAGGGGGGGGCTTACCTCGAAGATCTGCGGGCCGTAGACCGACACCGCCCCGTAGCCCGTCAGGGCCTGGTTGACCTGTCCCATGATCGTGATCATAGTAGGGTGGAACTGCTGGTGGCTAGGCGTGAACATGTCCCTGTAGCTCACCTTCTGATCCGCCTCCTTATCATGGCTCTGGACCAGCTCCTCGCACTTCTTCTTCCCCTCATCCTCGCCATAGATAGCCTCCAGACTCTTCTGCGCAGCCTCCCTATCCTCATTGAACACGAACCAGCGCGGGCTCTCCGGCAGCCTCTGTATGAACAGCAGCAGCAGCACGGGATACACCTGCATGCAGAGAATCGGCACCCGCCACGCCCACTGGTTCGCCTTGCCCAGCGCCACAGTGATGCCCAGGTTGATCGCAAACGCCATGTTGAGCCCGAAGATGTTGCTCTGGAACTCCTGCGCCAGCGCCTTTCCGCGCGCCTCGTCTTCGCTCAGCTCGGAGCTGTAGACCGGAATCACGGCGTCGACGCCTCCGACGCCTATCCCCATAACGATCCTCCCAACGAACATGACGCCCAGCGCCCCGCTGGAGTATCCCAGCCCCGCGATAAACATGATCAGGTTCCCCAAGCTGGCCGTCGCCAGGCACACAAAGATGGCGGGCTTGCGGCCGTACTTGTCGCCGGCCCACTGGAAGATTACAGCCCCAACAGCGCAGCCGAGATAGTAGACAGAGACGATTAAGCCGACGAGGGGGGAGGACTCCGGGATGCCCATCGTGGAGAGGTAGTCCGTGTTGGTGTTGATGAGGGACATCATGCCCTGGTCGTAGCCGTAGAGGGCGATTGCTGTGCTGGAGAAGAGGACGACTTGCATCACTTTGTCGTGGTAGAATTTTTTGAGGAGGGACGACATTTTGGCGGGAGTGTTGGGGAGGGGGCTTCGGAAAAAGCTCTGCTGAAAACTACAGGTATACTTCTGTAGACCTGTTCTTCTTTCTACCGAGACTCGGAAACGGTAAAGGAACGTAAGGGAACAGGCTCAGTCAAAGGACAGTGGAAATTGCAGAGCTTAAAGACAGCGACCGGCAGGTCATTTGACACGCACAGCACAGCGAAAAAACTCACTAGGAAAGATCTAAACAGAGGGGCAATCTCAAGCTCGGCGGCATGATGACGGCTGGCGGGCTTGCCTGGCGCCTCGATTGAACGCAAGAGCGTTTTTCGGTGCCAATCGGGCAATTGGTCTCGCAGTCGTGCAGGCCAAGCTTTGAAGCTTGCTCCGAGATCGATCCTGCCCTCACCCCCACCATACCAAGGGCTGTGTGAGATCGGTGGAAGCTACCTAGGTAGAGAGTAGCTGGAGAAGGCAACAACCATCTCGTGAGAAAGCCTTTGGCTGTGAACAGACTGGAGAAGTGCTTGGATGGGCATCGTCCACCAATTTAACTGAGTAGAGATGGGGTGGACCCTTACCCGGCCGGTGGTGTGCACCGTGCGAAGATGACGCTGATGCTGCAGGGGAAGCTGCGCCCCGGTCGTCCGGGAGCAACACCGGGACCATAAACGACCAGACACTTGATGGAGTGCTCGTGGCTACTGGAGGACAAGCAGTGGTGCATGTCGCGAACAATGAAACGATTGGGGGGGGGGACTTTCTCATCACATAACAGCAGAGTCCTCTAGGTTAATTCCCATGCACGATCTAACTCTTAGGATTTAACTCTTAGGATTCTTGACTCCCATAGCCAGCTATTGCCAGCTATCCGTCTTCTTCCAAATTCAGACGCCAAACACTCAAACACGGCCCTCCCCGTTCCCCTCCCCAGCCGCCCCGCCCTCATCCCTCCCATCCCCTTCCCCATCTGCGTCCCCCTCTCTCCTTCTCCGTTTCCACCACCCCATCTTAAACCACCCCCCAAGCGGCTCCTGTCCCATGCTCCTCCTCCGTCCCCACCGCCCCGGCCTCTCCGTCGGGCTCGGACTCAACAGTCCCGCAAACTCGTCGTCCTCTTCGTCGAGGGGCCCGCCATCATCCCTACTCCCCCTCGCCGAGCTCGACGAGCGCGGTCGTGGCCGCGCCTGCGTCCGTCGCGGACGCTCCCACCAACTCACGCCGGGCGCGTTTCGGGCGCTGGGGATGTTGAGCGTGTTTGCCCTTCCCCGTGCCCGCGCCTGCGCGCTGCTGCGCCGTCGTCCTGCGGCCAGCGAGGAGGACGAGGCTGGGCGGGCCGGGAGAGCGAGGGAGACGCGCCTGGTGTCGGAGAGGTCGTTCAGCTCGTCCCAGATCTCGCTTCGCTCTTCCGCGATCGCGGCGTCGAGGGCTGTGGGATGCCGTGGTGGGAGCCGATGGCTGCTTCTCGAAGAGGCAGACGCGGTGGTGGCGCTGCGGTTGAGGAGCGGTGTCTGCTCGCTCGGGCCGTCCTCGTCGTTGTCTGCGCCGTCGCCGTCGATGGTGCGTTTTCGTTTGCGTGCCCTGCCGCCGGCTTCTTCGTCGTCGAGACTGTCGCGAGGACTTGCTGATAAGAGCGGCTCATCCCCCGCGTCCTCGGTGTCGGAACTGGCAGACTCGACGAGGCCCATGCCGGGCGTCAGCACAGACTGCGGCGCGATAGCAGCGTGGTCGATCGTTTTCCGCCTGCTGCGCCGCGAGACGGGACTGCCTGTGTCGTGGTCGTGGCCGTGCTCGTGTTCTAAGCGCCAGCTAAGTGCCATGACGCCGCTGAGCAAGATGACTGTCCCAACGGCAATAAGACCTGCATGTAAGACCGGCAGGCGCGACGTCTGCCGGAAGTAGATGAGCCCATCCAGAATGGCGATGATGTTGTAGATGCAGAAGACAAAGGGATACAGCACGCTGGTCGAGCAGAGCTTGAGGCCGCGGTGGAGGTAGTACAGCTGGGAGAGGGCCAGGGCAACGAGTCCGAGCAGTATCATCCACGACTGCCAGCGATTGAACTGGTTATGGCGATCTACGATCGTGCGGACCAGCAGCTCAACGGCGGACTTGGCGACGAGAAGGCTGTGGGCGGAGAGCACGCCGCTGATGAAGCCGAAGCACATGCCTAGTACCAGCTTGACACGCGGGGTTATGTGGCCGCGGTAGAGGCGTCTCAGGACCCAGGTGCCGAGGATTATGACGGCGACGAGGAAAAAGGTGCTGCCGAGCCAGAGGAGGAACTGCTGCCGGCTGAGGAGTGAGAGGAGCTGGTCGAGATTGTGGGAGGGCTCGGTGAGCGCGCCGAAGGTTCCTATGAGGATTGCGCCGGTTGTGACGAGGAGGGTACCGGCGAGGGAGTAGCGGGTGAAGGGCTCGCTGAGGATGAGGGTTGCGCAGATGGAGTTGAAGACGAGACCGGACTGCGGATGGTCAGCATACGGATGCCCATGGAAGCTGCCTGAGCGTGCGTACCGCTTGTAATGTCGACAGGACCGGCAAGGGAAGGGTGGTGATCTGAATAGTGCTGCCGACAAGGTTCGCAACGATGAACATGAGCATGCCCAGCTATGTAGCCGTTAACCCCTTGTGCTGATACTCTTCATTCCAACGGGCCTCTAACCTGCCACCTCCGCCGTCGATACGGCGGGCGCCGAGTGTGGTGTTCCTCTTTCTCATCTTCCAGAAGGTGGGATTTCCGCTGGAGGGTCAAGCCGACGCTCTGAATGCTGGTGGATAGTACACCCACAACGACGCCGACCTGTGTATACGTGATCCGTCAGGGTCTTGTATCTTCTTGCGTTTCCCATGCCAATCAGTGATAGGAAGCTCAGCTGGGTCCATACCGCTACGCTTGCTCCGGCGGACAGTTCGCCCATGATGGATGCGCCGAGGGCGACAAAGGGTGCACGATTGGGTCCAGGGCCGGCGCTATCTGACAGGGACCTGCATCGTGTCTAACAGTGTCGTTTAAGATGGTGTTGTTGCGTGTAGGTGTTTCGCAAGTCCGAAAGGTGCTGGCGTCGGAGTAGGTCTACAGCTGTCGGCGCTACAGGGACTCGTGATGCATGCAGGTGGAACCTGGAAGCTGAAGCCGAAGATGGTCACCGTGATGGAGTCGCGTGGACTTCAAAGAAAGCTCTCGTTGTGTTCTACAGAGCCGGTCTAGTATAGAGGACAGAGCTGTATGGGCATCGAAGTGCATCGACTCCAGCTTGCTCGACTACTGCTGTCAAGTCCACGGATGCTCGATTGCTTTTCCCGCATCATCACCGCCCGCCGCCAAGCTCCGTCAGCCTCAGGCCGCCGCAGCTCCATCGCGCAAGCAACGTCAACGCCGGCCCAGCTCCCAGACCATAGCTCACCAGCAAGCACACTATCACCACCACCCAGCTGCAGCACGGAGCGATCGATCTTTCCTACCCACCGCAAACATGGCAGCACCCATGTCGGACGACCAGGTCAGTCTCCCATCGTCTCCACTATCGAGGCATTCCACCAAGCCCACCAGAGCCGCGATTGCTACATATGCCCTCCCTCGAGCAGCAACCCCCCCTTCCTCCCCATCCTCTCCCTTAACCTTCAACACAAGCAGCCCCAGAAGACCCAGCTAACCATGCACTCCCGCACCTCAGGTGGCTTCGGAGCTCAAGAAGATGACCGCCTTCATCCGGCAAGAAGCGCTCGAGAAAGCACGCGAGATCCAACTAAAAGCCGACGAGGAGTTCGCCATCGAGAAGTCCAAGCTCGTGCGCCAAGAAACCTCCTCCATCGACTCCTCCTACGAGAAGCGCTTCAAGCAGGCCTCCATGTCGCAGCAGATCACCCGGAGCACCGTCGCCAACAAGACCCGGCTAAGGGTGCTGAGCGCGCGGCAGGAGCTGCTGAATGAGCTGTTTGAGAAGACGCGGGGAAGGCTGGGAGAGTTTACGGAGGGGGAGCAATATCAGCGGATCTTGAAGGGGTTGATACTGGAGGGGCTGTATGCGTTAAGTGAGGGCAAGGTGGCGGTTAGGGGACGGGAGAAGGATAAGGAGATCTTGGGGAAGGCGATAGAGGATGCGAAGAGCGAGTGCAAGGAGAAGACGGGGAAGGATGTGCAGATTACGATCGACGAGAAGAACCCGCAGCCGGATGAATCGTGGGTCCCCTCTCTCTCTGGTCTGGGTGAAGGTTTGGTGGGACGTGAAACAAGATGTTCATGCTGATGCTGTGCTGCAGGGCTGGTGGCGTCTCGATTGTCGGAGGCAACGGCAGGATCGACATCAACAACACGCTTGAGGAGCGACTAAAGCTGCTGGAGACGGATGCACTGCCGTCAATAAGGGCGACGCTGTTCGGTGAGAACCAGAACCGGAAGTTCCGCGATTGAGCACAGCCGTTTGTCGCGGAACAGCACCGGATGCTCGGGAAGCAGGCAGCAATGCAAGCATCCCTACCGGCAGAGCGGACGGGCGATGATCTATGTTCCTCAAAGTCTCCGTGTGAAGAGCGTGTCACTTGTTTTCAGCGTCCCCTAGAGCCTGTAGAGAGTAATTTATATCGTACAGCGTCCCATGCCAGAACCCAGCCCATGAAGGTTAGCCGCGTTCATTGGGATATCTTGTCATTTGAATAAGGTAGGCAATGTCGCCATTCTACACTGCTGATCAACCATCCATCCCGGGCCCCATGGTCTGGAAGCTCTATTACAGACCGAATATCGCACCGTAGATGCATTGTCATCGATCTCAAACCATTTGCAACTCCCGCAGACTCACGCCTTCAACCCAGGAAATTGACAGGTTTAACGAGGACATTTTGGATCACTATGCTAGCTTCCAAGAAAACTTCCACATTTCTCTTCAAAGTCATGATCCAAGTTTTTATCGCCCTTACACATCGTCAAGCCTCGAAGTCCATAACAACCACACCCACTCCTCAGACAACAGCAGTCGCGAGCTTGCCTAGCACTGGGACAGGATCCTCGTTCCTAGGCTGAGCATTAGGCTCAAACCGTACGTCGACATTAGGCCCGAAGATCAAGCAATGCATCGAGCCGCCAAAGTGGAACCGGCCAGTCTCCTGTCCCTTCTCAAATCTCGGAAGAGTGTCAAAATCCACCACGGACACTTCAGCCATGCCGATCATCACCACGGCCATGAGGCCAGTGACAGGGCTGTCGGCCTCAATCACCGCCACCCCGCGGGCAGCAACGGCCGAGATGTATCCGCATCAGCGCCGGGATCGGGGTCGGCGGGATCTGGAGAGTCGGGGGTCAAATCCTGTCACGAGCGGCTCGGGGCAGTATGTCCCCCCGATTATCTTGGGGCGTCCGAGATAGCTGCCGGCAACAGGGCGCGTGCCAGTTGTGGTAGCTGTCCGGGCTGAGGAACGCCTGGTAGACGGCACCGCCGACGAACTTGGATGCTAGCCTCGCATCGTCGAGCAGGTGGGCGAAGACTGTACCTTTGCCCCTTGGTCCAGAAGGTGTCGTACAGCTGGAAGTTCCTCTGAATTGCGAATGGTGTTGCCTCCGCCGCGCTGACAATCACACTGTCGTCCGTAGGGACCGCGAGAGGACGAATCCCAGGTCGAAAGTGGCGTGTGAAGAAGTCGTCCCAGGATTTGTAGCCGTAATGAAGGTTGTTTGGGTCGCAGATGCATTTTTCGGTAAAGTTCTCCAAGCCGGGGCTGTGCGGGTCGTTGTGCGCCGCGGCTGATATCCAGCCGCCGTCGGCAGTAGTAACGGTTTCAATGGAAGCGGAACGACTTCAGGTACGCACCCCAGTACCGTAGAGAGTCCTGGAAAAGCTTGTTGACGTCGTCTCGGAGGAAGGCAGCGAACCCGGCCCTTGTGCCCACGGGCCAATCGAGAATGGCGTTGATCGGACTTCCAATCTGGGGTGGGTCGTTGTAACCGATCGGCGACTGGATCTGCACGTTGAGCACCTGTAGGAGCGTGAGGATATCCCGAGCCTCGGGCTGGAGAGATGAATCCTTGTTATACGGTAGCTTGTCCGGGACCTCGGTCAGCGTCTTGTTGAAGAGCATGTAGACAATAGGAGTGCCGTAGATATGCTCTTGCAGTGCCTTGATGGGTGGGGCTACTGGAAGCTTATTCCCACTAGCACGGCGGACGAGATCGTTGACACCGTCGCGGATGACTGTTGCATCTCGCGGAAGCCAGCCCCAATGCGATGTGCTCGGGGATGTTGGGGGTATGGCCCGTGATTCAGTGCTCGAGTTGTCTTTGCAGGCATGATAGAAGTGAACAACCTGGAATCTTTAACGAGTAGGATTAAGTAGGAACTTTGGCAAAAGCGAAAGGGCTGTGATGTTCCCTCTCTAAACTGAACCGGTGTAAGAGTTTGCTACTCGGTAATGAGCATGAGACGTATTTATATAAAGCGGAATCTCGGATCACCTCAAAAAACCATTAGGCCATAACCCATAAAGCCATGCGAGGAGAGATGGCGCTGCTGAGTCGACTGATCCCTACATCGAGACTGCACCACTCCAGCTGAGCGCGAAGCTGACGGGTACACCTGGTACACTATTAAAGCACTGCAAAATGCGGTCCGCGCCCCTAATTGGCTTTTTCATGGAGGCGGAGCCCTCACGGCTGGCTGGCATCTCCAAAAGGTCAGCTCTAGACTTCAGCTATCGTGAAGATGACAAGATCCGGTCTGCAAGAAGCGCAGCTTGCATGATCCCTTACATGTTCAACGTCAACCACAGCCCAACCGGGACCATCTTAAAGCAGGTGGACTGGACTCTGTACACCGCTTGTAGGTGCAGGACCCATCCAGTGCAACATAATGGGATGTGCGTTGCCGCTGGCCTGCCAGTGGCTAGGGAGAATCTTCAGGCAGTGTATGAACACTCGATTCTAGATACAGTGGCCGCCTAAGAGAGGCATACCCGCAGCTCGTCTAAGCAGGCTGCGCTGATGCAGCGAGCCACTAGACAATTTGCTTGACCGCTATTAACTTCCGACGCTGGAAAATATTTCAATCGGTCGTCCAAGGCGTTACTCGTTAGCAACGACAGCAACGCCAGCAATGCAAAGCGGCGTTCCATCTGCCACATTAGCTCAACGCCAGCCCAAGTACCGCATAAGCCATCAGGCAACCATGAACATAACCTCAATGAGCCCCTCGATGTTGAACGCCAATCTAGCCCACCACGCTCTCCACACCTGTTCCCTCCGGGCCTACCGGTTATCACGTCATCAAAATACTAACATAAATCCCCCAAAACAGCCCCACGAGGCTCCCAAACAGGACCCTCTTATCGACCGGCACGACCGAGAAGCTGAGCAGCGACACCAGCGGCCACAGCTTCCAGCCCGCCGACATGAGCGGATACGTCTCCGTCTTGACGGCCGTGAGGATCTCGACCGTGCTCGCGCCGCTCAGGCTGCGGATCCCGACCACAAAGAGGACCGTGTTGACCAGCGCCCCGAGGGTCTGGTCGAGCGCGAATTTTGTGAGGATGTTGGGGATGTTGATGCTGGAGGTTTTGGAGTGGGCGGGAGAGGTGGTGGTGGGCTTCGTGTCACCGTTCTGAAGCATGCCATTGGGTGCGTCTTTTTCGTCGGCGGAGAGCGGCTCGATGGCTGTGGTGGTGGAGGGGGAGGCGTGGCTTGGGAATCGCTCCTCGAGGTATTGTTGCCAGAGGATGTTTGGAGGGGTGTTGAGGGCTGTGAAGAGGGTGAAGCGGATGATGGGCGGGAGGTCAAGGGCGAAGGATTTCTGTTGGAGAAGACGTGTTAGCTGTTGTGATCAAGTTGGTAGCTAGGGAGGTTCAGAAGATCTGACAGTTACTGCGGGAAGGGGGGCGTACGTCTTCTCGGTATGCCGTAAGAGCTTGTGCAAGTATGTTTGAGGTTACGCTTAGGACGACGGCCTGAGTCGTCTGCTTGAGCATCGTGTTCGACATGACTGCTGCCGGCTTTCTTGGTTTCGGTGATTGTGGAAGAATAAATCAAGAGACGCGGATTGAGGTAGAAGGAGTTTGGGAAGTTGACCAGAGGATAGGAATTGACTGAGGGTTTACGGAACAAGTGACGAGGCCATGATAAAGGGTTTAAGGCCGTTCTTCCATCATACACCCGGCAGTCGCGTTGTGTCTCCCAATTGCTGGGTATGGGTATTCGTGCTGCCTCTAAACATTTCCGAGAAGGTCCGACGTCACTCCAACCGGCGTGAGGCCGAGAATTCGGCCGCCCTCGTCCCTAGGGCTCCTTCCTTTCCACGTTCAAATGGACTATCTCTTGCCATGGCTGTCAGCTTTGACGGAGGCTCTCGCTCCAGCAATCCTTGAAGCTTGAACGATTGCAAAGTGCTCCACCTGGGCAACCTTCCATGAAAGGCTGCTCACCTCCGCTCCGCTTGGCTTGGCATCGGCTGGCTGTGCAGTCGAATACGAGATACGAGATACGAGCAAGGCAGACTCGCATGCTGTGCTTGCAGTCTTGAAGCTGTAAGACGTGATTGGTGTGCTGGAACGCTCGAGAGGAGTTGACAGCTATTTTCTGATTTCTCGTATGCATATGACGTCTGAATGTCTGGCCAAGGATAGCTGTGCTTACTGGTAAACAGCGTTCATAAGGTCTCATGCGCAGAATGTTCCATTTCAAATAGTCCTCCGCGTCTCTCTCCTACGTCCAAGCCATGGGTGATGTCTCTCTTCAAGGGAACCACAATCAGAATCTCAATGCAGTTGAGATGAAGGACGGTGCCAGACCAGCCGTTCTGCCGACTGATGAGAAAGCTCCGCTGCAACCTAATCAGACTTTCTATATCGTGCCTCACACTGGCTTCACCAAGGTCATCCAGGTCCTTGACTTGACCCCTCAGATCAAGGAGCGTGTAAGTGTGCCTCTCGGGCTCTTTGCCTTCTTCGACTTGGCCTTATATACGTGGACCATGGCGAACTTTGGATCAGTAATCGAACTCCTCTCGCACGATGCTAACCTGCCGGCAGATCCCTTACAATGGCTTCACCGACGCCTATAAAGAGGCAGTCAAAGAGCTCGCCAAAAACTCCCCTCCAGAGCCCACTTACACCATCACACGCCAGAACTGGGTGGCCTCGCGCATGATAGTCACCTCAGCCAGCGGGGCCGAATTGGCAGCATGGAAAGCGCCGCACTGGTCTCCTGGGACCACCACGCTGACCTTCCCTCGCAACTCTCCGCACTGCTCCCATACCATCGAGATGAAGCCTGTGGGTTTCTGGCATCGGTCGGAGCACTTTGTTAAGGACAGCGTGACGTATACGTGGGAGATGGAGTCGAAGCTCACTTCTTCTGCCTTCACGCTGCTCAAGATCATTGGCCAGAAAAAGGTCGAGGTCGCGAGATATGCGCAGAGCTTCGGGTTCACAACGGGCGGAACCTTGATCCTGGATTCGAGGGAGGTGGACGAGCTGGTGGTGGTGCTGACGTGCGCCGCCATGCTGAAGAAGAAGAGGCTGCGGGATCAAGAGTATGCTAATAGTGGAGCGGGACACTAGGCTTCTGACCATCTCTAACGTGTGTCTATCAGATGACCGACAAGGGTTTTGGAGTACAACGTCAGTTCTACAGCTGCTTAAGCTTTGGCGACATTTACGACTATTGCACGCTCGGTTACAGTAGTTTTTGAATAAAGAAACACTACATTGTTCGAACTTGCTCGGATAATCAAACCTCATGGTGTAGCGGCAGGACTGACTCTTGAGGCTCAAGTGGAGCCTTTGTACCTGCATTTGCATCAGACGAGATGATTCGTATCCGTATCATATTGAGCACAAGTCTATCCTCCAGTATGCGTTCAGTTAGTAATAGAAAGAACCCGTTCTTAAACTGATCCATCCTCGAGATAATTCTACTCTTACTCTTCTGCCCTCCGCTTGTCCCGAGCCCTCCCATTTGTAGCCTCCTTGCCCATGCTCTCTTCTGATGCGGAAGCATGGGGAGACACCGGGAGGGGCAGCAACAGGCAAGAACCATAAATGACTAGGACAATATTGGAGGTCATCATTTGGGGTGAATGCAGTTTACTCTCCACTTATCTCTACTTAAACGCGTGGTCCCCTGCCCGCGAAGTCTATTGTTAAAGAACTCTTACCATATTACGTTCGTTTAAGCGCCATTTATTCATTCAGTTAACTGCTCAACGTTCAACTGTCAGCTGGACGTGCTAGGAAAGTTAAAGCGATGAGGAAAGACCTGTACGCAATGGTCCACCGAGCGTTCCGACCGCCCCAGAACCTCACAACCAGGCTTCACACTCAATACTGATATCTCCCCTGCACTACCCTCGGCGCGTTCAGGCCCTCTGCCTGCATCATCTCATACCGACTCCCCGTCATCTGATCGCCCTGCTGCGTTCCAAGCAAGTGACCGCCCGCGCTGGCCCCATGCGCAGCCGCCATCGCGCCAGCCTCGTGCTGCCTCCTCTTCCTCCTCATCAGGCACAACGTCGCCACGCCGATGACCAGGCTCGGTATCCCGATCCCTAGGGCCACAGCCATGGCTAGGATGTCCGACTTGCTCAGCCCCTCGTCGTCGCCTTCTGGTGTCGCCGCAGGGGCCGTGGCGGTGATAAGGCCTGAGGCCGTCACCTGAGCCGGTGTCACTGCTCGAGAGGTGCTGGACGCGCCCGTCGTCACCGCTACCGGGCCTGTCGTTGCAGCAACGGTCGGCGTCGACGTAGAAGTCGCGAGCTCGGCGGTGGTCTCACCAGCGACAGCTACGTTGGCAGTAGCGCAGTAGCCGTTGTACAGGTCGACCATGCTCGTGGCGTCGACGCCGCGGTTGTCGACGTTGGCGCACCGAGAACTGACGCAGCTTTGGAGGTAGGCTGTGACTGAGGAGGCGTAATCGGCTTTGCAGTAGCAGGCGTTGTTGGTGCTGGCGCCGCATTGGAGATGGACTGGGTGGGGATGTCAGTGGCCGTGGTACGAATGGAAGGAATCGGCTAGTAAGTCAAAGTGTTTCTTGGTAAGACTTCAGGGGCAGAAGAAAGGCACGGAGCAGCGAAGTGAGTGCTAGGGTGGAGCTTACTGGCGAGGTCATAATATCCTGCGTTGCTGGGGTGGAAGACGCCGTTGTACCAAATACAGCAGGCTGCACAAGAACGCGCGGCGATATAGGTTGGTTCATCTCAGATAGAGACGCGAGCAGTTGGTCCGACGGTTGTAGCGGCGTAGATCAGTGGGGTGAGAAAGGAGAGGATACAGATGATCGGTGATCCGGAAGTTGAGCTAAACATTGCCACGCACCAAACGGGCCGTGTGGCTCGACAACTATGCTTGTACCGAACACGGAAGAGCTTCTAGCAGCAAGTCCGTCTTGAACCTAGTGAGGCAGCAACGGGGCTCTGGAACGAAACGGGGGTCAAGACCAAGCAGAGGTAGGACAATCGATCATCGACAAGGGCTGCCTGCACTCACGTATTAAGAGAGACAACAACTGGAGCAACGAGCTGCTTGATGTTCCCAAGCGAAAGAACACAGAGATGAAATCGAGCGGCCTAGATATTGACAAAAACCACCGCTCGGGGAGGAGAAGAGCGGAGGCCGGCACCAAGGGGACACCCTCCAGCCTTATGCTCACTGAATCAACCATGGACATGCAGTTGACACCTATAGGCGTGCGGGCAAGCCGTAAGATAACACTCCAAAGATCGCGGTGTTGCTCTCCTGGCCGGGCCAAGACCTCAGCCGCAACGCCATAAAGCTGCAGGTAGCCAGGGAGACCAAGGGGCGTCCTGGCAACAGCCTATCCAGGGTTTCAAAATGTTTATCGTATAAGCCAAGCGACACAGCCCTGCGACAAGGCACCCACTTAAGACCTATCAAATCGAGAAAGCGGGAAGTTGGTAGAGATCCGCTGGCATGCAGATACGAGTAGTGTTTAAGCGAGCCCTTAATAAAGGCTGAACGGAGAGACAGGGCATGGACATGGGCGCTGCGGCATCCAGCTGTTCGATGTATGGAAAGCGGTGAGATGGAGACTTAAAAAGCTTTAACCTGTTGCTCGGTCCAAGGGTGAATTTGAGTTTCTTAGGGAAACCAGGTTTAGGCTTCAGCCTCTGGGATACTAAACGACGAGATAAAGAGCTCACAAGAAAGCATCTCTATATAAAGGGACTTCTGCCCGCTTCACGAATAACATTTCAGGTAGTGAGCGTTTGATGATAAGGAGCGCAATGAACAGTCCCCCTTATTGAAACTAGGTACTGACAGCCCCGCTCGGCAGCCACTCCTCGTGTGCTCGTTGTGGTACCAAGAAACCCATGCAGGCATCTCATGAAGGCTGTCTGTTCTACGGGCGGTTGGCTCCGAGGAGCGCCGAATTTTACGGTGGTAAGAGCTGCAGAAGGTTTCGGTCGGTGGTGCTGGACGATAAGTATTGAGTCACGTGATCGTACTAGGAACCTTTTGACCTCCCATCCACTCCAACTGTTCCATTATCACCACTGCAAAGCGCTCCTTAGGCAGATTGATTGGCATCATCCACCAGCGCGCAACCACACTGCTCTGGCACAACATGCCTTCCTAGGATAGCTTGACGTTTGACAGATTGAGTGTCCTTAATGCCGTACTCCGTCTCCCCTTGCGCGGATGCGGCCCGAATCGCGAAAGGGGTTCTTCAGGCCTGCGGGCGTTCCAGGAATCTGACATGTTGGTGGTCTGGGATCGGCTCGTACCGGATACTCAGGCTCATCGTTCTCAGAACATGTTCAGATAGGCTAGGAAGCACTGGTCCATTAACTCAGTGGACCGTTAAATTCTAAGCGGTCTCACGTCTACCGCAATACTACCTTGCGGACTAGGAGAGCTCCAATATAGTTTTGAAGAACCAAAGTCAGTGTGGAGAGACTTTGCTGCGAAGCGGCTGTGAGCAATATGAGGAACTTTTCGAAGTAGAATAGCGCTGTATGCTTGAGGATAGATCGGGAAGGTCTACAGCCCACAATGGCATCTGTCATCGGCTATCAGTGAAGATACAATGAGTCTATCTTCAGTGAGCCTTCACCGGGATCCATGGCGATTCCGGTGCAATGGATTGCCGATATTCTCCCTCGCTTCCAGTGCTTCACAAATATTTCCTGTGTCGGTCTATCTCATTCCGGAAAGTTTCCCACGTCCACTCTTCCTTCGTCTCGTCGACTCCGAAGCCCACTTCCCACCGACCCTCATTTTCGCACCGCTCTGAGCCGACTTGTAACCTCGTGCCAGCATGCCACCAACTGACGAGATCTCCTCAGTATACTCTCACGACCAAGCGAACGACACCACGACTACCCTGCCTCGAGACAAGTCTTTCGCCTCCAAGACGGATGTCAACGATCAGGGACGGTCGGCCTCTCCCACGCCACCTGGGAGCCCTCGTTCTCATAAGGGCATATCTGTTCAGTGGGTTCGCATCTGCCTCCGGACAATTGGAATTACTCTTCCTTTCGCAGCCGTGGTAGGCGTTTTCAGCTGGCTTGTCTTAAGCCGGCGAGTGGAGAAATTTTCTGGCTATACCAACAGGGATGGTTCATTCGTTGTCGACAGGCAAAGCTCGGTCCTACTACTCCTACCGATGCTATCCAGCCTCTTTGCCTTGCTAGTCCTACGACCTCTCACTTCTTTGGCTTCCTACATTCAAGCCCGGCTGCTTCTGAACGAGTCCGACCAGCTCGGCAACAGCAAGCTGCCAACCCCGTACGAGTTCGGCCTTTTGCTTGGGCACTTGCACAGAGGCTTGGGATCATTGTGGAGTACTTTTGTGTACTCACACCGACCGCGCAGACGGACACTCTTCATGCGTCAGCTAGTGGGTGCGGTGTGGTTGTTATGTGTCGCCCTACTCCTCTCGTATGTACCATCACTCCTCTAGGTTGGAACAACACTAATAGCCGGCAGTATCCTTGTCATTGCTTCGAGCATCTGGCTCCACGCATCCACGAGAATGGTGCAAATTCAACAGATCCTACCTCGTGATGACTCCGCCCATATCTGGGGACGCACAGTAGCTCCGGACTGTCTTCTTGATCTTTCCGCGTCTCCGGATCAGGCGCCTGTAAATTTCAGCCTTGATGGTGCTGGTTGTCGTGGCCGATCTGATCTTCTGTCGGGCGGTGACGAGGCCTATCTCACGGCTCGAAATCGCTCGTCAAGCAATCGAGTAGTCTTACTCACCGGCACTCCGTTGGCCTTACTTGCAGACAGCGAAGCTTCGTTCACCACTCCATTCTCGGCATCGAGCTATGCCGTCAGCTCTTCCTGTGATCCAATCGGCCAGGATTGTCGATTGGACCCAGACGAACTAACTTATCACTGCCCAATGCCGGCTTTCTCCGGTACGGTGACTAAGGCTGTTACATTACATTATTGGAACTCGTCGACCAGCAACTCCGAGGACGTGGATTGGACGGTAGCTTTATACTTGAAAGGAGCAGACAACGCCTTCGCTGCGTACGCCAATACCAGCAACGCTGTTCTTACTGGCCGGAGTAGCGGCATCCTCACCATCTTTCGCTGCTCCTCGCAAGTGCACGCGATCAACTACTCCTACGTCGGCGGTCAAGCGATGCTTCAGGATTCGAGGCTTACCAACAGCACAGTCACGAACTTGATCCTCTCCGCCATGTTTCCGGAGATGATTGAGGGACATGCAGGCTTCGGGAATGACCTCCTTGAAGAGGGAATTTCCGCCATTGCCGCGTCAACCAAGTCTGTTGACCACCTCGGAAACGCCTCTGCTCTCATCTTCAGTCAGACAGCCATGGCCTCAACGGCCGGCATCATGGCCCCTGTCGCGATAGAAGGCAACCTCGTCAGCAAGCTCGTTACTATCATGCCCAAGGCAGCATTCTGCCATCTATGCTTCGCAAACATCGCTCTCGCTGTGTTGGCCTTGGTGCTGGGCATCGTTGCAATCATCCTCTCCTGTACCAGGGCGGGTGTCGCGGACGTTCAGGCGCGCCTTAGTATACTGGCCCTCACAGCTCGAGCATTCGGAGCACCCCACCAAAATCACCCAGTCACGAATGTCAAGCAACTCTTCCATGAAGATGCGCCCACCACGGCAAAGAAGATTCGCATCGTGAGGACCAATGAAGGCGGTTGGTCCTGGATCGCAGCTTGACGGGGCACTCCAGTCTGCCATTCGGCACATCATCGCATCTGACTGAATGTCAAGCCGGGCCATTGTAGGGCTCTCTGACCATTTTAGTGGAAATCATGTTAATACACAAGAGTATGAGGGTTTAATTTCTGTACTAGAAAGATCAGAGCATCGTTGTACTGGTGCAGGACCTGGCTTAGATTCGCTACTGCATGATCGCACTTCGGCCGTTAGATTGTACTGTTTAATACACAATAGATGTAATTACCGAGTCCCCAAATTGAGATGCGCACTGGAGTCCTTAACAGCTATTCGTCTTTGCGCTTGGCTAACTCTCGTTCACGGCCGTTTTTTGTGGCTTGCCATGGCTGCGCGGACGCAGGAACAACCGCATTGTGACGTAAATAAAGCAAAGCTTCCAACGCGACCAGCAAAACACCAAAAGCTCGCGAGAACCAGCGAGAGAGACCCACTACCTCAACCTTTATATCGACCCGGGAGCAATCGCATCAAGATGGGCTTTCGCGATAAACGCATATCGAAGTCTGTTCTGCGCGCAATTTTCCGCAGCAGAGCTCCCAAAACAGGCCTACTCGCGCGCATCTTAGCTCTCTTCTCGGTGTTCCAGCTCACGCTTGCGAGGTACAAGGAGGACTTGTTCAACAAGCTCAGAGAGGATGTGTGGCAGCTCGACGAGGACGAGTACCGGGAGAGCTTCCGGGAAGCAGAGAAAGGCGGAAGTCTGAAAAGTGTCGGCGACCTAGGCTACTCAGGCTCCGTACGTTTCCTCTCCCCTCGAGCCCATTATACTCGTACAGCCCAGCTGACACATACTCCAGACCTTCTTCACGACTCCTAACTCCAAATACCTAATCAAATCCCTCCCGCGCCACTCCGAGCACCACTTCTTCCGCGAGACCCTCTTCCCGGCCTATTACAGCCACATCAGCACGCACCCCTCCTCCCTCCTCGTCCGCATAACCGACCTCCTCTACTCCCCCTTCTGGTCCCTCGGCCGCGCCCTGCGCACCGCGCCCAGCCACCACATCGTCATGGAGAACATCCTGTACGGCAAAGAAGCCGACCCGAAAGGCGACAAATGGGAAACCTACGACCTGAAACCCACGAGCTACTTCTACCCGGAGCGGGACGTCGCGGGCGGCCGGCTCGCGAGCGAGAGCGTCAAGGAGCGGCTCGTTGATAAGTTCGAGGATAAGATCCGCATCACCGCCGAGCAGCGAGACGAACTCCTCTCCATCCTGGACGCCGATACGAAACTCCTAGCGCAAAACAACGCCATAGACTACTCCCTCTTCCTGATCCGGTACCCGGCCCCGCCACCCCGTGATGTCGCTGCCCCGGACCCACGGCACCCGTTCCGCGAGGGCGTGGAGAGCACGGATGGGAAGTGGGTGTACAGGATGGTGCTGCTGGATTTCTTCTGGGCGAAACATACGCTCCAGGCCAAGGCTATGACGGCGCTGATTAGGAGTTTCAACTTCTTTGCGAGACATGATGATATGAGCATTACGACTACGCCAGGGGAGTATCGGGAGCGGTTCTTGGGGATGGTGAGGGAGATGGTGGAGGTGCGGGGGGAGGGGAGGGGGGAGTGAGGAGAGATGGGGGAATGGCATATGGGGTGTTGGTTGGCGTTGGTGGTTGGAGTGATGGTCCTCCTTTCGATGATGGAATAGGTCTTTAGAGATTTGGCGATGCCAACACAAGGTAGAAGCGTGATACCCAAAGTCACTACAGGTTGCTATGACACGAGTTGCTGCATTTCCTGTTCGTCTATGAGGACGTGAAACGTACAAATCATACGTACTCCGAGATCAGGCCCCAGACATGTACAAGAAGACATCCGTCAGTCCGTCAACCGTGAACGCCGGCCCAGACTAGGTATCATCGCGCTCATGTACAACAAAGAGTATAGGGACCTGCCGCTGGAAACGAAGGCAAGGAAAGCAGAACAACAAACAAGGACAGCGCTGAGTGAAACCAATCAAACACGTCCGAAGCCATTACTGGCAGGGAGATTGGGGGGCCTATGAAGGCTTAGCACGCTCAAATCGCATAGTTCTCCGCGTGCAAGAACACCTCCTCCAGCCCGCCTTCGCCCCAAACCTTCCTCTGCATCTCCGCAACAGTCCTGCTAACATCAACCCTCATGCCAGGCGGCCCACACACAAACACGCACGCCCTTCTCCCCGTCCAGCCGCGGCTCATCTGCCGTAGCATAAACGGCAGATCCGGGCGGCCGTACTCGGTGCTCCACCCGTCGTGCGTCTTCTTAACGGCTGCAGGCAGGAAGGCGAAGCGCATGAGGTTTTTCTGGAAGTCGGTGGGAGTTTGGGGAAAGCCGAAGTCGAAACCTTGGGATTGCTGCTGGGGGTGGTGCGGCTGGTCGAAGTATTGGGATGAAGTGGAGGCCGGATCGTTTCCTGGAGCTGACAGGGAGGGGTCGAGCGCGCTGTTGCCGGCCGAGACGGCCGAGGCGATGTCGATGGCGAGGTTGCGGGGGGACTTGCGCTTCTCGAGGATCGAGCGCACGGGTTGTGGCTGTTTCAGCTCCGGCTGCCTCGACTCCGGCGCCGGCGCCAGCTGTATGTGTCTTGTTGAGGCGCTGCGAGAGGGGACTAGGTGGGCCTGCGGCAGCGCGGTAATGGCATCCTCGTTCTCCCTGCGAAGCTCCTTCTCGCGCTCCGGATCGCCGGCCGCTTCGGCGTGGATGAAAGCGCTATTACGCTTGCTGGACAGGCCGCCGGAGAGGCGCTTGTCGGCGATGGTGCGGAAGGCGTCGTTGACCTTGTCGTGGAAGTGCAGACTTACCGGCCGCGTTGGCGTCTGCGCTGACACGAGCGGGCCGTTGTGCGTCTGCCGCTTCGCGGTCGTGATGTAGAACTGACACTGCACCGTCTCGGGTGGCGCGTACTCTCGGCATATCCGTAGCTCTTCTTTGAACCACTCCATGACCTCTGGTCTCTTCAGCGCCCAAACCACTTGCACGCTCCGGGCGGTGGCCTTGCCGTCTCGCATACGCTTGATGAGGTGCAGGAGCTGGCTGACGATGGCGGTGATGCCGCTGCCGCCGGCGATGAGGACGACATGGTCGAATGCCTCTATGCATCTGTTCATGCCGCCGTATGGGCCATCAATGAAGGCGCGGTAGGTATGCCACGGTCCATGCTCTAAGGCGCTGTTCAGCACCTTTCGGGTGAACCCCTGGAACGGGCGGAAGACCAGAACCATGTCCCGATAGTCCTCGCCGTAGTCCGAGGGGAAGTCGTCGCTGCACAGCGACGCGATAGTGAAAGGATGGTTTTCAAAGACGGAGATGCCCGGCATCCGCAGGTAGATGTACTGGCCAGGTCTCCATCTGGTCTGTGTGGGTATCGTAACTTTGACGGCGTTCTCGTGCATGATCGTTACGGCAGCCTCGTTGCCGATCAGCCAGGACATCCTCCATGGACTGGTCCAGTTGAGATAGAAGAGGCGGAAGATGTACGAGAAGAACCAGATCGCCGCTGTGGAAAAGAGATAATGCCATGAGGTGAGGTAGTTGTGGCAGTGCCAGAAGAGCATGCCTAGGTAGATGATCGCTATGGGTACATGGGAGGCCACGAAAAGCTCGTACAACCTGAGGCGGATGGATGGGAGCGAGTGCACGCAGAGCACGCACAATGGTACGAGGGCCGCCACACCTGAGTCCAAGTTAGCAAATGCACAAGCTACGTTGATCTGAAGCGTTCATTGACCTGTGCCGTAGATGTAGAAGCTCTGTTCGGAGAAGTACCCCTTGAAGGTGCGTAGCCCTTCATCGTCTCCGGCTGGCGTAATATAGAAGGGTATCGTATGGATAAGGCTCAAAAAAAGACAAAGATACGCTGCCCACCTATGCAGCACGTTCAATCGCTCGTGGCCGATGCCGGTGAGGAAAGAGATGAGGTTCGCCTTCATGCTCAAAGCGACGATCCAAGGCATCAACGCTACTGCAATCATTCCGCTCCGGATGGCCAGTGGAGGGGAGCCATATGCGATACTTTGCCAGTAGAGTGGTTGCGGAAGAAAGCAGTACAGCGTAACAAAGATTGTTGCGGCACTGACGATGACCACGACGGCTAGAGATGGGAACACTATAGTGAACTTCTTGCCGAACCGGACCACTGGCAATGGGCGATAGAAAACCCATCTGAAGAGAGCGATTGCGTTGTTCAGGGGCGCAAACGACGAAACCGAACTCTGTGCTTTTGGGTACGTGGGCTCTGGCAAAGGCCCATGCCGTGGGAAGAACTTGTGCGTTGACTTGTCAGTGTCCAGGACTGACAACTCGTAGTCTGTGTCGGGCGAAGAGGTCGCCGAGGACTTCAGTACCTCTTCGTGATGCAACGCCGTTCTTATCTTGTCGGTGAACAGGTTGTAGAACCGTATCAGAGCCGCGAATACCAGCAGAATGATGCAAAAGTACACCCATCCTAGTGCGTATTTCCCACTCTTGTTCCATGGGTCTCTTGTGTTTGCCTCTACTAGTCCCGGCGGACTCGAGCTGTTGTATGGTATGTTGATGCGCTCAACCAGCATGTGTGCCATGTCTCTAGCTTCTCTTTCCACCATCGACGCCATATCCTCAAGCCCCTCGACTGCTAGACCCGCTCTCCGCGCCAAAAGCTCCGCGAGGGCCGGCATGTTTCCGTTGGAGATCCCGGTTGCTGTGTTCTCACAGACCAGCTCTATCCAGCCCTATGCCATGCCCCAACCTCCTCTTCCGTGCGTCGTTATGCTATGATATCTTTTTCCAGCTTGCTGAGCTCCGTCTTTCGATGCGCATGCCTTCCTTCAAGCTGTGTGGGCCAGTCCCTCTACATCACTTGAGGTCCGCGACTGGCGACCGGTGGGATGCTATTTTTACAGAAATTCCTGTTGTGTCTGGGTCCCTGCTGACGTATACGGGGTATTGCGTGGTATCAATCGCACAACGAGGTTTTCGGTACTCCCAATTGCGAGGGCCTGATGCGCTTGCGCCGGTGCGATGCCAGGTTGCGATCTTAGCGGTGTGGGGTATTCTAAGTATATACAGCGAGAGGAAAACAAAGGGTTACAACGAGCGACAGCAGCTCTGGAGAGCGGTACAGAGTTACACAAAGCATGGGCGATAACGGAGCTGCTGCCGGTAAATATGGAGGTGGAGAAGGAAGCGGCAGCGATGCAAGGGCAAGGGTCTGCCAGCCCTGAGTTGGGGCAAGCCGCAAGCACACGGCAAAAACGACAAAATGTCCAATGAGACGAATGCAACCGCTGGGAAGCCGATCGGCACAGTGCACTAACGGTCTATCCGCCACGCTATTGGAGTCTAGACATGCGAGTCCGTCCCAGTCACATCACGCTGGGGATGAGTTGTATCGTCACAGGCTACCTACATATGAGCCGGACTCATCCCTTCTCTAGTCCGTAGCTGATCGATGGAGGTGGAAATGGAAGAGTCGCAACAGACATCGGGGCGGCTCTCAGGCGGCCAGCATTGGCTGCGCAAAAAGTGACGATCTTGCGGAAGCTTGAGCTCAGCAACGGCGCCAATCTTGAAGGACCGGTCCGGCTGGCGACGCCGCCATGCATGGTGCCAGGATTGACCCGCGAAGGGGTCCCGCGCCTAGCGGAGGGGTGGGCGCGAGAAAGGGTAATAGAGCTGCTCAATACCTCGCGAACTAAATAAAGGCGTGCCCGAGGAAGACGAGGAAGACGGAAGAGAAAGAACACCTACGGAGTACACACCTACACACCGGCGGGTGAGCGCACGGAAACCATGCGTCTTTCTGCACGCGAAAGCACATGAACTAAAGTGGCACATGGATGCTTCCGACGCATCAAGTTGCGCGACGTACCTGCCTTCGAAAAGCCACTGGCCCGTTAGCCCCCAAGACTCCCCGTTCCATCACCTTGCAGCCTTTCACAATCGGGTAATTCCCAGCAAGTGGCACCCACCAACTCAGAAACAGGCGAGAGCACGGCATCTCGACTGGCCCTCCACCTGCGAAAAGTCTGTTAAGCGCCCGCGGCGCCCACGTCCCTTGCTGGAAGTGAGTCTAGCTTAGTCAGTGCCGGATGAGTCGCCGACACTTGCCGAAAGGTTTTGTCGATCTTCAAAACGGCCTGCACAATGCACCGCTTTTTAGAAGTGCGTCCGATTAAGAACCGTTTTGCGCTGATGGAGCCTCTGTATGCACGAGGTACGTCACTGTGAGTACACATTACTTCTTGGGAAGGCCCAAAGATCCAGGCCATCGGAAGCAACAGCAAGTCCGCTTCAAAGAGTTCCAGATCTCAATCTATCCGCTAGGAGTTTTTCTACACGTAGAGGAAGTCGACACGTGTGTATATTGAGCTTTCCTGGAGGACTCCGGCGCAGTTGCGGAACAAGTTCACCTCCGTCTACTACTCGTAAGATGTGGTCGCACAGCTACTCCTTTCGCTGCTCAGCATCTTGCTTGACCTGCCTGTTTGAGTGATGTGCTACCTCAATCATCCCCATTAAGAGACAAAGTAAAACGCCGAGGCTAGTTACTGTCGTTGTCAAAAGATGCGCTCCCCACGCATGGGCACAGATCCTCCTTACTACAGCGTTCAAACGTGTTTAAACGCAACTAATCAATGTGCAAAGCAGCTATATCACTGGAATTACCGTGAAACCATCTCTCCTACATAGCGCTCTCAAGCACATGTTGACACAAGTTGAAGATTATACCAAAACTTTTAGACGTATGCAAACAAGAGTAGGGGCTGATTGCAACCTTCGAAACAACGTGTCATTATATCATAAACCTTAGCGCTATATACGCATATATTATCACAGCAAGTTCAGCTTCTTTGTAACCTGTTATGGTCGTGATAACCATGTTCAACCGTGTTCAGTTGTGCTCAAACGTGTTCAAAAGTAGTGGTGGGGGATGCATGCCTGTGCGTGGGGGCCGCATCTTTTGACAACGACAGTATAACTTCAAACCCGCATTCGCTTTTCGCACACAAACATACCAGCTCTTCTGCTATCTATCAGCGCTGTCAAGGAAGTCATGGCTATTCTGAACATATTCCAGAGCCTCTCGTTGTCTTCAATAATACTATCCGTTACCGTCCTCGGCTCTCTTGCTTTCTGCCTAACCTTCCTTTCACGCCGCCCCTCTTTCCCTAAAAATGCACCGCCGCTCTTCCGTGGAGGCTATCCAATACTAGGTGCCTATCAATTCTTCACTCGGCGATGGGACTTCTTCCGCCATGCAAGCGCAGCAAGCCCGTCGGGCAATTTCAGCTACTATATCGGACAGCATGGTGCGCACTGAACTGTTTGCTGTCTCAGATCCAACGTTAACACCCTTTCTGCGCAGCCGTCGTCGGTTTGTCTGGCGATGACTCTCGGAAAGCGTTTTTCGAAAACAGGGGCCTTGGATTCGCCGAGGGGTGCGCGGCGTCTTTGAGTCTTCCCTCAACATAACGCTGATAAGCATTGCTGCAGATATGCCGTTCTGTTCAACATGTCGCCAAAGGTTGATACGGAAAAGGAGGAGGATATGGTTTCAGGTTCCTACTTCAGCTCCCGGATAACCCGCATGCTCCGCAAGGAGAACTTCGTTAGAGGTAAGGCCGGCTCCTTTCCCGTCAATCATGAGACCTAGAGCGGTGGACTTGATGTTAACTCAGTATTCCAGGTCTGCCGCAGCTTATCAAGGATACGCGTGCTCGTCTCGACGCCTTGGCCGCTGATCCGAGTGGTATCACCGACCCTTTCGAGAGCATCTATAAGATCGTATACCAGCTAACGATGCGCACTGTCGGTGCAAATGAAATTGCTGACGACCCCGTACTACTCAACAAGACGCTCTCGCTTTTCGAAACAATAGAGCATTCTTCCCAACCCAGCACCATAATTTTCCCCTGGTTAGCGTCGCCTGCTATGATCAGGCGGTATATCGCCGGAGGTAAATTATACATGGTCTTCAAGAGCATCGTGGATGACAGGAAAAGAACTGGAAGGCGAGAGGACGATGCATTGCAGTATCTGATTGACCAGGGTGACAGCGTAAACCAGATTATTGGCGTACGTCTCGTCTGGATACCGAAATAGACCCTTACTCCGCAGCAACCTTGAGCTAACAGCCCTACCAGTTCGTCCTCGGTGCCCTCTTCGCCGGCCAACTGAACAGCGGCATCAACGCCTGCTACGTCCTCTGCTACCTCGCTCAGAACCCGCACTGGCTGTCCGAAGCGCGCAAAGAAATCACCGCCGCTGGCGCAAAACACTCTACCAACCCCGATCAGCCCCTGGTGGAGCAGCTCGCCAGTCTCTCACTCGAGGCCTGGGAGACTGAATTCCCCCTCCTCGACATGTGCCTCCGCGACAGCATCCGCCTGCAGCTCCTCGGCACCGCCTTCCGCCGCAATGTCAGCGGGCACGCCATCAAAATCGGCACCGAAGTGATCCCCAACGGCGCATTCGCGACCTACCACCTCGACGACGTGCATCAGGATCCCGCCATCTACCCCGACCCGGAGACGTGGGATCCTTCGCGGTACATGCCGCACCGCGCCGAGGACAAGAAGAAGCCTCACGCGTTTGTGGGGTGGGGATCATCGATTCACGTGTGTTTGGGCATGCGTTTTGCGAAGCTGGAGCAGAACATTATCGTGGCGTTCTTTGTGGCCATGTTCGATTTCGAGGTCACGGATCGCGAGGGGAGGAGCATGAAGCTGCCGAAGACGGATCGGAATGGACATGCGGCGAGTAAGCCATCCAAGCCGGTCTATCTGAAGTATCGGGTAAGGGAGAAGTCGGGAGCGTGATGGCGGATTTGTGGGAAGAGCTGGTGGGATGGGGAGCATGGTGGGTATACGACGATGTCTTTGGGCATGGAACAAACACTGGGCATCTAAGGGGCGCTGGGCAACGTCGATTGGTGATTATGGTGATGGAGAATGACTAATGATGTAGGCTCGAAGCACTGTTGTTGTTGTTGTCAAACTCTAACGACGTTAAGGCTGCACTTATACTTCGGAATTTGCTGTCTGTTTTCTAGAACCCTGAATTACTGAAGACCTCCGAGGGTGCCATCCGCCGTGCGTCGAACTCGCATCAAATGCCCAAGCTGGGATTGGCAGCATCCAATTATCTTCCACAGAAGCTCTGAAGATTTTTGCCGTCTGGTTTGGACACTATCGACACCCGTCATTTAATCATCACCCCTACGTGCCTCTCAGCTTGGCCCAGTTCCAGCAGGCAGTGTCGGTTGTCGCATTAGGCTGTAGGTGACCCAGCCGTAAGTGCGAGGCACTGCACCGTTCTTAGGCAATGGAGACTAGTATTGTGATCTTTGATCGAAGGGTGGATATTGTCTCTATGAGCCATGTCCATGCTCCTCGTCTCCGATTCTTCTCCCATCTATCGTTCCACCGTAAGCCCCTCCGTCAAGGATCCACTGCTCATTATCATCCTTATCATCCTGCACCCTCCTCCACGCGGTCCTCCTCTCCCGCTCAACCTCCTTCCCTTTCCCCCCGCTCTCCCCGATCGTCGGCCTAATCAGCGCTCCAAGCAGCGGATTTCTACTAAACGCGCCCCCGCCCCCGCCCCTCCCCTCCCCTTGCACCGGCCCCGCAGCACCATTCTCACCATCCCCCTCACTCTCCGGCGTCCTCGGCCTCTCCGCCCGCTCCATCCTCTTAACAACCTTGCCGCCCACAAGATCAATACTAGCCACCACCTTCCGCTTCTCCCATTCCGGCCGCGCGCTCCACTCCTGCTCCCTCAGCACCTTCTGCTGCCGCTTCAGCTGCAGTGCCCGCTCCGCCGGCGAGGCCCACATGCTCTGGCCGCTGCTCGGCGTCTCGAAGTCCGCCGCCTCGTCGTGGATCCTGGTCCTTCGGGCGTTCTGGGCCTGGTAGTCGAGCAGCTTGTCGCGGTGCGCGAGAGCCGCGGAGAGCCTCTCAGAGTCCGAGGTCGGGGTGCCGGGTCTGCTCACCACGGGAGAAGCCGCGCCAGAAACCGAGGTGAAAGCGCGCGGGGCCTTCGACACCTCTGCGCGGCGCTGGGCGAGGTTATTCGCGTCCATCTTTTCGCGGCCCCGCTCTTCTTTGAGGACGCGCACCATGCCCTGGATCTCGGACTGGGAGAGCAGCGGACGCTCGCAGAAGGTGCAGGGACCGAGTCCTTCTTTTACGCAGATGATTTTGCCGCACGAGAGGCAGTTCGGCGCCGCGGCTAGCAGGGGGTGCCGGGTGGCCATGCAGTTGCAGCGGCGCTTGAGGGTGTCTTCGCGGGAGGAGGTGGAGAGGGAGGGGTTTGTTTGGATTTCGAGGGCGCGGATCGCGGAGTCTAAGTCGGAGAGCGTGGAGGACGAGCCGTGCATGGATGTGCCGCCTGTGATGGCGACTTTGGTCTTTGCGGCGCTGGGTTTGGGCGCGGGCGAGGCTTGGCGGGAGGAGGGGCGTGAGTTGGATTTGATATCTGAAATTAGCGGTCCTGCTGCTGAGGGTGGGGGTTTAGGCGTTGGGACCGCCGGGTTCGTGGCTGAGAGTTTGGAGGTGATTGATGGAAGCTGGCGTGCATCTGGCTTCTCTTGGAGCTGTAGCGCATTTGCTAGCTGAGGCTCTTTCCGCGCTCTAGAGGCCCCGGACATATAGTCTTGTTCATCTTTCTTGATGTAGCCGCCTGATTGGTTCCCATAGTCCTCTGGCCGTCGTGCTGGGGGCAGTTTATTGAACTGATTTGGCTTCTTTTGCTGTCTTGGTCTTGCTCGAGGGACTTCTGAGACATCGCTACGTTGCTCTCTGTGACCCTGTTGCGAGGACGGCTCATCTGGTGCGGCTGCTCGCCGCGAGTTGAAGGATGTGATAAATTCAAGTGCTTGTGGCGAGTCACCAAGCAGATTTTTTAGATGTTCCGCGGCAGCGTTCTTCGGCAGAGTGTCGGTATATGTTATGATCTGCCGCAAAGAGCCTTCATCGAGTGGGAGAAGCCGAGATAGTTGAGGCAGAGCCCAGCTATTTAAGTCCATGACGGTTCGATTGATCCTGGATTGTAGCTGGACGCGGATTTTATGATCTCTCTCGTTTCGAAAGGTTTCAACGGCTCTTAGCTAGAGCGACCTTTGACTGTTTTACGCCGATGACCTGCAAGTGGCTTTGTGTCGTAGGTTTGCGGTTGTGAAAGATGATGCAGACCATGTACTCACGTGAGCCGAGTGATGGTGTACCAATCCTCAGGCAGCTTTTTCTGCCACCGCCAGCACCGTTGTCACTTTCACAGCTTGCCCTATTCGCAACACAAGCTCATAGGTCATACATCGAGATAAACACTCGACAAGATGGCTACTAACGTGGCGCTCGAGACAACAATGGTAAGCCGCCAGCTTCTCCCCCACACTCCCTCACTCACACTACCCAGGGCACCATCACTGTCGAACTATATGAGAGCCACGCACCCAAGACCTGTCGCAACTTCTCCACCCTCGCCTCGCGCGGCTACTACAATGATGTCCTCTTCCACCGCATAATACCCAACTTCATGCTCCAAACCGGGGATCCCACCGGCACCGGCCGTGGCGGGTCCAGCATCTACGGCGAAAAGTTCGAGGACGAGATAAGTCCCAGCTTGAAGCATACAGGAGCAGGTATTTTGAGTATGGCGAACTCAGGGCCGAACACGAACGGCAGCCAGTTCTTCATCACGCTGGCTCCGACGCCCTGGTTGGATGGGAAACACACGATCTTTGGGCGGGTGAAGGCGGGGTTGAGGGTTGTGCAGCGGATGGGGCTGGTCAAGACTGGAAAGGAGGATCGGCCGGTTGAGGAGGTGAAGATTATCAGGGCCAGGGTGCTTGAGAAAGATGAGGAGGAGGTGTGAATGGGACAACGCAGAACAGCTTATGGGGCTCGGTGCTTCCTCAGTGGTTCTGTCCGGCGCTGCAACAACCGACCAAGGTTTCAAGATGTTTAAGACCTACGGCTAAGCTACTGTCAACATGCGACCACAAGAGGACAGCAACAAGATCGTCGTGTCCAGTCACACTTGCCATCGGTATCCTTTTATCACCTCGAACGGTGTGCGGTGACCTGCCGATTTGGACTTTTCGAGTCGTCTTGTTGAGAGACGTCATCCAATCGATGACCACACTTGCGCGAGTACCGGTCGATCTCAGTTACACTGCCACTCCCACCCTTGGCTGGTTGTCAACGACTCGCTGTCGTGAATCTGTGGAGGCGTTGGCCGATTCTATTCAACAGGAAGCTAGGGTATCCGGACAGGCAGGAAGGTGTATTGAGTCAGCTGTCAGATTCCTGAGCCAAGAACACAATATCCAGGTGCAAGGGTACTGTGGAACGATGAGGCCACTGCTCATCTAGATAGCTGGGGATCTATAACCGATATCATCATAGTAGCCTTTGGGTATGCGACTAAGAGAACTCTTATGGGCTTTCATCTTCACATGGACGGGATCTCCAAGTTGAAGACTCCATGATCCCGCACGGCCGGGTCGCTCCGCGGACTTGGCAATTTCTGTACCTGCAGTAGTCACGCGCTTTACCCCGCGTAGAGCTGCCATTACGCACTCGGCCTGTCGTCCGTACCACATATAGCTAAAGAAGCACGCGACATGTAGTTTCGCCACCTATCCGACGCTGCTACAGGCGACACCAGAGATTCTTCCTTAAGCAACATAGAATAGCCCAGTTCCTCCAACCACTCAAGACACCATGCCTGAACCCACCGGTGACCCAAATAAAGTCAATCCTGACGACCTCACCACCCTGACCGGCACATGCCTGTGTGGCTCCATACGCGTCACGATCAACGACCCTGACCTCTTCACCAGGCGGCGCGGACACCTTTGCCACTGCGCCAACTGCCGCAAGGTTGCTGGAAGCTATGTCGCAGCGAATCTACTAATTGAGAACGACAAGGTGGAAATTGAGGATAAGAATGGGACGTTGAAGGAGTTCAAGGTATGCACGCATGGTGTAGAAAAACAAGGAACAATGGACGAGACCCGAAGCTCATACGCAATACAGGACACCGAGACAATAAGCGGGACGCCGCTGGGAAGGTGGTTCTGCTCCACGTGCGGAAAGTGAGTCAATGTTGAACCCTGCTGCGTCTCTAGAGCGTTCCATTAGAGATCTCATCCGTGGCTGTTGTTGATCTGCTGCCGCAGCCCCATCAAATCCGTTGTACCAGCCTACGGCGACAAGGTCGTCCTGAAGATGGGCATCTTCCCACGCATTCCGGCCCCAGAATTCGAGACCTTCGGTTCACATCGGCATCCCTGGCAAGGCCTACATGAGAACATGGAACAGTACAAGCTCAAGGCCGGCGGAGAGAAGATAGAGATACCCGTAGCTCGGCCCAATGAGCAGTCTGTCGAGGATTTCCCGCATAATCTGTGAGAGACGAATTGAGAAGCAGAGCGTAGGACAGCGAAGGGTTCTCGAAGCAAACGTCTTCAAAAAAATCAACGTAAAACGGAGGTGTTATACCGGCGTCGAGAGAAAAGGTTTCTGAAGGTTTCTCACATAGCCTGTAAGGTCTCACTGGAGGTATCATCTTCCTGGTCTGGCGCAGTTTCTCTGACGTTCGCATGATTCCCACAAACTCACGTCGCACTTCGCTCTCCGCCTACTTCTTTATGCGTTGCTGGTTCACATCTCGGTGATTCGCACTGCAAGCACCCAATCACCAAACATACATTACACTGAATGTTACTTACTAAGCAACCGCATTCCCTTATCGAGTCTGCCGATAAGACCCGACACTATTCAAGTCAACCAAAGATTCCTTTCTCAACGAACTCCGTCTACCACTAGTGTAGGGTTAATAGTCAGTTGAAATTTTACAAGACGTGCAAGTGTTCCTACCACATCACATATCCATATTGTGTCTACAACACAAAATGTCCGACAAGGACGCCGGCACGCCTCGCGTCTTCCTCTTCAGACATGGAATCACCGAATGGACCATCAATGGCCGCTACACCGGCAAAACCGAGCTCTCTCTCACAGAAAAGGGCAAGCAGCAAGTGATCGGCACCGGCCGCATGATCGTTGGTCCCGGCAAGTTGATCGATCCGTCTAAGCTTGCACGTGTCTTTGTCAGTCCGCGGGTGCGGGCTAAACAAACATTTGAGCTGGCCTTTGGCGAGAACGATCGATATGACTTGGATGGAGAGGGGAATCTAACCGAGACGGAGGAGTTGGCGGAGTGGGATTATGGGGCGTACGAGGGGCTTGTGACGAGGGAGATTCGGGCACTGAGGAAGGAGCACGGGCTTGATGGGGAGAGGGAGTGGGATATCTGGCGGGATGGATGTGAGGATGGGGAGTAAGTTGCATCTCTGCTTCGTACGGGCCCATTGTTAAGCCGCGGCTGCCAAGATGCTTTGGCTCGAGTACCTTCGGTATGCTTTCGCGCGCTGCGCGTTATCAGATATCTCTCGAAGGCTTTCCGTTCAGGGTTGGAGCGTGGATGTCTCTCTCGGCCCGGACGGTTTCCCGAGAACCTCCATATTCGGGGCCCTGTCCACAAGGCTCATGAGCTGAGAACCCCAGTTTCTTTCAGCTCGCACGTGCAGCCTCCGTCCCCATGGAGATCAGGAACGTGCCATGGCATGGACAACTGTTCTCCACAGTGGAAGATTTTCGGCTCAGGCTGCTAACAGACCTCTCATAGATCGCCAGAGCAAGTGACCGCTCGGCTTGATGCTCTCATCTCCGAAATACACGCAATTCAAGGCCCGAACATGCATGGTGAGAAGGTATGCGACGTGGTGCTCGTCGCTCATGGTCACATACTCCGAGCCTTCGTGAAGAGGTGGCTGAGGTATCCCATGGAATTCCCACTCTCAATGATGCTCGAGCCTGGCGGCGTTGGCGTCTTGAGGTAAGCCCTCACTCGTTGAGACTTTGGAGAGCTCTTGGAGAGGGCAATCTACTGACTCTTTGCAGTTACCAACACCACAACGTTGAAGAACCGGCTGTGTTAGTCGGTATTGGCTTCCCCATTCAGTGAGGAGCTCACGGGGAACGGGAGAGCATGCACGGGGCACAGGGCGTCTGAAGAATCAGTTCCTCGGGTATTGCACGCAGCGTGAAGTCATTTTAGCAGCTTGGCAACGCTTTATCACCGTAGCTTGCGTTCGAGGCCAGATGTCAAATTGTCGCTAAGTGTCACTCAACACCGCGTCCGCCAGTGGGACGACTTAGCCTCAATAGACTCGTCTACGTTACTGGAATTGGCTAGCGTCGCGACGTTTGAAATCTGCCAAACCATGGATATCGAGGGCGCTACAGTTGATGCTTGGCACTGACCACGGTACAGAGAGAATCCAGGCTCGGCTTCAGCGACTTCATTACAGCTATCTCAAATCAATTGGTCTGCCAAGCCATCGCAATGCTATCACAGCCATCTGAGCCTCCTCGAAAGGAGGTGAGCGAGGACCCAGGTAGGGATATAGGACTATTCGATGCGCAGCTCGAGACGTCTTCTTCACTCCAGCTATTCTCATACTCTTCGATTTGGACCATCAATCCCAGTCATACACTCGTTCATTCGTCCTCTTCCTCTTATTATCATGTATTAAAAAGTCAAACAATCCGAATCACCAGATTACTCATTGATCATGCGTTCGCTCTTTCTCGCAGGCTTCGCCAGCCTGGCACTAGCTGCTCCCCGGCCACAGAACATAGACATCGAGGCAGTCGAAGCCGCCCCTGATCCAGTCATGGTTACCCCGGCTGTAGCAGCACCCTCCCAGGGAGCGTCAGTTGCTGCCGCCGTCGTGGAAGCCGCTGCCGCCACTAAGGTATCTTTGCTCAAGCGCACCAACATGATCTGCGGTGGAGAGGAGGATCCGTCGGCGTGTATCGAGGTCGAGTCCAAACGCGATGTGCAAGTCAGGAAGCGAGATGGAGACTGCTCGAAGCAACCGCTGGGCTCTGGCCCAGTTCCGAGCCCTGACACTGCTGTTGCGTTCAGCTCGAACCAAGATATCCAAGATTTGGCTCGCAGTGCTCCCACTCCTGATGGCTACTCACTTGTTTTCTCGAACTTGGACGGCTCTCTGAGCGCTAGCGTCTACATGGGCCTCACTACGATGGACAGCTATGACACCCTTGGATGCCAGAATCTGTGTGACCGTGCGGTCGGCTGCGTAGCCTTCAATGGTAACTGACTCCTCCGATCCTGTCAGCTTCTTACAACTGATGACCCTCAGTGTACACCGAAAGGGATCCAACTATAAATACCAATGCCGAGAGTTGCCCGAATTCCCCAAGTACTACGAACTTCAAAGTATGTAGACTGGGATTCGACTCCGTGATATTTTGTACGTTTTGTTGACAGCTCATAGTGTACTCTGTGGGGCGCGCCCGTCAGTGCTGAGCAGGCTACAAACAAAGGCCAATGGCGTAACCCGTTTCAGGTCGTCATCGCCGCATCGAATGGTATGTCCCTCCCCTTGCAGCTCTTGTTGCTCTACAGTGCTCATGATGTACAGCGTACAATAGGGCCACCCCGCCACCGGCACTAGGCGGATTCAAGGGCCCTTTCCAGCTCGGCGGAGCTATCAACGCTCCGTATGCTGCGGACGGGCACGACACCTTCATGGGTTCTAGGTATGATCCATCATCGTGATCCTTGGTTGCCTAGCTTACCATGTTAGATACTTTCCGTTCTCTCAGGAGCAAGGCTATACTCCATCAACTTGTGCAAAGGCTTGCGTCGAGCAAACCGCTTACAACAAGCGCCACCCAAGACCGGATGGCACATATCAGAGATGCGTAAGCGAGCCCGGTGGTCTGAGATATGAATGACGCTAATCCTGGGCAGGCATTCTTCAACTCCTACGTCCTTTCCCTAAACGATATTCCTCAAGGCCTTTACTGCTCTCTCTACGATCTAAGCTGGGATGCCAGTTACGGCAAGAACTACGTAAGTGCCGCTCCCAACATAGCTCAAGCCCAATCTTACCGGCTTCAGGGACAATACCGCGGTAACGATAGGTATACCGTCAGTCAAAGCTACAGTTACGCAGTTGCTGTAGATGCCGACTACGTATCCTCCGCGCGGTCCATCATCCAAGCCTCCACGCTCCAACCATTCTGCTCCAGCCTGCTGAGCTACACCACCCCAGCAACTACCGTCAAGACTCTTGTCACTGCTTTCAATGTCAAGACCCAGACTACCGTCGTAACACAGACCAGAACGTCCACCACTACTGCATTGGGCTATCATAAGAGGTCGGCGGGTCCAGCCACGCCCACAGCTCTCACCGACTTCCCCGCCAGCATCCTCACCTCGGCCTGCAGCGCTGAAGCAACCCCCGTCACGCAAACATCAACCCATCTCATCACCGCCACCACAACCGTCGAAACGACCACCTTAGTTACTTCAACCACCGTTCAAACGGCCGTCGCGACAGCAGTGACTGATTGCGACGCCGTCGCAACTGGGTGTCGCTTCGGCAGCGTGGTTCCGATAATAAGGACTAATATTCGCACGCTCCAGCAGTGCCGAGATCTCTGCCGTAGGGATTCTAGATGTACTTTCTTTATGTACTCGAGGGTTTTCCAGGACTGTTTGGTCTTGTCGACGGCGCTTGGCGGGTCGAGGGTGGCGGGTACGGGGTGTCTTTATGATTGGTTTCCTGGGAGCTGCTGAGAGCTGGTAGCATGGAGTTACTATGCGGTTTGGATATTGTTGATGGATAGACGGATAAACAACGTTCTTCTTTCGTGCTCTGTATGTTGCTCAGTATCTGCCTTCACTTTTCACGTATATGGGTATGTTTCAGAATGAACAGCAGCAAACGATCAGAGCTGTAAGCCGCTGGTCCTACTGTTTGCACACAGCTCAGCTCGATACGCCTCACTTGGAACCGGGGTCAGCACCGGAACAGGACGGTAACGTGGAAGAAAAAGTTCTCAGTCAAATCAGTGGGGCGGCTTCACTGCGCGTCGTGTATGCTGGAAGCTTGCGCGGGTGATGTGAGCCGGTGCAATATTTGATGTGACAAGGGAAGTGCACAGAAATCTTGAAAGTTGGTCGCAGGATCTGATTAGCAGCTAGGGGTCAACCCCGTGACACTACTTAACAGTTCAGCACTTTCGGGAAAAGCGCTAGTACTTACTCTCTTGATCAAACTCAAATGTTTGCTTAGATATCCTGCCGAGAACTCAATTAAAGTATTGAAGTACTGAGGAGAGCAATACGGCCTTGATACGTAAGGCCTCCGCGGACAAAGCTCAACTCCGCACGCCGCCCGCTCGGCCCGGCCTGGCGGTCTGCAACCTAATACATAACCTACACATTATAACTACTGGGATCACTTACTCGTATATACCAGGACACGCCAGTAGAGATGGCGGACCAAGATGATCGACTGCATACGGTGACTCCAACTTCAGGATGTGAGATTTGTTTTGGAACGTTGGCTACCAACCCCGGGCTCTGTGAAAGGTGTCAGGCGTGGAATGACGCAAAGCACATATTCCAGTGCATGAACTGCACCTTTTATCGCAGGAAATATATCCCTGTAAACGACGTCCTACGCGCTCGAGCATGCCTAGTCTGCGGAGCTATTGGTTCGGCCATTGGCGAGAAGATGCACCTCACTCCCTTCAGCACTTCCTCCAGTAAACCGGAGTGGCAGGTCTCCATCGCATGGCCCTTCACGCTGAGGCAGTACGATTGGTGGCTACCTGGATCGGAACTTGTCGACTTTGCCACTGGGAATGGGTGCGAGTACGCCATCAAATGTATCGTGTATTTGCAGATCCATCAGGATCCAGAGGCCTTCGAGCGAGAGGCGGCGAAACCCCAGCGTTTTCGTGGGTTACCATCACCTACTATCAGCGTCAGAATTCAACTCTTCTATCAGCGCTACACGACCAATTTAACCAGGGTCGAGCGGTGGGAAGACTCCCCGTTCATCGACATCCAGCTCGTAAAGGACTGGGTATCGACCTGCGAGCACGAACATGGAGAGAAATGCAATGGCGCTAGTAGCCCGACACCTTCACCGGCCCGACCCACGGATTTCAGGGTTGTTGACGTTCGCCGCTTCTGTATTTCCACACTTCCGGAATCCTCGCGATATGTTGCGCTCAGCTACACGTGGAAAAGGTCGACCGATGAAAGACCGCTACAACTTGAGCAAGCCAACGTTGACCGATTGCAGGCGGACGATGCGCTAAGGAGCCACCCTTTACCTGCTGTTATCGTGGACGCAATACGGTTGTGCGCTGATCTTGGAGAGCGCTATCTTTGGATCGATAGATTGTGTATTGTCCAAGATGACCCGGTGTCAAAGCATACACAGATTGTAGCAATGGATAATATATACAACATGGCTTATGTCACAATAGTTGCCGCCATTCAGGGACCGGATGTCGTCGGACTCCCTGGCGTTAGAGATCGTCCAAGGCAATCACTATCCTACAATTGCAGTCGACGCTTCGACCTCGAGAGACGTTGTACTTTCGCCGATTTCATCTCGACTGTAGAGGCGTCTGCCTGGAACACTCGAGGCTGGACATTCCAGGAGCGGCTGTTGTCACGCAGATGCCTCTGTATCACAGACTACCAAGTGTACTTCGTCTGTGGTCAGGACACTCTCGCGGAGGAGGGTGACGTTGGCGATTCCGCAATTCATCCCGTTCATATCAAGTCTCCACATCTGGCGGCCGGAGTTGTTGTGATCTCGCTTGAGGATTATTTTGCATGTGTCAGTAACTATACCGCGAGGTCGTTATCCTACAAGACAGATATCCTGAATGCCTTCTATGGGGTCGGTAATGTCCTCTCTAGACTGCTAGGAAATACGCGCATGTCGTTCGGTCTACCGGAGCGGTATTTTGTGCAGTCGCTGCTCTGGAGCCAGAGTTGTCGATTTGAGTTGAGAGACGGATGCTCAGAGATTCCCAGCTGGAGCTGGGCCGCGTGGTTAGGAAAAGTGCAGTTCCACTCTACCACTGGCTCCTTTCATAAATGGGACACGGAAATCGGAACGATGGTGAAGTATTACATACAGGATGGCACAGCGCAAAACAGCCAGCTGCGAGCGCTGGACACGGAGGACGTGTGGTTTGGTACTGCGGTGGACTTCAGCAGATTTGGAGAGCGTTCGAGTTTACCGAAAATACGAGGGATGAAAAGTTTGCCGGGACACTCACGGTCAACGCGTACATGGGCCAAGTGCCCACACAACCCATGGACGGCGCTTTCCAAACAAGTTCTTGACCCCGAATCGTGTGCTCTTTCGGAAAAATATCCTGGCTGCCTCGTGTTCAACACAACAGTTGCATCTTTGTTCCTAAGCCCTAGAACGGCACCTAATGCTGGGAGCGTTCGCCTTCCGTTTGGGGACGAGAAGAATGAGAATGTTCTGGTCATGCTGGACCTCCTCGACAAGCACCTTAATATTATCGGCTACATGGGAACGGACAAGCGGTGGCTAGACAGGGAAATTGACATAAAAAATCCATACGAGTTTATCGTGCTTTGCGCAGCTATCATGCCATTGGCTCCAAGGAAATATTTGGTGTTTAGTGCGCGCAATGGCTTACGCAACGAATTACACGGTCTCCGTGCGGTTGAAGAGATCACACCCTGGCGACTACGCGTTATGCTAATCGAACGTCATGGAGGCGTTGCTCGCCGGCTAGGTATCGGTTCTGTTGAAACAAATTTGTGGAAACAAGCCGAGCCAACGTGGCAAACAATTGTTCTCTTCTAGATGAGGAGAAAGGAGATTAGAGGATGGAACAACCCGCTTACCCATTAGGTTAAAAGGGACGCGGCATGGCAGAATATTGTAGTGTCTTGGGACCAAGCTAAGGCGACGTCTTGTTTGGATTTAAGATCACAAGTAGGTTTTTCCCAACTTTGCTAATATCCGAGTCACGATCATGAGTACCCCGTATATTTGGCAGTGCGAAGTTTTGATGTAGAACGGTACCATAGAATTCGAACACAAGTTTGGGCCGGGCCCATACTTTGGGACTTCATCCGCGAAAGTTTCCAAAACACGTGATGAAAGTTATAGTCCGCTCAGACACTCGTACAGATATAAGCCATCCTCCGCCGCGCAGCTGGAGAGATACACCAACAATACCAGAATTCCTCCTCAAGGCAAAAGCCATAGCACAGCACAATCAAGGCCTCTCAACAAGTTCGCATATACAATGCCTACCTACAACTCCTATGGGACGATGGAGAAACGGAGCTCCGACGAACGCTCAAGCTGCCGCTCCGACCACGACATCAAAATGAACGAAATCCACGTAAGGCGCTTATCCAACGCCTCGGACTTCGGCCAAAGCCCCCTCGGCTCTTGCGGCTACGACCTGGATCTCGAGGAAGTCTCAATTGGGCGACCCCCCGTCGTAGTAGACTTCGAGCTCGGTGCCCTCAGATGCGACAAGTGCGTCAAAGAGGACGAGAGTAAGGCCATGGCGTGAAAGAGGTTCGTGTACTGCATGGGAGTTCTCATACTCGTCGGCCTTTTCGGCGCGCTCATCTGGGGCTTGAGCGCGGGAGGTAACGCTCCTGGTCAGGTTGACCCACCTGGTCGGGTGGATGATCCGATGGCTGGGCGGACGGATTGGTCGCTGTGAGTGATCTTGCTTCTTGTGCATGATACTATTAGGAGCATACATGCCGGGGAATGAGAGAGCTGACTACGGGCTAATTAGTGGACCGTAGGGTGGATAGGTATGCCGAGTTGGTTTGCAGGTCGGGCAAGTCGCCGGTGGAGTGGACAAAGGATGAGGCGTTGCGGTGTGCGCAGCTGATGAGCCTGAGCTGGAACCCATTCTGGTGAGCAGTGAAGTCCTGGTCTCGCGGGCAAAGTTTGGCATTCTTTTCCTTGGACGCTCTGGATCTATTTATCGCACTTGGGTTTTGTGGAAGGTGGAGGTGGAGGTTGAGGTTCCCCGGGCGGAGGCAGGAACAGCGCGTGGCTTCCGCAGCCGAGGAGGCTACTGCAGCTACCCGCGCCTTGGCCCTTTGCGGCCGTGATGGGAGTCTAGCGGAGTCTAGCACTGAAGTCCCTGGGGTTGCGTTTGTGCCCAGGTAGCGAATGAGGCCTGCTATTAAGCACGATGCACGCATAATACATACATAGACACACATATGTGCCACTCTTTCTACTAGCTAAATCGAGGGCCCAACACACAAAGCCGCTTGGGAATGGGGCACAACGGATCCAGTCCCGTTCGCTCGTCTCAGCCCGGCGGCGCGTGGCCCGCCCACGGTGGCCGGAGGCGACAGTGAGGTGTAGAAACCGACCGCACTTGCGCATATCCTCTTCTCAGAGGAGAGCGGGGGCGCGAAGAGAATAGCTGTAGGATCGAGTATTGGTCTTGCAGACCGCTCGCAGTCAGTTTTCCTACAATAGCACCGTCAGGCCGAACCGTGGCTACTATCTTCGCTTCAGTAGGCTAATATCAGTTGCAGACCCGCCTTGCTATCTAGAAATTCGCCCATAAGCCCCATTCCAAAGCTTCGGTCCTACTCTAAACATCTCATCCACGACCTGCAAATCCAATCCTTTCGACGATCCATCTCAGACTTCAGCCGCACCCTTTACATATCAGCCGAAGCACACGAACCCACACACAACAGGTTACAATGTCAGACGACACAGCTGCAGGAGACACTGTAGTAGCGGACGGAAGCAAGCCGACCAAGATCAGCGGTGCAACCTTCAACAGCATCGTACGGCAGACCCTCTCCCAACGCCCGCTTAGTAGCCTCTACCCTTCCAAAACCCCACCGTTAACACCAACCTCCAGGTCTCCAACATAGTCGAAGACGTAATCTACAACATAATCCACGACACAGTCCTCTCCGTGCACCGATCCGAGAAGCTGCTACGCATGCGCTCCGCCGCCGTAACCGCCGAGCTCCAATCGACCACCCTCCTCGACTCGCTCCCGACCTCCTCAAAGCTCTCCCTCACCGCCCCGCCCCCCACGCCCCCCAAACTCGAGACCCAGGCCGGCGTCTACGAAAACGGCCGCTTCGCCCTAAAGGGCAACCCGCTGCTCACCGTCCCCGTCGACGAGATCCTGTGCCCGCACTGCCGGCTGCCGCGCCTTAGCTACCCGATCACGGGCGCGGGGGCTCGGCTTCCGGACCTCGGCCAGGGCCAGCAGTATTGTACGCGGTATCCGTTCGTGACGCGCCCGGGGCACGACTGCTACGGGAACCCATTCCCGTCGACCGCGAACCTGACGAAGAAGGAGAGGGAGGCGCTCAAGCGGAGCGAGAAGGAGGAGGGGAGGGGGGCGGGGGGCACGCCTAGTAGCCAGGGGGACGAGGGCGGTGGCGCTACGAATAATACGGGAAATGCGGAAGAAAGGATTCTGAAGAAACTGGATACGGGTGGCAAGCCCGCGAGTTATATTCCCTGGCACACGTGTCCGAACTGTAAGCGCAGCTTGCTGATCACGCGGTTTGCGCAGCACTTGGAGAAGTGTCTGGGCATTTCTGGCAGGGCGAGCAGTAGGAACGCGATGGTGAAGATGGGCGTGAATGGGGTGGGGAGTGTGGGTGGGAGTAGGGTTGGCACGCCTGCGCCTGCGGGGAAGAAAGGTGAGGAGGACGAGGAGGAGGATGCGCCGAAGAAGGTCAGAAAACGGAGTAGTTATGTCAAGAAGGCGGATCGGGAGAAGCTGGGGCCGAAGGGGAGGAGGGAGGGCAGTTTGCTCGGGAATGAGATTAAGCGCTCGGGCACGCCGAAGAGGGAGAGGGAGAAGGAGGAGGGGGCTGAGAAGCCGAGGAAGAGGATGAAGCTTGTGAGGACTGAGAGCGCGATCAGCTCTGTTGATGGTGGTGGGGATGAGGGTGAGGAGATCAGGATTGGGGGCCCGGAGGAGAGTGAGGAGGATGGATGAGGCGAGAAGACGGTAGGAGCGAGCTGCGCTCTACTCCTCGGAACATCCTAGGTGATGCTGATGCATGTGGATATCTGATGGTCTGGCGTTTTAGGGGTAGCTGGGGTTTCAGCGGCATTCTATGGCGTCCACTGTAATACTTGCAGGCTGGTCTGTCTGATATGTCATAGCTGGCTTTAAAGGGCCAGAGTTCTCGGTACTGCGGTTAGAAGTCGTCTTGTTTCTGATGTAGCTTTGAAATGGATCAACACCCCAGGATTCTCGACCTGTGTTCTTCCGCGACGACTAACGCCAGACCAAATCAATTTACAATAAAAACTACGAAGTAGTAAAGAAACTCCCAACAGATTACTCAGTCTTTGCCCGGAGCAGATCAGACCCATCGCCGAGTCTGTTCGATCTGTCAATCTGCCCAGTTACGAAGATACAACTGCTGCTCAGTATCACCAAGTTGATCTTGATGGTCTAGATCCAGGTCTCCTTCTCTGATCCTCCTGTAAATGTGAGAAGTCCCGAGACTGCCAAGCAAAGATATCAAGCCGGACGCATGGCCGCTTCATGAACCTGTACGTTCTTCTCTCGATACGCTAGCGGGGCGGGACACTTAAACGCGTGAGCCATGGTACAGCCGCTATCTCCTAGCTTCTACCGACTCCATGTCCGACATTGATACGGGGTAGTATCTAGATCGTCGAAATCTATGAGTTTCGGATGAGCTGTTGTCAGCTTTCCGCCTTCGTGCATGTCTGTAGAGTTTTTCTAAACGCTGTACCTTCTGAGATTGTACAGATTTATGCATAAGAGCGCTGAGCGCACTAAGCACACTCATGCAGGGCATACCAATAGAACAGACGCGACCACCTCCAGAGACCTGGTAATCTGCGACGGTCTGGGACGATGCCGGATTCGTGAAGAACTTCCGAAGGATCTAATGTCGCCTTGAACGGACACTCGTCGAGATGAGCGTGCATCTGAGGTACTCTTGTACGAGTTAGATCTGCGAACGGTAAATCGGTTCTATAGCGATGTCTATCATGTAGCACATGGTGCCCAAGCTGACCATTGATTCTGAGTCTACATGCAGCCGGAAGGTCTTCGAAACAATAGTTGTTCCTGGTGGCGTTGGTCTGAACGATCTTGCGAGTTCCTCGAAGGTTTTGGTTTTTGACGTAAAAGCGACATCAAAGGCGAATCCAAAGTTCATCTTCGAACCTAACATGACGATGAGGCCCTCCCCACCATCAGCTTTCAGAAAGAGTGCTCCTGCCAATCGACTGGTCCCTTTGCTTATCTTGAAGGTGAATGGCATCCCGGGAGGTATCCAGCTAGGCGCGCATGAGGGGTAAATCGGCGCTGGTGCATCTTTATTTGAGACAGGGGACATGACATGAATCAGCTGATAGCCGGCCTCTTGGGCAGGGCCGTTTCGAAGCTGACAGGTATGCTGCGGATAGATACCTCGAAACTCAGGAGCAAGGATAGATTGGCGTACGTATACGGTCTCGATACTGCCTGCTGAACAAACTCTGAGAAAAGATCGGGGATCCACTCTAGCATATTGGTGATCACTGGTGGGAAAGCGTCTTAGGTAGATGCCTAGAAATCCTTCGTAGTCGGGCCGCGATGTACAATTCAGAGCTGCAATGTATGTGTAACCCTTGTGATGAGCAAGACGCAGGCTGATACACAGGCCTTTGTTGGTGATAGCGAACGGAGCGCGGGGCTCCCAGTCAGGGTACGGGATTACACCCTCGGAATACGCGAAGTCGGCGGGGGACTTTGCCAGCAACCCATGCCAAGAGTATGGAGGTGCCGTTGGATCGGTCCATGCAAACAAAGACTGGTCATCTGAATGTTTCATGATTTCTTCCTGCAGCCTTATAAATGCTTTGTCTCCCTCTCCGTACAGCATCGGCATGTTGACCGAGAAAAGGCCCATAAGACAATATGCTATGTCTTCAACTCTTGTTGTGGCTCGGTCGGAAGCCCAAGACATTCTCTTTGCTACGCTTGCGGTCTCGATGTCCTTCATACCGGTAAGTATGTCAGCATCTATACCGGTGATCTTTGATAAGATGTCTTGTAGGTCCCATTTCAGTCCGAGTTCGATCCAGTCATTCGAGAAAAATATCAAGCTCGACGGCCCTATGAGTTCTTGCAAAGTCCAGCCTCTTGTAAACCATCGGCTTTTAGCAAAGGCGGAATCCATCGTTTTGGTGTCCACGTTCGCAGGGACGTCTGCCAGGTACGCGTAGCATACCTCTGCTTGCCGGTACCATGAATACATTGAGTTGATTGCTTCTGATAACTCAGCACTGCTACTTTTGTCTATGCAGCAGGTATCAATCCAGGTGTAGTGAAAGCCGTGGCGGACAGCTTGAGCGCAGGCGTATCGAATCTTCTTGTATCCTGCTTTGTTCTCCGGGTCGCCTCTTTCCATGTCCGCAAAGAGTACTTCCTCGTCTTGCCATGTGTGGGAAAGTATAGCATAAGGTGGAATTCGATCGGCAGGGAATACTTCAAGCTGGAGTGTGGACGAGTTTAAAAGACGCATAGTGAAGGAGCGCGGAACACCGAGGTGACGCTCTGCGCGAAGTATGTAGACCACTAATGTTTCTTCTTGTATCCAGCTGAACAACAAAGAAACAGTAGACAAGGTGTTCTGATATGAAAGCTACTTGCAGATGCGAATGTTCGTCAAGGAGAAGTTGCTGGCAGGCTGAGGTACGAGAGTCGTGAGCACAGCCTCGCCAAACCGGTCAAAAGTCGCATGAAGTAAGGGTAAGCAAGAACTGCTGGCACAGTGACTGAGGCCTCAACGTGTTTGCAATTCTGTGTCAATTTTATATCGATGTCGACTACAACCTACGTCAGCTATTAACATACCGTTTATCAAGCACCATAGGTCTTAACTAGCCGGCCGGGGCTGATTTGGACTGGATGCAATGGAACAGAGCGTCCAATTTGACTGGTACAGTACAAGGACTCAAAGGCTCGCAACCCTCCTGACTCACCGGACAGAGAGGCGAACAATTGCAGATCAGATATATAACATCTTGGTATAGTGCTAAGTTGTCCGAAAACTTCCGCCGAGGAGCCTGATCCGCTCTCATCTAGTCGTTATCACCACGTGATGAAATATCTATCTCCTGTTAGTGCCCTTTTCTGTCACACTCACGAAGGATCAAGAGCGAAGAAGTCCAGTCGAATCCTATACCTGCCTCATACACCTTGCCATACATCATTCGTATCATCGTGCCCTATTGTATCTAAACACCTCACACCATCGCCACAGATGCACTACAAATGCACCACATACGCCCTGCCCTCACAATGCGTCTAGCACACACTCCGACATGAAATTCCCCCTCTAAGCATCCAACCTCAGCCGGTCAAGCAACCGGTCGATCTTCCCCAGCAAGATCTGATAGTTGATCGCGTCCTGCGTGAACTCATCCCCCGCAACCTCGCCATCCAGCGTCCTGACGGCGCCTCCCGCTAGCATCTGTTCCATGTCTGCCGCGTACAGTTCTCCCTCCGACCCCTCGTCGCAGGTGTCAATATATCCTGGATCGGAGGGTTGGAGATGGGGCTCGGGAGATTCGTCCATCATTTCGTCGAGGCCAGCATCTTCGAAGCGGAGGCGGAAACGCTCGGAGAGGTAGTAGCGGATGCTGTACACCGTACTGTCAGAGGCTGTTTCTTCTGGTCGGGTTCCTAGTGAAAAGCCAAGGGGAAATGCGGGGACTTACTCGTCGACCAACTCGACCGTATCCGTCTCCTGCCTAGCCTGAATCCTATTCGCGCTCTCTCTAACCAGCTCCGCAAAATCCTCCTCGTCGATAAACCGCTCAAGCCTGTACGCAATATACCGCGCCCCAAATTCCTCGAGCCTGTGCACCCTCGTATCCCATCCGGCCCTCACAACATCATAGATATCCACCACCTCCTCAATATCCGTCTCGCCCCTCGGGTTCTCAGCCTCGACAACACTGGCGCCCCCGTTCCCCAACGTGCTGATGATGACCGCCGCCCGCGCCTTCAGCTTCTCGATGAACAGCATGTCTGCGGCGTGCAGCACGTCGATGGCAATGCTGAGCCCGAAGTCCGCTTTCTCGGTATACAGGTACGTGAGCACGACTTCGAGGACAGCGGGGGAGCAGTCTATGGGGATAATTTGCAGGTAGAGCGTTGACTGCGCTTCGCGGAAGGAGGAGGAGAACATGGTCGAGAAGAATTCGGAGCGGAGGAGCATCGCGCGGTGCGCGGGGAAGAGGACAGATTTGCGGGATGAGCGGGTTCGCGAGGGCGAGCGGGAAGGATATGACATTGGGCCTATGGGAATACCGTTCAGGGGGCCGGAAGTCTGCCGGACGGTTGGCGGAGCGGGCCGTTCTGCTTCATCCTCCTCTTCGTCTGCATCTTCGTCTGCCCGCAGCAGGACGTCAGCGAAGACGCCATTGTTGCGATCCCATCGTACGCTGTCTGCTTTGCTGGTTGCAACCGTGATCTTATGCCTCAGCACATTCTGCTGGAACCACGTGTGCAGCTGGTCTCGGCCCCGGTTGACTTCTTCTGTTCTCCGTTGCCGAGCTAGCCGCCTGTCACCACCCTCCAATATGCTCTCGAAGAGTCTGTCTATCTCCAGCTGCCGGCTGAGCTTGTCAATCCCTGTCAGTACGGCCTGCTCTTCCTCGCCATCCCCTAAGTCCGCTGCCACTTCCTGCAGGTATAGGTACCGCACTGCGACCTCGAATGATTGCGGCGGGACAGTGTTTGCCAGCTTGAAGGATGTGCTATCCGGATTTGCCGCAAGCTTCTTCGCAAAGTATGGCGATCGCGCCGAAAGCACGAACTTGTGCAGGTGGAACGTTTTGTCCGCAGTGACGAGCGCGACATCGGACGTCTTAGGGTGTTCGCGAGTAAGGAGGGACGTGATATGCGCCGCCAGCGGCTGCAGCGGATCTGTGCTCTTGGAGTAATCGTAGGACAGGAGCAGGTTGCGTATGCGGTCGTTAAGTGCGTTGTAGAGGCAGCGCTCGCCTTGGAAGGTGTCTCGCTCGCAGAGGGCGCCGGACTCGAGGAGAAGCTGTACGACTTCGAAGTGGCCGCAGAGGCTAGCCTTACATAGAACAGTTTAGCGAAATGTTCTCTAGGGGCTGACTGAGGCTGTACAGTCTCATGAGTGGCGCGCTGGGGAACCCTTCTGGGGCGCCTTGGATCATGCTTACCAGAATCAATGGCGTGTAGTCGAATCTATCCCTCGCATTGATATTGACGCCCTCTGTGATCTTCTCCTGGCAGACCTTCAAGTCGCCTCTTCTGCATGCTTCGCAGAATACCCGAAAGGTTTCGCTGAGGTCGAGCGGGTTGTCGTCCTTTAGTCGTCCGGCATTGATGTCCTGTTTCTCCGCGTACAAGGCCGCCTCCAAGTCATGTTTCTTGACAACCATATTGAACACCTACTGCCACGCCTGAAAGAAGGATATAGGGAGAAGTAGATGCTGTGGCGGGACTTTTCTCTGAGTTTGGATGGAGTTTGCGGCGATAAGAACCGATTGCTGTTTGATCTTATCGTAGCTGATCTTATCGTCATCGGCTTGGCAGGAACAGACGGTCATCAAGCTGTGTTACGAGTGGACCTCTACGATGCCCTTGCTCACAATAGCATCTCAGTACGAGTAAGACTACGCTCCCTAGATTGTATAAATGTATGTAAATCTAGTAAACAGGCCCCAGGTTTAGCCCTTAACCAGGCGGACCATTCGAGATATCTCTTTAGAGGTATTCGTGGCTCTGCTAAAATACCAGGCCGCTAAAGCGCAGTTTTCGTAGCTTTAAGAAGGGAGCTTGTTTGGCGCATGAAGGGCCGGCGAGACGCCTCTTTACCCACTTGGTATATTCTTGTTGACCCGTACCGAACGTCTGCAGCGACACCACACGTCATAGGAAATTAGTGCAGTACTCCCGAGGAACCCGGCTTCGTGAAAGATAACTGGCGAGCACGGTACGTAGTGAGTAATGAGACGACAGAAGAGTGAGCAGAAAAACATAGGATCTGACTCTGCGAGAGATCGGCCCTCATCTATCAACTTATATAACGGTGTTGCTGTTGAGATCGCTGTCGACTTTCGGCTTCTTTAGAATTTATGTGGTATTCCGATGCACCCCTGCGCGTGGTGGCCATAACAGTGGTCTAGGTGATCCCTGGTTATGGAGATCTCCCAGTATGCATCAAGCGGAAGTGGCGCGTTCAACGGAGAGAAAGGTCTCAGGGGGGAAGCCTCGTGCGGCCCTTGGTCGGTTCGGGAGACACGGTCGATCAGGGAAGCGCAAGTGCAGCTGGATGGCGGTGGAGATACGCCACATTTGGAACACAGCCCTGACAAGTATTGAGGACTTCTCCGGGTGCCAAGACTGAGACCTGCAACATAGAACAACTGCCGTAATGCGCATCCGGGTAAAGCTTGGGATACGGATGTTGTACATAAGTTGCGGTCTTACCATAGCGACCATCCTCAAGAGGGAAGACAGCAAGGCGGGATCCCGCACATGAACGACAGCGAGTGCCACGTTGCGCACCACGTGTTTCTCGAGTCGGCGCTTACGAGTTGTTTGATTCGGGCGCCTGAAGGTGGATTCTAGAAGGAGGAAGGTGCCTGAAATTGAAATCACGAACCTTTTTGTGCACTCCAGCCAAGGTGCGGATGTCGGGACACCAGAATGTCGTGCTCAGCACGAGCAAGCGGCAGCCTGCAAGATCTTGCACTCACATGTGAGAAGATACCGAGAAGTGGCCCTTCGTATGCACAGTCGTGCGCGCTTGAAGGCATGGGTCTTCTTGCTGGGAACACAACTTGTTCATTCAGTTAAGGCTCGACGGTGGTTGAGCCGGAAATTGGCGAGGAACCGTTGCTGTGCGTCGTTTCCGGCAGACTGCAGGTCAGTGAATACGATTTATATGCAGAAACCGATAGACTTGAAGTGAGATGTGAGACTGCCCGATTGGATGGGATTGCGGTAACTCCGGTCCCTTGCGTAGTGCTGGCTTCGGTCGCCATAGTACGCTCTAGGCATTGCTGCTTGACAACGCAAGGTTGGGGTCTCTGCAGATGTTTAATGTAAACGGGTCTGTTCTGCGAGTAATACAGACACGAGAGCAATGGACAGCGGGTCCTACGGAAGCCTATGCACTTGAATCGTATCACCCGAGGGGCACAGGCAAGCGAGCTTCTTCTCGGTGCGTAAACAGGGTCCTTCGGAGTTCCTCGATGACGGTACGCTCGAACATGGCTTCAGCAACGAGCAGCTCGTGGTAGCCAATGATGAACCCGACCACGGGTAACTGCAGGCACACGTCCCGAGCGCCGTTTTCGGCCTTTTGACAGCTGCCCCTGTTGTGACTGTGCTCGAACACAGAACGTCGTCCGGACGCTTGCATAGCCGTTGAACATGCTTTGAAATGCGCAGTCGTAGCGACCTGCTGAATGCTAACTGGTCGTTGGAACCTGTGAAGCTACGGCTGTCATGCGTTCAGTTGCGAAACAAGTAAACCGGATAGCAGAGTCTGACGCCGGAACAATTCCGAGTAGGACCAGTAATATACCTCGATCATCAGTTGTGTTGAAAAAGAATGCAGCCTGTATCCCGTCCAAGTGAGGTTGGGGTATTCGGGACGTCGACGCATACATACGTACAGTGTATTGTATCTGGCTCGATTGGCTACAATCTACAGATTGCTATAAGGAAAGTTCGCGAAGACGGTTGAACAAACTTACATAGTCAACCGAATCCATCCACAGGACAACCCCGTCACTGAATCCAAGAGCACGACTTCAACGAGAGGTGCGAATGGGTTTAGATGTTGCGACCTTGGTGTGGAGCGCGAAAGTATGAGGCCCTCGTTGCATCTTCGCACAAGACATGTCCGCCGACAAGCTCGATCGCTACAGCCAAAAGGAAGGAGATAACGCCTGTTACGGAGTTACCTTACACTCCACTGAACAGTGTTCGGCGCGGTGTTGAACAGCTCACACCAGCCTTACAATGACATCTCTTTCCTAGTGAGTAGATAGAACTTCAGATCATGGATGCTGTGCTGCGAAGGCGATGCCACGGTATCCTCTGAGCTCACCGGCTCGCCTGAGACGGTCCTCGAAGCGTGATGGGGAAGGCACCGTATCTCCAGTGGGCCTTCTCACTTACAAATTCCTGTCAACTTACCTGGTGGGTTGCAGTGGTGCGATGAGTTCCATTACAGGCTCATCTTCTCCTTCGATATTCTGCTGGGCGACAGCTTAGCCTCTTTCAATCTAAAGACGAGTTCGGATGCACGTCGTTGAGACGAATATCACGCTCCTGCGCCCACGTTACACAGCGATTGCAGATCGAAGCGAAGCCACGAGGGCGCTGTACTCTCATGCTTCAAACCCGGTCGGCGGGCCACTAAGGCAGAGGGCAGTGACGGACGTCAGAATGCCGACGAGGGCTGGCATTTGGAGCAGGTACGGATGTACGGGCCAGGAGTGCCTAGAGCCTGTGTAACCAGCCCGACATACGCAAGACGGGAGGACTCGCATAGCATCTTGCATTCCGAAGTTGGCTGTCGCCTCTGGGAAAGCTACCCAGTCCGGCCGAAGCGCTCGATGCTGTTCGTTTGGGCGTGAGGCTGGAGAGCTCCAGCAAAGCGCGTAGATGAGCCAGATACTCGAAGCGAGGTAGATGTCTTGTATGACAGGACACCCACGCGGATCTGCGAGGAGGGTCTTCTTTCTCATGAGGCCGCATTCCTAAGGACAGAGGTAGCTGCGCGTCAGGTGAAGCAAGGGTAAATGAATTGATACCAGCGCCCTCCAGGGCTGCTCATGAAATGCGGGTCTCCTCCAATCAAAGGAGCTGGTGCATCGGCGCCCAGGAGGTACACACCACACGTGTGGCAGATACCCGTACACGAGTGTCTCGGTGACAGCCCTGCCAGGTGTGCCAGATGTGCCAGATATGCCGGATATGCCAGTGCAATCCTTCAGGACTTGACTTCGCGGGCACAACTCCGGCAGCCTCGGCGAGAGGAAAGAACGTCTCGAACAGTGCGTACCTAAGTTAATCAATGATCTCGGCGTCAACAGTTCTCCGGCCCGCGGGCGCTGATGGTCCAGAGCAGCGATCTGAAGGATGCCATCCCGCTGCTGGAAGCGTTCAAGGATGGCTAGAACACGCGTGTGGCACAGCGTTTGGCGCATTGGTCTCCATCTGTCCCGCACCGCATCCCTTGACTCCACCTTCAACGCGCATTGCTTGAAGTTAACCTGCCCCTGCTGCGTCCATCAATGGCCTGCCTCGTTTGGCCCCTAGACCGGACGCTGATTGCACCGTCGGCACGCGGGCCATGCCGCGGACCTCCCACTCAGGGTCCGCCGATATCCAGAACCTCCAGGGCTTCTATCTCCCCTGAATCGGCAGCTACGGACCGCGCGCCTCTTGTAAATTGATATGCACACTCGACTGAAACTGCCCGCATGCTTTCTGGGTGACACAGCGGCTCGATACTTAGGGAAATGGGCCAAAAGCCAGGAACCTGCGTGCCGGCTTCACGCCTTGAGGCTTGCCGATCCATAGATTAGGGACCTTTTGCCATTGAATGGGAGATAGTTATGCAGGCTTCATCAGGGACGGCGACATGCCGGGTTCCGGATCCCTTCACCATGTGCACGTTTAGCTCTATGGGTGAACGTGGCGTGCAAGGTTGTTAATCGTTCGCCTGTCGACCTGCATACCCCTCGGCCTGTCAGCAGCAGCAGGCATGTGCTATTTAATTCACTCCATATCTCCTTGCCTGACTTGTCGTTTCTATCCGCTTCCAATCCTTCACCCCGCCTTCCACGTTTTTCCTGCGACTTAGTCCACCAGCTTCCTCCAAGTTGCGTACCTCCACCGAGCATCATATCTTCTACAGCAATACGGCACCACCTCACTCTCGACCTACGTTATCGCTATGGCTGCCGTCGAAGGTCCGGCTCCCCCAGCAGAGCCCGCCCCGGGCCTCCCAGACTACGTCCTCGATCCCAACGCGGTGTTGAAAGACACTGAGGTCAAATGGCGATATGGAAGGGCCCCCGACTACTCGAAGACTAGAACCGTCTTTGAAGAGAGTACGTTTTGTCTTTTCGTGTCTTTGCCGTCCTTCAAGATTACTTCGTCGTGAGCGTTCCTCTAGTGGTCGCGTACCCTAGATCTACCACCCTACCGCTTCAACAACACAGGGCGGCGCACCACCAACCCGATCTCTTGTTTGATCGCGTGGGACCTCGTGTATCTTATGGACACGCCTTTCCCCTTGGAGCTTCTGAAACTGCATCTGCGCGTCGGACCTGCAGAACGCACGCTTGCTTGCCTCAGACGACGCTCAGATCGTAGCTCGCCCGTGCACCTGCGGTGTGACCATCTGGGTAGCGGCATGAGAGCTTCGAGATACGCAGCGCGTACCACGGCTGGCCATTTCCGTTTGCATGTTCGCACTGTTTTGATGTTCTTACGCTTCCCGGTTATTGAACTGCACTCCGACCAGAAACTCTTAACTAACCGCTTCCGCAGCCAAGAAGATGAGCCACGAGGCTGGCAGCCTTCCCGATCTTGTCGAGAACCTTGTCAAGAACTGGGAGATCGAAGCCTCGTTCAAGCCTGAGCTGGCAGACTGGCGAACCGTCGATCACGACAACTACACCTTCGCCATCAATGGCGGCCCACCTCAATCCGCAGAGCACATGCTCAAGGTCGGCACGTACAATGCAATCATCGCGCCGAACGAGTACTACAGCCCGGAGAACTCCGACTTCGCTTCGAGTCACAAAACCTTCAAGCGCATGATGCCCACTTTTGCGTGGGAAGTGATTGAGGTCTACAGCGGTCCGCCGGTTGTGGCGTTCAAGTGGCGTCACTGGGGCACTATGAAGAACGACTACGTAGGGTTCAACGAGTACGTCCATAGCCATGACTCTGTCGTATTTCTGTGAGCTTCCTGCTAACAGAAACGTGCAGCAAAGGGGAGAAGGTCACAGCCAAAGCCCATGGCGGTTCAATCGACATTGAAGGCGTCACTATCGCCCAAGTCAACGACAAGCTCCAAGTCCAGAAGCTCGAGACCTGGTTCGACCCTCTCGAGATGTTCCGACAAATTGCGCCGCACGGCGTTGTTAACAAGGAGCCTACTACCAAGAAGGTTGATGTTGCGCCCAAGTTGGTTGACACTGCGCCCAAGCCTGAGGACGCTGAAACCACCGCGAGAAAGCCGGAGGACACTCAAGAGACTCTCAGCGGCCCCGAGCCAGTCCCGTTCACGCCGAAGATAGCTTCTGTCGAAGGAAACAAAGTCCATACCGAAGAGCAAGTGCGTGATGCGCCACAGCCGCAAGAGGATGACGCCGAGGCTGCAGCCGACGAGTTCGTTGATGCGCAGGAGCACGACGCGACCTCTACTAGAACCGAAGCTAAGCCCGCTCCCACGACCGAAGACGCTTCCACCGACGGCAAGGCCTTGCCCATCCGATCCCGCTCGAACACTGGTTCCGAGCAGAGCTGGACCAAGGTCTCATCCGAAGATCTCCCGCAGCAGACCGCCATCAATTCGTCAAGCGTCAACGGCAATGTCGAGACCCTTCCAGAAGTGCGGACGGGTAACGAGCAGGCTACAGCCCACGTCGACAGCATCGACAAGTTCCTCGAGCGCCCGGCTGACATCGTTCACCCTCATCCTCATGATATGGAGAAAGCCGTTCAGCCCGAAGCTGGCGAGGCTGTTGCCGCTGCTCCCAGCAGCGAGGAGGTCAAGAAGACCCACGAGGAGATGAGCAGGATCACTCCCATGGAGTGCCCGTTCCTCATGAACCGGGAGTGAATTTGGTGAATTACTTGGGTACTGTATTATGGTTTGGCGACGACTTCTCAAAAATTGTGCACATTGGATCGATTTGCCTCTGGCATCTTCATGAACGGGTTTCGTGCTCCTGTATTATGGTTGGTGGCTCACGAGCTGCCAGCTTCTCAACGACTTTTGCACCCATGGTTGCGGCTGGGGACTTTACTTGCTTTCTTTTCCCACGGCTGGCGGATACTTGCTTCCTATCACAGCAGGAAGTCTTCTTGTCCTCTTGGGTGCTTTCCTTCTTCCTGGATAGATCAGTTAGGCAACTGGGGAGGATGAATGCTAAACTTGGTTTCTCATGTCGTCTCTACGACTTTGCCACCCTCGGTGCAATGCACGTTCCTGGCTGAAACCTGGAATCTGTTCATGACAACAGGCGGCGCCAGAGTCAGTCGTGTCATGCCTCGATACAAGTCACGCTGTCGCATCGCTCCTGAAACTCTCTTCCAGGCTGCACCCGTCACATCAACAGGCAGCAGCCCCGTCTCCGCGATCCAACGCCAAGCCTCCCTCGCCTCACCCCAGCCTCGCCTCAGCCACTCCGGTCCCGGCCCGCAACCGGCAGGCAGAAAAGTGGATCCTCGCTGCTGAAACGACCCGAGCCTAACCGCAAACGGCTTCTTTTCGCTTCGGATTATCCCTCTTGCTGATTCGCCTTCAGCTTTCCGCAGGCAGCAGAGGCCGAGGTTTTTCTCAGCAAACTTAGTCAGCCCTCCTGTTCATGCGCGTGCGGCGGCGGCGGCCTGCGGGCGTTTCCGCGGTTTAGGCTGTGGGCGGGCGGTTTGCGAAGGCGGAAGGTGAGTTTCACTGCCACGGTGCCGCGTGTCTCGGCTTCTGTTGAAGATGTGGCCCGGCTTTTCGCGTTGTGGTACGCATCATGTTGAGACGGGCGCTGGCTGCGGTGCGCTTTCAGCCCTCTCCGCGCAGAGGCTGCATCCTGCTGGGCGCCACGCCGGAAGAGAGGCACCACGGCTGGAGAGCGATGCGCAGAGCTGAGACGGTGTATTGAAAACAATGAAAGAAGCTGGACTAAGATCAGAGGGGCTGCATATTACTTTCAGCCTGCCCTATCGTAGTCAAGGCAGGGCGCCTCGCCCAGCGCTAGTCAGCCTTCTAGAGCATTTCTGGCCATTCTGCGCAAGCCTTCAGCACAAGGGGCAGCTGGAGAGACGAATCAGCCCCAGAGTGTTCGTGGCACGGACACGAACTGCGTAAAGTACGAGATGAGGGGATGTCCAGCCCAGCCGCATGATCATTGGATGAGTGGGCGGGTTTGCTGCTGCTTTTTGGAGTCTTCGCTGTTCGGCTTCTGACGCCGGCGTTGATGCAAACAGCTGGCCTGAGCAGGCTGATGACGGGTTCAATACTAATTACAGCTCCTGACGAAGAAGGAGCTCTGTCAGCCGTATGTCCATTCGCACGAGGATGGAGCAGGCGCCGAGGGGGGCTGTTTGATTGCTGAGGCTGCAGGCTGATAAACTTTACATATCGCATCGCGGGTTTGATGTCGGCAGGCACTGTGATACGAGGACGGCGGCAGCAGCTGAGCAATCTCTCTATGCGCAAATCCCGAACAACCTCAGGTGTGTTGCTGCAAATCGCAGCGGTTAGGTTACAGTGTCCTGATCCAAATAGAGCGTTTGCCACAGCAAAGTTGCACAGTAGTAAGAATTGTGCTGATCCACGGGGTGGCCAAAATTGCTTGGGAGGCGCGCAAGGCCAGCTTGGCCCGGGCGCTCTCCGCGACCAGGAGCTGAGCTGTTGGGTGTGGGTGTGGGCGTGGGCGTGGGCGCGGGCTGCGTCGAGTCATCCTGCGAGCATCAAAAGCGCCGCCCTCCGCATTCCCACGAACGCATCCCATCGCAGCAAAGATGGTCACCACGATGTCGCTACTCGAGCGCAGGGGCGTCTAACTCACGTCTGCCTCACGCTTGCAACTGGCACGGTTTCGGAACACACGTCGTCTTCGGCCTTTCTCTTCCGCTTGCTCCAACCTTTATTCCGGCCAGCAGCTTTGTCCCACAGCCGCCCGACTGTTGCCGCCGCTACCTGGTCACTGCCGCCTTCTCGACTCACAGCTCCAGTCATTCACTGATACCCTATATTTGCTACCTCGCCGCATCCGTGGCTTTCGTCTTATTCCGCCTGCAACACTCCCCTACCTTCCGTCTCGTTGCGGTATTTGCCTCGTTAACTCGATCGCGACCGCCACTCCGGGATACAGCACCATCCGCGCAACCAAGCGACCATCACGCCAAACGTCGGAGATCCACATCAAACACTGAACTACATTCTGCCTCTGGACTCATCCGCCTTGTCTCGACAGAAGCTGTGGATTTGTTGATGGTGCCAGGTCGTTAACCAGCACCATTTACAACAACACCCACCACTTCCACCGCCGGAAACAGTCGCAATGAACATCGATCTACCATACGCATCTCCAGTCACTCGTCGCTCGCATATCACCAAATCGGATAACAAGGCCTTCGCTATCGGAGGCTCGTCCTGCTAGACCACCGCTACCCTTCGTGAAGGACTCAGCTTGCGAAGGCACCGCCGACGTAAGAGCTGATTACTCGAAGCGCATAGCGGAAAGGTCTTGACATAGGTCTTGTTTTAGTGATATTTGCAGCAGACGGGTGACTGGAGTCAGCCTGTGGGCAAAGAGCTTGGAGAGACAATCCTCGAATACGTACGCACTTGCACGAATTCACGGTTCTACCTCGTTGCGCCTACACGCAAAACGCCATCAACGGTACCTGAAGAGTCGCACGACGAACAGGCGCTTAGTCCAACTCGAACGGTTTTCTCATCGGTAATTCTGTGATCACCCCACGATCACCCTTCTAGTTTCGGGACCACGAAAACCACGGCAACAATCCGGATTTAGACCCCGAAAAGTAATCGCAACAAAAGCGTTACTCTCCCCTCACTCCTTGTCATCTCATCATTGGAATTTGAAAAGACGGGCGTTATCTGATCATGAATATTGACTTGCAAATGTCGCACCCTGGTGCATCAGTGGTTTCACCGAGCACTCATCATCCTTATACATCTTCTCTTTCTTCCTCAGCTTCATCCTCATCTTCTTCAGTCTTTTCTGTCGATGCCATCTCGTCACAATCTTCCGTGAGCTCGGGCTCTTCCGACTCTCGGCCTATCAGCTGGGATGCGGACGACATCTGGACTCGACCACAATCTAACGCATTGACTCACCAAGCGGACAACGTCATCGGCGTAGCCCCAGAGTCTGACGAGCGCCAAAACGGCTGTGGTCGGTTTCGGTACCTGCCGACCCAAGGGGTTGGCAGCATTGTACCTGCGTCAGGGTTTCGGGCACCTCGGTGTCTGCTCCCACCGCTGAAAACGGACATCCCTGTTGCACCAGAGCAACGCCAGCACCCTCGGAGATGCTCGAGCACTGCAAATCAGCGTCCGCCTCCTGCGCTAGTACGACAGAGCGAGAGAAAAGTGAATTTTGTCGACAGTCTTGTTGGTGAGTAGATTCTGCTTCACTTCCTTCCCTGCATTCGCTAAATTTTTCCTTTTTGAGACTCTGCGACACAAATGGTCGAGGTTATCTGGCCGCTCTCTGTTCCGCCACGCTGTACTGCCGCCTCTGCTGGCCGTGGTGTTCTCCCTCTACGAACCTTTATTCAGGAGACATTGCGACGGTCTCGCACGAGCTACTCGACGCTCCAGGTCGCGCTCTACTATTTGGTCCTCATCAAGGCTCACGTGCCGAAACATGACTTCACCATGGAGCAGCCAGAGGATACGCAGTCACTTCGTGCGCTGCAGTGCGGACGCCGCATGTTCCTCGCCGCCCTCATACTTGCATCCAAATACCTCCAGGATAGGAACTATTCAGCACGAGCGTGGAGCAAGATCTCTGGACTCAAAGTCTGCGAGATCAATACGAACGAAATGGCCTTTCTCCATGCCGTCAACTGGAAGCTGCACATTGTGGATCCCATATTTGAGAGATGGCAGCACATCGTTCTCAACTACACGCCAGCGCATCCGCCTCCGTCACCTGGCTCAGACCCTATGAGTGTACCTCGCAGTGAGTGGAAGGCTATCGTACCGCTCCTGACACCACAGCTCGATACGATTGATACTACTCCTCGGCCTACTTCTCGCGTCCCCTACACGCGGCCACTGACACCGGCACGCTCTGCGACATCTCCTCTGACCAGCTGTTACTCGAACGACGCCACGCCGACACCCACTACTCAGCTTCAGCCTCCGCGCTTTTTGGAGCCAAGGCCTGATCTGCTTCCGCCCACGCCGCCTCTGCCGCGTATGGGCCCGCTACCGACGCCGCAGTTGACCCCTCAGTCAGCAACCTCGAGCACCCCTGCAGCGGGTCTCGAAGCCTTCGCGCTACGTCGCCCATCCATGTGTTCGGCCATGGCACAAGCCCAAAGCTTGTCGATGGCTCGTTGCACCATGGAGTTCAAGCCCAGTGGATTGGAAGCTTACCAGCTGTCGAGCCGCCGCCCTTCGCTCGCGCCATCATCGTCATCCCTGTCTTCGTCCCCTGAGTCTATGATCTCGGACAACTCCCGCTTCTCGTCACGTGCATCCTCAATCTCGTCCGTCTCGTCCGCGGCTTGGGCGCCGACCGGCAGGCCTCAACTGGCTCGCCTGGCGACTTGCCGTAATGCGGGACTGCCGTACGTGGCGCCGTGCAAGGAGAAAGAGAACATGGGCTACCTGCCAGCGGAGCCTTTGTCGGCAATCGATTTCACTGGCCTGCAGCTGATGGAGTCGGAAGCGACATCGCTTCCCCACAGGCCCAAGGCTGCTACCGAAGCGCCAGCCCAAATCAGCCCGACAAGAGGACGAAAGCGAGGCCGATCATCGGTTGACTTGGCAGCAAAGCAGGCTCATCTGTACCGCCAAGTGCAGCTGGAACGAGAAACCCGCGAGCTTTTACAGTCATCGCCGACGCCGATGCAGGACACTGTCCTTCCAGATCGCTCAGTCGCGCAGTCATTCCTGGTACAGACGCCAGAGCCCTATGCAGCGGAATCCAAGGCACTGCAGTCACCTCTGTGCGCTACAGCCCCAGAGCGACGCATGCCTCTGCAGAAGGAGCTGGGCAGGAAGAGGGCTTGCTGCGCCACTGAAGCTGCGCATGTTGTTCTCAAGGAGGGTCCGGGCATGTGGGAGGGCATTCTGTGGTAGCGGTGGGACAGAGCTTGGGTGCGACTACTCCAAGCAACTATCATACATACCTTCCGACCTGTGTACATCCTTCTTTGCTGTTTTTGCTGTTGATGTGTTGTGTTGCTTTGCTTTGGATGGGAGGGATCGAGCTTTGCTCGGGAGTTATTGTTGAGGTCCTTGCTGCCTTGCACAAGGATGCAGTGAGGGACGGCATGGAATTCTCTAGGCTAGCTGAACTTAGGATAGGAAGATGTATCAATGGTACTATTGAGTGCTTGTCATTGGGTCTGCCCAGGTGATGTCCGTGTTTTCTGCTACGCTTCCACGTGGACGGGTTGATCAGCTGACCTCTGACTCACATCAACTCGCAAGGCATACTCGCGGCGTCTTTGATCAATAAACGCCTAACATAAGATGGTAAGGATCACCAGCATCTGCAAGCCTGCAGAGGTGCAGTTTATTTTGAGAGATTCGACTATTTCATAGGGTGGCATCAACACTCGACTGCTCATGACGTCCGGCCATCTTCATCCTTTGAACCTCCTTGTTGGTGGGCACCCCAAGATATCGCTGAGCGTGTAGGTCCAAAATCTGCCTCTCTGCACGGCTGTGTGTTGAAGGATGTCGCCAGCTTCTCATTAGCTGCTCTCTTGACCGCCAGTGCGCCATGTTTCGGAACTTGCAAGTTGAGCGCGAGGCTGAGCGTCGCCACACTCGCCCATGGTAAACACATATGTACAGCATACATCCTTCCATGTTATCACTCAACACCCTCTAGAAGACAAACAGCACCATTCGTCTCAAGTATGGCAGGGCTGAAGACCATAGATCCTCTCTTTGTGTTAGGCAGACTTCGCCTGCTCCTATCACCTTTAATTCTCTCACTCGTTTGGGGAGCTACAGTTTATACAGCTATAAATGGTGGTACGTCCAGCTAATAAATCATCACGAGGTGTAGAGTCGAACTGATGAATTCTTCGAGATAGGGTTTCCGCCTGCGATTGAAGGCGTAGTTGCTTGGCCGTCCGCCTTCTGGCCTCTTGTCGCCCTCGCCTTCAATACAATGACACAACCAAGCGGCCGCGTATGCAGGTGCCCATCGTCTCTTGGGTTCGCTCTGCGTAGCTCTCACGTCATATGTGCTGTTGACGTACTAGACGTTGCTGGACAACTCATCTACCAAACCGCGATCACGCGGTCACCCAGTACTGCTGCCAGAATAGTCGCAGAGCTTCGGTTTGCTGAAGAACCTAACTCCACGGAAGATGGGAAGTTTGAAGACATGAGAAGGAATACCTATGTCCGTTGGATTGCCTTCGTGGTAGCGCTCTTCCAGGCTATAAGACTGATTGCAATGAGAGGCGTCCTGTTGACACAGGTCTGTGGCGCGATATACCTTAGCTCCTTCATAGCCATCGAGTGTCTTGCCCGTGCCTTTAGTAGAGGCAGGTCCGATGCGCCCTCTGAGATCGGAGTTGAAACCGTAGTTGATAGCCGGGTCAAGTCCTGGGAGACCTATCTCGCCGTTACTAGTCTTCACCTCCATTTTGCTTACTGCATCTGGCGCTTGGTCGTCCTTTTACTTATGGGCCATAGTCACGTGGCCAACCGAGGAGTCCTGATTTACCTGGGTTACTTCTCAGCGGTCATCTTGTTCGGATCCCTGGAAATTCAGCTTGGACTGAAATTGTCAGGAGACATGGAGCGCGTTTTAGGCGAGCACGGGTTAGGCAAGCCCATGTTATTCTTTGAATGTACGGCGATATTTCCCGTTCTCATTTCACTGGCTTCTACATTCTTTAGCTTTTTCATAGAAGCATTGTCATCCCCAGTTGCATGGCCAGGGGAAAGCCGCAGTTTCATCGCAGTAATAAGTTTCTTCGTCATAGTAGGCTTGGCTTCTTTGGCGCTTGCGTTGGTGGTCCTATGTCATGTTATCGGAGGCTGGGATTTTGATCATTGGCGTGTTGTTGACGTTGGCTTCAGCCTGGATTTCATTGCACTGAATGTAGTTATTGGGCTCTTTTACTACACAATTTCCTATGAAGCGGACAGGACCTATGGTCCCCCTTGGTTACCAATATTTGGATGAAGATCCCTGCGCAACTACACTGGTGTTGCTTGGAATTCGGATTAGATTTCCTTGTTCGTTGTCTGCGCTCTTTAGAAATCTTGGTGTTGCTTTGCTTTGGATGTCTGCCGATGTTGAGGATCGCGCGGATTAATACCTCATGTATATGCACGAAAAATTATTTAGCACTGGCTATGTCATTATTGCTCTTTGAAGTGGCCCTCTTCGAGCCCAATTGCTCGAAGGACGCTGTAGAGCACTTATCGTTATCGTGAGCGGACATCTTAGAGGTCTTTATCACAAATATTACCACCCGCCAAGACGACTACAGCCCAAATTGAATGGAAACGCGTCACGCTCTCGGTGCTGCTTCCAAAAAATTTGCCGTCCACCCTAAACGACGCATTACGAGTTCGGCCCTTTAGGGCACCCTCATCGATCCCGGTTCATCCAACCGTTGCTCGAGCGAGCGCATCGAGCATCACCACTCCTCGTAATGTGTTCTGACAAGAAGGAGGAGTCAGTGCACCAATCATCCACTCCAGAGATTCGATGGTTTAACAGCCATTCAGCTGTATGCATTAACGCAGCCTTGTTACATCCTAACTCATCAGCAGCCGCGTAGCCCACTTAACATTCAACCCCCTCAAATCCCCATAATGCTGCCCCGTGCCCAAAAATACGACCGGTACGCCCGTCGCGTGCACCATACTAACAAGCGTCCCCACCATATCCCCCACAGTATCACATTTGGAAATCACAAACCCATCCAGTCTCCTCCCAGCCCCAAACGCAGCATTAAAGTTCTGCGCCTGCGCCACACTATCACTCCCGACCAGCGCCTCCGCAACCATGAGGATCTTGTCCGGGCGCGCCAGCTTCGCGAATTTCTCCAGCGAGCTCATGAGGCGCGCGTCGTTATGTCTTCGGCCCGCGGTATCGATGAGCACGACATCGAACGCGTTGGCTGCGGCGTAGGCCACGGCGTCCGCGGCGATATTCGCGGCATCCTTCCCGTAGCCGCGCTCGAAGAGCTCGACGCTTCCGCCCTCGCGCGCGGACAGCTCGGACAGATTCCGCACGTGCACGCGCAGCTGCTCGACGGCGCCCGAGCGGAAGGTGTCGCCCGCGGCGACGAGCACGCGGTATTTGTTCTGCAGCAGGAAGTAGCAGATTTTGGACAGGTTGGTGGATTTACCGACGCCGTTTACGCCGACAATGGAGAGGACGTAGGGGCGCGGGGCGGCGAGGGGGTTTAGGGGGTTCGGTGCTGTGACGGCTTGGATTTCGCGCAGGAGGTCGAGGGAGGATGTTGGGGTGAGGATCTTTGTGAGGGCGGATTCCATGGCTGTTTGGATTGTTTGGTCGACGCCTGGGGGGTTAAAGTCAACTTGTGGGACACAATGGAGGGTGTATGAGTGGAGAGGAGGTAAGCATACTGGTGAAGGAGCCGGTCTTCAGCCCTATCAGATTCCGCTCCACGCTCTCGCATAATCGGACAGCTGCCTCCCTAGCCACGTTCTTCCGCAGGAGATGGTCCTCCATCTCCTTCAGCGGCTTCGCCAGATCCTCCTTCGTCAACGTCTTCCCGCCCACCACGTTCCTGAACAGTCCGCTGACGGCGCCAAGACTGGATCCCACGATCCCGCTCGCGGGCTCACTGCTCGCCTTCTTTGCGCCCGCATTCGCCAGTATCGAATCCATCTCCTCGTCCAGATCCTTGAGCACGAATTCGCCCTTGCCCGTCCGCTTTCCCCATGACGCGCTGTCAATCGCTTCCACGGCCGCTGGCGCATCGGTGCTGCCAGCAAGGTCGGTAGTCGAGTAGTCGAGATTATCCGTGCTATCCTCGTCCATCATGCCGAAGTCGTCCCACTTTCTTGCGCCCTTCTTGGCCGCGGCTTTCTTGTCTCGCATGCGATGCGCAGGAGACTCGTCGCCGGAGGACTGGGGCGCGGATGTCGCTGACGCCTTCTTCTTCGCGCGGCGCGAGGCGCGTGGTGGGCCGCCCTTGGCCGTGAGGAGGTGGCTCACGGCGGGAGACGCGGGGCGGGATGTCTCGGGTGTTGGGACGGGCGTAGCGTCTGTGGATGTGGTGTCGCTGTACACGGACTTCTGGGGAGCCTTGCGCAGCCCTGGCATAGGCGGCGGCGCATCAGGTCCATTGTCTGTTCCTGAGCTCGAGGGCGGCGTGAACTCTACAGTAGGCGTCGGCTCGAAGGGTCGTGTGGCCGTCCTGTCGGCTGTCTTCTCAAGCTCTTGGACTTGGCGGTCGAAGTAGTCGTCGAAGGGGCAGTCTACCGCGCTGGTGTAGGGCTGTCTCAACTGGTCTTTGTACAATTCGGTGAAGAGGGCGCGGACGTTGTCGAGGAGCTTGTCTATCCAGGTGAGGTGGACGAGCGACTGGTAGACTGCCTGGCGCATGTGAGTATAGCGTGCGCTACGATGATGTGCTTAGATTGGGGGAGCGCCATACCACGAATATGAGGCCCAAGTCTTTCGCGGTAGTCCACTTCAGAGTGTAGCCCTCCTTCTTGTACATAGGCTTGCTGCCCGCACCATCGTCGGCGGCGGGTTTGGTGCGCTCTTCTATGAACACATCGCGGATGAGGCTGTTGACGATATTGGCGCCAACCGGTACGTACGTCTTGGACCAGAGCACAACGCCGGACGTGGACAGAATCTCGAAGCTATCCAACATTATGGTGGGTTATATGTTCCGTGTTCTGTGACGCAGCGGAGGTTTTGGCACTCCTTGCGTCGCCCAAACTCGAGCTCCGAAGTCACTCTTCAGCCTTGGCGCCCGCTCCAAACTTCCGCCTATTGTGAAATATCGCATGACACGTTGCCTTGTCAGATCCTCCACGCATAACCCGAGACTCTCTCTCGGAGAAAGATCCCCACAGCGCGCACCTGACGAATGCCATAATGCAACGGCCAGCCTACTCGAACCCACCGCCCGCTCACTCCCCTCCGCTCCACCACCCTGTCCCTCAGCACGTCTCCACGGTCCCCCAATTACGCTCCCCTCCGCCGCCGGTGCCGCAGCAGCAGGGCAACAGCTATGGCTATCCACAACAGCAAGCCGCCGGAGGAGGAGGGGCCTTTATGCACCCGGCCTTTGGCGGCTTCATGAATGACTCGACCGCACAGATGGGCTTCCAAGTGGGCAGCAGTGCTGTCAGGGCTGGGTAGGTTGAAGGACGAGCTTCTGCAGTAGGGAGTGCTGGCTGATACGTTCCAAGGCAGGAATATGTGGAGCAGAACGTACGGCTCTCTCCCTTCTCCACATAGCATCTCCACCCCAGGCGCAGTTCTCAGTAAAGGGGACGAGCACAGCGCGTTATGACGACCAGCGTAGCTGACAGTCCTTCACCAGTTCAACCGCTACGTCAACGTTTCCGCTCTAAAGCACTACTTCAACGTCAGCAACTCCTACGTCCTCCGGAAGCTTGTCCTAGTACTCTTCCCCTGGCGACACCGGCCCTGGTCCCGCCAGCAATCCCGCGTTGCCTCCTCCGGCGGCCCTCTCTTCCTACCGCCGCGCGAAGACATCAACTCGCCCGACATGTACATTCCTGTCATGTCCTTCGTCACCTATATTCTACTATCCACCCTGCTCGCCGGTCTCCGCGGCGCGTTTGATCCCGAACTCCTAATGCGGCGAGCAACATCCTCAATCGTGTTCGTGCTGCTCGAGATAGGGTGTTTGAAGCTGGGGACGTATCTGCTGAGCATCAGCAACGACAGCCAACTGTACGACCTGATTGCGTACAGCGGCTATAAGTTCGTCGGCATCATCGTGACGCTCGTTGTTTCTGAGAGCTGGAACCGGGGCGGTGGAACGGGTGGATGGGTCGGGTGGGCGGTCTTCGCGTATACATGGCTCGCCGTTGCGTTTTTCATGGTATTGTCCCTTCCTCCCCTCCACATATGTCTAAAGCAGAGTACAACACTAAAGCACTGCGACGCAGCTCCGTTCTCTTAAATACGTACTGCTCCCAGACACGAACGCCGGCGGCCCGGGCTCCAGCGGCGCAAACTACACCATTGCGCGCTCACAGCGGAACAAGCGGACTCAGTTCCTGTTCTTCTACTCCTACGTTGTGCAGCTAGCCTTCATGTGGCTCCTCACTCGGCCATGATGAGGATGTTATGTTAGCGACGTTACAAAAGCGTTTTAAGCCTCTAGAATCTTTGCAGACTGCTAGTCTAGAACAATCTGACCGAGCGGAAGACGCGTCGGGCCGCTAAGGGTGATCACTAAAATGCGGGCTTCAGGCTGTGGCCTAAATAGCAGATCACTACGGCTGCAGTCGAGTTGAAGCATACGAGTAAAATGATGAGCTGGAGGACCGCAAGTAGCCGTACCACTACCGCAGCGTGAAGGTAACTTCAATGTAAGATTGAAGAAGCGGAGTTAGAGGGGATCCAAGATGATTAGACCATGTGCTTGCTTGAAGTTTGACACCAGTTACTTCCGCACTACGTCCATCATGGGTTTTAACTGTGGATGCACGTGACACACTCGAACTCGGCCTTATCTTATCTCACGCGTGCTCCCATTCGCGACGCGTTTCGACATCTGCGCTTGGAACAGCCCTGCGGAACAAGTCTTGACTGACCTGATCTTAAACAACGAAACCCCAGCATGGCACCCGGTCGACGGCGCAGCGCTGCTGAGTTCGAGGAAGACAGCGAGGCTTTAATAGACGGCACTGCATCGCCAGCCCCTCAGCCACTGAGAAACAGAAAGCGTGCCCGGCTCGAGGACGATGCGTCTTCAGAGGTACTTGTTCCCCTTACCTTATGAGCTCGCTACGTAGAATGTGCGCCGCACCTCAAATGTCCCGCTGACCACAATCTACAGCCCTCCTCCCCCGGCCCCGTCCTCCCAGACAGCTACCGCACCACCTCCCTCCCTCAGCCTAACGGCGTCGTCTCCCACCTGAACCGCGATGGCTACACCCCGGGCTCCATCGTGCGCGTCAAAGTGCGCAACTTCGTCACCTATACCTCCGCCGAATTTAAGCTCGGCCCCTCGCTGAACATGATCATCGGCCCTAACGGCACCGGCAAATCGACGTTCGTCTGCGCCGTGTGTCTTGGGCTGGGATGGGGGCCTCAGCATCTCGGTCGCGCGAAGGAGCTGGGGGAGTTCGTCAAGCATGGGGCCAGAGAGGCGGAGATCACGATCACGTTGGCTGGGAAGGATGGGGAGGAGAACCCGGTCGTCAGGCGGACGATCAAGAAGGAGGGCAACAAGAGCACGTGGCAGATCAACAAGAAGATGGCGAGCCAGAAGGACGTGCTGAAGCTGGCGAGGGGGTTCAGCATCCAGATCGATAATCTGTGTCAATTTCTGCCACAGGATCGTGTTGTGGAGTTCGCAGCGCTGAGCCCGGTTGATCTGCTCCGCGAAACGCAGAGGGCGGTTGCGTCGGAGGAGATGGTGGGGTGGCATGTTGACCTGCAGAAGATGCGGAAGGAGCAGAAGGCGGCACAGACGTTGTCGGCGCACGACAGGGAAACCCTCGCTACTCTGCAGAATAGGCACAATATGCAGCGCGCGGACGTCGAGCGGCTGCAGGAGAGAAATGAAATGGTGGCTCGTGTGGAGGCCCTGGAGAGGTTCAAGCCCTATGTGCAGTACAACGAACTGAGAGTCCAAGCTGGCGAGGCGAAGCGGAAGAAGAGAGATGCGATGGAGGACCTGAAGAAGCTGGAGAAGGAAGTTGAGCCCACGCTCAGGGCGGTCAATGCAAAAGCGGCCTATCAGCAACAGGTCGAACAAGTCACGAAGCAGCGCAAACGCCTCGTCGAGCGACTGGATCAACAAGCCGAAGATTTATACAAGAAGCAGTATGGCATCCAGAAGCAGATTGAAGATCGCGTCAAAGACGAGGAAGCGGAAAAGGAGCAGGAGAAGACGAGGCGCGCGGAACTCGCCCGCATTGAGCAGTCCCTCGCGCGACTGCAGCGCCAAAGAGAACAGGCGCCGATTGACTTCGATCCAGCGGCGTACAACGAGAGGATACGGGAAAAGACACGCCGAATCCGTGACATTGATACCGAAGCTCTCGATGCTCGAAACGAGATGGGCAGAGTACAGCGCGAAGCCCAACCAAGGAAGCAACAGATTACGCAGTGCGAGAAAGGCATTGAAAACTTGAGCACTCAAGCCGGCCAGCAAACATCAAAGTTGAAGCAAGCATCGGCTGACGCGAACCAGGCTTGGGATTGGGTTCAGGAGAACCAGAATCTCTTCGAGGGCAAAGTTTACGGTCCAGCAATTGTGGAATGCTCAATCAGGGATGCACGATACGCCGATGCCGTAGAAGCGCTGTTCCAGAAGGCGGATTTTTGCGCATTCACTTGCACGAATCGAAACGACTTCAAGATCTTGCAGGAAAACCTGTTTGGCCGCCTGCGATTGTCAGACATTTCCGTCCGTGTAGCGAGTAGGCCGCTCAACGCTTGGCAGTTTCCAGTACCGGAGGAGCAGCTGCGCGCGCACGGCTTGGATGGGTGGGCTCTCGAGTTCATTGCAGGTCCTGAGCCGGTCTTGTCGATGCTCTGCGACAGCATCAACCTGCATCGGACCGGGCTGACACTTAGAGACCTTAATGGGCAGCAGTTCGAGCGTCTGTCCGAAAGCCAAATCGCCACTTGGGTGGACAGGAAGACATATTACAGAGTCACGCGGCGCAGGGAGTACAACGCTTCCTCCACCATGACTCGGCAAATCAGGCCCGCTAGAATCTGGACAGATCAGCCGGCTGATGTTGGCGAGGAGAGGCAGTTGCGTCAGAGGATCAATGAGTTGAAAGATGAGTTGAGCGAACTGCTAAAGACGCATGAAGCTTCGAAGCAGAAGTTGACCAACCTCAAGAATGAGAACCAAGAGCTGACTCGAGAGAAGGTAAGTTAACGGCCGTGATTTCGCCAAGCTAGGCTAACGGTCCTCAGGATGATTTGCAGCGGGAGAAGGATGAGAAGCAGAAGGCTTTGGGCGAGTACAATGCGCTGCCTGTCAAGATTGGTATGTGTCCGTTTCTCAATGGAGAGACCTAAGCTAATGTGCCAGCAGCAAATCTGGAAGGGAAGCGCGACAATCTGAACAGCGATAGAGCGAGCATGAGGCAACGCATCGATGCTCTCAAAGACCAAGCAGATGATCTAGCTCTCAAAAAAGGCCAATTAGCTCTCGACTATGCTGTATGCGTCACCACTACCATTTCCTAAGCTGCTACTGACAGTACTCCAGAACCTTGTCGAGACCTTGCGCAAGTCGCACATCGAGCTTTTCGAAGCGGAAGTCCTGGAGATCGAGGCAGCTTCGGAGGTTGAGACACTGCGCGAGCGCAACACGGAGATTAGCCGACTGCTCGAAGTGCGCCGCGCAGAAGTCAAGGCCATTGAGGCAGAAGCCAGCCGGATCCACAACACGGCAAAGCAAGCTCTGGAGAGGGTCAAGCGGTACAACCAAGAGCAAACACCCGAGGAGCAAGTCATAGTATCAGCATGGTATAACAGCCTTGGAGAGAAGGCGTCATCCGAAGACCTTGCAGCCGAGATCGAATCCGTCAACGCGAGGCTGGAGCTCACCCACGACGGCAACCCCGAGATCATTCAACAGTTTGAGACGCGCGAGAAGCAGATCAAGCGGCTCGAGGAAAAGCTTGCAACCTCCACCGCTGAGCTCGAGAAGCTGGACGCAGACATCGCCGCCCTCCGCGCGAAATGGGAGCCCCAGCTTGACACCCTCGTCGCCCAGATCAGCGAGGCTTTCTCGGACAACTTCGCCAAGATCGGCTGCGCGGGCGAGGTCGGCATCCACAAGGACGACGACTTCGACCAGTGGGCCATTCAGATCCGCGTCAGCTTCCGCGAAGGCGAGGCCCTCTCCACTCTCGACGCGCACCGCCAGTCCGGCGGCGAGCGCGCGGTCTCCACAATCTTCTACCTCATGGCGCTGCAGTCGCTCGCCCGCTCACCGTTCCGCGTCGTCGATGAGATTAACCAGGGCATGGACCCGCGGAACGAGAGGATGGTCCATGAGCGTATGGTTAATATCGCGTGCGAGGAGAATACGAGCCAGTGTTTCCTCATCACGCCGAAGTTGCTGAGTGGGCTCAAGTTTCATCCCAAGATGACGGTGCATTGCATTGCCAGCGGAGAGTTCATGCCTGCGGATCATAGGGAGCTGGATTTTGGGCACTTGGCGAGCGTGGCGATGAGGTTGAGGGGGAAGGCTTGAGGGAGGTGTGATGGCTTTCTGGACGAACATTCATGGCTAGAACGAACAAGCTGTTCAGATGCTGTTGGACTCGTTGCCGAGGTGGTTCTGGATTGCTACAAGCAGCTACCCAAGTACGCCCCACTGCTCACTGTGCTGGCCGGGGCGACAATTTGGGAAAAAGAGCGACTGTCCATTGAACGAGCAGACGACTGCAAAGCTTGGTGGCTTTCTGAGACGTTCCAATCGGCTGTTGACACAGATCTGGTAAGATCGTGCGTTTGTGTGTCAGTTTCACGCAGTCGGCAAGCAATCGGCGTTCAGCTCAGTACACACACCTTCATCAACGAGAGCGGGGAGGTCAACGACCATCTCGGCGGTGGAAGTTGAGTAGATTTTGGGTGGTGCTGAGCCTCGGCTTCAGCAGCTGGGATGCTGTCGACCAAGGGAACGTTTGATGTTCCAGAGTCTGAAAGAGAGGTGGGTGATCGTCATGTTGATGGATGGATGTGTACAATAATTCTGCTCGGGGTCCTGCTCGCATGCTGTCTGCCCCAGCCATGCCGCTTCACCAGCACGCCCACCGGGCTATCAAGATGTTAGAAGTACGACACGAATAGCAGGGCGGTTGATTTCTTTCCAGGATCGTAATTCTTCGGGAAGGATTAGCGGCACGAATGTGCTCGCTGCGTCAATACGTTCGTGCTCAGATTCTGCTGAGTTGCTGATTTGCAAGAAGAGTTGTTCATTTCTGAATGGGTAGACCTAAGCTGCTTCGGCTCAGGAAGCGCTCTTCGGTAAGCATCAGTATTGCGCTCGCCAGTTAGGACGAAGCGCTTGATATGATGCTGTCAGTTTACCCCACCCGGCCGAGATGCTGTTCGACCAGTCCGTGTACCTGAGAAATATACTGAGGGATCTGAAGCCATTGAGCGTCAGGCTGAGGCATGGACTCCTCTCCTGGCACCCTGCTTCGCTATTCACCAGCCCGCACACCTACGAGGTCGGATCGCGTATGTCTAGTAAGAGGTGGTGTGATGCTAATTACGTCCGTCTGCACTAAGCGAATTGATCTCGTAGTGAGCTTTCAAGGCACTTAGCTGCATGCTCGTCACACCTGTCAACAGTTGGTCGTGGCACGGTTCAGTTGCTTCTAGCCTCAAGTGGCTGGGTGCGGGAAAGGAGATCTTGACGACTCCAAGCACGCAAGTAATGATTTCATCGAAAGCCCAACCAGCTGGATATAGATTTAGAATGTTCCATGGTAGCACTATCAGCCAATCTCCACAAAGCAGGTTGTTCCTCGCTCGAAAGAACGCCACTGATCCAGCCCTATTGCAGGACTGCATCGCCTCTTTTGGTACTAGTAGCCTTGGGACAGCGGATTGACTCCTCGCCCTAGGAGATGCACAAACTCGAAGACAGGGGAACATCCTGCGGTTCAAGCCGAAGTTCCGTAGGACGTTGCGGGGTAGACGTTGTGACTTCTCGACAATCGTGGAAGCTTATGCATAATCGGCATCCAAAGCAGAGCCATGGCTCAGACTAGGGCGGAGGAGCATCCGAGAGCTGGTCAATGAAGTCAAGCCGTGAGTGCTGAAATGGCGTGCGTTTCATGTTGCGCCTACTGGTGATTGACACACAGGCAGCAAAACAACGGCGTCGCAGCCTCGGGACTTCCACGAGGTCAACGCTCGACGACGATCTCATCCCTCGTGGCAGCACTGACCCGACACCAGGAACAGACGGCGGCCCGCTAACGTCATCCCGGCTTGCTTGAACCGGCTTGGTCAGTCAGCGCCATACTGGATAAGCATTCGGCCCTGCAGATGTCGAGACGGCCAGCTGGACCAAGATGGTTAGAAGCAAGACCGCGGTACGGAGGTACATCCGAAACCCATTTAACCTCACCCGCACTTCGCGGTGAAGTCTCTTGAGCCAGGGGCTTCCGTAGACCTCCTCCCGCCATCTCTCGAACCATGTCAGATGTTCATTACTGAAACGCTATGGCTGCCTGTGGTCATGAGCGCCCGTTCCCCCTGCCTGCAGATCAAGGCCATGGCACCTATCAGAGTGTGGAGATATAGACCCAGTTCCGCGGGAGGAGTGCTGTTTCGCGGCTTCTCGCATCTTGTATCGTGAAGTGCGTTGCGCGTGTCCATACAGTGCTGGTCATTGTTGGTCTGCACGAAAGTAATACTGCTCATCTCTATTTCAACATCCCCCTACCAAAGTCCTGATGTCGGGCGCTATACCGCAGGAATATGTGGGAACAGTAGTCGCGGTCGTTCTTTACACATTCCTCTGTCTCTTTGCTGCCTTGATCCTTGTGCGCAAACTCTATCTCAACGGCGACAAGTTTACCTGTAAGTCGTCACGGGGAGAACGACCGTTCCAGCATCACCGCCTAACGGGACCGCGCGTACAGATGTAGCCTTGCTCTCACTCTTCGTGGCGGTCGGCATAGTCGCCGCAATAGGCGAACAAATACATTACGCAGCCAACTGGAAGGTGGTGAAGGAAGCACAGTACCAAAAAGCACTATATATGGTCGACCACCCCGGCCTTGTCTTCACGAACGCTGCTGGGTGGGGCGACCGCACATTCTACAGCATCCGTGAGTATTCGTCTCCTCAAAATCTATCACTGGAAGTCTTTGGCTGAACCAGATTTCAAGGCTCATACTGCGCCAACGTTCAAGCTATTCTCATCCTGTTCTGGTATGTATTCGCGTTGGCAACGCGCACCTCAAGTGCTCTATGCTGATTAAAACGCCTTCCACAGGTCTATCGCGCTCTTTGTAGGAACGTGGAACCTCTCCCTTAACAGGATTCGCGGACATCAAGATCAAATCTCACTCGGATCTAAGATTTTTGCAATCGTCCTGCCTGCGACACACCAAGGAGTACGTCAGATACCCGCGCTCTACAAGTCCGCCATAGTATACCTATTCGTCGCCGACAGCATCAGTATGCACCCGTCATTGCGCTTCCCATCCTGCAGCCCGGTTACTGACCAACCCCGCAGTAATCTTTAGCTTTACATTCGGCACATTCTTCCTGATCCTGACCTTGTACAAATACGTCCAGAGCCGTAAAGTTTTCAAGCTCTTTCAAGCATCCTCCGCGCAATCCGCCAGCATTGCCGCAGACGGTCGCGCAGGTACCTCGACCTCTAACCCCTCGCCAATCTCAGCAAGCCTGGATGCCGACGACAAGTGGCTCATCATCCGTTTCACCATTGCCTTCTCCGTCCTGACGTAAGTTTCATCCCGGTCCCATCCTCAACACAACACCCCCGTCCCATCCTTAACACAACACCCCAACTCCCCAGTGGATCCCAAGCTAACGCTGCTTAACATACAGCGCCTACTCCATAATCCTCGGCATGCACCAACACCGCCTCTACCGCGAACACAAGGCGACAGACCTCGCCGACGGCCCCAACATCTCCCCCGCTTTCATAAAATATGAATGTGTCCAGGACATCCCAGTCGTCTCGACCGGTTTCGTGATGCTCCTTATCTTCGGCACGCGCCGCCGCTTCTGGCAGGGCTACTGGGAGAAGTGTAAGGAGAGTTGGGACGGGATGAGGATGCGCTTGAAGCGGCTGGGTAGGCGGAGGAGCGGGGTTACCGGGAGAAGGCAGGAGCTGCCGATGCATTGGAATAGGATGCATTCGGAGGATGACGGTGTAGAGTTGTCGTGGAGAGGGGACAAGGGGGAACCTAGGCAACATATCAAGGCCGTAGTGGGATAAGATACGTAGTAATGAAAAGCCATATTTCAAACACTATGCGGACAACAGCTATGAAATAGCTACGAATGTGTCCTTCGTCGGCTCTTCTATGGAATAATGGCCTTCGCTATCTGGGGACCTCTGTCATTAGCTGAAGAGCCCTCCACAGCCACTCGTAGCACTCCATAGACCGCAACACGAGTCGGTTGGACTACCTCAGACACAGCCTCGGTTAACGAACAGTCAAATGCATCAACGGCCATGCTTCCGGGTTTCCATTTTCGTCTCCATACTTCGTGTCTTTCGTTATGCTGCCAAGGCTGCTAGAGTTACCGGCTACATACCGCACATTCATAGGCTTTCCAACAATCCATCTCTTAGACCTGTCATCCTCCACCTCGCCCTGAACACGCTCTTGGTCCCAACGAGGAGATGGACTATGCCATGTTCTCCGTATCATAAGTAACATTCGTCTGCACGACCCTCCCACCCTTCAAAAATCCACTCTCAACAACGCCTCCCGCAACCGGCCTTTGCAGCCTATTCTCGCCGGACCTGACCGTAAAATTCGCCAGGCTGATCTCAAGCCCGTTCCGCGTTTGGGTAGTAGGCACGCCAAAAAACTGCGCCTCTACAGCTTCCTGGCTGATATGCAGCTCATAATACCCGCGGTAGTACAGGTCCTGCCACTGCAGCTCGTCGTTGGCGCGCACAATGGTGGCGCTACCGTTGTTGGCGCGTGCGATGGTGACGTTTTGACCGGCGGGGGAAGGGGAGGAGACGGCTGTGCCGGCGAATTCGACGCCAATGGAGCCTTCGCCGGTGGAGGCGTTGTAGGGCTTGTCGCCTAGCCAGACCAGATCGCTGACCCAGGAGGCGTGGCTATCGCCGGCTAGCATTATATTGTTTCCAATATTGTTCTCGTAGAGGTGCGCAAATGTGCGGTTGCGGTTGGCTAGGTAGCTGTTGAGAAGCCTCAGTATCAATTTCGCAAGGACAAAGGCTAGGAATCAGGAAATGCTTACCCGTCCCATTGGTCGTAGTTGAATGGGTTTTCGTTTCCGAGTGCAGCGCTTAGGTTCATGCGGGAGAAGACTGGGAAGGTGAGTACCGGTACATAGCGCAGATAGATAAAATCGACTCACTGATCTGACTGCCAATAATCCTCCATGCGGCTCCTCGCTCCGCAGAGCGAGAAAGCTCATTGTAGAACCAGTTTTCTTGGCGGCCGCCCATTAGCGTCCTGCCTGCGTCATTGGAGATCGCATGGATGTAGTCAGTGTTCCAGTAGAGGTCTGTTATGCTGCGGTCGTATCCTCTGGTGTCGAGCATAATCAAATCAAACAAGGAGCCGATAGAGAAGGATCTCCAGATACGAAGATTGTCGTCCATGTCGACTTGTCTGACAGTTGAGAGTCAGTTCCTTAATAGCAAACACTGAATCTGGAGCACGTACCGAATGGGCATCCACTCAAAGTACGCGCGCACCGCGTTCATCTTCCGCTGGTCAACACTGACACCGCCGTCTCTGACGAAAGAATCCTCAGTGTTGTTCAGTTCGGACGAACCGTCACGGTAAGTATTGTCCGCAATTTCTGTGGACATTAGCACAAGCAACTTGTATCCGGTACTAGGATTCAAGCAGACTCACCATGATCATCCCAGACTGGGATCCAGGCGAAATTCTGATGGCTGGCCACAAGGTCAAGATCGGTACGATAGGTAGCGTGTCTCTTCCTGTAGTCGTATAGAGAATAGATCTCCTTGTTTGGCAATGAGACGCGACCAAGGCTGTAGCCCCAGCCGTAGTATCCCTCGGCGTACTCGTAGATGTAATCTCCAAGGTGGACCACATAGTCGACGCTGTCCTTCCTCGCGGTGTTGCCGTAAGCGTTGAAAAAGCCGAATGCTGCAGTTTCTCAAGTTAGCACTGGCACAAGTATCGGGACGGTTGCTACCAGCCCTTAAGCTATGTACGGAAACGCAGGGCAGGTGTCCTAGTATCAGATCCAGGAATGCTTACGGTAATTTGAGCACGAGTAGACAGCGAGGCTGACGTTCGTTACATGGTCATTCGGCAAAGGGGTGGTTTTCGTGCGGCCTAGTGGGCTGGTATTGTTCGATTTACAAACTCGGAACTGATAGTAGTAGGCTGTGTAAGGCGTGAGATGGACTGCCTCAACCTGTTCGAGCGTCAGTGATCCATCCGTTTCAGGGCCTTGGAAACCCAAGGCAATCCTCATTGCCACACTTCAAAATACCCCGCCCTGGTGACGGAAAAGCTCTCGGTGGTGCTGCTTTTTCGAGGAACACCAGCTCTAAGGAACGTACCTTGACCGTGTAGTCGATATCCGAACTCGTATATGCCGTCCCAGAGTCCACCACAGAGCTGAGCGCCTCATCTGTCGCCACAGAGTATTCCACACAAACCGGCGCGGTCGACGCCCTGACATATTGCTCCGTATCGTGGTTGTACAGTGGTACGTAGCCAGACACCGTCACGTTGGACCGGTCATTGTCGCTGGTGGGTGCAATGCGTGTCCACAGAATGACAGATCGCGGGTACGGGTCTCCAGATGCAACGCCGTGCGTAAAGTTCAGCTGATCGGGTCTGAAGGCGGTGGCAGGGTCATTGCGCTTCTGGATTTTGTGGATGGCGAGACCCAGGCTTGGGTGGTTGTGCGAAGGGCTGCGGTAATTGAGGTTGGTGGAGAAGCTGGCGCCGGCGGCGGCCACGAAGGAGAGGATGCTCAGAAGGTGGAGCATTTTGGCGATGTGATGAAGGCTTCAGGCTCTCCTGCTCATTGCTCCGGGGCCTTGTTGACTGTAGTCATCGAAGAACTTGCATCCAAAGGCTGCTACTTGCAAGCTACACAGCAAAGTACCGACATCACCGTACATGATCTCGACCCTCTGGCACAGAGTCCGCGTGTGTCGCTTCGACACAGCCCAATCGTAGCTAGAGTCATCCCCGCCATAACGAGCGAACAAGAAGCTACCGCCCTCAGAGTGCTTGCAAGAACTCTGGGACATGCTCAATTGGTCTCTCGCGATTGGATTGACCCTGGCAGACGTCTTGGACGGTGGCTTGATGGTCGGCGTGGTCGCCTGGTAGCTGCATGAGATAAACCCGTGCTAAGGTTGTGAGGTGTCATTGGCGTGGAGAGCCCGGAAGGAGGTCGCAGGACGGAAGGATACCGAGGTTGGGTGGGACGGAGGACGGAGGACGGAGGACGGAGTGCCGGGGAATTGTAGTTACAGTACCTGTCACAGCCACGTGACAACCAACTACCAAGACCACAGGTGTAGATGAAAGCTTTGCAGCACTTTACCATTCGCGATGTTCAAGCCTTTGGACGTTCACATCCCTCAGCGTTGTATTCTTTACATGATTCAATGCACTTCCCGCCCTCAACCACTCAATCTGTTTCGAATGAAAGCTATGGTTCAGCATCGCCTTCCACACGTCGCCATCCCTAGGCCTCACTTCCATGGTAATCTGTCTGCCGGACCGCATCTCACCGCTCTCGACGCCGACCAGCTCTATGCGATCGCCCAGCTCGATCTTATCGTAATCGGTCCAGTCGTCGAATGTCAGCGGTAGCATGCCCTGCTTCTTAAGGTTTGTCTCATGAATACGTGCGAAGGACCGCGCAATGACGGCAACGCCGCCGAGGAATCGTGGCTCAAGAGCGGCATGTTCCCGGGATGAACCCTCGCCGTAGTTACTGTCGCCGATAATGCACCACTTCACGCCCTCCCTTCTCAAACCCTTCGCCACTGCGGGGATAAGATCCATCTTGCCCGTGAGGGGATTGAGCGTGTGTCCTCGGCTCTTGGGGTCCCTCTCCGGAATGAACGCGTTTTGTGCGGCGATGAGCATGTTGTTGCTGATGTTCTCCAGGTGACCTCGATAATTGTACCACGGGCCGGCTGGGGAGATATGATCCGTCGTGCATTTACCTTTGACCTTCAGAAGAACTTCCATCCTGGATGCGTTTCCTCTAGCCCAGGGCTCGAAGGGTGTCAGACGCTGGAGACGGTCCGATTTGGAGTCGATGTGAACGGATAGATTCGAGGCGTCTGTTACAGGCACTTGGTAGCGATTCTCGCCTGGATCAAAGGCTTTCGGAAGCTCCGTAGAGACTGGTGGGCGAAAGCGGAACGTAGGTCCGGCTGTCGATCCTGCGGAAAAGGATGAGGAGACGTTATCGTTCAGAATCGGCAAGGAATCTGTAATGGGATTGAAATCGAGGCGGCCAGCAAAAGCGAAAGCGGTCACTAATTCGGGTGAGGTGACAAAGGAGTGAGTTGCTGGATTGCTATCATGACGACCCACGAAGTTACGGTTGTAGCTGGAAACCACCGAGTTCTTCTCGCCCTTAACCACATCGGAGCGATCCCATTGGCCAACGCAGGGACCACAAGAGCTACTCAGGAGAGTTGCTCCAGCCTCGCGAAGCTCTTGCAGGATGCCATCCGCTTCTGCTGTAGCGCGAATCTGCTCGCTTCCAGGTGAGACCAACAACGGTATCTTGACCTTCGCAATGCCGGCGGTTTTGGCTTGAGCCACCAGATGGCGCACCTTTTCAAGGTCTTCGTATGAGCTGTTTGTGCAACTTCCGACCATACTGGAGCTCAGTTCCACTGGCCAATCGCTTTCGGACAAGGCGTGCTTGAGCCGTGACAAAGGATGCGAGAGGTCCGGAGTGAAGGGACCGTTGACGTGCGGTTCCAAGGTGTCAAGATCAATTTCGATGACTTCGTCGTATGAATTTTCACTACCTTCGTCGGCTACCAAGAGAACGTCTTTGAATCTGTCCGCGGTTCTGGCAATATCGGCACGCTTCGTGGCGGAGAGATAGCGACCCATCGCTTCGGTATACGGAAAAATGCAAGAGGTGGAACCAATCTCAGCGGACATGTTGCAGACTGTGGCCATCGCAGTGGCACCCATCGACTGCACGCCAGGACCGAAGAACTCAATGATCTTTCCCTTACCGCCTGAGACTGAGAGGATCCCGGCGAGCTTGCAGATGATGTCCTTCGAGGAGTTCCATTTCGAGCCGAGTTTTCCTGTGAGTTTGACCCCAGTGACATTAGGACAAGGCAGCTCCCACGGCATACCGGCCATTGCATCAACGGCGTCGGAGCCTCCGACTCCAATACCAAGCATGCCCATGCCTCCTGCATTCGGAGTGTGCGAATCAGTTCCTATGATCAGGCCTCCCGGGCTGACGTGACCTCAGATTAGCTCCGTCACGTTCGCAGCAGGCAAAGATGGGGAATTCTTACAATGCGTAATTCTCGAAAATGACAACATGTATGATACCCGATCCGGGTCTCCAGTAGCCGATGCCATACTTCTCTGCAGCACTGCTCAAGAAAGCATAGACTTCTTTGTGATCACTTATGGCGCGCTTGATGTCGTCTTTCGCCCCTTTTTCCGCAACGATCAGATGATCGCTGTGTACCGTAGTGGGAACCCTCACATTGGGAAGACCAGCACTGATGAATTGCAGCAGAGCCATGGTCGCAGTAGCATCGTGGCACGCGACTCTGTCTGGCCGGAGCTGAAGCATGGTCCTTCCCCGCTGGATCTCGTCGAGAACCCATGGTTGCTCGGGCAGGGGAACAAGGTGGCTGTAGAGTATTTTCTCAGACAAGGTCAACGGCCGTGTCGTGGTCCTTTTGACATCTTCCAGCCTTCGGAGCTGAGATGCATAGTCTAGGGTGATGTTCTAGTGTAACCGCGGATGAATCAGCGCTCTCATAGCTTACAAGGCGCGAGGATACATACCCACCGGTTCTAGCGGACTGATCGAAACTCGCGGCAAGGCAGTCGCAAAGGGACGAGCCTGTTTAGGCTGGTAGGATCGACACAACTTTCCTATCAACTCTCTATACATAATTGCTATATCTGTGAAACCAATGCTTGCAGCCGAGACGACGACAAGATAAACAGGCTGCTTGAAGGGCGGCTTGAATCACGGTAGAAAGTACTCCTTTATCTGCCCCGAACGCGCTGTGGCGCGTGAGGACTCTGGGATCATCTTTGGTGTCGCCTCATACAATGCTCCACATAATTGCCGGTATGGGCGAGAGCGAGGTGGTAGGCGGAACAGTTCTTCCAACCCTCGGGGAGATACGGTCCGTCCCGAAGCTTGGCCCACGGAGCAGCCGCCGCCTGTGCAGCTCCCTGTGAAATGACAAGCAGCATCTCCAGCCTCCCGTGCGAGGCACTTCGAAAGTTCCAGAAACAATTGGTTTACCACAGACCGTGTTTGCAGGTCTCGCCATGCCCTACATCGCCCTATCCTTATCCGCAAGATTCACGCTCGGACACCGAGTCGCCAACGCCGAAACTGCATTCCATAGATCGTATCGAAATACCTAGTACCGCCTTCATCTAGTAGCCAACAGGTTTAGTCCGCACCTACTTGGGCGGGTTGATAGACACGCTAGCGCAAACATCACGCAGTCTCCATCTGCTTCAAGGCAGCAGCGACCTCCTTCTCCGCATCGTACCCATATAAGAAAGGCTGAACTGTCGGACACGTCCTGTTTGATATGAGTCCACGATCCAAACCTCTTCAAAGCGAGGGAGAAAGAGAACAGACTCACCAGCGGCTTGGAAAAGCGCATTCGATTGTGTCCTTCCCCAACTGAGATAAGAAAAGCTTGTCTCGCTCAACTTGTTCAGGCCCGTCAACCATGTGAAAGTCGTGTCTCTGTGTTGATGAAAACGTCAACTTGCTGGCTAGAGAGGACCCACATCGGTGGTCATGTACCTGTTTGAAAGTTTCTCTGACGATAGCCTCACCACGCGACTTTCGTAGCTGTTGGAACACCTTTAAAACCGCGGGCAGCTGAATTGACGCCGCTGTTCGTCGAAGCAGTAGCCCAAGGACCGCACCATCCTCCATTGAAGAGTTTGCGCCCTGGGCGAGATATGGAAGCATTGGATGGCATGAATCACCACTGCAATTGAAGTCAGTGCCTGCAAGGTTGTAAAGATGATAATACTGACATCAGAACAAAGTTGCCTTTCTCGTTTACCCAAGATTCCAGCTCCGGTCCTATCGAATAGTCGCCTGTCAGTATCTGCGCAATCAAGCAGACCCTAGTGGTGTACGCAGTAGGTAAGGTCCAATCCTGCAGAAGACGTACTGTGCATAAGCTTCCACTTATCTACTTTACTGACACACTCGAGGAACCGGTTTAATCTGGCGAAGGACGTCAGTTTGGTAAGCTCATCGGAGATCTTCAGGTCATACATAGGATCCCAGCCTTGGAACAACTTCCGCATCTCCTCAACTGATCCGGGTTGCTTCGACACAGCCTCAGGCAAATCGTCCGGCACCAAAAGCACTATGTTGTACATAGTTCCGCTGCGCACAGAATAACCTACTACATGCGCGTTTGGCCCGATCCAGAAATGGACGGTTGGACTAGAAATCCATTGCCGAAGCGCGGGGTCGCTGATTTGATCGAGCGTCAAGACAATTCTATACGCAAGATCTCCTGTCGGCAGAGGCGGGTCCCTCGATCCAAGAAAGCATTCCCGGCATTTCGACCAGAGACCGTCGGCGGCAACAATGAGATCGCCTCTATACTTGGCACCAGTAGTAGTAGTGACCTCTGCGGTATCGAAGTCGATAGATTTGACACGCGTGTCGAGCATGATTTCGGCGCCTAGTTCTTTCGCCCTTTTGGCAAGAATTCGTTGCACATCCACGCGGTGCATATCAATGAATGGTGCTCCGTAAAGCTGCCGCATCCTCTCACTGAAACGGCCGTCGTGTGCGAGAACATTGCCGTCCGCATAGCGATGTACCGTAAGAGTTTGCGGTTCTGCAGCGAGCTTCTCGATATTGTCCATGACACCCCAAAGCATGAAGAGACGAGACGCATTGGGCGTTATCTGCAGCCCGGCACCAACCTGGTCGATCATTGCAAGTCAGCGAGCCTTCACGCACGCAGGATGGCATCCTCAAACCTCTGCAAGCTCTTTTGCGCTTTCCAGAACTATGACATGATGTCCAGACAGGCTACAGGATATGGCAGCAGCCAATCCACTGAGCCCAGCACCGACGATGACTATATCGAGTACTTGCGCTGCCCCGCTCATAGCGATAACCGACGTTCTTCGATCGAAGAATATATAGTGATATCGTGGGTACAGGGTGTGGGAGTGAATGTAAGGCTACTACAGACGGTACTCGCCCGAATATCAAGCTCGTGTGCTCTAGGTCCTTTGCTTCCTGCCTTTTTACGGTAACTTACTGGCAAAGACATATATAATCGGAGCCTGGATAGTGATTTTCAGGATGCACTTTTTCACTCGGTACATCCGGCTGGCACACCTCACGCCTTCGGCATTGCCGTACTGCCGATATTGACTACCGCACACCTTCAAAACAGGCCATTGGAATCTTGGAATAAGGAAAAGCACAGAAGTCAACTTCCGTTCTTAAGGCACATTGCACACTCAGCAGGTCCAAATCTCATGAGCATGTGCGGCCTATTTTCTTGATAATAATGCCGCTGGAAGACTGCGCAGACTTACGGCTCCACTTGACGACTAGGCTCCGGCTCCACATGGATGGCCCCGCATCCACCGGATGAAGAGCCGGAAGAGAAAATCTGGGGAGAGCCGCTGGACAGCCGGCATTTCCGAAACCACATCAATATGCTGCCTTCACTACAACCAACGCCATCCGGCAGCGCCCCAAACCGTCTCAAGCGGCCTCGAACTGTGCAGGCCTGCAACCACTGCCGTGCAAAGAAGTACAAATGCGATGGAACATATCCGTGCCAGAACTGCCGAAGTAGGATACGGATTTCTATGCAAGCAGGGCAGTTGCTGAGTCCGCAATTGCAGAAGCCGGTGTCGACTGCGTCTTTCGAAGCACTCATATCGCCGGCGCAAGCAATGCGTATTCTGCAAGGTACATACACAGCTCACGCTGATTATTCTAAACCCGCTCCGCTAATTCGGCAAATGTCCACAGTTATGTGAAAGACCTGGAGGCAAGGCTACAAGCAGCTGAAGCTGCCATTGGACGCTCAGAGAGCCTATCCAGCAATCATGCATTTGCGGAAAGTCCCTCCGTTACTTGCCGAGCTCACAGAGAAGAGCCTGCGCATTCCAGTGATCTTGGCCCAAACGAGCAGCCTGTGCCAAATATTTCAAGGACTTCGGCCGGATCAACCGTTCTAAGTAGCATTACATGGACTGATCGGCTCCCTCCGCCTCATACAGAATCAGACGATGAACTGACAGAGGATGCCGGCACGGAGCTAGTTGACATCAATCCTTTGACAAAGGCTGTTGAGTTCCATGGCGATACATCTTCCGTTGCTTTCATTGGCCGCTTACGCAAAGAATACGTCGATGGGACTCGCGGCTACGAAGACCTCGAACGACAATCACTTGTCGGCGCCTTCCATAACCATACGTTCTCCCCACACGGTGCGGCATCCAACGCGAACGACTTTCAGGAGCAGTTCTACATCCCGCAACTGTACATCTTTCTTGACGGATACTTTAGCGGTCTGCATTTCATACACCCAATCCTTGACCGTGACAGTTTTTGTACACGATGCAAAGAACTCTGGCAGGGTTACAAAGAACGATTGCCGTCTGGCTTTCCCGCACTGTACTTTGGTCTGTTGTCTCTCGGTGCTTTGACACGAACGTGGACCGAAGGGAGAATCGATGGCATGGACCGTTTCGAATGGAGTCGTTTACTGTTCGAAAGGGCGCAACTCGCGCTCGGGAAACCTGGGTTCAGCAACGATCTGGAGACGATTCAAGCCCTGCTCATCATGGCGAAGATATGTCAAAACGAGTTGAACCCCAACCTCGCGTGGATGTATCTCGGTATGGCCATACGCACATCTCTGTCCGCCGGCGTGAATAGGAACACATCATCTGGAGATGGGAGACAAGCACAGGATGTAGATGCGCTACAGAAATCCAAGACTTGGTGGGGGCTGTACTCTCTGGAGATTGAACTCAGTTTCGCACTTGGGAGGCCCGACACCCTAGGGATCGATGACTTCCACAACAGGCTCATGCCCGCTATTGATGATTCTGAAGTATCCATTATCACTTGCATGATTGATCTAGCACGCATTATGCGTACTATCTCCGTCAGCATCTACCTTCCCCGCCTGGGTTTGGCCGAAAAGCTTGTGAGGGCTTCAGGTATTGAAGCAAGTATCGACGCTTGGGTCAGTCGCCTTCCACACCTGATTCGACCAAGTTTGACCCCGGACGTTCATAATGCCGGTGGCTCGCTTCGTGATCCAGTATGGGCTCGTTTGCAGAGACTGGTTCTCCAAATACGTAAGCTGGCGCCAACCCTATCTTCCATCTCCAGATCCTGTGTTTGATCTGTTTGCTAACAAATTTTTAGGATATTACAATGTGAAGATGTTGCTGTTGCGGCCATTCATTCTTCACGCAGCTAAGCTACTACCGTTGCGTGCCTTGTCACTACCGCTTAAGGAAGCCGTTACAAAATGTGTCAACGCAGCAGTTAGCACAATCGAAACCGTCTACGAGACCTGCCGTGTGCACACATTCTTCCGCACTTGGTATGTACACCGCGGCAGTGTACCGGTTCTTCTTCACTAACGTGTCTCCCTCTTGGAGGTTTTACAACGTGACATATTTGGTCTTCGCCGCATCTATCTTACTCTTTCGAGCGGCTCAGCCGGCGCATTTCATGAATGAGCATACCGATTTCCTCCCTGTGATTGAGAAGTCTCTAGATCTACTCGATGCCATGAACGAGAGCGTGGTTGCAAGCAAGACCGCAAATGTTCTGCGGTATATGATAACACAGCTTCGCGGGCGGCGCGATCATAACAGTCGGGAGAACGACAACCAGGCGTTTTTTGCAGCACAGGCAGATCACAGCTCGACAGGGGTATCAGCGTCTCAAGCCGTTGATTCAGGTGCCGTACTGGAAGGAATGGATGTGTTCAGTCTTGGATCGGAGTTCTGGGGCGGAGGGATGTGGAATGATCTGGAGCTTGGCTGGGGGCTTGAATCCGAACTCCCTTTGACGTAAGCTCAACAGCTTCTCCGCAGGTCATGCCATTTTCGATCTCGGAAGCGTTTACGGTTTGACACAGAGTGAGGATACAGGTGCGCACAAGTACAAGAGCATGAAGACTTTGATAGGGACACATAAGTGAAGAATTGATATGATGAGACCTATTCAGCATCAAGACAACGCAACATTGCTAGAAGCAGCTCTGAAATACTACCCACGCATTGTGCGCCTGGTAGTCATTGATATTGAACTCATAAAACGGACCTGCAATCCTCGTACTAGGCACGAGTAGCTTTACCGCAAGGGATGCGTTACGAGCGCCCTTTATATACCGTGTATCTCCACGCATTCCACAGTGGCTTCATTGCCTTTCCGTCACAAATTTCGGTACCGCCAGTAGGCTGTTGTATTCTTAATATGTGTGTCACTAGTGCCGATCACATGCTCCAAAAAATCGAAACCCTTGCGCTGCAGGTCCCAAGTCCGAAACCCTTTCTTCATCTTGCCGACAAAAGTGTGACCTTCGTCTGGGACTTCGATAAACTCAGACTTGGCGCCGGCATCCTGCAAGGCCCGAAACAAGGCCTTGCTCAGAAAAATCGGTACCATGACATCGTCAATGCCATGCACGATGCAAGTGGGTGGAAATTTCTCCGTAACATTTAGAGTTGCATCAATCTTTTTCCACTCTTTCGAAGGGAAGCAAACATCCATCAACGTGCCATTGGCGATGTGTGTAAGGGCAAATGCGGCGCGCGGTTGAAGAGGTGGAGGCTTGTCGTCGTTTGCCTGGCCTTCCAGTGAAACGCCGCCTCGAATTGGAACGGGTCGCTCTTGGTATACCTCGTTGATGAACTCGCGCGGACAATCCGGTGGTTTTATGGAAGGAAGAGGTTTAGACCAGAAAGCGTCACGAAAATTTGTAGCACCGTAGAGGTCCAGAACTGCAGCAACCGGCCTCTTAACACTGAACCCCTGAGAGTAGATCAGCCTCAAGGACATGACCTGGACGATGCAATCAGATGAGGACTTACCAGAGCGAGAGCCAGCAAACCTCCGGAGGATGTCCCAAAGGCCACAACACGGTCATCATCGACTGCGTACGTCGAACTGTCTTGATGGGCATGGAGCTCTTTATCAAGGCCGCCGCTGTAGACCCACTCCAAGGCGTCGCGACAATCTGCAACTGGGCCCTCAAAGATATCAACTTGCGGACACAGTCGATGCTCGAGCGCGACTACAATCCACCCTCTTTCCAAACAGTCATCGATCTGGTCGGCTGAGACCATGCCAGCGTATCCAAGGATGAAAGCACCTGCAAGATTTAGCAATCTGCCGCTTTGATCTTCGGTCAAGAGAATCCATACCTCCATGGATGGCTAATACTGCATAAGAGTTAGAGCTTGAGGCCGCTCAGCGGTCAACGCGAGGACTTGCCTGTAGGATACTTCTTCAGCCCAGGAGAAGATCTGGGCGGCACATAGACATCTGCATAGATGATGCAGTCGTCTACTGTCTTGTATGCGCAGCGAAGAGTGGGCGGCATATTTGTCGAAGGTCTTAAATCTGCGATGAGTATCACTCATCCATGTTTTCTACAATCCGTCGTTACTAACACATCATGGTCCGAATCGCGATGCCGATGAAATTGCCGTGCACTCGGAGCGCTTCCGAACAGCTTCGGCAATTCCGAATGCGCCGCGAAGGTTACGTCGAAGAAGTCGGTGGAGCAGCCGCCGAAAACAATTGTCTCCGCATGGCTCACAGTGGGGTGCGCAAGCGGCGGCAGTTCCCTCAGCACTCCCGGTATGTCCTCAGAGCGTTGCTGGAACGGTCTGAACGATGGACAGGCTTGTCGTGGCCCGCTGGCATATAAGCCACTGCCACCTGCATAGCTCGATTGTCAAACTTTGTAACAATTTCATGCGGCATTCGAGCTTTACACCGCCCACTCAAGCAACACGGACGAGCTCGAAAGAAGATTGAAAGTGTAGAGCTTCAATAGTCGGTCCTGATAACCTTGCTTCCCGGCAGCACATGGCGATCCCACGACATAACCAGCCCCCTAAGGGTGGCGGAAGCTATATCATCCCGCAACTAGAAGGCGAATGTGTCACAATTCCAGGGTCTAAGACTGTATTTCGAATCCTGACTTCCCAGTTTCAGTCTGATGGGACGATATCCGTGATTTCGATGGGCGGACCACTGGCAGATGCGCCAGGCTTTCATCACCACGAGAAGGCACACGATATCTTCATGGTTACAAAAGGATACTTGCAGCTGTGGGCAGGAGATCGATGCAGGATAATGGCTCCGGGTGACTTTGCTTCTGTTCCTCCCGTGAGTAACGAGTGTTAGAGCTTCGTGCCGTGCAGGGAACAGAACTCACAGGCTGACTCCATTATAGGGAGTCGTCCATAACCCCAAGACACTAGGACCGCATACCGAGACGTTTGGCCTCATTACGCCAGGGGACTGGATTGATTTCTTTAGATATGTTGGCGAGCCGTTCGACGGAGTCCTGTGTCCCGAATTCGACGAGCGGAGTCTGCGTGAGGCGGTCATGGCCAAAATGAAAAACGCAACGAAGGACTACGATGTGTCTTTCCACCCTAAGCACGAAGGCTGCGAAGTAGGCGAATGGAGCTTATCAGACGAGACCCTGCCGGAGACCACAGTCCCGTATTATCTACGGGCGAACACGGGACCACGATGGCTCTTGGGCGGCGTCCTATCCAGGCCATTCATCACGACGCGGCAGAGCGACGGCAAATTCGCCATTTCGAGCATCGAATCTTCAGCGAAACATGAGCCATCCGTCTTCAGTCAGCAACTCAAGTTCCCAAAAGTGCACCACTGTCTCTGTGTGCTTGAGGGCGCTCTGGAAGTTTCTCTAGGTGACGGCGCATCGAGCACAGTCCGGGAAGGAGAAACCATCTTCATCGCAGCGAACACTGCTTTCTCGCTGCGATTTGGAAGCAAGTTCGTCCGGCTTTGGAGCTTTACGAGTGGAGATGGCATTGAGTCATTGATACATGAAGTTGGAACACCGTTTAAGGGCTACGTTCTTCCGGATCAAGCTGAGACAGTTGACCAGTCCAAGGTACAAGCAGCTTGCGAGAAGTCGAATATCGTTGTCTCGCAGAAGTCTTAGCGAACTGGAGCGTCTGAGAACGGACAACAGAATACCGTGCATGCAATCGAACTTCGTAGCGTGTTTGGTGACCTTCAAGAGTTCCTGCGTTGTACATGGTATTGTGTATGGCCAGATAGGAGTAGAACATGTACTTAAGGTTGTCGGAAAGATCATGGCTTAGAAAGCCGATAGTCGTTAGTCCACGTGCATGCAAACCCACGTGAAACCGCAAGTGCCGCCCAGACACGCGCCCACACGTGCGCGTGTCGATCCCTCCACTAGGTAACTACCAACAGCAATACCTCCTTCACCTCCTACATACTTGCGCCCCTACAATCCCGTCTGCACCTCCACGCTTTCCCCGTGCCCCCTGCTGGCCAACTCCGTCTCCTGCGCCTCGCGACCCTAGAGTTTGACATCGAAGAGTCCTTTATGAAAGGCAGCGAGCCGGGCAAGCAAAAGTTCGTCAGTATATCCTCGATCTTGCAGCTCATGCATATACTGACAGGCTTTGTAGTTCAGAGCCAGGAGACGTGGAGCCGTAGCCAGAACCGCAAGGTCGCGCGGCGTATGCTAATGGGGCGGATTGAGGGAACAGAATTGGGCGAGCAATGGGGAGAAGGCTGCTGAGAGTGGTGCAAGTGGGTAAGGGGAAGAGAAGGAGCTGGAGGGGTGGACGGAACATGCGGAGGAACGTGAGGAAGAGGTGGGACAGGACAGTCTATTAAGATTTCCAGAGACTGGGTAAAGATTGGATGAGACCTGTATATCTACCGAAACCTGAGTGCCACGATACAACGGGACCATCTTACGAGAATCACTGCATCGCTCTATAAGGCCTTGCGTATCTAGCTTCCGTCCCGGCTAAAGCATTCTGTTAGGCTACTGCGGCGGAATTTTGACAACAGCAGATTGTGCAGAAGTTCGTTCAGCCCGCGCGGCGCCCACGAGGACTTCGTCTACACGAGCGAGATCCCTTCAGCTAGCTATAACAGGCACTCCATTACACATCGCCTCCAGCTCATTCAGATCTCCAGTCTGGGCTACCGTCCCGTTGGCCCCGAAGATCCTGACAGCACCACCAGGACCTGTATAGGCCGGCCAACCCTGTGTGGAAAGTCCGCCATCAGGGTCCTGGGCGAAAGTTTGCCAAGCGTCTTGCATTGCAGCGCTGACTGCGTACTCAAACGGCGTGGAGTTCCCGCGATAGTTTGGGTGAGTGCCGAAAAGCAAGGGGAGTTCGGCTTGACCGTATTAGCAGGGTAAAGCCTAAAGGATTTGAACACTTGCCGCTATGATATGCTCCAAGCCAAGGCCGCGGGGAGATATTAGTGAAGTTGCCCCGGTACTCGTAGCGATACGTCGTCCGGCTGGCTGCTAGGCGGTTTCTAGGCAGAGTCAGCCTGTTACAGTGCTGCTGAGCTCCGATGCAGTTGAATCACACGAGTTACCTTGTAGTTACGACGGCCGGACAGAAGAAGAGACTAAGTAGTGCTTGCTGAGCGATCGTCTGATTCGGGCCGGAGGGGTTATAAGGCGCGAACGGAACCCCATCTTCTGAATTTGTACCTATAATGGCCGGCTGGTTTTTCGTCAGCCCCCATTCACTGAGACTCTCGAAAGGTCGGATGACTTACCACGTTGGCAAGTTTACCTTCAAGCGCACGTTCTGTGTAGTTAGCAAACACGACCTTGCCATCTGCAATTGGCGCGAATGTGATTCCAGGCGTGGCTCCCGACTCCTGGTAGGTCCCGACGAACTGCTCAAGTGTCTGAGCTGGCACTCCCCGCATACACGCAAGTTCCGCTGCCGCATGTGCTTGGTTACCACATCCGACTTGCGAAGCTACGAATGAGAAGTTTGAGTGGCTGGTGTCAGCGGAACGTAGGGGCACGAGAGCACTGCCGGAGTTCATGATAAGACCCTCGACGATGGGATCATCATAGTAGGCGAAGTTGTAAAAATCCACGCTCATGGCGCCGGCAGACTGACCTGAGCACCCGAACTTAGCAAGTATCCAAGACCATCTGCAATACCAGACTTACCCCATAGAGTGATACGGGCTGGATCACCGCCAAAAGCAGCAATGTTGTCGCGGACCCATTCGACGCTTCGAAACACCAGTTAGCCCACTGCAGTTGACTTTGTTGAAGCTTCTGAGTCACTTGCGAGCTTGTGTACTCACGCTAAGCGCTGGTCAAGCAAGCCAAGATTCTGCTCACTTAGCCCTGCCGCATTAGGGAATCCGAAGACGTTGAGGCGGTAACTGTTGTATGATCAGTAAGATCCTGTTTAGAGTCGGTTACGCGATTTGGCATACTTGAAAGATACCACAATGAGGTTCTGACTCCTTTGCACCCATTGCGCTGGTATCTGGTACGGCACATTCTCACCTCCTGTCTGGAAGCCTCCTCCGTATATAAACATCATCACTGGAAGCCCTCCATCCTTCTTTGCCTTGTGCCGGCCACGGCCTCCTTTCCAGCCAGCCCAAACAGGCGTCCAGACACTAATTGTCAAACAATCCTCACCCATTGGCGAATCGTTCCCACCTGGCACGCCAAATTCCAGAACATCTCGCGTGTATACACTGCTGCTGTTGGATGCGTATTGCATACAAGATTTGGGTAACTCGGTCGCCTTCACCTCTGCAACGTGAGCGGCCGGCTGGGGCGGCGCCCAGCGCAGAGGCCCTACGGGTGGAGCAGCGTAGGGAATTCCTAGAAATTGAGAGACCAAAAGATTATCTGAGTCAACGATGCCGCGAATCAGAGTTCCGCTCTGAGTGCGAGCGATTGGGCTACCGCCATGACTTTCGAGAGGTGGACGAGAAGAAGGCGTCACTTGAGTGAAGAAGAGGAAGATGGCTGAAGCCACACGGAGCACTCCGCGAGGATGCATTGTTGCTATTGACAAGAACCACCGAAGCAACAGAAAGAGAGAGAGACGGAACCATCTTGTAAATCTGCTAGGTATTGCATCGTTGAGAATGCAGGGGGCTATCGGAAGGCGTGCATAGAGCGGGGTACCTTCTATGTATACTCTAAGTTAGGCCTGAGCGACGATCGTGGAGGGCGGGGAGCTCGGAAGCGATGCAGGGTCTCGGAGGGAAGTCCCGGGCGCCGAGTCGCGTAGGAAGCCTTTGCGAGGCGGCTCTCACTTCCCGTACGCGTTGCTGTCCATTGTTAAGCAAACCTACTAATAAACAGTATTTCATCCTTCCGCTAGACGATTATCGGCGGATGTGACATGTCGGGGACACTTGGAGAGGAGTTGCGTCAGCATCTACCCGCCTGTCAAAGGTGCAGGCTGAGGAAAATCCGATGCGATGGCGAAGCACCAAAGTGTGCGGCATGCACAAAGGCCAACGCATCTTGTATCATTATAGATCCAAACACCAACGAGAAGTATTCAAGAGACTATATTAGACAGCTTGAAGAAAAAGAAATGGCGTTGCGTGCAAGGATAGAAGCCGCCACTGGCCTAGCCTCAGTCACTGCTAGAGACCAAGCGACTGAAGGACCTAGCAGCATTGGGCCTGAAAGTCCATCATCATCGAGATTGAGCGGATATGTCGGCGCTGGTAGTGGACTCAGGTTAGGCGTATGCCTTATTTGAGAGCACCTAGAGCTAACATCGTTTACGTGCAGTTTCCTTCGCCACATGTTCTCCAGCGAACAGCTCAACTTTAGCAAGGCTCAAATGCTGCACCACCTTTCTCAAAGAGCCGAAGTACCTGAAGCCCGATTACTTCCAAATCTACATCCGCCTTTTGAGGAAGCTTCAGCGCTATTGGGCAATTAGTATGTTCGGTGCTTCAATTGCCTTCCCGTTCACGTGACTAAAGGCAAGGTAGTTTTGGTCGGTTTCATATACATCATACATTTTTGCTTCGACAAGATGTGTTAGACACGTTCAGCAGGGTTTACAATCCCGAATCCTCGAACATCCCGTCTTCCCAGGACCATTTCAGGCTCTTCATGATATTTGCCATTTCCGCAATCACACGCTACCGTGCTGGATTGACCACAGAGCACCCTTATGGATACTACCTCGCCGCTCAATCATACATCGGGGACGTTGCTCTGATTGGAAATCTTGACGCCATCCAAAATCTTTTATTGGTGGCAAGATTTGGCATGTACCACCATATCGGTAAGTCAAAATTAGAAGGAAGAACTTAGGATCTTTTGCAGGCCAATCATCGAGGACGATTTCTTGGACTCTGGACTAAAGTCTTATAGGTACGTCACTATGGGAGATCTCACACCTCTGCATGCGACAATGCATCGAATGGGCCCTTCATACGAGGCCCGAAGAGCCTTTGGAGCCTCTACGTGAACAACACCATAGAAGAATATTCTGGGAATGCTATGTGCTTGATAGATACAGCTCTGGCATCCTTGGGCGGCCGTTTGCTATTCCCGAGGCGGACATTAGTGTTGATCTTCCGATGTCCGCCAGCGACGATACCATTTCAAGTGCTCATGTCAGCAGATTAGCAGAAGTTCAAGGACAACTCGGTCTTACCACTCCCAACGAGCTTTCTGTTTTCATCTTCTGCATAAGGCTGCGGCAGATTACCTCCCGGATACATACAGCTTTCTTTACCGGATCAATGGACCCTAGCAATGATCTTGGCGCCAACGCCGTCACCTTACCTGGCTATATATACGTGAAATACCATCACTTCATGGCTGAACTCGAGGACTGGCGACGTAGTGCTCCCGTCTTTGACTCTCCAAATACTCTCTATGAGCGCCCAGAGTGGTATGACTTCTTACTAGAGAAGGACAAATTATCGTTGATACGCGCTGCGATGCACAAAGCGCCCAAGCGCAATGGAGTGCCTCCAAGAGACCTCTCAGCTCCTTGCATGCAGTGCGCAATACGAGTCATCGAGCTATATTCAGAAATGCTCAAAGCCAAGTACATCACATGGACACGAAGCTATTTCCAGATTATGTTTACTGCAGGACTTTCACTCATGTATTGCGTGTCACTCAACGAACACGAAAGCAAGAGAGCTCCGCAGAGCGGGGACAAGAGTTTTGGCTGTGCGGGCGAAGCATTAAGATCATGCAGCGAGGTATTGGGCAAATTTGCGCAAGAGATGCCGGACGCACGAGGCTTCGCGATTGTTTTCGAAGGAATGAGAAAGTCTGTGCATACGACTGGCGATGCGCCGTCCTTTAGAGAAGAGAGTTCGTGGATGCCGCCAGCGATGACAGCTACGGCGCTCCAAGCGTCGACTAGCGGTGTAAGCATTCAAAGAGCGTCAAACCCTCTCAACGAACTTCAAGCGGACAACTTCCTTCCTCCACATTTCTACGGCAGCATACAAGGCACCGGAAGCGGACAATATCAACTAGAGAGTCAACCACACTACACACTGGAATCCCGCACAAACGATAGGGATCTGATCTCGGCAGATACGACTGACTTGGCATCCGCCGCTGTGGCCAGAATGCCGATTGCGAGTGACGGCTTGCAGATGTCCGTAGATGGACTTCAAGAACCGTTCTCGGCCTGGCCGATTTTTACGGACGAGATTATGGAGCGCTTGGAAGCCGACCTTGGGGAATATGCTTGGGGAGACCCAGATGGCGACGCATACGCTTGGAACCAGCTGTAAAACACTTGACAATTCCAGCTACTCAGCAATCTACGGCTGCTGCTACACAAATTGGCATTCCTTAGCTTCTTGTGACTGTGTACAAGGCTCCGGTACTCCCAAGCTTCGCTGCAATACCAAGTGGGCTCGGCGTAGGACGAAACAGTGTCACCACGAAGGCATTCCAGTCTTCTCTAGAATCATTGGCAAAAATGGTACTTAATCCAACCTGACGCCTCATCCACCATCCAAAACCCGTACCGAACTCTTTGAACATTTCACAGATGCCCTTTTGTACCATCAAGATTACTTCTGGCCAACTTCCCCAATGCAGCTGTACCTTCCACTCGCACCCATTCGGTCATGACACAACGCCGAAAAGCAAGCCCAAGAAGACGCTTACTTTCCAGGGTTCCTCCCCGAAACAAAATCGTATAACCGAGCGACAGCAGCAGTCGCGGTCTCTTGCTGTGTTTGGGCTGTTGTGGCTCCGATGTGAGGTGTGCTAACTACTCTTTCATTCCAAAGAAGCTCATACTTCTCCTTGCTTGGCGGCTCTTGTTCGTGACAATCCAGGCCAGCACCCCAGATCAGCTCGTCTCTCAGCCCTTGTTCCAGATCGCTCTCATTCACGATTCCTCCACGAGCGGTGTTTATCAGGATCGCGGTTCTCTTCATCATCTGTAGCTCCGAGTACGAAATGAGGTGCTTCGTCTCAGGTGTAAGAGGGACATGGATAGTCAAGATGTCGCAAACCTTGAGTACTTCTTCAACTGTTGAGGCGCGGGTGTGCGGGAGTTCTGGCCAGGCATCTAGCGGAAGGAAGGGGTCGTATGCTACTACGGGCGCGTCGAATGCTCCTCGAAACATTTTGGCCACGGTTTTTCCAATATTTCCCATGCCTAGGATACCAATTGTCTTGTTGTGCAGGATCAGCCCTGAGCAGGTCTCCTTCGGCACTCGCTTGCCAGAAGCTTGACGCACGCTGATAGAACACACCTCCCTCGCGACCGCCGTGGTAAGTGTGAGCACGAGCTCGGCAACCGCCTGGGCATTGACTCCAGGGGTGTTGAAGATCTTGATGCCGCGAGCTGCGCACGTTGCTGCGTCGATCTTATCGATGCCGACGCCTTGCTTGCTGATGGCCAGAAGGTTGGGGCATTGTTCGATATCCTCAGCGGTGAGGTAAGAGGAACGGATCAGGAGGTACTTCGCTTTTTGACGCCATTGGGCGTGCTCTGGAGTATCGGGGAGTATAGTGTTGAAGCGCGCCTGGCAAAAGGCAACTGCGGCCGGGTGGAACGTATCGAGCATGTAGACAGTTGGTTTTTCGACGGCCGAGGAAAGCTTAGCAGGCGGGCTGTCGAGGATGCGTGCGGGTGCCATTTTGCTGTCTCCGTTCGGTGTCGTTTTGCAAGAATTACGTGGGCTAAATCTTTGCTTCAGGAGGTAGCAGGACTGATACAGGCAGGATTTGGGTGCTGCAGTAGCATTCGATGTTGAGCGTGCTGCTTTATCTATGGGACTTAATAAAATAAAATGTGCCGAGTCTCATTCCACATAGATACGGAACTTGAAGGTCCAACGCCGGTGCTGGGCCAGCGCGGCGGGCCTCCGACGAGCGATGTACGGGTCTTGGCACAGGGGAGGTCCTCCGTGCCCCGTCTCCTCCAGCCCGACAGAGCACGCACAAACACAAACGATGCCTTGAATCATTTGCATGGTCTTGTGGACATGTAAGTGCGGAACCCATCCATATCCAGCCGGAAGTCACCTCTCTAATCATGCTAGCCCACATCATCGCAGCACACCCCGCATTAGCGCCTTCAGTCGTCCGGGCAGGGGCATCGAGGAGTTGGAGATGAGTGTTTCCAGCTGCGACCATTCATGATTCTGGTTGGGATTGCCACAGTCTGCCTTCGCCGTAGCCGCCTGCAGGAAAGCCCACAAAATGTCCTCCAGGCATCTGATCGCTGTGAACCGCTCGGAGGTGACCATGAGAAGCTCAACGGACAGCCTGAAGGCCGAACCCTTGCTCATCATCTTCATCACTGACATGCTTCGGTGATCTACCCTTGCCGCGATTGCAATCAGCGCAACACCAACGGCAAAGGCATCAAGGGCGTCGAACGCAGTCAATGCGAAATCTTGCGCCTTGGAACGGCGATGAAGAGCACAGAGGAAGGTGCAGAAGTCGTCTTTTGCTTCATTCGCCAGTATGTTCAGGGCGCCCACCTCAATTTCTGAGCCTGGCATCTGCATCACATGAAGCATGGCCTGGCAGCGAAGCTGAGTTGAGTACGCGATTGTGTACTCCACCAGCCAGGGCTCACACTCTGAATCGGACGGTAGTCGCGGCACACTGTCTCTCCAGTGATGAAAGTTGCTGGTGTGGAAGAGCGCACCTCTCTCTGGATTTCTACGGATATCGGAGATCATCTGCGCGTGGTGGATGGTGTAGTGTGTGAACGGCTCAAAGACGTTGCTTCCCCCAGCTGTTGTTGCGTCTGCTGGTAGCTGCTCCTCTCAGTCCAGGCTTAGGCGGATATCAGCCGTGATGGCAAGCTTACCGGAGCGGTGATATCTTCGTCTTGTAAACAGAACGGTCTATCCAAAGCAGTAGAGATCGACCTGACGCGGTTAACCCAACAGTATAGTTGGTCTGTCAAGCCTCCGTACCTATCCAAAATGTAGAGAGTCCAGAAGAGTCTGTTTTCCTCTAGCCTCTGAGAGCCTAGCGGAGGGGTGTCCAATGGCTTAACAATGTGCAGTCCAGAGGATATGCATCTCGTCATAGCCAAGCCAGTCAAATGCCATGTGGATCCCCCGAGAGGACTGAAAAGTGAATAAATTGCGAGCGCGGTCAAACATTGCACGATTGACAGGTTGCCGCATTGTGCCAGTACTTTAGGCATCAGCTGTAAAGCAGTCAGTGCTAAGTTTGTAGCAAATGTCTCCCTGTAACGGTAATGTGGTGACTGCAAAATGCCTGTGGCAACAGCAAGGTAGACGAGCACAGCTTTTTCAGGTTCCCTGTCAACGAGCTCAGCAATAGTCCCTTGCTCATGGCTTTTCAGAACGCTTTGGTGATCTGCCACAAGTGATTCCCTGTCCAGGAACGGCCATCTCAGCGCGGATACGTCCAGAAATCTTTCCAGTGGAAGCTGAGTCTCGACATTTGACAGGCTGATGCCTTGGCGAAGAAGACCCCGGTGAAAGTCTGCAAGAGGACCGGCAATACTTGGATTTTGTGCCACGGGAAGGACGGGATTCGAGGCCGAGATGCTTGTCGCAGCATGCAGAAAGCTTTGGAAACTGAGTCTTTGGGATAAGCCCATCGTCTGCTCCCCGGACTCGGCCATAGCGCTTAGGTTGAGGTAGCCCATTTCGCCGAGAGCCGCATGGAGGATATCACTTCGGCGCGGTTCCTGATCTGCTTCTTCATTGGCGCTAGCCACAGCTGCTTGAGCATCGTGGACCGAGAGTCGTGCATCTGCGGTCCTTGGAGATATCGGTGACGTCGCAATTTGGTCCTCAAGGATCTGTATCTTGCGTTTGAGCGACTCGACATAGCTTTTTGCCAATCAGAATTGTGTGGCTCAGTTAACGGCGCTATTGGCCGTATACAAAGCGACGGCACTGTTACCTGTAGGAGTTCACCTCGGAGGGGCTCAGCAAGTTGCCTTGTCTTCTTGCGATACAGATTGAGTCGGTGAGTGTGCACTGCAGACACACAGGCAATTGCCGATCGCACTGGAAGCACGTTAGAGACCAAAGCTCTAAGGTTGCCATTCGTCTGCATGGGTAGAGCACATGGTTGACTGGGCTGACGGGCTGGCTAGGCTGACCTTCTGCTTCCTCTTCCAACACCGCTCGCAAGCTTGTGGCATCAATGCCGCCATAACCATCCGTCACGGACCGTGTCCGTCGGCGGAGATTTGCAGGACTTACTTGCATATTTACAGCCAACGTTGTGGAGAGGCGGGGTCAGTCCGCACATCCTTCTCAACCCCTGCCTCCCACCTCCAGGCTCGGACATCGGCCGCTGTCCGAGCCTGGAGGTGGAGCATGCAAACCCAATGAACAGCATCGCATCGCAGGGCGGCTTGGTTCAACCGCCGGGAGTGTAGCCATAGCTGACTGTGTGCATATAAGGAGTGGCCGATATGGCTACGATACAGTTTGCTAAGATTGTTAGCTGCTCTACAACAGGACGATCCCCCTTCACCCAGACTTCGTTAATATTCGGAGTACGCCATACCAACGCCTACAATCAAGTCAAGTCCTCTCATCATGGCCGTTGCGATTGGAAGTTCGATGAAAGAGAAGCTCCTCCGCGATGAGGTCGCTTACACGCTCAGCATCAAGTTGGTGCGTTCGGTGGAAATACCCATGATGGCCAAAACGGCAGGCTACGATGGAATTCTCATCGACATGGAACACTCTTCTTTCGACCTCGACACCGCTAGCCAGATATGCATTGCAGCCCTATATGCTGGCATCACCCCCATCGTTCGATCTCCAAGCAAAGACCCATTCTACGTCTCGAGGATACTGGACGGCGGAGCTCTCGGTGTCATTGTCCCTCACATCCGTAGTGTCCAGGACGCCAAAGACGTAGTCGCAGCCTCCAAGTTCCAGCCCATCGGTTGCAGGTCTTCCACAAACGGCCTGCCACACTTTCAATACCGATCCATCCCCGCCAAAATCTCGAATCCTGTGTGCAACGCTGCGACCCTGGTGATTCCCATGATAGAAACGCTTGAAGCGCTTGACCTGGTTGACGAAATTGCGGCCATTGAGGGGGTGGATTCTCTCCTGATCGGCACCAATGACCTAACTGCGGAGATGGGCATTCCGGGGCAGTACGAGGATCCTAGGGTCACAGAAGCATATGAGCGGACAATTGCAGCATGCAACAAGGTCGGAAAGTGGGTTGGATGCGGTGGCTTGCATGCGCGTCTTGATTTGGTGGAGAAATTCTGTAAGATGGGCGTAAGATGGGTTATGGCGGCCACGGATGGCCCGCTCTTGATGAGCGCGGCTGCAAAGAGGGCTGGTGAGATGGCTGCATTGAACGCTCAGGTCTCGGGTCTCAGCCGCGATTGTGTTGCTAAGCGTATCGTGAAGACCACCACAAACGGCGTTCACAATGGACTATCAAATGGAGACTCGAACGGGATGTCCGTCGTTGGCTCTTGATGTTGCGGGCCTGCATTTTACACTTAGAGCTCTTTATCTCGGTCTCTCTCTTTGGTCTGTTAGGAATCAAATGAGTAGTTGGACTCAATTTGCTCGCTTACGACGCATTAAATCAAAGAAGCAAAGTCTACATCCGTGTGACACGGCACAGATTCATTCAGACTCGTTGGTGCCGTAAGCCTGGGCTGGACAAAACGACGCACAAGATGAAGATGATTCGTGACTCACCTGATCCGTTAAGCCTCCGAGGACTGCGAAGGCAAGGATGGATTCTTATCACTCATGCGTGAAGGCCTTATCCCAGAACTCTGCAGGTACGTCCGGATTGGTGAACACGTGATTACAAGTCAAGCACGAAGCTGCACTTTGCAAGAATGACTCGTGTCAGTCGCCCGCCTCTGGTAAGATGCTGGCGAGAGACTAACAGTACCGTTCGCCTCCGAGAAGGTGAACGGGGCGTCTCCACGCGCCGGACCTCCACCGCGCACCATTTCCTTGGCACTTCCCCGGATGCACATCGCCACCGGCGAGGAGTACCCGGCGGTCCTCCGCAGCGTGGCTAGCCCTCGGACTGCCTCCGACTCCATAGGAGCTTCCCGCATCCTCATGGTCAAGAACATCGTTGTGAGAATAATGTAGAGAACACGACCGCACGGCCAATGCCAAGAGTGGACATGTGTGGGGATATAGTCATCCTGAAGCAGGCGTCCTTGACTATTAAAGGCTGGTGATTCCTCACCCAAACGGACAGAATCTAAATCTTCGTTCGAGGAGCAACACCCAGCAGCTTTAACCATCTTCTCATCCCCTTCCACATCCCACTCCGATACTAGATCTAGCACATGATGCATGCTTCAACAACTCCATCGCAGGTGTCTCTTGATGGGAAGGCGGCCGCCGAGAGGATCGAGGAAGCCCCTGAGGTCGATCCTCTTCTTGAATTCTACCCTCTCCTCAAGAACAAGTCCTCTGAGGAATTGGCTGCCCTCAACAAATCTGTGCTGAAGAAGCTGGACTGGAGGTTCTTGCCATGCATCACTCTGATGCTACTTATGAAGTAACGCACTCTCACTCTTCGAGCTCCCCTCGCTCCAAGCTGAATCTGTGGCGCTAATCTGTTCGCAGCTATCTGGACCGCATCAACGTTTCCAACGCCCGCCTTGCAGGCATGCAAGAAGACTGTGGCAACATGTCCGACACAATGTGGTCCGCCGGTATATCCATGTTCTACGTCGGCTACATCATCTCGCAGGTCCCTGCCAATGTTATCATTGCCAAAGGCAAACCCAGGATCCTCTTGCCCTGCTGCATGCTGGCTTGGTCTGCTGTTACGATCTGCATGGCGGCCTTGAAGTCCGGCTGGGGCTTCATGCTCTGCCGTTTCCTTGTCGGTGTTACGGAGGGACCGTTCCTGCCTGCCGTCGCCCTCATGACATCGTCGTGGTACACAAAGCAGGAGTCACCTCTGCGTATGGGTATTTGGCATGCAGGGAACATCATTTCCAATGTCTTCTCTGGACTCCTTGCGGCTGGTATCCTGACGAATATGGATGGCATCGCCGGACTTCACTCCTGGCAGTGGTTCGTATTGCTTGAAGGTGAGCAATTCCCAGCCCACGACCAAAACAGTTCTAACAAGCGAAGGCATTGTCAGCATTCTGGTGGCTATCTTAGGATTTTGGTTCCTCCCAAACTGGCCTAACAACACCGGCACGTTCTTCTTCTCTGCTGAAGAGTCCGAGATGGCTCAATACAGGCAGAGAGTATCTGCTGGCGGTATCTCCGAGGATGACGAGGGCGACTACTGGGACGGTATCGTTCAAGCGTGCAAAGACCCATTCACCTGGATGTTCGCCGGTATGCACTTCTCACTCATCATCGCGCAGTCATTCAAAGACTTCTTCCCTTCGGTAAGTGCGAACAATCGCCCTTTGATGTGGCATTTGCTGAATCGCTGTCAAGATCATGGACACTCTCGGCTTTTCCAAAGTAGTAACCTACCTTGTCCAAGCTCCGCCTTATCTGATCGCCTACTTCGTCACACTTGCTGTCTCTTGGTCGTCCGGTCGTATGCTTGAGCACTGCTGGCACATTGTCGCATCCATCTCCGTCTGTCTCGTCGGCGCCGTTATCATGATCTCCACCCTCAACACCGCCGCCCGTTACTTCTCCCTCATCCTCCTCTGCTCTGGTCCCTTCGTCGGTCTTAACATCCAAATCTCCTGGGAAACGACTGTGGTGCCGCGACCACGCACGAAGCGTGCGGCGCTAATCGCCATTGCAAACTGCGTTAGCAGCGTCAGTCATTGGTTCACGCCATACTTCTTTTTGAGGAGCCAGGAGCCGCGGTATCAGACCGGTGGCGGCGTCATTATTGCTGGGTGTGGGCTTACCATCGTCTTCTGTTTGATGGCCAGATGGTGGTGCATGCGAAAGAACAGAGTGCTGGAACAGCTCGAGAACCAGCGAGGTGATGAGAAAGGGTGGCGCTTCGCTACATGATTAGCGGCTAACGGGCGAGCTAGCAACGAGTGAGTTCTCGTGGAATAGATATTGGAAAGTTTCTGTAGTCGAAAGGCTCGGTTCACGATTTAACAGCCGCTGACCGTAGGTTTCTTACGTGGAAAGAAGTTATATTAGTGATATTTACTAGAGAGGGCGATGTCTTTGTAGTTCAGAAGTTAGTTGCTTAAAGCTTATCTTAACGCGAAATGTTTTCGTATCGTGAAAGATATAAAGTTATATTATTATTAGTTGCAAAAAGTATAGCTACTTAGAAATAAACGTTATCTACCCTTCTCTCTCTAAGGCTTATTATTCTATAGAGCACGCGTACTGCTTCTATATAAATATATAGATCCGCAAATAGGCACTCTATTTATATATAAAACCGAACCGTTCGTCTTACCTTCACTGTCTATCGCACCTAAGACTTCCAAGGATGGTGAGACCAAGCTCTTCGGAGATTAATCTGGAAGAGGTGCGGAAGGCATCTAATCTTTTTGCATTGGGTTTGGCTCTGATTATCTCCGCCCTGGACTGATCGAGCATGATGACAGGAAGGGAGTTCGGAGCTAATGAGCCATGCGTTGTCGGCTCACAGGAGACAGGTCTTCATTCAGGTGACGTGCGCGCGATGAAAGTAATGTCGAGGGCGGGTAAACAGTGATGCGATCTCGTAGTGATGGACTTTGGAGGTTAGGGAAGGCAAAGTGCCAAGAATGATGCACGAGCAATACCGCGGTGTGGGCGCGGAAGCGACGCGTCTCGACTCTCAGCCCCACGACGGTCGAAGATTTCAACTCCTAATTGCTACCGCAATGTGACCTCAACTTCATGATTCCATCGGTACAGCTTTGAGTTTTGCGCGGCTCGTGGACTTCCAATATCTAAATCTCAGCCATTTTCGAGAGTTCAGAGTATTGGAGCTGCAACCATCTGGTTTCTCCCAACATGCAACGCTTTCCTGCAAGTTGATCACTACGAAATTGAGAGATGGCAACCAATCTTCGGCCCCCCTAAGACACGCGTATAAGGCCTTATCATATGCTTGGGAGGGCCAGACACCAGACAGAAGAATCTCATGCCAAGGACAAGACCTTCTGATTACGGCCAATTGCGAGGCTGCATTGTTACAACTGCGACAGCGCTGGAGACGCCGGATTCTATGGATTGACTCCATTTGCATCAATCAAGCCTCAGGCGATGAGAAGGGGCAGCGGGTCCAGATCATGGGTGAGATCTCCAAAGGGGCAAAGACCGTCATTGTATGGCTGGGCGAAGGAAGCCTCGAGATTTCTCGAGTCTTTTGGCACTTGTCTTTGCTCAAAGAATCTCGAAGTCCACCCTTGGGCCATACCTAATCCGTAGACGAATAATACGAGCCTTAGCACTTCGAATCAGCAGGTTGCAAGAGCTCAATGACAATCAGATTCGGTAGCTCCCGCGCGGCATGGGCTGTTTGTATTCATCCCGGGGGATTGTATCTTAGCCGAGGTTTTCTCCCGGACTTGGTTCACACGTATGTGGACTTTGCAGGAGGTAATAATGGCTAGAACGTGCTTGGTTAGCTGCTCCCCGAGTTCTCTATTTTGTTACATCGCTGACTACTCTGTCCAGGTCAACTGTGGTGAAGCAACCGTGCCTTAGGAAGTTTTGGCGGGTCTAGACAGCTATTTCCTAGCTGTGGGAAGCGAGCAAAGAGTGGATAGTGCTGTCTCTATATATAGAGAGCTTTCAAATAGTCTTATACGTACGAAAGGCCGAGGATACGCAGCGATACTAGAGATGCGGCTATCATCTATCCGAGAGCAAACCGGATATTAGCAGGTTATAAGCCCATGTAATGGAATTTGTACTAAAAAAAGTAAAAAAGGAAAATACGTATTTTCCGAGCCTATTTTCCAAGCTAAAAATCCCTTGGAAAATAAAAAAGCATATGGAAATGTCATGACCCGGCCAGGAGAGAGCCTTGGCATGGTGTTGAGCCATACCGCGCCCAGCTTGTCACCAAGCTGGACGTCATAACCCCGCCCTCTTGGCGTTCTTCCTATATCCATAGATGCCCACCGTCTGACAGACGGTAGGCTTTAGTCTTTGCATATAGTACTAGATACTATTCCTTAACTACTATGGAATATATCTTACTACTAGCGATTGCCTAGCTCGACCCCGTCGAGCTACTAGCCACTCACGTGGATACATCAACCCACTAGCCTGTAGATCCCGCTAAGGGAATTCAGGTTACTGACAGGAAAATAGCCGAGTTCCTTAGAAAATAGATTATTTAAGGAGCTCTTTAGGTGGCTTACTAATTCTAGATAGTATCTACACTATACTAATAAGTATAATACTAGAATCTTTGAATTTAGAAGGTATTTTAACTAAAAAAAAGAGTTTTTTATCTTTAAGACTACTAGAATATTAGTTTCTAGGATAGATAACTTTTATTAACTAAACTATCTCTATTACTAATATTTATTAGTAAAATACTCTATAAGAACTACTAATAACATAATTTAAAACTATAATATAAGTAGAATTAGATATAATATATATTCTATAAGATATTAAGATTCATATATTTAAGAAGAGTATTAAGAGATTTAAATAAGAAGTAGCTCCTTATTATTAGTTCTAAAGAATATAGAATTTATATTCTACTAACTAGATTAAGAGGAAATAATAAGAATTATACATCTAATAGTAGAACTAATAAATAGTAAAAAGATATACACTTAACTAACTATATTAAGAAGAGATAATAATAAGTATACACTTAAGATTGTACTAAGAGACACTAATAGAATAGTCTAGAACTATAATATCTATATAATTTAGATTCTACTAATTTTATTAAGTAGAGATAATAAGAATTATGTATCTAAGAATAGTAGTAGAAGGTATTAATATTAACATTAATATATTCTAATATTACTAGAAAGTGAGATGAGGGTTATCTCACTTACTAGAGTTAGAGTCTACCTTAGGAAAATTATAACCTAAAGCCTTATATTATTTTTTAATATCTAGATCTTATTTTAATTTCAATATAACGTCGCATCCACTTTAGATTTAGTTATCTTTCGCTTTATATTAATCTATATTAATATACCTACTTTCGATAGCCGCGCGATAAGTATAAGATTATAAAAGTTATAATAATAGATTTAGAGTATAGAGATTCGGGCGTAATATAAAGATAGTAGGTATAATACTATAGTACTTAGATCACGTAAGCTCTTTATTATAGTAGAAAGTATACTACTAGATAGTTATTGCTTTTTAAAGCGTAATACTACCTCGTTCATCTACACTAAATAATACTAAATAAGTATAATAGAGTAATAAGACAGGGTCGAGTTAACAGATATAGGAGTATCTTAGGGAAGCTTTTAATAGAAGACCCTTAATACTACCCTAATAACTCTTAACTATCTAATATATAATTTATACCGCTATTATCTTCTAGTAGATACTCTAGTAGACGAGACAGCTGTAAACTAGGCACCTTCTATAGCTTCTTTTTATTAACTACCTCTAGAACTAGCCGATCTAGTAGAATCTAGCATCTAGCTAAAGTATCTACTACTATTCTTATAATCTACACGCTAAATACTATAGCGCGATTATTATACGCCTTAATTAGATCTAACTAGACCTTAAACCAACCTATAGGTATCTATTTAAGTAAAGAGTAGAATATCTTAGAGCTTAGAATTAGTGCGAAAATACCTACTTTATACTATATATAGACCTTCTACTAGCGGCGGCCTCTCTCTAGATGCTTATTAAAGTTTATCTATAGCTTATTAGAGGATAAATAGCTACTTAAATTAGAGGCTTTAATATCTAGATAGAGTACCTAAAAGAGATAATACTTCGCTACTATAGTATTACCTACTCTAACATCTCTTAAGTGTACTTCTTTTAATCTATTACTACTACTAGCTAATAACCGCACCGCATTCTAATACTAGTTCTAGAGGGAGGCTAGCTAATACTAGTATATTATATTATAGAGAATACCCGCTACTTTAGTAGCTCTAATAGCCCTAAATACTCTAATAAACTTTATTATAATATTATTAATAGTTACTAGAGTTTACACTATATAGAAGCTTAGAGAAGTCTAATACTTAGTACTTAGAGTACCTATATCTTACTAATATATTAGTAGCTTTCTCTAGTCCTCGAAGGCCTTTAGGCTAATAACTATCTAAGTCTTATAAACTAAGTCCTAGACAGCCTAAAAGCCTATACTATAGTAGCTAGATTATTTTTCTAGCTAGGCTAGAATTAGCGTATTAGAATACTAAAAGATAGTATTAATATTTAAGATATCCTTATTAGAGCTAATAAATACTATAGAGAGCTCCTTTACTATCTTTTTCTAGCGCTCGCGCTCCTTATAGTAATTATTATTTATAATCTTTAAAATAGCCTTCTCTCTCTTCTCTATAATAGGATCCCGCGGCGTGCTAGACTTAGCTTTAGAAGAAAAAGTAGATTAAGATTTATCTTAAGTATTAGAACTAGCGTCTATATAGGCTTATTTAGGTAGCTATATAGGCTTAGAGTCTTTATCTAAGTTATTTATAGTATAGCGCTTAGTAGTACTCGCGGCTGCCTAGCTAGATATAGAAGACTTATTAATACTATTATTCTTACTAGAGGTAGAGGAAAGAGGGTGAGTTCTAATTAGAGTATCACCGCTACTACTTATATTACCTAGTATACTATAAAGCTTCTCTAGTATAGGTAGAAGGTCTAGTATATAGTTCTATGCGAGCTAGTCTAGAGTATTAAGTGGAAAGGCGGTAATAAATAGTCTAGAGTTCTAATTAGACTTATTATATACCTAGAGTAGAAGTCTACTTATTAATATAGGTAGCTAGAGTAAATATTAAAAATTAACAAGAGACACTTAATAGAGGTAATATTTACTTAAAGAGAAGACACTACTATTATTTATAGAGTATATAGGCGCGTGTAGAGGCTAA